GCCGTGGTGCCACCGTCCACCAGAGCGAAGTCTGCAGCCACAGAGATAGCACCATTGCAAAGGGGAGATGGAGCCCTTTAAAATTGCTGACCTTGTTTCTTATATTTTAAAAAAATAATAAGCCTCGCCCCTCCTTCATCAAATGTAATAACCTCCCTTAAAAGCACGGAGTGAGTCAAGTGGGTCAAGGCCCTGAGTTCAATCCCCAGCACTGCCAGAAATAAAAATTAACAGTAAAAAAGTTTTCCTTCACACGTTCTTCAGCTCCTAGGGTCTAGTTCAGATTTTCACCCTGTTCTGTCTGTCAGGCCACAAGTCCCCAGTTCTGTTCCCACAACAGTAAATGAAGATGTTGGGGCCTATTCACCTGCCGCAATTTTGGGGTTCTCACCAACACTAAGAAATCAAAGTGCCCTGCCGGGTGACTCCTGGCCCCATAGTCCTACCCAGCCCCACTCAGCTGAGCCCTGGGCACCCTGCAAGTTCTGGCCTCCTTGGGGCCCTAAGTACACAGTGCTATCAAAGAAGCAGCAATACCATGTAGCAGCCCCCACCTCTGCTTCTCTTCCCCAGGCTTCTGTCCCCAAGTCGGATCTGTTCCCATGAATGGATGATCATCTGTGAAGGTCCTGGAGAGTAGGAGCGGCCAGCTCACCAGGCATCTCCAAGTACTGTGGAGTTCTTCCTGCTTCTCTTCTTGCCCCAGCTCCATAGTCTCAGGGTCACCCTGTGTTTGCCCGAGGTCTGATCACAGCTATGCAGCTCCCTACCTGCCCGTCTCAAGCACCAGTTACTGGGCTGGGCCCAGTGGCCCGAACACGGCGGCAGGTCTTGAGCCTCTCACTGGTTTCATTCAGTTATCCGCTCATCCATTCATTCGCCTCTCCACAAATATGGCCTCAGAGGATATTCTGCCCACCTGGCCAGGCCTTAAATTACCAGGGTGCACACCATGAAGGGCTTGACCACAGCCGGGTGCTCCCTGGGGAACAGAGCAGAGTGGATGTTCAGAGGCACAGGCCTAACAACCCTGGAAGCTGAGGTGGGAGGCCCGCACATCTGAAGCTAGGCAGGCTACACAGCAAGGTCAGGGCCGGCCTGGCCTTCAGTAAAAAGTGGGCACTTCGAGGACAAGAGGAAAGTTGGGTACTTCGAGGGCAAGAGAAAGAAAGGGAGCCTCCCAGAGACCCTTGGGCTCTCCACTAAGATGTGGCTGGCGTGCCCCGCAGCTTCACCAGCTCACCTCAGCCCACCGTGAGACACTAAAGGGTGGCAAGGCGCCCAGCTCCGGGAAGTGATCAGGAACAGAAAGGAGAGCAGACAACATTCACTGGCCTCCCCGCCTCTTGCCATGTGACACCCCCCCACACACACACAGCTCTGCCAGCAAGGCCACCACAGAGGTGGACCTGCCAGTCCCGTAGCACAAGCCTGCACTCCAGCACTCTGGGAGGCTGAGGCAGGAGGATCCCAAGGTCAAGCCTGGCCTTGGCAACTTAGAACTCAGTGAAACACTGTCTCAAAAATAAATAAACTGGGTCAGGGTTGTAGCTCAGCAACACAGCACCTGCCTGGCAAGCACAAGGCCCTGAGTTCAATTCTTAATACAAATAAATAAATAAGCAAATAGGGATGGCGACAGAGCTCAGTGTGAAGACCTGGGTTCCACCTCCCATACCAAAAGAAACTGAAAAAACAAAAAGAAAGAAAAAAACCTGGGGGCTGGGGATTTAGCTCAGCGGCATAAACGCCTGCCTTGAAAGCAGGCAGTCGTGGGTTCGATCCCTGGTACCGATAAAAACGAAAAAGACAAAAAAAAAAGAAAAAAGAAAAAAACCTGAAAGACATGAGCCCTTGCATCTCCAAAATGAGCCAAAATAAACCTCTGTTCTTCATAAAAGAACCTGCCTCCAGTATTTCACCTTAGGGACCACAAAACAGACTGTTACAGTCCTTCTGACTTCAGAATAAGAGTTCCCTGTCCAGCAGCCTGACACTCGGCATTTCAATTAAGAGGTGCAGGTGCAGTGGGGTCCTCCTCACAGGATGGGACGTGCATAACTGTGCACTTGGGGCCAGAGCCCAGAGCTGAGTGGGAAGGGCGGGCACAGGGTGACAGGTCTGCAGTGGCCTCCTGCCCAGACTTGACTGTCCCAGGAGCAGAGGGCCCAGGAAACCCTCCAAGCGGTCCTCCACAGGGGAAAACAGCTCGAGTTGGAACTTGTGTCCACATGGTCCACAGACAGATTTAGCACTCAAATTATAGCCTCTGTAGGGGTGTTCACAAAGGACTCAAATTAAGCAAGACCCAGACGGAGGCAAGCAGGAGAGAGCCTGTCCCAAGTCAAACCGGAAAGTAAACCGGACCTGCGATGACATTAAGTGGACAGAGCTCAGCCTGTGGCTCATGAGGCCTTTGGGGCCTTCTCCCTTCGGGGTTCGCCTGAGACTATGGGTTACTCAGGTTTCCAGCTGAGCTCACTGCCATGCTTGGAACTATCTCTCAATGACAGCATTCATCACCGGGCTCCCTGAGTTCTGCCTTTAGCAAAGCAAATAAAATGAGCTCTCAGAGTGGGCTTGGAGGCCAGGGTGGGCCATTGCACACACACAGGAGACGTGCACAGGCCATGCAGAAACTTCCTGGGGCCAGGCTATAGGCACCTGAACTCCAAGGAGTGCACCTGGGGACCCCTCCTCTCGCTGTGACCTCACGCCCTGCCTCTCAGTCCTGAGCCTCAGCTTGGGAGCCTCTGCTAGGTGGCTTCTGCTGGTCCAGGGGAAACCCAAAGGCTCAGGGAGAGAAGCGCAGCAGGAAGACAGGAGTGCTCTCCTCTCCTTCTCAGGAGGAAGGGAAACTGAGTTACACTATAGAGTAGGACCGAGGGCCAGCACAGGAAGTGGGTCATACCCAGTGACACTGACAACAGGCAAGCCAGCTTTCCATCCCATCCCTCATGCCTCCACTAGCTCCAGGGCTCGAGCATGGCATGAAACAGGTGGCTGCTTACCTGGCAACCATCCCCGCTTCCCTATACCTCCAAACCCAGCAGGTTCCCCAACTTCCCCCCAGACACAACATCCCCACTTTAACACTTCTGATCTCTCCCTGCACAACACAGAGAGGTGAGTACCCCTTAGAGAGATGGGGGACCCCGAAGTTGCAGGCTCTAGGGACAGAAGAAAAGCTTCTCCCTTGGGAAATGGGCAGGGAGGTCTCAAGGAAGGGCAAATAAGCTGGACATGGTGGCTCATGTCTATGATTCCCTTCCTAGGGAGGCTGAAACACAAGGATCATGAATTCAAGGCTAACTTGTCAAATAACATCAAAGGGGGCGAACACCCTAAGGCATAAGGGAGGGAAACCCCTCAAAATGCAGGTGACCCCTTATGGGAGGGAAAGGATCTGCAGTGTCTCACATTAAAAAAAATTAAAAAGGGGGGTCCCTTGGAAAAGCAGAGGCATATTGCAGAACTGTGTGGGTCCAACCATAGGAGCATCCCTCAAATGAGGGAACAACCTTGGAAAACCAAAAACACCTCAGTAAACTACAGCACAATTGATTCCCAGGGGACTTCAAAGACCCAGAAACACTTAAAGTAGGATTGACAGCACATTTGTTACCCCAGTACTCTGGAAGGCTGAGGCAGGAAAATCAAGACTTGTTCAGCCTGAACTGAACAACAGACACTGTCTCAAAATAAAAGATAAGAAATTTATTTCAAAAGCTGAAGATCAGTGTGATGGCCCTGGGTTGAATTCCCAGAACCGCCGCCCCCCGCCCCCCACCCCCCACCCCCCACCCCCGCCGCAAAAAAAACATTGAAAAAGTGGGAGTACCCCTCAGAGAAAGACTGGTCCTCAGACAGTCGCGCCAGAAATGTGGAGGCAGTTGGCAAAAAGTAAGGGTTCCATCACACTGGGGACAAAGACCGGGTGGGTGGGGGGCCTCCCTCCAAAAGGATTCTGACAGCAGGAGAGGAACTTGGGAGCAGGCGGCCAGGAATACCAACAGGGATGGAAAAGCACTGAAGAGCCCAGCAGAAAAGGGGGACCTCTTCAGTGGGGGAACCCGGGAGAGGCAGAGTGGTCTCTGAGAGGTCAGAGACTCCTCCAGAAGCTGGATGTAAGGGGATCCCCTTAGAAAGCAGGTGCATCTCCTGAGAGAAGTGGGCCCCCCTCTTCAATGTAGGGGACTCCCAGAGAAGCAGGGAAATGTGAGGGAGCCCCTCAGACAAAAAGTACCCTCTTAGCTAGACCGCAAATTCCAGCTACTCAGGAGGCTGAGGCAGGAGGAGCTCAAGTTCAAACCCAGCCTGGGCAACTTAGTGAGACCCTGTCTGAAAATAAAACTACAAAAGAAAGGGGATGCAGCTCAGTGCCAAGGCGCTGAGTTCAAAACCAAACCAAAACAAAACAGAAAAATAAAAAACCAAAGGGTCCTCTCCTCAGAGCAGGAATCCCCTTGAGGGAGTAGCAAAGCATCTCTGCAAGAGGCCGGGGACCCCAGAACAGGGGCCAAGGTCCCCCAGAGAAACAGGAAGTCCCTCGGAGAAGGGGGCCGGCCCTCAGAGGGCAGGGGCGCCTCTGAAATGAGGAACTCCTGGGCGTATGCTTGTGATTCCGACTGCGGGGGAGGCTGAGGCAGAAGGGTCGCAAGTCCGAGCCTGACCGGGTAAACCCTGCGAGACTCTGTCGCAAAATTAAAAGTTAAATTCAAGAAAAAAGGGGGGGGGGTGTGCTGAGAATGCAGCTCAGTGCAAAGGCCCCAGGCTCCACTCCCCCCCCCCCGTCAAGCAACCAATCAATCAATCAAGTTAGAAACCCGCAAAAATAAAAAAAGGAACGGGGAACTCCCGTCAGATACCCAGGAGGTCTCGGGGGTTCTCAATAGGGTTGCAGCTAGAAATGGGGGCCCCTCAGAGGAGTGGAGGAAAAGAGGTGCCCAGGAAAGGGAGTGCAGGTCCCCTCAGGGCACGTCCCCTCAGGGCAGGTCCCCTCAGCCTTGGGGCCCCTTCAGCCTCGGGGTCCCCTCACTCGCGGGCCCCCACAGAGACCCGGTCGCGGCCGGACGGCGGAAGCTCCAGGAGCCGGGCACCGGAAGCGGGCACCCGCGCGGCGCCGGCCCCTCACTCACCAAGTTGCGCGGCGTCCCGGTCGCCGTCCCCCGGGGCCCCGGGCCGGTCTCGGCGGCGCGGCCGGGTCGGGTCCGGTCGCGTCCCACGGCGGAGGCTCCCTCAGGTGGCGCCCGCGGCGGCGGCGGCGGCGACACGACGACCGAAGACCGACCGACCGACGACGCGGACGACAGGGGTGCGCTTGCGCGCGCCGGGGCGCTGACCCCGGGCGGGAGGAGCTGCCGCGCCGCGCTGGGAGCCACCGCTCGGTCTCGCAGCTCCGTCTCACACTGAAATTGCCCGCTTCGCAGCCCGGCTTCCCTGGTTGCTAGGCAGATTTCGTCTCTCACACTTCCGGGTTGAGGCGCGTCTCACCGAGTGGCGGCGCGGAAGACCAATGAGGATCGATTGGGGATCCCAGGATCCGCACCCCGCAGGGGGTGGGGTCAGTCTCATGACAGACAGCGCCCGGTAACCAGTGAGCGCGCGGGCCGGCTGGCCCTCGGGATCGCGCCGCTGGCTGGAGTGGGCGAAGGGGGCGGGACATAGTGACTGACAGGATATCTGCCAATGGGAGAATGGAGCGGACATACGGACCAGTCAGGGGCCTGAAGAGGCGGGACTCGGGCTTCGGGGCGGGAACTGCATGAGGGTGGGGCCTTGTGGACGCGTCAGTTCTTGACGGTCTCCCTTGGACTCCGCAGGACGTTTCTCTGGGCCGCCCGGCCACTGGGCAGGGGGTTCCCCGCAGTGCACAGCAGGGGCGCCACACCCACAATGCACCGGAGCGGCCGGCTGGCGGGCGTGGCTGCAGGAGGCGCCTGCGAGACAGCCGCGCAGAGAGGGCAGTGGGCCTGGCTCCTGTTGGGCGGCTGCGACCTTTTAGGGGCCCGGGCCGCGGAGACATCGCGGGAGCCTTGCGGGCGTCGCTCTGCTGGGACTCAGAGGCCCTCTTCTCCCGATCGGGGGCATTCAAAGGACTCGAAGGCCATGGAACTATTTGGGGGAGCGTCTGAGGCCACCTGAAGTGCCACTGGGGCCACCATCCTGGCCCTCCCTTGCCGCGTGTCCCCAGCAGCATCTCTTTCTTGTCTGTTTTGTTTTTAATTTTGAGTTTTGTTTTGTTTTGTTTTATTTTGTTTTGTTAACAGGGTCTCACTATATAGTCCAGGTTGGCCTGGAATGCATGGCGATCCTCCTACCTCAGCTTCCAAATTCAGGGATTGCATGCTTGCACCACAAAGGCCTGGCTCAGGTCCCCATCATTTATCTTGTTTTCTTTTGTTGTTGTTGTGTGTTTTGTTTGTGTGTTTGCTGCTGGGACTTGAACTCAGGATCTTGTGCTTGCCAGGCCGGAACCTATGCTGCTGAGCTATGTCGCCAGTTGGTCCCCATAGTTTATGGTGATCATATTTTCCACCCAGCCCATCCCAAGAGTAGAAATGGGGTCTTCAAGCATCCCAGCTTCTTTCTCCAGAGAAGAATTATAGGAGATCGGTGCCCTTCTCAGGGTTTGGTTTTATTTTGTTTTCCTGGTACTAGGAGTCGAACTCACAACCTCAGGCTTGGCAGGCAGGTGCTGTGTCGCTGAGCTGTATCCCCTGGCCCTGTTTGTTTAACACAGGGTTTCACAATATGCCCCAGGCAGTTCTCTAAAATCATAGAGATCCTCCTGCCTCAGCCTCCAGAGTGCTGGAGTGACAGAAATGTCTGGGAAATGTGCTTCCTGCCTCAACTGGTTCCTACACCCTGGCATAGGGAGTGACACCTCTTTTTTGGAAAAAGCTGACAACATAGCCCCACTTCCTACTTTCCAAGGCTTTTTGTGGTTTTGTTTTGTTTTGTTTTGTTTTGGTTTGGTTTTTGGTTTTCTTTGCTTCACACTGAACTACACCCCAGTTCTTTTTTGTCGGGGTACACCTGTAATCCCAGCAGTCAGGAGGCTGAAGCAGAAGGATTGCTTTGAGTTTGAGACCAGTCTATGTAGTGAGGAGACCCTGTCTCAGGTTTTGTTTTGTTTTGTTTTATCGGTACCAGGGATCGAACTTGCAACTGCATGCTTGCAAGGCAGGTGCTTATGCCACTGAGCTAAATCCCCAGCTCCCTAAGTTATTAAGTAATTAATTTTATTTTGAGATAGGGTATCCCTAAGTTGCCAGGCTGGTCTCCAACCCCTATCCTCCTGCCTCAGCCTCCTGAGGAACTGGGATCACAGATGTCCACCACCATGCCTTGCTCCCACATGTTTTATTAGTTTGTGGAATATTTTTTGAAGGGAGGGCTAATTTTCCTTGCAGTTGTGCACTCTTTTCACTCTGTGTGTGTGTGTGTGTGTGTGTGTGTGTGTGTGTGTGTGTTACTGAGGATTGAACCCAGGGCTTTCACACATCCCCAGACTTATTTTGAAGCAATCTTGCTAACTTGCTAAATTCACCCTGACTGGGCTCCAACTCACAATGCTCCTGCCTCAGCCTCCCTCAGTGCAGAGATAAAGGCATGCATCACCGTGTACAGTTTAGTCCCTCCAGATTCTCATTTTCTCCCTAATTTGGGCCTAAGGCAATCTTTTCAGCCCCACAATTTCTACTGCTATTTTCCCAAAACATCCTAGCATCCCACCTGTGCCTGGCCCTGATGAATCTCTGCCCACCATGAACCCTGCTCCTTTGCCAGCAGGCAGCTGCCTCTGTTGGTTCTCCTAGTCTTGCCTGATCTCTGCCCCCCAGGACCTAGCCTTTTCCTTAGCAAGGAACCTGACATGCAAGAATAAAAGGAAAGGAGAAGGCAGTGCTGAGAAAGACCCTCTGCCGGTTGATTGGTTTGTTTGTTTTGAGGTGGGGGTCTTATATAGTACAAGCTGGCCTACTTCCTTATGTAGCCCACGCTGACTTCAAACTTACAGAGATCTTCCATCTCGGGCTGGGGATTTAGCTCAGCAGCATAAGCACCTGCTTTGCAAGCAGGCAGTTGTGAGTTCGATCCCTAGTACCAATTAAAAAAAGAGAGAGAGAAAGATCTTTCATCTCAGCCTTCCAAGCACTGAGATAACAGGTGTGCACCACCATGTCCAGCTAAACCTAAGCAATTTAGCAGGGAGTTGTCTTAAAAATGGGGAGGGGGTATGCTCTGTGCAAAGGCCCAGGGTTTCATCCCTACTATCACAAAAGAAGAAAAAGGTAGGAGTATGTACCCATCATCCCAACAACCTGGGATGCTGAAGCAGGAGGGTTTCTGGGGGTTTAAGGCCAGCTTGGGCTACATAGTGACACCCTGTCTCAATAAAAAGAAAAAAAGGATGGAAATGTAGCTAAATGGTAGAACACTTGCTAATTATGTGCAATTCCTCCTGGCACCACAAAAAAAGAACAATAAAATAAAGAAATGTCATAAAATCCTCAGAATAGCCCAGCGTGGTGGCTCACGCCTGTAATCCCAGCACTCGGGAGGCTGAGGCAGGAGGATCGTTTTGAGTTTGAGAACAGCCTGGGCTACAAAGTGAGTTTAAGGCCAGCCTGAATTGCATAGAGAACCTGACTCAAAAAGACTAAAATAAAATAAAATCCTCAGAGCCTTTTTTTTTTTTGAGACAGAGCCTTGCTATTTTGGCCCAGGCTGCCCTGGAACTTGAGGTGGTCCTCCTGCCTCAGCTTCCCAAGTGCTGGGATCACGGGCATGGACTATCACATCCTACCTGGAGGTAAAGCTTTCTCTTTGGCACAGTGTAGAATGCACTCCAGGCCTGGATACAGGCCTAACAGAGGCCTCAGGCCCCAGTGCAGAGGATGAGGGAAGCCTTGACCCTCAAGTCTACCCAGACAGCTTTGTCCAGGCAGCTTGAAAAGCCAACAAGCTTATCCCGGCCATGTGGTTTCCAGACTGACTCTGTAGATGCCAGGACCTATGAGTCTATTTCACTTTTTTTATTTCAAGAGGACACTGAGAATTTCTTTGATTTTCTTTCTGGGCAAAAGGTTGCCTGAGAGCAGCAAGGTTAGTGAGATGAAAGGGTATCTGTGTAGTCTGGAGGCGGAAGCATTAACAGGAATGGGGGAGGGTTGGGGATGGCTCCATGCTAGAGCACAGTTAACATGCATAAGGTCCTGGCTTCAATTCCCAGCACCATAAAAAAAATAAACATTAAAAAAAAAAAAAAAGCCAGGTGTGGTAGCACACACCTAGAATCCTAGCACTCAGGAGACTGAGGCAGGAGGACGCCAGCGGTTGGAACCAGCCTGAGTTACATAGTGAGTTCAAGGCCAGCCTACACTACAAAGACTTCATTCAGCCCACCCCCCTCCTTCAGAAACCCAGACTCCGAGGGAATGAACCAGTGCAGAAGGAGGAGAACCCCCGCCCCGTAGCTCTTCAGTGAAATGGAAAGAGCTGGCCCTGCATCTTTGCCAAGACCCCGGCAGGCTAGGTTTAATCCCTGCGAGTGCAGGCAGGGCTGGTGGACCAGGGAGGTGGCTCCATCCGGGATGTGCCTTCCTCCTCCAAAGAGCCACGATTACATCTTTGTGCCCAGGCGTGTCCTTCCTGGTCTGGGAAATCATGCAGCGGAACTGGCTGAGTGACATTCACATCCAGTGGGGAAATAGGGCAGGGCCAAGCTGCGCCACGGTGGCCAGGGAGGTGGGGCCTCCTTGCTGGCTCCAAAGTGAGGGCTAGGCTGGACCAGCTGGACACTTCCTGTCCCTGTCTTTCCTTAGAAGACCCGGGTGTGGTGGCACACACTTGGAATCTGAGCACTAACGGTGCTGAAACAGGAGGATCGCCATGGTGAGAGTAGCTGGATAGTGACAGCTGCATAGTGACAGCCTGGTGCGCAGTTCAGTGCAGAGGCCCTAGTTTGAGTCCCAGTATATGAAAAAAGAAAAAAAGAAAGAAAAAAGAGAAAGGTCTTGCTATTTTAATACATTATCGGGCCCTGAATTCCTGGGTCAAACAATCCTCCTGCCTCAGCCTCTCAAGTAGCATGGTCAAGGGACCATGAGGCGAGTGCCACCATACTTGGCTCTTTCAAACATTCCTTTACCATCGTTCTTCAAGCTCAAAGTTCCTTGCTAACTGCAATGACTTATTTTCTTGCCTGACTTTTTGGTTTTTGTTCATTTTGTTTTGTTTTCTGAGTCAGTTCATCTGGCCTTGACCTTGCTGGGCCTCAAACTGGAGATCTCTCTGCTTCAGCCTCCTGAGTGCCGGAGTCACAAGCATGCTCCACCTTGTCTGACTTCACTGCCCTCTTGAAGTTGCTTTAAAAAAAAAAAACAAAAAAACAGCAGAGCGGTGGCTCAGGGGAACATTTCCTCCTCAGGGCTGGGCTGCAGGAAGCAGCCTCTGGCTCTGACCCAGGCTGGCCAGCCAGCCTCGTCCTTCCTGCCATGCAGTCTCTGACGCACCCTCTGCTCCCAAGGCTCTGGTTTGCTGCTTTTTTATTGAGATAGGGCTGGCTTTGTAGTTGAGGCTGGCCATGAACTCACTGCAGAGTCCCCCTGCCTCAGCCTCCCAAGTGCTTGTGCCCTTCTCCTGGATGGTTTCCAAAGTACAGATGAGAAAGCTGGGCCAGATTTCCTCCTGGATGCCTGGGGCCAGAGGTCAGGAACTCTTCCTACTGATTGTTGTTTGCTTTGAGGTCTGGGGATCAAACCCAAGGCCACTGCACCCCTAAGCTGCCTCCCTAGGCCTTTTTAGCTTTTATTTTGAGGCAAGGTCTCAGCCTTTCAGGTTGGTTTTGAATTTGTGATCATCCTGCCTCAGCCTCCTAAGTAGCTGAGGTTGCCAGATAGATGCTATCACCACTGCGCCCAGACTCTGATTTTTTTTTTCTCTGAGTACTGGGAATCCAACTCAACCTCACATTTGTCAGGCAGGCGCTTATGCCACTGAGCTAAACCCCAAGCCCCTTGGGATTCACTTTGATTTTTTTGTACACAAACAGAAGTGTGATAGGCACACAGTTCTGCCAGAGTCGTTTAGACCAACAGGCTATGCTGAAAGACAGGGAAAATGGTCTGTCTGTGTCTCTGTCTCTGTCTTGGATTTTTCTTTTCTTTTTTTTTTTTTTGTCTTTTTCCTTATCGGTACCGGGGACCGAACTCATGACTGCCTGTTTGCAAGGCAGGTGTTTATGCCACTGAGCTAAACCCCAAGCCCCTTGGGATTCACTTTGATTTTTTTGTACACAAACAGAAGTATGATAGGCACACAGTTCTGCCGGAGTCGTTTAGACCAACAGGCTATGCTGAAAGACAGGGAAAATGGTCTGTCTGTGTCTCTGTCTCTGTCTTGGATTTTTCTTTTCTTTTCTTTTTTTTTTTTTTTTTTTTTTTTGTCTTTTTCCTTATCGGTACCGGGGACCGAACTCATGACTGCCTGTTTGCAAGGCAGGTGCTTATGCCGCTGAGCTAAATCCCCAGCCCCCATGTCTTGGATTTTTCAGCCAATCTTACTATGTACTGGAGTCTAGCCTTGAACTCGTTGTGTAGCCCGGGCTGACCTTGAACTTCCAGCGATCCTCCTGCCTCAGTCTCCTGAGTGCTGAAATTACAGACCTGTACTGCCTCTCTAACACTTGATAATCATCAGATAAATTTCATTGTAGGTGTGGAGCACCGAGCTCACCCATGACTCAGGACTCTCTGGAAACCTCTGGAATGCTCCTCAGAACAAACCAACCTTCCCCCAGAAAGCAGCACACCATGAAAAGGCCGAGAAGTCTGTTATGGGGTCATCTTCTGGGGAGGAGGAAAAGCTGTGACCTTGAGCTGTAGGCTGCGGAGCAGGGGTGTACTTCCAGCTCCACAGGGTCCCCCACGATACGAGTGGAAATGCTTTGCCGGGCCATGCCACCCACTGTGGTAGAGACTGGGAGCAGGCACTTGTTTCCTCCTCAGGCCAGGCCGCAGTTTGGTGTCCTTGTCTGCCATCCTCTTGCCTCAGCCTCCCCTGCACCTGCAGGCGCTTGGCCCTGGACACACTTCCCCATCCCTGAGCTGGGTTCTGGGATGCAGATATGAGTGGAAGGGACAGAGAAGGACGGTGGCTGCACCCATGGGACACTCCATGCCTCCCTGGGCAGGGGACTCAGTGATCCTCACTGCAGGTGCTAGGGCCCACATGGCAGCCCCCAAATGCCACAGTCAGAAGCATCACCTGGTGTCCTCCACCAGAGTGGCTGCACAAGAAAGGACTAGAGCTTGAAGCCCTGAACTCACTACGTAGCTCCAGATGGCCTCAAAACCAAGGGGATCCTCCTGCCTCAGCCTCCCAAGTGCTGAGATGACAGGGATGTGCCACCACCTGCAGCTAAGATGCCCAGGTCTTGGGAGGACTCTGCCCTCGCCCTTGGAGACCCTGGGCCTTGTGACTGGAGTGGCAAGGCAGGTCACCCTGTGTCACTGCAGAAGACAGAGCCTGGTTATGCTTAAGTCTGGCGATGGTCTGCTGCCCAGCCTTCCCCTGGGCTGGAACTGGCACCTTCTGTGCCTGGTGCCCACTGCCTACAGTTCTGGGACTGCTATGCCCCCTGGTGGCCAAGGTCAGTGCAGGCCCTGGGGCTATGACTAAGGACATCAGAAGGCCATGGGAGATGCACTTCCAGGTCATGGGTCAGTCAAGGCTTCCAGCTGTCCCTGCTTAACCCTTTAGGGTTGAGAACCCCAGATCTGCCGAGTATGATGGCTCACACTTGCAATCCTAGCACTTGGGAGGCTGAGACAGTAGGATCACCCTAGAGTTCAAGGTCAGCATAGGCTACATTGTGAGAACCTGTTTAAAAAACTTTTTTTTTTTTAATTGCGTTCCAGCCCATTGTGGGCAAGTGAGAGCCTGTCTCCAAATCAAAAGAACTGGGAACACAGCTCAGTGTGATAGTCACATATTCCATCCCCAGCACACACACACACAAAGAAAAACTTTACAGCAACTGTGACATTGGAAGTGTTGTGCTTTGTGTCACATGTGTCTCAAGTCTGCTTAGCTATTTCTTGGTCCTTGGAAAGCATCCAGGGGATGGAGGAGGGCACTGAATCCCTGTGAAGTCCATTTTCCTTTCCCAACTAACACCTCGGGCATAGGTCTGGGCTGGAAAAAGAAACCACGAGCCGAGAACAATCCTTGACCCCATCCCAGTGATCCACACTGCATGGAGGAGGGACCTCAAGGTGTCTGCAGCCCTCAGGCCCCATCCCTGCTCGGGAAAGGTGCCCTAGTTAGTCTGCCTCCAGGTTACTGTGACCACCACTGGCCAGTTCCCAGGTCTTGGGAGCGTAGGTGGAGACCATACCTGTCAAGGCTGAGCAGGACCCCTACCTCCACTAAAATGGCTTTGCAACAGGATGTCACTGTGCAGACTGATGATCCTCCTGCCTCAGCTTCCCAGAGTGCTGGGATCATAGGTGAGCACCACAATGCCTGGCTCCCCCCTCCAATTTCTATGTTGAAATTTATCCCCCCCAAAAAGAAATATATTTCATTTCTAATATTGGGGTGGGCCTTAGGAAATGACTAGTCCAGAGGGCAGAGACCTTTATAAAAGAGGCGAGGTGAGGTGTGGTGGCAACTCCTAAATTTCAGCTCCTTGAGAGGCTGAAGCAGGAAGATCTCAAGTCTGAGGTCAACCTGGCTAGTTTAGAGAGACCCTGTCTTAAAAAACAAAGGAAGCGGGGCTGGGGATTTAGCTCAGCGGCATAAGCACCTGCCTTGCAAGCTGGCAGTTGTGGGTTCAATCCCCAGTACCAATAAAAAAGAAAAAAGACAAAAAAAAAAACCCCAAAAAACAAAAACAAAGGAAGCTGGGGATGTGTGCAAAGACCCCAGGTTCAATCCCCAGAACCACAGAAACAAAACAAAAAAGGGCTGGGAAGGAGTTCGGTGCTACAGCATCCTGGGTTTCATCCCCAGTGCGGCCAACAGGAAGACACACAGACACAGAGCCAGCCTTCTGCGCTCCTCTGCCACTCCAAGGACAGAGAAGATACTGTCCAGGAACTAGAAAACAGGGCCTCACACCATCATCCCAGCACTCGAGAGGCTGAGGCAGGAGGGGTACAATGAGTTAGAAGCCAGCCTGGTCTATGCAACTCAACTCTGTCCAACCGTGAAACTGAAAGGCACGGCCCCTGTCGAGGCACTCCGGTTGGGTAGGAGTCCCAAGGCCCAGGACATGGCAGGCCCCTCAGTGTCTGGCTAGGTGGCACCGCGTGGCGCTGGACACCCCTGCTTGCCTCACCAACGTGCCCAGGGCAAGCCCTGGTCTATGGAGGGGATAGCTGAGCTGATGGCATCAGAGCCCCAGAGAGGAGCACCTGAGATGGGCAGGTGCGGTGCCTGTCATCACAGGCGCTCAAATTTGAGGCCAGCCTGGGCTATGTGGTGTGACCCTGTCTCAAGACAAGAGGCATGCAGAGGCCGCCCAGCAGCCTGCAGAAGCACAGGACCTGGCCCACCACTCGCCATGGCTGGACACTGATCCAAAGGGCTTTGCCTAGCCTGCATCCCAGAAACTGGTTCTGTTTCGACACAAGGTCTCACTAAGCTGCTCAGGCTGGGATGCCATCCTGACTCTCCAGCGTCAGCCTCCTGGATGACAGGCATGTGCCATCACACCCAGCTCTTCCAAGGGCTTGAAGGGGTCAGGGCGTGAAGTACCTGCTGGCCCAGGCTTTCTGGGAACGGAGGCCAGAGGTACCTGGGGAGGGCCAAACCTGACAGGATAGCAAAGAGCTGAGCCTCCGCCTGGGCAGGAAGTGAGTTCCACCTAAAGTGCAGCTTAGACAGTGAAACTCCCCACCTGAGACCGTTGGCCTCCACTGGTGACAGCAGGCATGGAGCACAAGGAGGGTTGTGCCCACCCTACCCTTACTTCTCATTTGGAGAGGGCCTCACACAATTGCCCAAGCCAGTCTTGGCTTGAGACCTTCCTGCCTCAGCCTCCTGAACAGCTGGGACACTGGGGCTGCCACACAGGGTCTCGCAGCTGTGCGGGGGGAGGCCACCACCAGGCGCTGCTGAGAGGCAGAGGAGGGGCAGGGGAGAGAGAGAGTCGGGAGCACTGGGTGCCGAAAATGGCTTTAGAGCACACAGGGGAAGCTATACAAATGGGAAGCTGCACAGCGTGGTTACTCAGAAACAGCTTTGTATTTACAATTCATTCCTGATTAAAAGCACCCCCCTGGAGTGGCAGGCTAATAAAATAGTACAAACCATTAAAAGATTCTGCACCCAGCTCAGGGCTGTTGCCCACCTAGGCCTGCCACCCAGGGCCTTGGAGCTCCAGATCTCGATCTCTTGGAGAAGTCTGCTCTGCCGGGCCAGGTCGCTGGGGGAAGCATGTCACTTGTCTGGTGACCCCTAAACTGCACACGCATACTCACTCACGCTCACATAGCACGGGGCAGGGCACACGCATGGGGTGCAGACAGAGCTGAGCCCCAGGCTGGTGTCCCCACGGCTCTACATAGAGTGCTCACAAGCAAAGGTGGAAATAAATAGGCTGGACACATGCCAGACAGTGTGACAGCAAGAACACAGGGCCGGAAAGGACAGGCAGCGGGGGCGCAGAGACACAGGAAGACGGAACCAGGGCCTTGGCTGGGGAACCAGCACCCAGCCCCACTGCTCTGCACTGTGAGGGGGCTGGAGAGGCTCTAGCCAGACAGGGGGGCAGCTGGCTGCCACCCCACGCAGTGCCACTGTCACCAGGCAGTGCCTCCTGATGAGTCCCAGACCAGCCCAACCTGAGCGCTGTTGTCCAGGGCCACTGTCCCTAGAGAATGCAGGTAGCACCACCTTGCTCCTGAGGTGGCTGTGCTATGCTGCTGAACCCTGGGTCCCACGCCTTGAATCCTCACCACGCATGGGCAGGCATGCACCTTTTTGCTAAGTGCTTGCGCCCACACGGTGGTGGTGACTCCAGTCCAGTCCAAGGATTTGGAAGCTGTGGTCAGGCCATCCAGGCCCACCAAGCGGTGTGATGGCAATGTGGCCATGGCCAGGCAGCTGCAGTCCTTCAGAGGGTGGCTCTGGCCATGGCCTGGGACCAGGTCCTTTTTGAGGACGGGACAGCAGAACTGTCTGGCAGGGTTGGGCCGCGGCTCAGAGCAGGCTGGCCAGGCTGGTGTTGGGGCCATTCTGCGCCTGGAACTGCACGGGGGGCGGGCCGTCCGTCCACTGCGGGGAGAACACCAGTGAGCACGTGGCAGGGGACCAGGAGACGAGACAGGGTTCAGGGGACCGCCCGCCCCAGGCCGCACCGTGATGAGGTTGTGCTCAGGGAGGCTGCAGGCCTCGATGTGGTCCTGGAGCAGCTGCTGCGAGAAGTTCTGATGCATCTGGGCTGCCTCGTGTGCATCAATGGCATTGCCACAGGCCTTGTTCAGATCTGAGGGTGGGACGTAGTCACGGCTGGACGGGGACAACACGATCCACACCAACCCTCGGCCCCCATGCCCACCCTGAAGGGTCTTGTCCCCACTGGCCTGTTTTACCATCTGCACTGGAAGTGGCTGCTGCCACACTGGCCAGCCCCCAGGACACCCAGCTAGTCCACTCCAGCTGGGACAACTGTGTCCCAAGGGGAAGTGGCTGAGGATGAGACCCAGGGCCTAGCCTCAGCCTTCAGGCTACTGTGGGCCACAGGCGATGGGACAGGTCCCTGGAACTGTGCCCTTCCCGGTCCTAGAGGCCCAGGAAGATAAAGCTAGCCATGCCAGCAGCCCCGCTCCAGGTGGACGTGGCCTGCACACACCTCTGAGCAGGGCCGACGACCAGAGCTGCACCGACATGTCAGGGATCTTGCTGGCCAGCTGCATGGCGGGGACCACCATGTTGTTACTCTCCTGCAAGCCAGAGAGGCAGGCGCTGAAGGGTGGTAAGTGGCCCAGCAAGCTTCCCCAACCACACAACCCGCTGTGAGGGTCTGCTCTAGACACATGCCTGTCCTGGCTGTACTTGGGAGGCTGAGGCAGGAGGATCACAGTGAGTCCTGGCTAGCTTGGGCTACAAAGTGAGCTCAAGGCTAGCCTTGGCTACAAAGTGAGGTCAAGATCAGCCTGTACCATAGAGGAGAACCTGTCTCAAACAAAAACAAAACAGAAATGACAACCTCTAACCAAGCAACCACACACAAAAGGCCCTCCCCGAAGTGCTGCCTGTCCGAGTGGAAAAGGCAAAGGGATGTTCTACACATGCCCCACCTCAGCCCGCACAGTCAGTGAGGCAAGGCTCTGCTTTCCACTGCTGCAGGCTCTAATCCAGCCTCGGGCCTGTCAGAAACTGTATCTTGGACATGGGTTGAGTGGGCAGGGTGTGGGAAGAGGCCACCTCTGCAAGCTGGCTTTCTGGAGGACCCTGCAAACTGCTACAGACCTGGGGCCAGCTCTGTGCTAGGGCTGCGGTGAGTGACAACCAGTTGTGCCACTGCTGCTCGGCCAGGAGAGGGCCCAGGCCACAGCTCCCTGCAGCCAGGACCACCAAGTAACTCAGACCCACAGACCCTCAAACACCAAGCCAGGGTACGGGGCAAGGGCAGTACCTGCCCAGCCAAGCTGCATACAGCTTCATCATGGTGGGACCCCAAGGGTCCCAGGCTTCATTTGAGCCTTAAAGCTTAGGCCACTCAGCAGGCCAGAAGGGCTGCTCCACCATGAGGCTTCTGACAACACAGGACCCCCAGGTCCATGGGCCAACTCCCCTGATGGCCTAGGAGGGACCGCAGCCCTGAAGGTCTATAGACCTGTCTCATGGGTGTGAGATGAGTGTAGTCCCTGCTGGCCACGCTGGCTGGCCCTCTGCCAGAATCCACTGGGCTGGTTCCTCCCTAGGCCCCTGACCCCACAGGCAGGCAGGTGGTGGGCAGCAGTGGTCTCCCCTGAGCTCTGGGGCTCCACCTGGGGGAGCCGGGTTCTGGCACTATGAGACCAGAGCCCTCCCCAGTGAGCAGGGTCATCTAGCCAGTCCCCAGAGCTGTGCAGGTGACACGGAGGCCCCACATGGCCGCATGCAGAAGCCCAGGGCGGGGAGGGCATCCTAGGAGCAAAGTACCCTCCTGTCCCCCAGGTGGGGACAACCATCAGGGCCAAGCTGGGAAGCCTCGCCACACAGTGCAGGTGGGGGACATGCCAGGCCTCTTGGGGCTTGAGCATGAAAACCACAGCCTGGGACTGTGGCACAGCAGGTAACTATCCTGCCCTCAGGGCCATCACCAACTACCAAGCACTTAAGATGCACACTGTGTGCCACCTGCAGTGGTATCTGCCTGAGGCTCAGAACTCCTGGAAGCTGAGGCAGGAAGAGTACAAGTTCAAGCCCATGATGGCCCAGATTTCAACACAGCAAAAACAATACCCCAGGGGAAAACAACGCACTGCAATTAAAATGAAACGAAGAGCTCCTGGTGCAGCGCAGGTCTAAGCCCTCTGAGGGGCCAGCAAGGACTGTGGCCTGGAAAGCAGCCTTCCACTCTCCCTTTGGTGGCCCTGGGGATCGAACTCAGAGCCACACCCCAACACTTTCTCTATTTTGTGATAAGGTCTTGCTAGTTGGCTTCGAATGTGTGATCCTCTTGCCTCAGCCTCCTGTGTTGCTGGGAATAGAAAGCACCACCAAGCCTGGTGAAAATTATCTTTAAAAAAGCTGATTTTTAAACTACACCAATTTGGTACCCCACTGGCCTGGAGCCCAGGCCTTTCGGCCCGGCTCTCACCCTGTGGTTGCCCAGCACGTAGAAGATGTGGCCCAAGAGCACAAGGGAGCAGGCAGTGAGCCGGTTCAGGTCCTCTGCGTTGGACATCTTCAGCGTCTCCCGCAGGAACCGCCTATGGGGACAAGACATGGAGGCCCGAGGCTGTGGACAGGGATGGGACAGCCCTACCTAGGGGAGAGGGAGCCCTCCCTGGGAGCCACCCACCCACCCATGCCCCTGCAGGCTCACTTGGCCTCATTGTATCGGCCCTGGAAGAAGGAGAAGAGGCCACGCACATAGAAGGCGGCGGCACGCAGGCAGTGTGAGCTGTGGGAAGAGCGGGAGAGTGGGCGTCACCCTCACTGGCAGGACAGACCTGTACGCAAGGTGCCTGCATGGGCCGCACAGCTCACCTGACAGGGAAGCTGTGGTCCGGGTTGATCCGTTCCAGTAGGCTGTATAGCTGCGGGGAGAAGGCCAGTCAGGGCCGCACCCTGCCTACAAGGGGTGCAGACACAGGGGACCCGGATGGGGTGCCCACAGGCTTTAGCAGACCCGGTTGGCAAGGTGGTGCAGGGCTCCTGGGGGACCCCGGTCCCTGCCAGCTGCTCCTGGCACACAGCTCATCTGGACCGCCCAGCACCCAGCCCAGCCCAGGCCCAGCCGAGGACAAAGGATACCGAACGTGAAGCATGTCACCTACTACCTCTTGGTGCCTATTTCCTTCCCGGATATACACACTCGCCAGGTTTGTCACGATGAAGGCCCACAACTCCTGATGGTTGGTGAGCTGCAAGGGAGTTGGGCGTCAGGCCGGCTGGGTGTTCCCAGCCAGGTCAACCTCATGCCTGCCAGGTGCAGCCCAAGGCTACTCCCGCCTCCCTGGGTGTGTGCGGCTAGATGGAAGTGCGGGGGACCTGGGTGGGGCCACAGAGGAAAGTGTGGGGGACAGGGCACCCAGCTATGGACTGGGCACGCACGTGGCAAGCCACAGGGCCCAGGGCAAGGCCATTGGGAGCCTCCCTCCTTGGCCTCAGCACATAGCAGGAGCAGCCAGGGCCAAGGCAGGGTTTCTGTGGCAGGAGTACAGCACCCAGCCCTAGCTCCAAGGTTTCTACCAAGCACTCCTGGGGGGAAGCAGTCACAGACTCCTTCCAGGGAGGGCACTGGGGCAGAGGTGGGCAACCACTCCATGTCAGCCAGAAGTGGGCAGAGCTGGGGCTGGGCCTGGCCTGGGTCTCACTGTGCCTTGTGGTGCCAGGCAAGATGCCAACAGCCTTAGATGCAGCTTCCCCAGAGCCAGGCACCCTCCTCTGCCCACCCACCTGGATGGAGCCGATGCTGGCCAGCAGCCCCATCCCAGGGCCCAGCCACTAGCCCATACGTAGGGCACAGCTTCAAGGCAGCCTGGGACCTGGTGTGACCCTAGCTGTCACCAGGCCAGGAGGCACCAAGGACACCAGGCACGGCATGGGGTCCCCGAAGCTGCCCCTAGGAGCGCACACCAGCCAGAACGCCCTGGCCCCAGCCAACCCTGGCTCTGCACGGCTCACTCAGCACCATCCTTGTCACAGCCGGTGCCTGGGAGGAGGTGACGGAGCCGTACCCGCAGAGCTGTGGTGAACTGGGCTTCCGCATTGTCCATGCAGTTGACAGAGACGCAGTACAGGCCCTGGTGGGGAGGAGCTATTAGAACATCCTGGGGATCTCGAATCAGGGCCACATGCAGCTACACCCAGTGGCCATGACACCTGAGCACTAACTCACTCCTGACTCCCAGGCCTAAGGAGACATGGGACCCCAGCCCATAGGGAACGCTTAGATCTCGGGTGACAGGGCCCTCCCAGGATGCTCTGGCCCTATGGGGTGAGTGACAGGGTCCTCAAGGCCAGGGTGAGCTCACCAGCAGGGTATGCAGCTGTGCGGCATGGTTGGAGAAGAGCCGGGGGGACTGCTGGCACAGCTGGCAGACCTGAGAGATCTGTGGGGAGAGCAGTGCCCGGTGACAGGGAACCTGGACCCACTCTGGAGGGCCTCACCATGGTGGAGCTCTCACAATGCTACCCAGAGCAGGACCAGATCCTGGGACACATCCAGCCAAGAGGCAGAGCTACCCCCTCTCTGTCATGTGTCCTTCCTGGGTGACCAGCTGGGATAGACAGGCAGACACTGGGTCTTTGCATCAGACCCAAACTGTCACAGCAGGCAGGATCAGGAGCCACCAGATGACAGTAAGATGACACCACAGGATGCCTTTGTCTAAGGCTCTGGAACCCACCTCCTCCAGCCAGCAGCAAGGGCCTTCTAACTGCCTACCTCCTGCAGTGCGGTGGCCTTGTGGCCTGTGACGAGCCGGCACATGATGATGTGCTCCAGCAGGATCACTTGGAAGGACGACAGGATGGGGCTGCAGTCCAGCACTGTGGGCAGGAGTGGGCATGAGCAGGCACACATGTGGAGCCTGATGGCCAGCTGTTGTCCACCAGCCCCAAGGTGAGGGCACCGGCAGCCAGAGCTTGCAGGGGAGGAGGGCCGGGGTGGTCTGCGGCTCTGCAGAGGCCTGCGCTTAGCACATACAGTGAGTCTGACTTCCGCTCCCACCATCCCAGTGCCCTGAGGCAGCTTGTGGCCAGGGTAAGTCTGCAGTCCCAGCGACTCAGAGAGCTGACATAGGACAGTTGCTTAAATTCAGGAATCTAGGCTGGTCAGGGGTACACAGAGATCCTGGCATGCAGAAACAGAATTCTTTTTATCGGTACCAGGGATCGAACTCACGACTGCCTGTTTGCAAGGCAGGCGCTTATGCTGCTGAGCTAAATCCCCAGCCCCTATCAGAAACAGAATTCTTTGAAGGCATATTTTTTGCCAACTTCCTGCCAAAGTGTTCCAGGAGCGTTGTGCACACAGGAGCTCCAGAAGTGCTAGAGCTGCCTGGGGACACAGCTGTCCTCATGCAGGATGCAGGCATGCTGGCCAAAGCAGGGGTACAGCTCCCCAAGGCTCTGCTGACAGCTCCTGCAGGAGCACAGGGCGTACAGGGAGCAGACACACACCTCCAGGGATGCGGAGCAGGCCCACCCACGACAGCAGTCTTTTCTCAGCACCCATGGCCCCAAAGAACCTGCCCTGCAGCCAGGGAAGAGGCCTCTTTCTCAGACTTGACCTAGCAGGTTGCTCAGGCTGGGCACAAACTCAGGGCTCTTCCTGGCTCAGCCTCCTAGGTGTTGAGATAAAGCGGTGTACAACAGTCCCCAGCTTTGCTAAGAGCTGAGTTCTGCTGCCAGTCTCACCCTGGGAGCATCCACAGCACACTGGTTAGAGTTGGCAAAAGCAGCCACCCACTGGTTATACACTGTCGAAGGTCCCGGCCATTGGCCCCCACCTGCCCTGCTCTCACAGGGATCCAAGCAGCCACCACCCACTAGAGAGTGCCGGGAGCGCACGAACACTCACTCTTGAGCTTCTCCAGCTGCATGAGGGCCTTGTCCGTGTACTTCTGTGCCTTTTCCAGGTAGCCCGCCTGCATGGAGTGCATCACGGTCACCTGGCAAAGAGCAGGTGAGTCAGCTCAGCATGGCCCACTCGGCGCCCAGGCCCGGCCACAGGGACTCACCAGGTAGACGAGCACGCACATGTGCTCTTTGGGCAGCCAGTGGAAAAGGTCGGCCGGGTTGCTGGGCAGGATCTCATCATCGTGCAGCGTGGAGATGGTCTGGATGCACTGTTGTAGCTGCTTTAGGCATGGCTTCACACTCTTCACCTGCACACAGGCCTGCCTGAGTGCCCACTCGCCCCCAGGATGGGGCCCAGGCCCTGACCCACCCCCCCATGCCAGAGGGCCTGAGGGGATCTTGGCTCCCACTCCCAGTCTAGTGCGTACCCAGATGCTTCTGAAGCAGGGCAATGGTGTGCTGGGGAGGTGGGCGTGGTCGAACGAGGAAGCCGGGCCTGCAATGGCAGGGGGACAGCCCCATGCTACCCGCACCTGGCCCGCCTCTGCTCCTGTTGCCCGTACTAGGCACCACGCACCTGGCCGGCGTCCAGATAGTGCGTGACCTGGAGCACCAGGAAGAAGACACGCAGGGACTCCTTCTGGATGGGGTTCCCCTGCCAATTCTCCACGATCTGCCCACACAGCGTCAGCAGTGGGTGTACCTCCTGCAGCTTGCGCTCCATAAGCAGCAGCTGGGCGGGTGGGCACGGGGCTCCACTGAGCACATCCAAGGGCCAGGGCCCCACCCCTACCCAGCATGCTCTGGAGGTGCCTGCTGTGTAAGGGGTAGGGATCCCCATCACCATCTCCCCACTGTCACTTACCATGCCCTTGCTGAGCAGGAACAGTGCCCTGGAAAGATGGACAAGAGTCAGGCTGGCAGCCTCTGGGGTACCTGGCTACCCTAGCACCTGGGACCTGCTGGGCAGGGGGTACAGCCGGCAGGTGATGATCCACAGGCCCTGGCGAGGACACCACCTTTACAGGTCTACCACTTGCCCTATTCGGCCTGCTCTTCCCCTGCAGCATGGCTTAGACACAACAGCTGTCCTGGCCCTCTGCACAGGGCAGAGGGGAGCACACTGAGTGCTGCCTCAGGGTGAGGGGATAAACTCAGGAAGGCCCTGGATACTACCCTGGACTGCCCTCAGGAGGCTGCTCTTCCTCTGTGCTTCCCAGTGGGCACTGGGCCAGTGGTCTGGGCAGGGACCTGACAGGGGAGGCGTGGGGAGCCCTTCACAGCAGGTCCCCAGCCGTGACTGTGAGGCCCACAATCCTCCACTAAGGCTGAGCCCCGCTCCCCACCAAGCAGGCCCAGGCAGCAGGGCCACACAATGTCACGGACTGCCACATCCACAGACACCCTCATCTCAGGGGGCCCCATGCTGTGGGGAGGCAGCTCTGAGCCTGGGGACCACAGACGTCACAGGCCAGGGCCCCAGGACACCGGCCCACATGCATGAGGGCATGCACGCTCTGGGATCATTTCTGGAAGCCCAGCCTTCAGGCTTTGTAATCGTACCCATTGCCCTGCTGTTAGCCTGTCCTCATAGAGCAGGCGGCACTGGTCGCAAGCCAGGCTAGGGATGGGGCTGACAGTGTGACAGCAATCACCTTAGGACGGGGTGGTCAAAGGCCCACTCTGCCCACCCAAGGGACATCCCAGGGCCAGGACAGCATGTGGGGCTGCATGGGGCCAGCAGCCCTAGAAGTCACAGAGGTGTCCAACCTCTGGTCTGCTTTTTTTTTTTTAAAACACCAAAAAGGCAGCTTTATACCTTACACATATAAACTACAGTGATATTTCACATGGGCCAGGACAATTCCTCTTTCCTTAATGCAGCCCAGCAGGGCAAAAGTCTGGTGAGCTTTGGAGGCCAGGAAGTCCCCATAGAGACCATCCCGAGCCCAGGCATGCTGCTCTGCTGAGGGATGCTCTCAGTGGGAACAGAGTGGGACAGGCCTTCACTGAAGATGCCCAACCACACCTTTAACCTTGAGCCCCAGGTACTACCAGCCTGTGCCCACTTGGGACACCAATGCCAGCTCACTGTCTTCTGCTCCCCACCTAGTGGCCCTGCATGGGACAGAGTGACATGCCACCAAGGAGGGTAGCAGCCGACGAGCCCCAAAGGTGCCTCCATGACATGAGACAAGCTGCAGAGACGCTGGCATTGCTCAGCTAGCTGAGCCAGCAGGGCAGGCCTCACCGTGCCTTTAGCCTACATGGCTGGGGCAACAGCATGGGCACTTTGGCATATGACAAGGCCATTCCCGTGGGGGGGGGGCAGGGGAAGATACTCCCATCCTGCCCACTTCAAGAGCTGCAGCAGGCGCACCTACCGTGTGTACTCGGACCCCACCACCCTGGCGTACTCAGCCCCCACGCCAAGGAGGTCGCAGGCCGACACCAGGTCCTTCTCGAGTGTGTGCAGCTGCTGCAAAGGAGAAGCAGATGCTGTTACCGCCACTTGAGGCTGAATCACAGGACCTGTCCCCCACTGGCCGCCAGAAATGCCTTGCACAGGCCCAGATGAACCGGCTCAGGGCTGGGCACGTCTAATCAAGCACATAGCCCAGCAGCCAATGTGCGTGGCCCCTGGTGACAGCACCGGGAAGTGCTCCTCTAAGTACTTCCTGGGTCACCTGCGGGGTGCCCTTCAAATTAGGGGGGCATCCCTGGTGTGCTGCAGGGCTTCCCGCTAAGCGTATAGTAGAATTTCAAACCCGGAAGCCTGAACAGAGATGTGCGCCTGCGCAGCTGGGGGAGAACACCTTCCTAGGCCCTCAGTCTCCATCTCAGGGTCCCCAAGCACCACATGATGTACAGATTGTGACTGCCTGGCCGCTGCTGCCCCTGCCAGCAGGCATGCGTGTGGGGCCTGGCCTGGAGGCCCCCCCAGGACAGGGACTGCCCTGGGCACTTCTGGCCCTGGCAGGTGACAAGGCTGTGAGTGCACGAGGTGGTCAGAGGAAAGCTGGGCCAGGACCAGGCACATGTGCTAAAGAAGGGAAGTGAGGGAGCTGGAGCTGGGGATTTAGCTCAGCAGCATAAGCACCTGCCTTGCAAGCAGGCGGTTGTGAGTTCGATCCCCGGTACTGATAAAATAAAAAAAAAAAAAGAAAGAAAGAAAGAAAGAAAGAAGGGATGTGAGGGTGTCCGTCCCCAGTGAGGGACATGCAGACACCGCAGCCCAATCTCTGACCTGCAGCTCAGGGCCGAGAACCTCCATGCGGTCTGGCTGTGTCTTGTGGGTGGCACCCCGGAGCCTTTGCAGCTCTCCGGGAACTCAGGGGGCCTTCTGGAAGGGATGTACTGAGTCCAATGCTTAGGGGACAAAGGATCACTAGGACGGTGGGGGACCTAAGGTGCCCAAGGAGACCAGCACCCCCACATCAGCCTTGCGTGAGGCACTTCTGAGAGCAAGGCTGGGCTGAGAGTGAAGCTGGGGACGGCTGGCAGGCTGAAGGAGGATCCCATGTCCCCACCCGCTCCACATGGCCACTGCTGCCCCCAGGCCTCACCGCGAGCTGGAAGAGCAGGCGGCAGTGCCAATACGGTGTCTGCTGTGAGATCTGGATGGCCTTCCGCAGCAATGGCTTCGCAGTATCCACGGAGTTCTGGAAGGAAATGGTCCCGCAGGGGTGGGTGCCACAGTCAGGGCCTCCTTGCCCACCATGGGCATTTTGGGGTTGCCCGTTTATTAAAAAAAAAAGCACTTTGCCAGGCCCAAGGGCCAAGAGGTTGGGCACCACTCTGCAGAGAACTCCTCTTTCCACTGAACTGAAAGCGGCTGCAGCTGTGACTCCCACAGGCCTGTGAACGCTGGCACCCGCTGTCTAGAGCGAGGGGCAGAACACAGGCCATGGGCACTCAGCCACTTGGAGAGCCCTTTCCTGTGGCAGGGAGGCTGGAACGTGCTCAGGAGCCCACTGGCACACATGCTTCATTGCGGAGTTATACTCTGAGCTGCTTTTTTCTTTCTTTTCTTTCCTTATTTTGTCTTCTTCAGCTGCCTCAGCCTCCCAAGTGCTGGGATTACAGGTGTGTGCCATCACGCCCTTCCTCATTTGAGACAGGGTCTCACTAATTTGCCCAGGCTACCCTCAAACTTGTGACCCTCCTCCCTCAGCCTCTTGCTGAGTAGCTGGACACACGCATGTACCCCAGTGCCCAGCCACAGATTTCCATTCAAAAGCAGGGAAAACAATGCTCAGCTGCAGCAGAGATTGGAACCAGCAGAACTAGCAGAAGTGGGCAAACTTGCACAGACATCCTATGCTGCTCTTAGCCCAGTGCAGAAAAAGGGCTCAACGGCCCTGCCGACAAGGAACACCCATGAGAACCCCTCAAGCCCTTGGCTTCTGCACCCGCAGGGTGGTTGATGACCACGGTCAAACCTACTGAGGGCCAGGCCATAACCTGAGGGCCTTCACACGTACAAGGCCTGGGTTCAACCCCCAGCGCTGCCATAGAGAAAACAGAAAGTATTGTTTTCTTTCCATCTCCAGTGCCCAGACAACAGAGCGTAAAACCATTGACTGTGTCACCGAGAGAGGCAGCTGCAGCTGCACGGGCAGAGCACTAGCCCAGCGCATCCAACACACCCAGCCCTGCAGAAATTCAGCAAATAATGAATAACGGTGACAGTGAGGCAAGAGGCAGGTACCCGTGTGACCCCATGCATTTCACAAAATGGCTTTGGTAACCAAAAGGAGTTCTGTGATGAATTTCTTAGGACTAAAGAGGGAGCCCTTTGGTCAGAAATACTCAGGGCTGGGCGGGAAGGCGGCTGGTAGAGAGAGAAGCTGAGCTCACAGGCCCCGACCAGCCAAAGACAGGTGGTGTTTCAGCCCTTGCAAGCCCAGGATTTCTTCTTGGCTTTGAGACAGGGTCTTGGTATGCAGTTTGGGCTGGCCTGGAACTCACTATGTAGCCCAGGATGGCCTGAAATTTGCAGCAATCCTCCTGCCTCAGCCTTCTGAGTGCTGGGATGACAGGTGCACCACTGTACCAGCAGAAGCCCTGTAATCAGGACCCCTGGTCTGTGCTTACCTCCTGACAGTAGAGTTCAGACAGCAGGCTCGCCGCTTCAAACTTGACATCTTCAAACTGTGGGATCTGGGGGCATCAGGTTAGGGAAGAACACACTGCAAGGTGGTCAGCTGAGGGGTGTAGCTCAAAGGGCCGTCCACGCCTGACCCCATGTCCTCTGCCCCCACAGCCCTTCTTTGCAGCAGGCTGGGCACAAGGGTACAGGAAGAAGAGACTGCTGCACTGGGTGCGCACTTCCACCCCAAAGACCTGGCACAGGTTGGGGCATGGTGCAGCCTCAGGCTCCACCTCCCAACCTCCTCTGCATCATGGAACAAACAAAAAGCAGGGTTCTCAGCCACGAAAGGATACCTGCTGCGATATCAGCCACTGAAAGAGAAGGGAAGGAAGTTCAATTCCAGGCACTCGGCACCTGCCTGTGGCACCAGGCCTCGACCCTCCCAGCTGTGGCCCCAATGGACACAGATAGGGAGGCTGGAGGGGGTGACCTGGAGCCCCGACTGCCCAACGGTCTTCAGGGTGGTGAACAGTGGCACTAAGCACGGGACTAAAACAAGAGGCTGTATTTTGGGGAGCAGGGACCAGGGACCCACAGCACAGAACTCCTGTCTGGGTCTGGTGATGTGGGGTGGTACCAACTGCCTCTACAGCACCAAAAGGTGAGAGCAGGAAGTGAGGGTTGGCCCCGCAGGCCAGGGCACAGGGTACAAGGCCCCTGTGTCCCTTTTCACTCCTGTGCTTGGGTCTTGGTGTGCCGTCTCAACGAGACCCAAAAAGTGTAAGCACGGAGGGTATGCTGGTGCACACCTGCTATCCTAGCACTTGGTAAGCTAAAGCAGGAGGATTGTTGTGAATTGAAGGCCAGCCTGAGTGCGCACAAATTGCTGCAGCTCACCTTGGACCAGCCCCCAAAGGCCTGTGTATAATGGCCTGTCCCCAGCCCCTTAGGGAGGTAGTGCAGGCTTTCAGGGCAGTAGCCCTGTGAAAGGAAGTTAGGTCACTGGAGGCAGAGCTGTGAAGGGGACACTGGGCCCCTTTCTTGCTGCCCAGCCCCCAGCAAGATGTATGGCCTCATCACAGCCTCAGGCAAAGGCCAAGCTGTGACACTTGAGACCAAAACCTGGAGCAGACCAGCCCCTTCCTCACCTGCCAGTGAGCACAGCTGTCATGTGCACGCTGACAACAGACCACAAAAGCAGCTTAGGGACATGAGGGTCACCTTAGACCATTGGGTGCCACCAAGGTGGAAGGGCCCTCTTCTGTATCCCTGGTGCCCATAGGACACAGGCCAGGGCCAGGGCCACCTCACAACTCCAGGCTGGCCGGGCACTCCTCCACTCGGGGGCCTAGTGGCTCCATGCAGAGCAGACCTGGCCTCCACAGGGTCCCACACTGAGAGCCAGCCTGCAGCCTTCGCAGGACAGGCACTTGACCACTGGCAGCCACAGAACCAGAGGGCAGAGGCAATGGCCTTCCTGCTGCAGATTGGCCTTGCTCTCTGAGCCAAGAAGCATGACCATCCTCAAGAAGCAGCCCAGGCCAAGGTGGCTGGATCGCCAAGGGCTGGAGGCCAGCCTGCACTACTAAGTGCAGCTCTGGCTCAGAAAAACAAAACCAAAATCAAAAAAAGGAAACAAGAAATATAAGTAACACGAAACCTCCAACCAGCTGCTTTGCCCCAAATGCAGAGGATATCAGTGTAGGCACTGGCAGTCAGTTCAATCTGGATTTCAGATTGAGAACATCTAAAATCTACGGTCCACTGTCCAGGCCCAGAGACAAACAGGGCCCTGTGCTCGTGGTGGGCTGGGGGTTCTGGGCCGGGCAGGCCCCTAGGGTACGCCAGCCTGGGGCCCACCCTAGCACAGCGAGGGAACTTAGGGCGGGAGGCCCTGACATTCCCACATGTTCTAAGGGTACAATGGCAAATGCACACATCTAAAGGGAGGTGTCTGCTTGATGAGACAGATGCCAGGGTGCTGTGTGACAAGAGGAACGGGAACAGCACATGGAGAAGAAAAAGAAGCGAGGGGAGCAAGAGGTGGGGAGTGCAACACGGAATGAGGTCTGGCAGGGTCTGCAGAAAGGGCACAGAGAGTCCTGAGGACAGTGACCCTTTCCTACCATGGACAGCTCGCCCAAGGCTCTCAGAGCACCCAAGGATCCTGACACCTGACCCATGCCTCTGCCAGCACTGGCACCCAGGAGGGACGGCCTCAGGGTTGCTCATGAGCAACCGGAAAGCACACAGCTAGGCAGGAGGCGCACTTGGGACCCCAGCCCGCCGGGAGACCGAGAGAGGGTGGCCAGTTTGAGTGAAGCTTGAGTAAAGTCCCATCTTGGAACTTCAGAGGGGAGCCAAGACTGTAGCTCCACAAGAAGGCCCCATGTTTGGCCCCGAAGCCCTTTAAGAGGCTGAGGCAAGAGGACCACAAGTTCATGCCCAGCCCGGGTAATTCAGCAAGGCTCTGTTTTCAAATTTAACAGCATGCTGGGGATGGAGCTCAATTGCCCTGGATTTGATTACCAACACTGCTAATAACATACAACATAACACAAACACACGCAGGCTTTTAGGGGAGGCAGCCAGCTCCCCAGCCAGGTCCACAGAGGCCGGTAGGGGACACGGTGACATAAGGCAGCGAGGAAAGGGCTGACACAGACGGAATTCCTCAAGGGTGACTCCGCCTAGGCTGAACCAGTGACATCTGCAGGAAAGTACATCATGGTCCCTGCTAAGCAGCTTACGCTTACAAGGCCACTGAGGGCGGACACTGACATACAAAGAAAACAGAACAAATGAACTAAAACTTGAGGCTCCTCTTCCCCATGGGGCGCATGTGCCAGGCCTCCCTGGCATCTGAAGCCTGGGGCAGCAGGGACCCCTAGAGGTCCTTTTCCCTATACACACACTAACTAAGCACTCACCCAGGATGGGTGTAACACTGCGCTGTAACAGAGGTTTCCAGAACAAGCCCAATCTCAGTTATCTGGCACCACGCTGTGAGGAGCTGACCTGATGCCTCCATGAGGAGACAAAGCCAGTGAGCAGAACACCACAGTGGCCACACGTAGTTCGTCTCAAGGAGGTCACTGTGCACAGGCAGTACATGCTGTGAATGGCAGGGTACACAGTGTGGATATGTTGCACAGAAGGTGATTCACGCCCCTCTGCAAGGAGCAAAATGTGCAGAGCCCAAAACTTAACCATGGCTTATTTTTGGAATTTTCCACTTAATATTTTTTTTAGATTGAAATTAATTTCAGGTCGGGGCTGGGGATTTAGCTCAGCGGCATAAGCGCCTGCCTTGAAAGCAGGCAGTCGTGAGTTCAATCCCTGGTACCGGTAAAAACGAAAAAGCCAAAAAAAAAAGAAATTAATTTCAGGTAATTTTAGCAAAATCACAGAAAAGGGGAGACTACTGTAGTGCTAATTTCAAAGCCTAATACAAATTTTACTTACTTAGCACTTGTGCCTGCCTAGTGTGGGAGACAACTCCATTGACTCCCACTGAATCCAAAACAATCACTGTGACTTTGATTTCTTGGAGACTCATTTCCTTATACTGATATGTGAAAGGCTGGCTAGGGTATTTCCTTCTGTCTTCAATTGGCTCTGAGCATTGCAAATAAGGATAAGCTGAGGTGCCAATAAGCAAAATCTATAGCCATCAGACAGTCCTGTTTCCTTGCATAGTCTTCTCCACAATACAGGATTGAACATTTGAGATGTTAGAGCAAATAGCTCCAGGAATGTCAACTGGGTAAGAGCCTCAAGATAAGAGGCTATGACTTCCCAAGGCACAAGAGTCTGCATATCAGAAACCGAAACAATAGCCCCCAAAACAATTCCACTGCTACCGTAATTATGTAAATTGATTCGTCTGCATATCTTTATCTCTACAATTTACAGGGATGCCAATCTTGCACCTGGCCAGCCAGCTCAAGTTACTCAGGTAATATCCCCCCATCCTCATTGTCACTCATCTCTGAGCCATCCCCCTTCTTCACAAGATAATAAATTCTGGGAGAGGTCTAGGATAAGGGCCTTTGTTCGCATGTCCTCACAAGGATTGGACTTAGGATCCCTTGGCTGCCTTTAACTTGGAACATGTCTTGATGTTTTTACTCTCACCATGGATTGCATTGGTGGAAGTAGATTGGAACTAACTTGCTAGGATTCCAATGACGTCTCACTGGGATTACAAATATAACCTTTTGGATTGTAAGAAAAACTAGAAAAAGGATTATAATACTTGGATGACTGAACTCTGATATTTGGGTTTACAATACCTAGCAAGCATGAGGTCGTGAGTTCAAACCCTGGTACTACCCCCTCTCAAAAAAAAGAACAGTAGAGAATGATCAAGGAGAAAACAGTCACAAAACCTTGAAAGCCATTTATCTTTTAGAAATATTTCGCTGTTATTACTCTTGGTACCTTGAAAAGAAACAAGAAACTCTGGCTATTTGCTCTTCAGAGCTAGAAACCAGTAGACCCACTCTAAGAGAAGCCCTTATGCCCCCTCTATAGTGGACATCAACCCTAGGGCCTTTGGGTTGAATGCCACCCCAATTTTTTTTTTTTTTTGGTCTTTTTCATTTTTATCGGTACCAGGGATCGAACTCACGACCGCCTGCTAGCAAGGCAGGTGCTTATACCGCTGAGCTAAATCCCCAGCCCCACCACCCCAATTTTTGTCTTTTATTTTGAGGCAGGGTCTTGTTGGGTCCCAAAGTTGCTCAGGCTGGGCTCAAACTTATCATTCTCCTGCCTCAGCCTCTCGAAGTCGGATGCTAGGGTTGAAGACAGGCTCTGCTACTCTTGGATTTTTTTTTTTTAAAGAAAAGGTCTCACTACACTGTCCAGGGTAGCTTCAAACTCCTGGGTTCAAGAAAAATTCTCCTGTTTCAGCTTTCAGAGTAGCTGGGACTACAGAGACATACACATCACTGTGCCTAGCTGTGACTCTTTTTTGAGTGGCTCTGGCAGAGAACAAAAGTTGGTAGCTGCATTCTGAAGAAAATGAACAGTTAGAAAACGAAAAGTTGGCTATGGTGGTACACAGCTGTAATACTAGCTACTCAGGTGGAGGCTGAAACGGGAGGATCACTTGAGTCCACAATTTTGACACTGGTTTGGGCAATACACTGAGAATAAAGAGAAAAAATGAAGCGCTGGGGCTGTAGTTCAGCGCTAGAGCAAGCACTTAGCATGGCCCAGGCCCTAGGTTCATGTTCAAGAAACAAAAGAAAGAATCAAAAAAAAAATTGTTTTTAAATGCAGATTTGGGGTGCAGCATGGTGGTGCATGTCTGTCAGCCCTGCACTCAGGAGGCTGAGGAAGGAGGGCCACCAGGAGTCCAAGGCCATCCTGGGGTACATACTAAAGTCCTATCTCAAAAGAAAGAAGAAAAGAAAATCTGCCTGGTTGCACCAAAGAAAACTATGAACAGCTAAACTTGCAACCAGCATCAGAAACATTGCTTTAGGTGAAATCCAGACAGGGATGTGACTGAGATAGAACTTCTTCGTGTGTCAGGGTGGCCTGAGCCATGACAGGGCAGAGGGGCTGTGACACTGAGCAAAGGTCCTTCACAAGAATGAGGAGTTAAATTACAGGGCAACTTCTGGGCTGACCGCATCTCCACACAAGGCTGAGTGGGCGGCACAGGACACACAGTGACCAGGAAGCATCAGGCACAGTTCAGCTAGCACAGGGTGGCCTGTACTGATGTCACTTTCGAGAATCTGGTACAGAGAGGTGTAGTCTCTAGAGTCCCACGCCCACTGGGGCCCTGGAAAGCTGGGCAACACTGCTGGCCCCTGCCAGCTTGGGGTCTCTGGACCACTGACCTACGCCCTTCATGGGCCCGGGACCCTGCCTGCCTATTCTGGCCCACACCAGGTTGCTTCCGCACACATAGACTCTCGCCACAGTCACGGGGCAGGAGAGCGCCACACAAGGTCTTTTCCCACACATGGCTCGTGAAACACATGGCTCAGCCCCTGGCAGGAACTGAATTAGTATCTGCTGTGCCAGTAAGGAAGAAACGTCACCAGCAGGACAGTTCAGAACCTGGGAAGGGAATGAGGTGACAGTAATGCCAGGGACTGAGTCACATTTGTTCCTAACTCACTGTGTGGCCTTCAGTAAATCACCTCATCTCTCAGGGCCCAGACAACCTCCCTCCTGAAACAAGAAAGTTGATTTTGAGGACCAAAGCTCTCTTGTAACTTTTTATCTTTCTTTCTTTTTTTTTTTCTTTTTGAGACAGGGTTTCACTATGTAGTTTAGGTTGGCCTCTAATTCACTTTGTAGCCCAGGCTGGCCTCAAACTTGAAGCAGGTCCTCTTGCCTTAGCCTCCTGAGGTTTGGGATGACAGGTGTGCACCACCACAACTCGCACTGGTTTGAGACAGGGTCTTGCTGACCTTGAACTCACTATGTAGTCCAGGCTGGCTTCAAACTTACAGAGATCCTCCTGCCTCAGTCTCTACTGAGGCTGGGATGATGGCCATGTGCCACCACATCCCGCTTCTTTCTTTTTTCTTCCCCTTGGTGAAAGTAGAGATTGAACCATGCTAGACAAATGCCCACCACTGGACTATATGCTTGATATTTTTCAAGAAGTTTCTTTAATCGAACTGAAGCTGGAGCTAGGTGTTATGGCACACACCTGTAATCCCAACACTCAGGAGGCTGAAGCAAGACAACCGCTTCAGTTCAAGGCCAGCCTACACCACATAACAAGACCCTGTCTCAAAAAAAAAAAAAAAAAAAGGCAAAAGAAGGTAGGGCCTGACAGGAGCACAGCACTGGGTCTTTGTTGTTGTTTTTCTTTTTCTTTTTACGATAAGGTCTCCATATGCAGCTTGTGCTGGTCTTGGGCTCACTTTATAGCCCAGGTTGGTGTCAAAATCGCAAGGATCCTCCTGCCTCAGCCTCCCAAGTGCTGAGATAACAGGAGTAAGCCATGCTTAAGCAGTGTCATTATAAGATGAAAAAAGCCAAGGTTTGGTGCAGAGGGGCCCTGTGACAGGCACACCTGTCATCCCAACACTCTGAGAGGCTAAGGCAGGAGGATCACAAGTTCGACCTCAGTCGGGGGAACTTAGCCAAGGCCCTGTTTCAAAAGAATAAAACGAGGGCTGGGCTGGGGATGTACCTCAGCCTAAAGGCTGTGCTGTGATCTGCAGTATAACACACACACACACACACACACACACGCACGCACGCACGCACGCACACGCACATACACTGGCACACAGACAGAAGAAACAATTCTACAGCCAAAAAGTTTACTGAAATGCAAAATGACAATCAATTTCCCAGTCTTTGAAGCCTCAAAACGCTACGAGTTAGGCAGAAAGTGGGGGCTCCCGTCAAGAGAATGGAAAAATCACTCCCAGAGAGGGACACAGCAGACACTGCGGGATCCGCCCAATCCCTCTGGGCAACTGGTCCAGAAACCCGGATTCCCAATTCCACCTCCTCACCGTCCGCAAACGCCCAACCTCAAACCCCGCCCCGGCCTGGCCTTCCCTGCCTAACTTCCGGGGTAAGGGGCTCGGGGCCCGCGACGCCCTCCGAGTCTGCGGAGAAGCGGACGTCAGCCACAGGCACGCCAGGCCCGTCACTGTGGCCCTGTCGCTGCCAGAGAGTCGCTGTCACCCCGCCCTCCTCCATCCAGAGTCACCGCAGCCGCGGCCCCGCGCCCCCAGTCGCCAGGCCCTCGACCCTCCCGGCCCGAGCCACCGCGGGCGGACGCGTTCGCGCGGACGCTCGAGTCCCCAGTGCCTAGCGCCACCAACGAGAGGAGCCCTTCCTAGAACTGGGCAGCCAGGGACCCTGCGGACCCTAAGCAGCAGCGACTTTCCGAGTCCCCCGCGGAAGAGGAGGTCCCGCAGCCCTGACGGCCGCCAGAAACGGAAACACACGGAGGGCGCGGCCGGCGGGGCCTGGGGAGAAAGACTCCGCTCCGGCCACACTCGGGACGCCGCGCCCCGACTCCCGCCCGCCCGCCCGGGATCCCGCACGGCGCCTGCGCCACGCCACCGCGGTCCAGCCGCGCTCACCGCCTTCTCCAGGTGGCTCCGAGCCTGCTCGCTGTTCTTGGTGTGGTGGTAGAGCACCGAGCCGAGCTGCAGGTGCGTGCGGGCCTCGATGCGCTGCGGCGGCTTGAAGGGGAATACGGCCTGCAGGCAGTGGACACACAGGCGGATCTTGGGCGGACTGGAAGTGCGGAAGTGCTCGGCAAAGCCCAGGAGTGCCAGGTACCACGACTCGGCCGCCTCGGCCTGCGCTGCCTGGGCCGCAGCAGCTTGGGCCGCTGCCGCCGCTTGAGCCGCCATTTTGGCCTCCACAACAAGAAGCAGCTTCCACAGGGAGGCGGAAGCAGGCGTGCGGGGCGGGGTCGGGCGTCTCTCGGGGCTCTCGCGAGATATGCTGCAAAAGGCATCCTGGGATATGTAGTCAGTATTTAGGGTTGGCTGTGGATAAACAAAGGTAGGAGAGAGGGTAACACACTCCGGATCATCGGAACTGAGGCTTTACATCTCTATCAGACTGAGGCTTGCTTTTTTTTATGGTTCAGACCGCTGGTATTTGGCAGCAGCGGAACGTGCCTGCACGATACGGACTACGTCTCCCATGAGGCCACGCGCACTATAACAGGTTCCCCCAGGTGGTGCCTTAAGCATTGTGGGATTGGATGCGTCTAAAGATGGACAACCGGGATGTTGCAGGTAACAGCCCCCGCATTCCCTCAGGCGCTTGCCTGGATATTTTTTGCTGTATGACGCGTTTTTTGTCTCCTGTGGGTCCTGCTCAGACCCGCAGATTTCTCGCCTCGGCCTCCAGGCAGGACATAGAGACGACTTTTGCACCTCTTTCTTCTGAGACACCAGACCCATCTTGCTAGTCGCTCCCGCCTGGTCCGCTGAAGGCGCCGCGTTTTCCGTCAAGGCTGTCCCGCGGGTCGGCCCCTGTCACTTGCCGAAAAGCCACTTTCAGAGGTGCTCTGAGCTACGACCCCAGATAGGGCAGCAGTCTTGAGCCCGCCTCCTGGACAGGATGCGTTTTAGGGCCATTCTGGGGCTTTTGGTACACACATTGTCAGGGCTTTTGAACCCACTTATCTCCAAGCCTTGCTGTTTGTCCACCCCCCAGAACAGGGTGCATTCATCCAGTTAGTAGGTGTTGTGTACCAGGCACTGTGGTAGGCGCCAGGGATGCAGCGGGTGCAACGCAGGGCCCTCCCATCAAGAAACTAGGGTGTCAGTGCACAGGTACCAGATTAATTACACAGACCTTTGTGTTGATGTGAGGCAAGACTAGGCAGGAAAGACCTCTGTGAGCAGAAGACAGTTGACATGAGGTGATCCCAGCAGCAAGTCCAGTGGAGCAGTCCTCCCCGGAGGCGGGGCAGCCAGCAAGTGCAAAGACCCTGGGGTGGGCTGTGTTATCCCCCTTAAAGGGTGGCACAGGAGTAAAGAAGATAAACAGTTCTAACAAGGCTTGGAAAAACATCTTCCAGAATTTGGATTTTATTCCCAGTCCCACTGGGAACAAAATTTTTGGGAGTCTTCTCCATCTCAGTGGCCAGCCCAGAGACACCATCATCTTTTGTTTGAAGGCCAGACCTCCTTGGTCTCCTCACTGCCCACTACTCTCCAACCACCTCCTCACTGGGGCAAACTTGAAAATAAAAAGACCCATTGGCTCTCGCTGCTAAGCTTATTGCTCACCTGCCACTTCCCCGACATGCAAAGTAAAATCCAGATGCTCACTCTTCCCCTACCACAGCCCTGGAGCAACCTGCTTTATCCATCCCGTGCCCCTGTCCAACCCCAAAAGCAGCAAAAAGGCCTCTTTTGCCCTGGGCTTTCAGCATCTGCTCTGTCCTTTTGCCAGATCCCTCCTTCGGGTTTTCACAATGCTGGCTCCCTTATCCTTCAATTCCAACTTAAGCGTCCCCTTCTGGTGGCTGTTTTCCAACTGTCAAGGCCTCTTCCATTACTCTGATCCACTAGAGTTCTTAATACCATTTGAAGTTATTTGTTTCTTCTGGGGCTGTTGTCCCCAAAGCCCGGGGCGAGCTCTGGATGGGTGAACCCCTTGTCTCCTGCCCAGCACCCACAGGGCAAGCTCGGTAGTGGCTGCTCAGCATTTTTTGACTGCGCGGAGAGCTGGGTGGGAGAATCTGAAAAGATGTCAGTAGCTCGTCCTGGGTATTTGTGGAGCCCAAGTGATTTGTGATCTGCTTTTTCCTCCCCAGGAAAGGCCAACAGGTGGTTTGGGGTTGCTCCTCCCAAATCTGGAAAGATGAACATGAACATCCTTCACCAGGAAGAGCTCATTGCTCAGAAGAAACGGGAAATTGAAGCCAAAATGGAGCAGAAAGCCAAGCAGAATCAGGTGGCCAGCCCTCAGTCCTCACACCCTGGCGAGTGAGTACCTCCCAGTTCTGCGTGCCCTTAACTGGCCTCAGCTCAAGGATGCACAGAATGACGGGTGTGTGGTGGTGTGGGGGACGCCCTGCCTACTCCTGCATCAGCACTTATTTCCCGCCCCCCCAGCTGTGGGGTAGGAGACAGGCAGGCAGCACACAGCAAAAACTGGACTCTGGGCTGGAGTGTGGCTCAGTGGTGGGGCTTGGTGAGGCCCTGACTCCATCCCCATCGATGCAAGGATAAGCAAATGGGGCAGTGTAGACTCCATCTCCACTCTGTGTGGCTTCTAGCAAAGGGGTAGCAGTGTACCTCAGGCTGGAGGGTGGCATGAGTCATTGTCCCCACACACAGCAGCCACCATAGGGCCACCAAGAGGCCTAGGTCAAACCAGGAACAAGTGAGAGTCTGCAAGTGCCATAGGGGTTGTTGCAGAGCAGGATTTTTCTCCCAGCCTGTCCCAGGGGGTGGAACCTGGTGGCCTGGTACGTTCTAAGTGGGCACTCACCATGGAGCCATGGAGCCAGCTCATGCTAAAGGATTTTGAGTGGAGGAATGACATTAAGAATTTCAGGTTTCCAGTCGCTGATTGGAAAGGCAGGCCCCTTCCTCTTGGGTGTGAAGTGAGGGGTGTGTTAATCTACCCGGTTCTGTTTGAGCTTCTGCCTTTTCCAGAGGCCACAGCTCCTCATGAGGGCGGGAATTGGACAGGGCCTGACACCTCTGAGGTGCTTGGCAACATTTGCACTGACTGTTGAGTGACTGCTTGGCCAGCACACCTAGAGTTGGGAAAGGCTCTTCAGGGTTACCTGCCTGAAGGCTGCCGAGAGGCTGGGAACCACAGTCTGAGGATGGGCAACGGTGAGCACATTGGGTGGGTAGGTGTACAGCACAGAAAGCTTTGGAAATAAGGTGGTTTTCCCACTGTGAAAGCCAGACCATCAAAATTTAGGATTTATACCTGAAGAAACCAGGTGTGGTGGCACACAACTGTGATCTTGTTGCTCTAGGAGGCTGAGGCAGGAAGATCCCAAATTTGATCCCTGCCTGAGCAACTTAGCAAAACCCTGCCTCAAAAAAAGAATAGGGGACCAGGTTGTGTTCAGTGGTATATGTGCCTGTCTGGCAAGTGCAAGGTCCTGAGTTCGATTGCCGGTACTGAAAAAAATCTATTTTGCCAGGGACATAGCTCAGCGGCACAGCACCTGCTTGGCAAGCACAAGGTCCTGAGTTTGATTCCCAGTACCAAAAAAGAAAAGGGCTAGGCTAGAGTTGTAACTCAGCACAAAGGTCCTGGGTTCTATCCCCAGTATTGGAAAACAGAGTTAGGGTTGAAATAAGGGTCAGTTTTATATTCTGCTTTTCATCTACTTTTTTAGAAAATGTTTTTATCATGGTATGACTTGAGTACGTGCACAGTAAAATGTATTGTAAGGTAGGGATGCAGGGCTCAGGTGCCAGCCACTCCTCACTCACACTGTCCTCTGGCTTCCAGAGTCGTGAACGCACATAATTCCTGCATCTCCAACAAGTTTGCCAATGACGGCAGCTTCTTGCAGCAGTTTTTGAAGTTACAGAAGGCACAGACCCGCCCCGGTGAGTATAGTCCACCTCGAACCCCAGACACAGCTCGCAGGAAGGGCCAGTTTCCACATCAGAGCCACTGGGCTCCCCCTGAGTTTATCCAGTGCCCTCCTGCCCTTAACCGTGTCTGGCCTGGGCAGCTGTCATACTAAGCAAAGACAGGAAGCCAGAGTCCAGTGGGGGCCACTGGACAATGGGGAATCATCAGCCACTGATGGCACAAGGGGCCACCTGCAGATGGAGTGACAGCACCAGGCTGGCCTCAGGTACCTGGGCTGTGACTGAGGACAGAGGCTTTGGGGTGGCTGGGGCTAGAAAACCCTGATGATTATCACAGGGCTGTGGCATTTACTGAGAGCCTCCTGCATGCCTGGGAATTCAGGCCACCATAGTGTTCCCCTTCCCCCGCCCCCTGGAAATAGAATTCCGCCCCCACCCAGCTCCCGACAGGAATCTGTGAACAGCTCCTCAGACCTAGCATCCTGTCACTCGAACCTTAGTGGCAATGTTGTTTGGCTCCTTGCTTTTCTTTCTCACCCTGTGAGATTCTGTGCTGTGTAGTGTGGACCCACACACCTCTCTCAAGCTTGCACCCCACTTTACACCAGGGGAGCTGCAGCCACTTAGGCCCAGGGGCAGAGTCAGCCTGAATTACAGCCAGAGGGCATGTGCACCGGCCACTTATTCATGATGCTAGCCAGTGAACTCTGGGACACCCTGGCCCTGCCTCCCCATGACCATCCCTGCAGCCGTGGGTCCTTGAGCAGGGGGCTTGGGTCAGAAGAGCCTTCTCCAGGCCTGCCTTCTGCACAGCACCCCAGAGGTCCCCTAGTGCACCCCTCCACCTCCCTGCACAGCAGTAGCTCCACCACAGGCAATGGGACACCACACGTGTCCTGCAGGACAGCAAGGTGCCTGGTGTGAGAGTACCCTGCCCCCTCCCCCATGAGGTACACTTGGCCTGTCTGAGACCTCCTCACTTGGGAAACAGCCAGCCTTTGGGCTTTGCCAGGATTCCCAGTGACCAGCTGAGAGTTCATCCATCGGGGTTGAAATGAGTCACAGAGGAGAGGGACAAGTTGTTTGAGGCCCTTTTCCTCAGGGTCTCAGGCCAGCTCCATCTCTGCAGCCGGTCTGGGGATGCCCCAAGTGGAGCTGGGGGTGTGGGCCAATCCAGAAGGGCTGGCACAGGGTCTGCTCCCCACACAGCCCAGTCTGGGCAACTTTGAGCCTTAGGACCCCCATCTGAAAACCCAGACAGCCTCCCATCTTAACAGCAGGAAGCAGGCCCCACAGCACTGGCGAGGTAGGAGACCGTGCTGCAGACCTGAGGGCACCTTCCTCCTTCTTTCCCCAGATCCGCTCCCCAGCACCCTGACCAGCGCCACTCCTAGTGCCCCTGCCACTAGTGCCAAGAGGCCCCTGCTGCTGAGCAAGCGCACGGGACTGGGGCTGGGCAGCCCCCCGGGCCAGGTGAGGAACTACTCACATGCCAAGCAGCTGCCCGTGGCCCAGCGCCCCAGCGTCTTCCAGGCCCCTGATGAGGACGAGGAAGAGGATTATGAGCAGTGGCTGGAGATCAAAGGTAATGGAGGCCACCACCCACTTCCCCATGCCATTTGCAGTTCCCAGGCCACTGGGCAGAGCAGCTGGCTGGGGTGGGGCCCTCTGGGCATAGTGGAGTGGAGGCGGGCAGCAGGAACTAATGTGCCCACCTTGGGGCAGGCAGCATTGGAGAGGGTGTCCTTGCAACCCTCCTCATCTGACACAGATGGGGGCCACTGTCCTGGCACACATGGTCTGTCCTGCCAGTCTAGGCCAGCGGAATCAGCGTGCAGGCTGAGGTCTCGGTTTTTTCCTGAGGAAAGAATAGCCCTTGGGGACTGCAGAGGGCAGCTGTGCAGCACTGCTGGTGACCCAGCCTGTGTGCATGCCCAATGAGGCACATGGAGGCCTGGGAGCACAGTTCCATCCTGTCCCTCAACAGTGAAGCAGACTGGCAGAAGCCTGCCAGACCCAGCCACCTGTGAGCTGGCAGCTGCTCTGAGGGACACAAGGGCATAGTGAGGCCTGCTACAGTCACCTGCTGCTGTGGCTGCATCTGTTGCTAGAAACAGCGAGAGTCCAGGGTTCTTACTGGGCGCATGGGAGGAGAGCTAGGTGGAGGAAACTCAGGCACAGATCGGCCCTGGGGCCACACAGAGCCCCCCTCAGGCCATGTATGTCCCTGCCCCCCCCCACTCCCCATGAGCTTCCCAGCAGCCTCAGCAACAAAGCAAGTAAGATTTGCTGCAGAAAGCCACAAGGCAGGTGTGGTGGCCTGTACCTGAGATCCCAGCACTTGGGAGGCTAAGGCAGGAGGATTTCTGGGAGGTCAGGCCCAGCCTGGGCTATATAACGAGTTCATATGGACTGCACGGTGAGCCCTGTCTCAAAAAAAAAAAAAAAGTCACTACCGATGGAGCAGCTAGTTCAGTAGCCAGATATCCTAACCAACTGACAAGAGATTTTTCCCCGCGAGTTCCCGGACAGGGATGTGATCTATAGAGGAACTGGCAGATGGCCTCAGGTAGGCCTGCCAGAAATGTGAAAGCAGGTTCCACATGGCTCAGGCTAGGAGGCTAATCCGTGTGTGAAAATGTATCTTTATAGCTGCATCCCCGCCAGGGCCCCAGATAATGGGTAAGCCTGTTACCGCGGCAGCCTAGTGCCCCAAGGTCTGGAGCAGTTTCTCACTGACGGAAGCCAGGACCTCTTACAGAGCTGACTGGCTCTGGGTATGGGCAGGAAGTGTGTGAGGTGACCTCGGAGCTCTCGGGAGCCACCCGGAAGAAGCTCCACCGGCCAGGAGCTCCTGGGAGGACGTTGATGGCAGTGGATTGAACCCCAGCCTGAGGGTCTCACTCAGCACTCGTAACGCTAATTATAAAGGAGCATGTGTCACCTTGGAAGGATGGAAGGGCAGCGATGTGTTAGACTGAAAACTGGCAAAGAAAGCAAAGCGTTAAGCATTTCCCCTCCTCACCACTACCCCCCAAAACCCAGACAAGCAGCGGAGGCCAGCCACGGTTCCGCACGACCCCCCTGCACCCTGGGGACGGACTCAGGCCACCCAAGGCCCTCGCGCCCCTCGCCGACACACTGTGCCTGGACCTGGACTTGGTGACCTCGGCCTGTCACCTCTTCTCCCTGACCCTCTGTCATTGGTCTGTAGCAAGCATGTGCCTTGACTGTGGGGTGTGGGAGTGGAGCCCCAGTACTGACAGCCTCCTTAAAGTTTCACCCCCAGAGGGAGCCGAAACTCGGAAAGTGATAGAGAAACTGGCCCGCTTTGTGGCGGAAGGAGGCCCCGAGTTAGAGAAAGTAGCTATGGAGGACTACAAGGATAACCCCGCATTCACGTGAGTATCCCAGCTGGGGCTGCGCAGTGTCAGGGTGTTTGTATGTGCCCCAGTGACTGGGCTGGGTGCTCAGGTCCCACCCGAGGCCACCAGGGCTCTGCCTGTATCTGCATGGGAGAAGCTACTCCTGCACACAGGGCTGCCAGTCCTGGAGCTCACCTCTGCCCGGTCTCTTCCTTGACAGGTTTTTGCACGATAAGAATAGCAGAGAATTCCTCTACTACAGAAAGAAGGTGGCTGAGATGAAGAAGGCAGCACAGAAGCCGCAGGCAGCCCCCCAGAAAGGTAGGTGGGAGGAGGGGCGGGAGGGCCTGGGAGCACCCAAAGGTACAGTGGAGGCCTCTGCACAAAGCCTTGTGGCCAGGGCAGTGGCAAGGGCACTTGGGGGGCCAGGTTCTGCACATCAGGCCGGAGGTGGGTTGGCCTGTCACTTGAACCAGCGTGAGGGCTCTGAGCACATCCCTGGGCTTGCCAGGGAGGCGGGCGGGGGACAGAGGCCACTGGGAGACTGCTGGGTGAGTTTCGGGAAGCCGGGGGTGCTGGTCAGTCTCCAGCCTGGAGAGTGACCTCAGCCAAATGCTGCAGGGTGGCAGGGCAGGAGCAGGCCTTGAGCTGCGCTCTGCCCACTGAAGAGCGGGCCCCGTGGTAGGCTGACACAGGGTGGGCACTGGGGCTGGGCTCGGGCGCCGTCTTCGCGGACTCCGGTTTGGTCCCAGTGCAGTAACCCGATTCCGTTTGCCTGTTTCTTTTTGTATCGCTCCTAACCCTCGTGGCTGCACTGCCCGTGGGCTCTTAGCAGGCTTAGGCTGTTGGGTGTGGTGAGTTGAGCTCAGTACTGACAGCCTGCTTAAAGTTTCACCCCCAGACGACAAAGAGGTCAAGAACCTCGCAGAAAAGCTGGCCAGGTTCATAGCCGATGGGGGTCCTGAGGTGGAAACTATCGCCCTCCAGAACAACCGAGAGAACCAGGCCTTCAGGTAAAGGGTGTGCTCACCCAGACCCCGTGCCCCCAGTGTCACAGGGACCTGCCACAGAAGGCTCTGTCCTTCGCAGCTGTTGCCATCCCATTGTGGGGTGCCTCCTTGTCAGATGGTGTTGCAGCTAGGATGGGCTGAGCTCAGGAGCAATGCTGCGTGTGTTGGCCAGTATGTCTGGGCTCCGGGGTGCCTCTCCTAAGCCCTGTTGCCTCTGTGCTCCCCGGGTCTCCTGTATTCCATAAGAGGACTGGCAGGGAATGTGGGACTCTGCCTAAGGGGCAGGCCCCAATGTGGGACAGGTAAGAGGTAGTCCACACCAACCCCAGCCCGGAAACAGGCCCAGCTCCCCTTGCTCATCCATTGCAAGGCTCAGCACCTGCTTTGCTCTGGAAAGGCCTGTGGCCCCTGGGGACTATCACTATCCCTGCTACAGAGTAAGGCTGGCAGGGTGACACGTCTTCAAGGCCCTGTGGCATCTCGTGATGTGGGTCCCACATGCACAGCAGAAGGTGGGTCAGTCAGGTTGATGTAGACTCAGTGGGTGGGGGCAGACACTAAGGCACTAGGCTTCCCACTTGCGCCCCGGCATCCCCGCCTGTGACTGCCAGCAGAGGGCGCCTGCAGGAGTGCTCTGCAGGGTTAAGTGGGGAGGCACATAGGGGCAGAGCCCAGGGGCTGGGCCAGTGTGGGAGAGCTGCCAATCAGACACAGCCTGGCTGCAGTCAAACATCAGGCGGGCAGCTGCCAGGAGGTGGGCCTGAGGGCATCCAGGGCTGGACACAAGGCCAGGGCCGATACTCTGACTTGGGGTTGAGGGGGCCACTCCCAAGTCTAGTGCCCGGCAGCTAGCATGCCCTCACCCAGATGTCCCAAGTCTCAGGTTTGTGCTGTGAGGGACCATGGACGTGCTGGGCATAGTTCGTGCCACCAGTGTTAACAGTGAGTGCTGGGGGTTCCCCGGGGGATTGAACTCGGCTCTTCGCCCTGCGCTTCACTCCCAGCCCTGTTGTTTTTTTTCCTCCCCAAATCCCTTTTATTTTAAAGAGGAACAAAATCCCAAAACATAGCAACCAGGTGACAACAATGGCATGTATGGTGTGTGTTGCCATTCCCAGTCAACCACCCAGAGCATAGGACAGCCCTTTTATTCTTTATTTTGAGACAGATTTCAGTAACTCCCTAATTGGCCAGGCTGGACTCAAACTTATCACCCTACTGCCTCAGCCTCCCGGAGTGCTGGGGTTTCGTGTGTGCCAAGCCTGCCCTGCTCATAGCTCAGTATCAGTGGTGACAAATATTCCACCACGGCCCATACTCTAAGCCCACTGCCACTGAGGCATTGCATTTTGCCTTTGTTTAGCTGACCGGCCTCATTTAATTAAATAAGCAGTTCAGTTTATTTCCAATCCTCTAGCCTGGGCACTGACCGGAAGTCAGTGGCAGAGGAAGCAGGTCAGGCAGTGGGTTCCATCCACAGCCTGAGTCCTGCGGGGTCCCTGGCATCCCCCAGCCTCTCTCCCTGTGTCACAGCTGAGAGCGCTGTGGGCTCAGGTGGCCCCAAGCCCTGCTGTGCAGCCCTCTGTGTATTTGGGAGTGGTGATGGTGGGTGCCTAGCTTGAAGCCTCAGTGGAAGCTGGCACAGTGACCAGTGGGGGTGTCTTCTGCTCACCCCTTAGGCCAGAGCTAAAAGAATGGGCACCAGGCAGCCAGGAACCCCCGAAAGGTCAGGGAGCACATGTGCTTTGCTACATCTCCTGTGCCCAATCCCAGCAGCCCCTGGTGCTCCCAAGAGCTCATGGGGGCTCAGGCTCCCTGGAGGAATTTAGGGAAGCAGTGATAACAGCAGGAAGCTAGAGGTACCTCTCTCTGAGTTGTCACCTTGTTAGCTATGCACACCCCCAGAGTCTCCATCCCAGATGGTGCCACCCACACAGACAAGAAGTTATTAGCAAACTGAGTGTCCGGCTTCTGGTGGAAGGTGCTGTTTGCGTGTTTTTGGGCTGGGTGCCCAGGTCTCACCCCGTAGGGTCTAGCTGCCAGGTGCTGCGGTGCACAGGTAGGGGCACAGCCAGAGGCGGGGAGGCTGTGCGGTTGGTGGCAAGCACCTTTACAGCTCTGTCAATTTCGGTTGCTATAACAGAATGCCAGGATGCCTGGGGTTTTGGCATTTCACAGAGGAAAGAGGCGAACACCAGCTCAGCACACTGGAGGCCAGGAGCCAGGGTGGGGAGGCTGGGAAGCCCAGAGGATGGGCAGGGTGCAGAGCCAGTGCCAGCACAGGGCCAGCTTTCAGCACACAGGCAGCCCCTCTGCCTTCTCTGAGCGCCTCTGGGGACAGGCAGGGACAGAGTCTGTTCAAACCACAGCACAAGGGAAAGGCACGTGTCGGGTCAATTGAGTTTTTTTTTTGAAAAACCCCAAATCCATTAGGTGAAATTGGGTGGTAGTGCAAGTTGAGATGAGCCTATACCCCAAAGCAGACTGACCAGAAGGTCCTCATAGTGCCCCTGGTGACTGTGCTCTGGCTCGGAGGCCGTACTCAGGTGGACCGTGTGCCCCCACAGATAGGCCTCGTGCTCTTCCTGCTGCCCACCCTGGCTGGACTGCAGACTTGCTGGGCTGAGGCAGTGGCTCCGTCTGTCCATCTGTCTGTCGGTTTGGTGCTGGGTGACCCTGACAGTCAAGCTTGAGTAGAGGTCAATGGCTCCCAGGCTTGGAGGGTTTGGTCCATGGTCCTAGGCAGAGGGTGCCGGGAAGGCGGCAGAGGGCGGCACTCAGCTCCTGGGGCAGCAGGAGGTGAAGGGCAGGGCAGAGCGGGAGCACCCTGCAGGCTGGGTGATTCTCTAGCTGCATGCTCTTTGCCCTTCTGGAAAACTATGGAGTTTTTAGTCTGTATATTCATTGGTTCCCTGGCTGCCACGCAGGTCACCAGAGAGACTGTGCATCACATTGCTCCCCACATCGCCCCTCCCCCACTCTGAGCCCGGCCCAAGGGAGGTGGCAGTGGGGATCACAGCCTGGGGGGCCCTGGGGCGCAGGGCCGCTGACCTGGTTCCACCTCTGTCTTTTGCAGCTTTCTGTATGAACCCAACAGCCAAGGGTACCGATACTACCGGCAGAAGCTGGAAGAGTTCCGGAGAGCCAAAGCGGGCTCCCCTGGCACCCTTGCGGCAGCCGACCTCAGCTTGAGGCACAAGTCCCCTCCCAATGCCCCAGTGACGACAACGACTACGGGGCCCTTGCCTACAGCCACCGCCTGTCTTGCCTCAGCTGCCCCCACGCCCACTGTGCCCCCGACCCCGGCTATGCCTGACAAGCCCACCTCAGCCTCCACAGCCACTGCCAAACGGAAGCGGAAGAGCCGGTGGGGTCCGGAAGAGGACAAGGTGGAGCTGCCTCCCGCTGAGCTGGTGCAGAGGGAAGTGGACGCCTCTCCCACGCCCCTGTCAGGTGGGCCTGGCCTCTGCCCATCACAGCCTAGCACTGTGCAGTGTGCTCCATCTGCAGCCAGGTTCAGTGTGCGTGTGTGCGTGTGTGTGTGTGTGTCCTCAGGAGTTGGCGCTAGGACCCCCTGTTAGATGCTAAGCACAGGTTGCTTAGGTCCAAGCCATGTGTTTCGCAGACTCCTATCATCCCAGCTATTAGGTAGGCTGAGGCAGGAGCAACTCTGAGTTCAAGGCCCCAACTATATCTCGAGACCTGTCTCCTCCCCCTGCAAAAAAAAAGTGTCCTTGGAGACCACGAATGTTTTAAGTTAAGCCCAGTCCCCAGCACAGCCCACATCCACGTCAGTGCTCTGCACACAGCTGCTCCCTCCCAGGAGACCAGCACACTCTGCCTTCCAAGCAGCAGTGGCCACAGACACAGGCTTATTTCTAAGATGTCTGTCCTGTTACAGTGTCATTGTCTATCCTTACACCAGTGGTGTTCAGTGACACTAGTTATAAGCTTGAAAGGAGAGATGCCAGTTTTCTGACTGACTTTTTTTTGGACCATTTGCTCATTGATGGATAGATAGATGTGTGGGTCGGTAGGTGGGTGGATGAGTAGATGAATGAGTGGGTGCATGGAGAAATGGGTAGACAGATAGATGGGTAGATGGACGGGTGGATGGATGGATGGATGCATGGGTGGATGGGTGGGTAGATGTTTGGATGGATGCGTTAGACAGATGGGTAGATGGATGGCTGGGAGAACGGATGGATGATTTGAATGGATTGATGGATGGGTGGGTAGATGGATATATGAATGGACTGATGGATGAGTGAGTGAATGAATGGATGGGTTGGATGGATGGATGGGTGGATTGTTGTTGCTTTGATGGAACTCATGGCCCAGCTCATCTAGGCAAACACTCTGCCACCAGCCACACCCATGTACCAGTTGAATTTCAAATGGGCCTTTTCATCTGCAGGTACTGTCTCAGTCTCGGCAGGGACGCCTGGGTCTGTGGGTCACCTCGGGCAACCCTGACATCTTGAGGCTCTATGGACACAAGATACTGTTCCATCTGTTTCTTTTTTTTTTTATACCAGGGATCAAACTCATGACCTAACACTTGCAAGGCAGGTGCTTATGCTGCTGAGCTAAATCCTCAGTCCCCATCTGTTTCTTTCATCTTTAATTTTTAGTTGGTAGTTTTCCCTATATAAGTCTTGCATCTTTTTTGTCCTTATTGCTGCTGTTGTGGCACTGATTTTTCCATTTTCTTTCAGACTTTCTAGATAATTGATTTTTTGTGTGTTTATTTAGTGTCCTGCAGCTTTGCTACATGTACTGTAGCAGGTGTGTGTATGTGTGCTTTTTCCAGAATTTTTCTGTTTCTGATTATTTTTAATCAGGTGTTGCTCAGGTGCCCAGGCTAGCCTGGAACCTGCGCTGCTCCCCAGGCCCGAGTAGCAGATTTCCCCCACCCTAGGCTGCAGGCTCCAGTGTTTCTCCGTAGGTGATTGTGTCATCTGCACATAGGAAGTCTGACTTCTGTTTTCCCAGTCTGCATACATCTTACTGCTGTTTCTCCCCTAACTGCTCTGGCTGGATTCCCAGAACCATGGGGACATCCTGTGCCCGAAGTAGGTGTCTCTGGCCACCCCTATGTGAGCAGGAAGGCTGTCAGGCCTCCACACTGGGTGTGATACCAGCTGGGCTACAGAGCCCTACGTCCCTGTGCCAGGCACATGCCACACTGCTGTGGACACTCCCCCCCCCCCCCCCCCCGCCAGCAGCACCTTTGTGCTCTTGAGGAAATTCCTTCTCTTCCAAGGTTGTTGAGTGCTTTGCTCATGGGAAGGTCTGAAGCTTTGTCTCCGGCTTTTCTGCACAGTGACTGTGGTCATGATTGCTGCTCCTCCCTTCTCTCAGCGTCTGTCACATTGATCATGTCTTGTGCTTCCTGGTTAAACCACTCTTGCTCCCAGGATGCGTTTGCTTGGTGTGGGCGTGTGTTCCTGTGGAGGGGCTGCCAGGCTTGCTTCCTAGGATCATGTGGACTTTCCGCACTGTGTGGAAAGGGACATTGGTCTGGGGTCCTCGAGCTACTCTGTCTGCTTGTGGCCTCATGCAGGAGGGCAGCCCTACAGTCCTCCCAGGATTCTGGAACAAGTTGGAGGATTGGTGTCGCTGCCTCTCTGAAGTGTCTGGTGGGCTTCTGGCTCTGCACTTTCTTCTTGGGGAGGTGTTCAGCCACGCAGGTGCTTAGTTTCTTGAGTTGGTTTTGGTGGCTTCCGAGTCTCTAGGACTTTGCAGCAGGTTATCTAAGTTGACAAGCTAGGCATGAAGCCAGAAAGAGCATTAGACCCGGGCATGGTGGTACATGCCTGTTACTACAGCATGGGGGAGGCTGAGGCAGGAAGGTTGCTGAGAGTTCAAGGCCAGCTTTCATTTGTACAGTAATGAAATACATAAGTAATAAAAACCAAAACCAGGAAAGGTTGCTAGAGACAACCGAGAACCTTAGAATTGGGTGTAGGTCAACGTACTTGTTAGGTTGTCTGCATTCTTAGGCAGTTAGCTGTGAGGTTCCATTTTAGTCCTTGTGTGCTCATTTTCCCCGTTTAATCAAGACTCTTCTTTCTTAAGAGTGTACACTGCTGCTCAGAAGGCAGAGTGTGCTGAATCTTCTCAAAGAATCGCCTGTTGGTCTGGGTTTCCTCAGTCGCGGTTTTGTACTGTTTCATTTACTCATTCCTGTCTCTCCTACTTTAGCTCACCAAGGCTGCTGGTGACATCCTCATCCTCCCACTGCACTTGCAGGGCTCCGGCCAGCATCGTCAGCCAGGACCCAGCTCCTCATGGGCTGCTCACACACAGAGCATGCACACCAGACCCCAGGCGCACTCAGCCTTGTGTCCCCTGGTCCCTGTCATGGTGGGGAGGGCCTCAGCCACTTGCTGGCTAGGGGAGTGGCCTGAGGAGGAGAGGACCCTAAGGCTTCCTGTGTCACACAAGGCTCTCAGGAAAGAGCTAGGGAGAGCACGTGATTCTTCTGTTTGTGTTTGTGCGTGCCCGGGGTTGCACATGTACACATATTTGTGGAGCTGGGGGAACCCAAGGCACCAAGCTCCCAGAACAATACCCCCTATCCGTGATTAATAGGGCCAAGCCCACCCCCAAGACCAGGTGACTCAGCTCGCTTAGTCCTCCATGGTTCTGCTCACATCCTGCTTAGCTTCTCACCAGATGGGGTGCCACGGTGTCCTCAGTGGCTTGGCCTTGCTGGCTGAAGCCCAGTCCCCAGCACAGCCCACATCCACGTCAGTGCTCTGCACACAGCTGCTCCCTCCCAGGAGACCAGCACACTCTGCCTTCCAAGCAGCAGTGTACACAGGCGTGTGACACACAAGAACATGGGATCGTGCTCCAGCCCCACCTCTGGCCTTGCAGAGTCCCTGCCCATTAGTCTTGCGATGTTGAGGCCCAAGCCTCTCAGGCATGGTGCTGGACACAGCACTGAGGTGAAACAGCGTCACCAGCCACGGAAGGCTGGCAATCCTCACAGCACCAGGTGGCCCCAGGGCCCTTGAGGGCTGTGAGCTCTGTCCCAGATGGCGTGTTGTGCCCATTACCCTCGTCTCCCGTCTGCAGTGCAGGACCTCAAGGGGCTCGGCTATGAGAAGGGGAAGCCAGTGGGCCTGGTGGGCGTCACGGAGTTATCAGATGCCCAGAAAAAGCAGCTGAAGGAGCAGCAGGAGGTACGTAACAGTGGGGCGTACCACAGTCCTCACAGGCAGGCCCGCGGTGCCCAGGGAGCCGAGAGCAGGGCACTGACCAGCCTCGAGCCACCCCACAGATGCAGCAGATGTACGACATGATCATGCAGCACAAGCGCGCCATGCAGGACATGCAGCTGCTGTGGGAGAAAGCGCTGCAGCAGCACCAGCACGGCTACGACAGCGATGAGGAGGTAGACAGTGAGCTGGGCACTTGGGAGCACCAGCTGCGGCGCATGGAGATGGACAAGACTCGAGGTGCGTAGGCCGCAGGGAAGGGAGCCTCCGTATGAGTCTCCCCCAGGTCCCTCTGCTCACGCCCTCTCCCTCCACAGAGTGGGCTGAACAGCTGACGAAGATGGGCCGGGGCAAGCACTTCATCGGAGACTTCCTGCCCCCCGACGAGCTAGAGAAGTTCATGGAGACCTTCAAGGCCCTCAAGGTGAGCCGGCCAGCGTGGGTCCTCTCAGGAAACTGCCTGCATCCCACGGCCTCAGCCAGGGAGGTGGTGGTGGCCTCACTGACCCACATGCCCCTTTAGCACTCAGTGTAAGTCATCCCCAAGGTGGGCGCCCATCATCCCATGCCTCTGTGATTTATTCTGTGTGATGCTGGGAGTGGAACCCAGGGCCTTTACACTGATCTGTGTCCTTGGCCCATTTTAAACTTGATTTTGAAACAGATTCTTGCTAAGTTGCACAGGATGGACCTCAACTTGTGATCTTCCTGTCTCAGCCTCCCAGAGTGCTGGGGTTGTAGGCATGCACTGCCACAACTGGATGTCCCAACCATTTGCAAACTGGAGCTGGAGGGTCAGTAGACCAGACTAGACCATCTAGACAGCCATAGCAAGGCCCTGTCTCAGAAACAGCACAGGGCTAGGGATTTAGCTCAGTGGCTTAAGTGCCTGCCTGTTAAATGCAAGGTTGTGAGTTCGATCCCCAGTACCAAAAAGGAAAAAAAAAAAAAAAAAAACAGCAGAAATGAATTGCTGTCTGCAGACGCACTTTTCCTAACATTCGAGTGCTAGTCTTCCTCCCGGGGCACAACCATGGCAGTGCCACCTTGCCCCTTTTCACCTGGCTGCCAGGGAACTCAGCATCCTGAGGCCCTGGGAAGAACTGTGAAGACTTCCATGGTTTGGGGTGGAGTCTGGTCTGGTGGAAGGGGCAAGGCACAGGGGCAGGTGGCCTGCATGCGGTGAAGCAGGGCCAGCACAGGTGATGGCTCCTCTGCCCCCCCCCCCCACAGGAGGGCCGGGAGCCCGACTATTCAGAGTACAAGGAGTTCAAGCTGACAGTGGAGAACATCGGCTACCAGATGCTCATGAAGATGGGCTGGAAGGAGGGCGAGGGGCTGGGCACCGAGGGCCAGGGCATCAAGAACCCGGTGAACAAGTGAGCACGGCCCCACCCCTCCACACCCCAGGCCTCCTGGATTCATAGACCCCAGAGCTGGTGGGGCGGGGCCTCCCCCAGAAGGGACCCCTGCCCACACTCCTCCTGCCTGCAGAGGCACCACTGCAGTAGATGGCGCGGGCTTTGGCATCGACCGGCCAGCCGAGCTCTCCAAGGAGGACGACGAGTATGAGGCCTTCCGCAAGAGGATGATGCTGGCCTACCGCTTCCGGCCCAACCCCCTGGTGTGTGCCCCCCACCCCACCCAGGCCCCATGTCCCCATGTTCCCCGGGGAGGGGTGCAGCAGTGGGCCAGCACCCCAGGCCCCAAGGGGCCTGCACCTTCACCCCACAACCTCTTGGCTCCCACAGAACAACCCACGGCGGCCATACTACTGACAGGAGCACTGCTGTGTCCCACTGCCAGCCCCGGACCAAGCTCCCGGCCCACGTGTCTGCTGCCCTCCTGTGCCTCAAGTGCCGTGCTGTGCTGTGTATTAAAGCCCCAGTGCTCACCCGCCCTACAGCCTGGTGTCCCTCAATGCCACCAATGCCTTTGTGGGGGCTGGGCTGGGCTGGGTAGGGCTGGGCAGGGCAGGGCAGGCCCAGCCCCCTGCACCCCAGGGATGTGGGGCACTGCCTGCCCTTGCCATCAGGGAGTCTTCATCCCCAGCAGGCCTGGGTAGCAATCAAGGGGGCTGAGCCATGCAGCCTCCAGGGCATAGAGTCAGCTGCCCTCCCAACAGTGAGGCTGGAGAGGGGCACCCCTAGGTGTGAGGGATGTGTGATGGGGATGCCCAGCCTGGCCCCACTGTGGGAGTACTGGGCTGCTGGCTATAGGCAAGACTGTATCCCTCACCTCCCTGGTAGTCAGCACTCATGGGGTCTGGCACAAAGGGGCCATGGCCCGGGCTGCCCTACCCCTGGTCCCACTGGTAGAGGAGACACACGTCCTTGAGGTGTGTCACTTGGGCGATGCCCAACCCCATAGGGGTTGTTCCAAGCAGTTGCGCTGTCCAGGGCTGGTGGGGACTGGGTGTACACTCTCACCAGCTCTTTGGTCTCAAGCACCAGAGTCTACCCACTACTGTGAGGACCAGATCCGCCAATTCACGGGGACCCAGCTGCAATTACAGTCACTCAGCAGGCACTGATTGTGAGCCAGGTAGACAAGCTCTGCCAAGCTGCCCATCTGAGGACAGAGCAGGAGCCTGGGTTTCCCAGCCTGTGAAAGCTGCCAGGAGGAGCCAGCCAGGGTGGAGGTGGCCTGGGACATGTCACAGCAGGCCTAGGGACGTGAGGGCTCAGCAGCAGAGCAGCTATTTTCCCCATGAGTGCTAAACTGGCAGTCAAATCCAGGACCCTGGGCCCTGTGGTGGGAGGTGTGGGGAGAGCTGCAGACCTGGGTCACAGGTGTAGTTCTGGAGCCCCAGCCTGGCCCCAGGCACTCCGCCCTGGCCACCTCTCACCTGGAAGCTTGCCAGAGAGCTTGGACTTTACCCCTGGCAGGGTGGCTGCCTATAGTGCCTGCCCTGTCCAGGAGGAACAGGGGGTGGGGCTCGGCCCTGGGAACCTGAGCTTCACCCCTGGATGCCTGGACAGAGTCATTGCTGGGTCCGAGACCCTGTTGGTGTAACTCAGACCTGGACCTGGCCAGCAATGGCATGAAGAGGGGACCAAGGGTGGGAAGCAGAGACTTGATGCAAGCTGGAGGAGTAATACAGTGGCCCTGCTTCCTGCGCAGCCCCCAGCACCTGCCTGGGGCACACTGCTATCTTACAACCCCCGCGTGGCCAGGCCTGCCGCTCTTTCCGGTCCCCTGCGGATTCCATCAGACCTGCCATCCTCAAGGCCCCCGTCCAGCCCCTCTCATGCCGCGGTGTGTGTGTGGGGGGGGCAGACCGCTGCCTAAACACCAAGTCCCTCACCAGCGCTGGACCCTGGCACGTGGCACAAATGGAAAGGCCCACGCATGAAATTCTGGGTCCCTTGGGGCTGGGGATTTAGGTCAGCGGCATAATCGCCTGCCTTGCAAAGCAGGCAGTCGTGAGTTCGATCCCTGGTACCAATAAAAATGAAAAAGACAAAAGAAATTCTGGGTCCAAAGCCCAGCACTCCCCAAAAACCCCTTGGAGGTCGGGGTTGGGGTTGCCACTTTGTCACCACGAAGGAGGCACAAGCGCACTCTGATCCTACCCACAGTCTGGAAGAAGCCCGGAGTGCATATTCTGGTACCTTGGGGTGCAGCCCCAACCTCTGAGTACGAGCGCCCGCCGGCCTCTGATAGAGTGGGAAACTGAGGTCCTGCCGCGGGGCGGGCCGGGCCGGGCCGGGGAGGGGCCTCTTCTGTGCCCCAGGAACGCGCTGGGCACAGGGCCCAAGCGTGGGGCGACCTTTGCGCGGGGCGGATCCGCGGCCACCCTGGCGGGCCGCACTGTCCCCGGGAGCTGAACGCTGTACAGCTGCCATGGAGCTCCCGCTGTTGGCCGGCAAGGTCGCGGCGCTGTCACTCAGCGCTCTCCCGCTGTCCTATGCGCTCAGCCTCATCTCAGCGCTGTCGCAGTACGTGCGGGGAGGCCTGGCGCCTGGAGGGGGCGCGGGCGGGGTCGGGGGCGGAGACACTTGGGGAGGTTAGGAGCAACACATAGCAGGGCTGCCGAACGTTTTGGGTCTCCCAGGGATGCACCCCAGCTTCTGTAGGTTCCAAAGTCGCACAGGGTCAAAGTATTGTCTCCTCTCTGACTGCCAGGCCGAGGCTGGCTTTCCGCTCAGGGCCAGCTCAGGCCTAGACTTGGTTTCCCCTATGCAGGCCTAACCGCTCGGGCACTGTCACTCCCATCACAGCCCCGTCACTCCCAGGCCCTCATGCCGGGTAGTCTGCCCTGGGTCTGGGCCCGGGGTGTTGCTTCCTGCCAGTTACCTGGACCTGGGTGAGCCAGGCTGCCCAGGCGCCTCGATTTTTCCATCTGTGTGGTGGCCGTCATCCTTGTCTCACCCCGGGACTTCGGGTTAGGGTTGCAGGCCAGGAATGGAGCCACTCTCCCATCTAACGGCTGTGGTTGTCGATGGTGGTCAGAAAGGCCTGGGATGGAGATGGGGAAACAAAGGGGTTTATGAGAAGATGAGAAGATTGATGGACAGGCCCTTGTCCTCTCTGGACTTTGGTCTCCCGCCGATGCTGTCACCTGTGTGCCAGACTCACCTGTCTTATCAGGGTGATGGAGCAGATGTGCACAGGCACAGGTGCAATCCATTTGGACTTTCACTAAGAGGAGCTGGGAGCCTCAAACAGAGATATGTACAATGCCAAGCCCTGGAGACCCTCAGGCCTGGGGCCAAAGCTGGGCTGCACAGGGGCTTGGGGCAGCAAGGTACAGCAGAGGTGTTGGGGAGCCCCTCCATACCTAGTCCCAGGGGAAACGGTTCTTTCTAGGGAGTCAAGTAGGACTTCCTGGAGAAGAAACAAAGTAGATGGGCCATGAAGCATGAGTAGTTTACCAAACAGAAATTTTGTGGGGACCAGGAATGTAGCTCAGTGGTAGAAAATGTGCTTAATGCCGGCAAGGTCCTGGGTTTATTCCTCAGCACCACCAAATAAAAGAGAAAGAAAATCCAGTGTGGTGGCACGTGCCTGTCATCCCAGCACTGGGGAGGCTGAGGCAAGAGGATCGCTGCGAGTTGGAGGCCAGCCAGGACAACAAAAGGAGACCCCGTCTTAAAAAGAAACAAAGCAGGAGGGGGAGCACAGATGGAGAAAGGGGACCTCTCCAGAAAGCTGCACTGCTGAGAACAGATGGAGTCTGTATCTCCAGCAGGGAGAGAGGCGGAGGCCCCAGCGCAGGCCTGGCCTCCCTGATGTGGCTCCCCCTCCCCAGCCCCCTGTGGGTGGCCCTGATGAGCGGCTTGATCCTGGGCCTGCTGTTCGTGTCCATCTACAGCTTGTCCCGCGGCGAGATCACCTACGATCCACTCTACGCTGGTGAGCCCCGGGAGAGGTGGAGAGGCGGCTGCCCCGGCAAGGGCCTCCACCCGCAGACCTGTGGCCGGGGCACGGCTCCTGCATCTGCTGGGCGCCTCAAAGGGCTCCTGTTACACTGGGGAGACGGGCACCCCTCCATGAGATCGAGGAGCCTCAATTAGCCTCAGAGCCGGAGCCGTGCCTCCTCCATGGGACTGGCGGTGGGGACAGCCACTGCACTGGGAACCTCTTGCTAAATCTCCTATTTCAAGCCTCACCCCTTCGCGCCCGACCTGAGCTGCGCATGCTCCATCCTTAACTCCCTGGGGTCTCAGCCCCACCCACATGCGGCTAGGCCCCTCCCGCGGTTTTCCCCGCCCACCATAGGCCCCGCCCATTCTCCCGCAGTCTTCGCGGTCTTGGCCTTCACCTCGGTGGTGGACCTAGTCATCGCCCTGGAAGAGGACGGCTACGTGGAGGGCTTCACAGAGTTCTACACCAGGGAGGTAGGTGGCAGGTGGGCAGCCGGGCTGTCCCCGTGGCCCTGGGTGTCTGAGCCTCGCCTCTGCCCCAGGCCGAGCCGTACCTGCGCACCGCACATGGGATCTTCATCTGCTACTGGGACGGCACCGTGCACTATCTGCTCTACCTGGCCATGGCAGGCGCCATCTGCCACAGGTGACAGCTGTGGGCAAGCGTGAGGGTGGTGGCCGCGTGGCTGCTACCCACGCTGTCCCTGCGAAGCCGCTGTCACCCCGTCGGCCTTGCCTCCCTGAACAGGATTGAGAGGGGCCCGAAGTTGGGGGGCCAGGGGAGTCTCTGTCTCGGCTGGCTCTGACACTGGGGGACAGGTACCACGTAGTCACCCTTGCTTTCCTGGCCCAGGAAGCAGTACCGGAACCTTGGGCTCTACTGGCTGGGCTCCTTCACCATGAGCACCCTGGTGTTTCTCTCGGGAAACGTCCTTGGTAAGGACCAGCCAAGGGGAGCCCCATCCCTGCACCAGACCCCCCACACTGGACCCCCACACACCTCCCCAGTACCTACAGGTCCCTTCTGTCTTCAGCCAGTGGCCTCCCTGTGGCCTCTTGGAGGCAGGGGGACGCCCAGGGTGATTCCAGCTCCTCCCAGGGTCTCGCCCAGAATGCAGACACCAAGAGGCTATTTTAGGATGGGCAGAGCAGAAGGAAGCTATGTAAGTGAGTATTGGGAGGTACGGCAGAGACGACAGTCTGATCATGGGGACAGCGTGGCAGAGCTCAGCAAGGAAAGCACACAAGTGTGCTCATGGGAAGGAAGACACTCCTGGAGTATAGGATCTAGGTAAACTGCAGGTAAACTGAGGCAGGCCAGGCCGCAGAGCATGGACATCATTTGTGGGCACTGGGGAGCCACAGAAGTGACAGAGCAGGAGCAAAGATGGCATGTATGAATCAAGATGTCTCTCCACCATGACAGGCAAATACAGCTCCGAGATTAGGCCCGCCTTCCTCCTGGTCATCCCCTACATGCTGCTTCCATGCTGGGCTGGCCTGCGGATCTTCAGCCAGCCCCGGGCACCATCCTACTCTCCTGCCAACCTGGTGAGTGCCATGTCTCCCTCACTGGCTGTACATGAGCCGTGTTGGAGCAAAGACCCCTCATCCATGGGAGGAAGAACTTTCCCCAGGCCTGCTGGCTCTGGATGGTGCACACAGTGTCTGGTTCTCCCGGGGAGCAGGTGCAGGAGGAGCAGAGAAAGGGGCTCCTGCAGCGCCCGGCCGACCTGGCGCTCGTCGTCTACCTCATCCTGGCTGTGTCCTTCACCCTCTTTCGAGGCCTGGTGAGTCTGCTCCGCAGCCTCCCCGCTTGCCCTTTTGGGATAGAAAAAGACCACCGTCCCGTCCCATCATCCAAGGAAGTTCACCATCCAGTCTGACCCGAGGCTCCCATAACAAAGCCCTGTTCCTGTAGCTGTCTCTCATCCTTCTCTGTGAATCTCAGGATGGACACAGCTAGGATCCCCAGATGGACAAGGTGAGGGTGGCCGGATGGACACAGCTAGGGTCCCCAGACAGAGATAGACAGCTAAGACTAGAATACTCAGACCAAAAAATATGGCCTGGCTGGGATGCGGGGGCAAGGCAGCTTGCCGGAAGAGGGGTGCTTGAGGAAGGTGTTTGGGTTCCATCTGCCCGCCCCAGGTCGTGCTTGACTGCCCCACAGACTCCTGCTTTGTCTACATCTATCAGTACGAGCCATACCTGCGGGACCCTGTGGCCTACCCCAAGGTGCAGGTAAGAGCACGGCTGGACAGATAAAGTCGAGGTCCCGCCCAGGTCTTTGGAAGCAGGTGCCAGAAGGTCAGGTCACACAGGCAGCAGCACGTGTGGAATGCGTTGTCTTACCGCAGAAGTAGGCAGTCTTCAGGTATGGTGGCTCCAGGTGCCCCAACATAATGTTACATCCGGACCCTATCGTCTTTGCCTGGCTCCTTTCGGCAGTGGCAGAGGCGGCTCAAGCTTTCCATAAACCCCACTCCACCACCACAGAGAAAATGAACCCTCATCATTACCCCAGAGGCTGGCTCCAAAGCCAGCTCTGCTTGGCCCAGCCCAAGCAGGGGCCATGGCTCTGGAGTATTTGGATTGGCCAGGCCAGGGTCATGGGTGAATGGGCGAGGTCCAGGGGCCCCAGCTCCTCTCACAGGCCATGGTCCCAACCACCAGATGCTGATGTACCTGTTCTACGGCCTGCCTTTCTACGGCCTGGCCACCTATGCCCTCTTGTTCCCGGGATGCTCCTGGCTGCCCGACTGGGCCCTGGTGTTCGCTGGAGCCATTGGCCAGGTAAGGAGACAGGTGCCATGTGGGCACGCATTGTGCCCATCCTGGGCAGCCACAGGCCTGGTGCCCCAGAATCCCCCTCCAACTCTCAAGAGGAAGGGGTTCAGGGGCAGCAGGGCATCTCAGAAGGTGCACAGTTCCCTTGCATGCAGCAAGGGCCTGAGGCACAGTACACCTCCTCAAAGTCACCACTCAGAGTTCTCAGGCACTCGAAGGTTTCTCCCTGGAACCTCACTAATAACTGTTTTCAGAAGCTTCCAAAATTTCGCAGAAACTGCAAATATCCGATGCAATTGTGTTTTTGGCGGGAAGTTTACAAGCAGCCAATCTGAGAGTGTTGTTCAGTTCTCCTGGCTGCTGATTGGTTGCTGCCCTGTGGCCCATCTCGGCAGATGCCCCTGCATCCTGCATCCTTGCAGGGCACTGCACTGCATGTACCTATCTGTAGTGTTCTCCATTTTATTCCTCCTAAAGCCTTGAGGTCCCTACAGTGCCACCAAAACACCATGCACCTTCTAAGGTTTTTTTGCCTTTTTCCTTTTTATCAGTACCGGGGATCAAACTCACAACTGCCTGCTTGCAAGGCGTGCGCTTATGCCGCTGGGCTAAATCCCCAACTCCCTAAGGTTTTGTTAACACAGGACTTTATCCAATTGAATTCCATAACCACAGGAGACTCAGCATTATTTAGGGTTTAAACTACAAAAATAGGCCTGTGTAGGCATTTTCTGACCATATTGGGATCTGCAGTTTTTTCATAATTCATAGGTGTGCTAGGAAAGCAACCCCTGTGAATTTTAGGGTTCTGCTGTACCTAAAGGAGTTCTCCAGGTCAGAAAGGGCATTCGGGAGTAGGGGAGCACAGGACAGGCACAGGGAGGATGATGACTTGGCAGGACCCCAAAGCAGGTAAAGGCAGTGCCATGCGTGACGGGCAGATCGGAGCCGAGGCCTTGACCGAGGGCAGGGGCTGGGATGGGGGCCATGGGAGGCTCAGGGCAGTGGAGGACCCAGTCAGAGCTGGGTTCCCGATGGGAAGAGTCCTATGGGAGTCAGGGGCCAGGATGCATGTCCCCGAGTTTGGGAGGAGGACCTGAACTGGGTCAGAAGAAGGGCCTGAGCTCCCCAGGGAGAGAGCACAGTGAGCACCTCAGTCAGGAAGATGAGAAAGGGGGTCCTACCCCAGTCCCCCTACGCCTTCCAGACACTGGCCTCCCTGCCTGTGCAGGCGCAGTTCTCACACATGGGCGCGTCCTCACACCTGCGCACGCCCTTCACTTACCGCGTGCCCGAAGATTCCTGGGCTTGTGTCTTCCTCTCCAACCTGTTCTACGCCCTCGGCCCGCACCTGTTGGCCTACCGCTGCCTGCTGCGACCCACCTTCTTCCTGCAGCCACCACCAACGCCCCCAGGCGCCAAGAAGCAGCAGTGAGGGCCTCACCAGCCCAGGACACTGTTCACAGGCACTGTGCCAGAACCAGGGTGCACTTTAGCAGCAGGATGAACTTTGCCAGAGGTCTTCTGGCTGTGGTGGTTTCAGGCTGGTGGGTGGAATGGGACACCCACAGCCAGGGATCTTGGAAAGACAGCCTTACTGAAGTCCAGCATGGATGCAAATGCCTGTGCTCCCAGCACTCAGGAGGCTGAGGCAGGAGGATCTCTGTGAGTTTGAGGCCAGCCTGGGCCACCTAAAGAAAAGTACATGTCTCAAAATACCAACGTGGAAGGGGTTTGTCTTGTTCAAACCCAAGGACCACAGGGCCTAGGATTTACCTATCATCCCCCTCAAAGAGCCTTTTAATAAAAACTCTTTTGGCGACTAAAATGTCACTGCCTGAGTGTTCAGAGTGCCAGGGCGAGGACCACTCTTCCTGAACCACACAAAGTGTGTGGTCGCCATTGGAAGGCTGAGTACCAGGCAGCAGAAGTTGGCTTCTGGTTGGTATGGACAGCTCCGCCTTCCAGCTGGGGGAAACTGAGGCTCAGAGAAACAAGAGACCTGCCTGGAGTCACAATCAGGAGAAGAAAGTCACTGCTGTGCTGGTGATGGTGACACATGCCTATAACCTAGCTACCAGCCAGGCCAAGACAAGAGAATCACAAGTTTGAGGACAACCTGCACAGTACTAGCAAAAACCCTGCCTCAAAATCAAATCAAAACTGGGTATGGTGGTGCATGCCTGTCATACCAGCACTTGGGAGGCTGAGGCAGGAGGATTGTTGGGAGTTTGAGACCAGCCTGGGCTACAGAGTAAGTTCAAGGCCAGCCTGAATTACATAGTGAGATCCTGTGTCAAAAAGACAAAAAGGGGGCAGGACTGGGGTGCTCAGTGGGGAGTACATACCTAGGATGAGTGAGGCTCTGGGTTCCATCCCCCATGCTGGGGGGAAACGGTCACATATACTATGCTCTGGGAGGCTGAGGCAGGAGGATCACAAGTTCCAGCTTACCCTGGGTAACAGGTAAAAGAAACAGAAAAAGGGCTGGAGGTGTATAGCCTAATATGAAGGCTCTGGCTTCAAGCATCAGTACTTGGGGGAAAAAAAAGAGTCATTACTCGGCCTATCAACTACACTATAACTAATAGTATGGCAAAATTAATAAGCACAGTGCACCATGCTCAGTACTAACCTCCATTACTACAGGCTGGGTCGCAGCCCATATTCCAGATGGGGAAACAGAGGTTGCAAGGGATGAAGAGCCTGGTCAAAGGTCACATCTGGGCTCAGCCTAGCTAGGGACTAAGCCCCAGCTGGCCACACTGCAGAGCCCGAGTGCTTCTGCTGGTGGCTGATGTGAGCCCATTTCAGGGGAAACTGAAGCTAGGGAGACAGCCCAGGGATTCAGAGAAGTGCTAACCATTCCCCTTGTGGTGATTCTAGAGTCCTTTTTCCTTTCTTCAGCACTAGGGATCAAACCCAGGGCCTTGCACATCCCATGCCCTGCCACCGAACAGGTTTGCAACCTGTGGGACTGGGCGAAGGGGTCAGGGCCAGCCCCCGGCTTCTCTCTGCACCTTGCCACCTTCCAGCACTAACCAACCGGTACCTGTTGGGGGCTAGCAATGCTCTGCCTCCCAGGGAGACAAACGTGTCCCCATCCCACAGTCAGAGAGGCACATCCTCCTCTGATCCCTAAGCCGCAGAGCGATTATTGGGGGCTCTCACTCCTCCAGGGGCTTGCTGGACTCAAGTCCCATAAAGAAGTCACTGAGTCCTCCTCGCCCGGACAGGTTATGCAACATACAAGACTCCAGGCCCTGCCAAGCCTCCTTGTATTTATTTATTTATTTATTTATTTATTTATTTATTTATTTTCTCCATACCAGGAATGGAACTCAACCCTCGCGCTTGTCAGGCAGATTCCGTGCCGCTGAGAGACAACCTGGGCCCTCCTGTTTCAATTTAAAAATGGCCAAACTGGGGCCCAGGGAGTTTCCTCCGGCGACCCAAAGTCAGCCAGCAAGCTCACAGATGCGGCTGTGCACGCGGAGTTCGGAGCGGTCTGGTTTTCCCTCCTTGCGGATGCCCGGGCGCCCAGTCCCCCCCCCCGCCCCCCCCCCCCGCGCCGCCGCTCTGCGGAGCGCGAGCCTCTGCGTCCCCTTTAACACCCCGCCCCCCTGCTCCCTCCTCCCCTTGCAGGCAGACGCCAGGATTGCGCGGCCGCCCGCAGGCAGCTGCCCAGTCCTTCGGGCGCGGCGGGGAGCGCGGTCGGGACGCGGGGCCGCTGCGGGCGCGGGCAGGATGGTGAGCGCAGGAGGGGCCTGGTGCCTGGTCTGGGCTTCTGTGTCTCTGCTCAGCCCCTTGTCTGTTCCCTGTCGCACTCTCTTGCAGCTCTTTTTCTGGCGCGCTGCCTCTCGGTCTCCTAATTTTCTCTCCGTTTTGGGGGTGGGGTGGGGTGGGCTCTGGACTTCCCTGTCCCTCCGCCCCCATTTGTCTCCCTCGCCCTTGCGCTGCCCTCTGTCTAAGTCTCTGTCCCTCTCTGGCTCTCTGTCCCGGTTCCCCCGGCTCCGGCCCGTTTGCTGCAGTCTCCTGGCGCACGGATAACCTTGCTGCCGCTCGCCCCAGCTCCGCTCCCCGCCCCCTCCGAGCCGGGCTGTTGCGCGGGGAAGGCGGAGCTCGGAGCTACCGCGCTGGGGACCGGGTCGACGGGGACGGCGCAGGTGTCGGGGAGGCCGGGCCGGGCGCGCGCAGAGCGCAGAATGGAGAGGGCACGAAGTCCTAGAAAGGGGCCGGGATGGAGACCTCGGGAACCTGGCCGTGGGGGCGCCTTGCACGGGAAGTACGCCCATCCCGTCCACGGGTCTGACAGGCCAGGGAGCCGGTCCTCTGCACCGAGGGGCGGCTGCCGGCGGACTGAGCGCCGTGCGCCCGCAGGTGCGCGCTCCGGCGGCTCTCGGAGCCCGCGTGCTCTGGGCCGCGGCCTGGGGCCTCCTGCTGCTCTCGGCACCCGTGGGGGCGCAGCGCGGCCGCAAGAAGGTGGTGCACGTGCTCGGTGAGTTTTGGTGGCCCAAGGTGGCCAGTGAGCTGCGGAGAGGGGCACGGGGGGAGGGTATCGCTGATGGCTAAGGTCCCCGGGCTCTCTCCATTGGACCCCGCCTGAGCTCCCCATATCCCCTCTCTGGCTCCCTCGCCCGCCCCAGGCCCCCCTCTGACCCCCACCTTGGTCCCCCGCAGAGGGGGAGTCGGGCTCCGTGGTGGTGCAGACGGCCCCCGGGCAGGTGGTCAGCCACCGGGGTGGCACCATCGTCTTGCCCTGTCGCTACCACTACGAAGCGGCCGCCCACGGACACGACGGCGTCCGCCTCAAGTGGACGAAGGTGGTGGACCCGTTGGCCTTCATCGATGTCTTCGTGGCGCTGGGGCCCCAGCACCGGGCATTTGGCAGCTACCGCGGGCGGGCTGAGCTGCAGAACGATGGGCCTGGGGACGCGTCTCTGGTTCTGCGAAACGTCACCCTGCAGGACTACGGGCGCTACGAGTGTGAGGTCACCAACGAGCTGGAAGATGACGCCGGCATGGTCAAACTAGACCTGGAAGGTGACCAGCCCATGGGCACAATGGGGCTTACATCTCAGGGAAGGGGACTACAAGGACCAGAAACCAAATCAAATGGGCTTAAAGGAATTTAGAGATTTTAGCCAGGCATGGTGGCACACACCTGTAATCCCTGCACCCAGGAAGCTGAGGCAGGAAGACTTCTGTGAGTGTGAGGCCAGCCTGGACTACATAATGAGAACCTGTCTCATAAAAGGCAAACAAAAATGAAAGAGTTTGTGAGGCAGGGCAATGGTTATGAGGGGGGTAACGCTGTCCCCCATAGACTGCAGCACGGTCTGGAGACACTGTAGGTGCTCTACTTGGAGGTGGTCCGCTGGCATGGAGCGGGGAGGGACCTTGGGTGCTGCTAAACGTTCTCCAAGACACAGCACCGCCCCCACAGGAAGAACAAGGCATCCAGTGTCAGCAGTAAGGAAGGAGACGTTGAGAAGCCCCGAGCAGGTTAAGATCCAGGCATTCGTATTATGTCGGAATGCATTCCTCACCTCTGCTTCCCGGATGGCTTTTCCCAGGCAGGTTTCCCCTTCCGGAACCCAAAAGCTTCCCGATCATAACACCAGAATGCCACCCTCACGAGTTAGCTAAGTTTGATCCTAAGTTTCTAGGATCAAAGACTAGTCCCAGAGTTGTCTCGCATTGGGCTAGTTTGGGTCACGTGCTCAGCTCAGAGCCAATCATTGTAGCTAGGTGTCGGGCTGCTGTGATTGGTCGGCCTGGTGCTTGGTGGCGTGGTCTCCGGCTGAAAGGTTCCCTCCCACCTGGTTTGCCTCTGGGTGGCGGCAGCAAAGGAGGTATAGCGGCGGTAATAGCAGGAGCACTTCTTCATTAGGCGTTTTCTGTGCCAGCCACTTAAGGTGAAGAGCTCTCTGGAGTCGCTCATTTAATTTTCCAAGAACCCCACGAGAGATAGCTATTACCGGCCTGTGGCGATGAGCACAAGGAGGGGCAGCCTTGCGCTTGAGGGGCGTCTGCTAATGATGCGCCCAGAGCTCAGCTCCTGGCTGTCGGGCCAGTTGTCTTCCCGGCTCCCTGCCACCTTCTGAGTGTGCTGAGCTCTTCCACTGACTCCACGCTCCGCTCTGAAGTTCAGAGGCATAAAACTGAAGCGTTGGGCTGAGGATTTAGCTGAGTGGCATAAGCGCCTGCTTTGAAAGTGCGCGGTCGTTTGATCCCCGGTACCAAACAAAAAAACTAAAGCGTTAGGGAAACCAAGGGGTCCTTCCTTAGCCAGTGCTGTCAGGCCAAAGGGCCCTTCACTCTGGGATACAATAATCCAGGGCTCCCAGTCCAGGGGAATCCTGCACTGGACATGGACATTCCAAGTCTCCGTGGACCCGGGGAGGGCTCAGTGCTGATGGAATGTCACGACCATATAGGAGTAGGGGGTTTGGGATTTGGGTTTTGAAGGGTGAATAGGAGTTTGAGAGTTGGAAAGGGTAAAGAACATAAGCAAAGGCTTTCAGCAGCGGAAGAGGGATAGCCACGATTAAGTACGTTAAGGGAGAGTCAAGTGAATCCATGACTGACCCCATGCAACCCCGCCAGGCGTGGTCTTCCCCTACCACCCGCGTGGAGGCCGCTACAAACTGACTTTCGAGGAGGCAAAGCGCGCGTGCGCGGAGCAGGACGGCATTCTGGCGTCAGCTGAGCAGTTGCATGCGGCCTGGCGCGACGGCCTGGACTGGTGCAACGCGGGCTGGCTGCGCGACGGCTCGGTGCAGTACCCCGTGAGCAGGCCACGGGAGCCCTGCGGCGGCCTGGGCGGACCCGGGAGCGCAGGGCCTGAAGGCGGCGTCGCGCAAGGGGGCGTGCGCAACTATGGTTACCGCCACAATGCCCGGGAGCGCTACGACGCCTTCTGCTTCACCTCCAACCTTCCGGGTGCGTAGGTCCTGCCCCCCCCCAACGTCCCCACCCAGACTCCCCAACTGCCACGACCTGAGGATCCAGGGCGCAACACGGCCCTAGCCAAAACTGGGGGGCGGGGCGTCCCAGGCAGCAGGGGGGAGGGGCCGCTCCCAGATCCCGAGAATCTTAGGTTGCCAGGGGTGGGGTCCTGAGCCCCTGGGGTGGGGATCGGGCCTCATGAGGTTCCTACGTCTCCTGCAGGACGCGTGTTCTTTCTGAAGCCTCTACGGCCTGTGCCCTTCGCGGGGGCGGCACGCGCCTGTGCAGCGCGCGGCGCGGACGTGGCCAAAGTGGGCCAGCTGTTCGCCGCCTGGAAGTTGCAGCTGCTGGACCGCTGCACCGCGGGCTGGCTGGCCGACGGCAGCGCGCGCTACCCCATCGTGAACCCGCGCGCGCGCTGCGGGGGTCTCCGGCCTGGCGTGCGCAGCCTCGGCTTCCCAGACGCGTCGCGGCGCCTCTTTGGCGTCTATTGCTACCGCGCGCCCGGCGCGCCCGACCCCGCGCCCGGCGGCTGGGGCTGGGGCTGGGCCGGCGGCGGCGGCTGGGCAGGGGGTTCGCGTGACCCTGGGGCCTGGACCCCGCTGCGCGTCTAGGAACCTGCAGGAGGGGTGGCCTTGACTGGCCACGCCCCCCAAGGCGCCCTGGACGCTGTCCACGACCCCGAGGGCTCCGGAAGCCCGGCCACAGGCCCTCTGGGCTTTTGGAAAGTAACGGCGCCCATGGGGTGCCTGGCGCCCCCTCGATACAGACCCAGCCCATCTCTTCGGGACAGTGGATTTCCCTCTCCCCAGTTTCTCCAGAAGGGCCACCACCTTCTTGAAGGCGGGCTACCCCTCTTCGTTCGGCCCCCTGGAGACAGACTGCTACCTCGGTCGCGTGGTGGCTGGACCCCCGAGACTGGCGACTGGCCACACACCCTCTGCATTTCCCTGGAGACTGGAAACGTGTCCCTTTGATCAGCTGTACACCGAATCCCCTCCCACTATCTGGAGAGAAAACGGAAACCTCAGGGTTCCCAGTTGACCACGGGTCCCCCACCCCACGGCCTGCAGACCGGGCTCTTCCACGAGCCCTGAGAATGCCCTAAAGTTTCCGGGGTAACTAGCGCATTCCCGGCCCCTGTGAGGACAGTCCCACCTCAGTCTCTTGGAAGAGCACTTTTATTTATAAGTCACCAGTAGATCGACACGCCCCCAAGTGGCTGGCGACAGTGGCAGCTGAGCTCCAGCTCCCCCTCGGGATTTCTCTGGATGGGGAGCAGACCGGTCCCCCCAAGGCTCCTTGCAGGGCTGTCACCAAAGAGATCATTCCTTCGGTCCCAGCGACCCGTAAGATTCTTGTCATGGAGACCAGCAGCCTGGCTTCTTACTGTCACCAACAGAAAGTGACACCCCTCACCAGTCACGCCCAGTCCCTCCTCCGCTGTAACCATGGATACCACAGGTTTCCCATCTCACCAGCCCTCACTCCAGAGGATATACTTCTACTCGGGCTGTCCCCACTCCTCAAAACTGTCCCCAGGGCAACCCAACATTTGGTTCCGCGGCTGTCACTATGGAAACAGGGTGCCTCCCCCGCCCTCTCCTGGCGCACCCGGGCTCTTGGCTTGGCCCCTGGGCTGCTGGGAGACCCCCTTGTTGCCGAGGAAACCAAACTCTGGTGTCTGAGGTGACACAACACCTGTCCCCATAGGCTTTCCCTCCTCCACCAAGCTGTCGACTGTCAACGTCGTTCCCATGACAACCGATCTCCCAGTTCTCAGGAACTTTTCACCAGAGGCCCGATGGGCCCAGGCTCAGACGGCGCTCCAGACAAGGCTAGACTTCTGGGGCCATCGGTCACGCTCGGTATGCACGCTAACTATACACCGGGCAGCTGCTGTGCATGCGCCACCCAGACTCAGATTCCCACTTACAGGTCGGGCTCCGGCTGTGGGGTGCTCGGTCCTATGAACTGTGTGGGTTCTGGGGCTACGCCCACCGCCCAGGCCACACCCATCTCTCCCGGCCCCGCCCACAGCTTCCTCCCAAGGCCGGCGATTTGCGCAATGAGGTCAGACGCCAGGCCGACCTTTCCGCTGACAGTCCCTTCCTGTAGCCCGGTGGCGGGAGACCCCGGTTCTGAGGGCCCGTCTGGAGCGCTCCTCATTGCTGTTCCCGTCTCTAGGAAACGCGCCTGCAAGCTTGGGCATCGGGTGGGCACGGGTTTGGATCCGGCCTGTTGTCTTTGCTCACTGTGTGACCAGGCGACAAATCCCCTCTGAGCCTGCTTCCCTCAGCGTCCAGGGTTGTCTGCGGTTCCCTCGAGTGCATTGCATACAGCAGGAGTTCAATAAATCTTTGATTTTTTTTTTTTTTTTTTTTTTGGTACCGGGGATCGAACTCACGACAGCGCGCTTGCAGGGCAGGCCCTTATGCTGCTGAGCTAAATCCCCGGCCATTCTTTGATTCTTTTAATAAATGAGAAAACAACGCAGTTTGATGAACAGAATGTTTTCGGCCTGCGGGGCGTGGTTTTGAGCGCAGTGGGAAACCTCTGCTTCCATCCTTCAGGCTCCACCCTGCGGACCTGCCTGCCCTTCCATCCTCCTGGCCTCAGATTCAAAACCCTCCTGCCTCATCCTCTGGGTGCTGGGAGGAGTGGTCTGCTGCGCCTGGTTTGGCTCTGTCCTGACTGGACCTTGAGAATACCCATGGCAGGATGTTGGGGATTCCTGTCCTAAGAAAGCAGTCAAAGATTTCTAATTTTCCCTAGCATAGGAAGAAGGGGTTTGGGGTGGTGCAGAGAGGCACTGAAAGTTTTTAGAATGTAAGACAAACCCAGAATGGGGGAAAGGGTACAGTCCTGATATGGTTGTAAAACTGGGATAATCTGCACTTTTTTTTTTTTTTTTTTTTGTCTTTTTCCTCTTTATCGGTACCGGGGATCGAACTCACGACTGTCTGCTTGCAAGGCAGGCACTTATGCCGTTGAGCTAAATCCCCAGCCCAATCTGCACATTTTTTTGTGCTTCGAGAAACACACACACGCACACGCACACGCACACGCATACACGCAAATCTGGGGATGGCGGCCTTCCTTCCTTCCGGGTCCTCCCTCTTTGGGCTCAGCCAATGAGTACTTGTGAATTATTCCTTGGGAGGTTCTGATTGGTGCAGCGTCGTGCAATGCAAACCAATGAGACGCCGTCCCTGGGATTTTTTGACTGACCTCCTCCTATAGGGGAGCCATTCCTTCCTTCAAACCAGATTGCTACGCAAGGCAGATTCCCACTAGTAGTGTTCCTGAAGCCGGAAGTCCAGGAAAATGCTTCCTCCTGCTTCGGGCACCCAAGCCCACCCTAAAGACGCCCAAGGACCAGGATCCCGGTACCCACTAATGTCCGTGTCCTCTTAGAAAAACCATGTGCTCGAATCAGTCTGTACACAGGCCCCTTGTACTTTGTCATCTCTAGGTTACTTTTTAAATTTTTTTTTTTTTTTTTTGTCTTTTTTGGTACGAGGGATTGAACTCACGACCCCACACTTGCAAGGCAGGTGCTTATGCCGCTGAGCTAAATCCCCAGCCCCTATTTTAATTTTTAAAAATCCATATTAGTTACACCGACAAGTGAGTTTCCTTTGGGCCTATTATATGCATGGGACACACTGTTCATCTCCACCCCCACTCTTCATCCTTTTCAGCTTCTGTCTCCTTTTCTGTCCTCCTTCCTTTCCTTCTTTCTTTTTCCTCTACGGATTGAACCCAGAGCCTTCACACTGAGCTACATCCTCAGTCTTTTCTTTCTTTCTTTCTTTCTTTCTTTCTTTCTTTCTTTCTTTCTTTTTTTTTTTTTAATATTTTTTTTTGTCTTTTTCCTTTTTATCGGTACCAGGGATCGAACTCACGACTGCCTGCTTGCCAGGCAGGCGCTTATGCCGCTGAGCTAAACCCCCAGCCCCTTTTTCTGTCTTTTTTGAGTCGGGGTCTCGATATGCAGTTCAGGCTGGCCTTGAGTTCACTTTGTAGCCCAGGCTGGTCTCAAACTCGCAAGGATACTCCCACCTCAGCCTCTTCAGTGCTAGTATTACAGGTGTGAGCCACCACGCTAGCCTTTTCTTCTTTTTTGTCTTTTTCTTTTTTATCTGTACTAGGGATCGAACTCACAGTTTCCTGCTTGCAAGGCAGGCGCTTATGCCACTGAGCTAAATCCCCAGCCCCTACCCTTTTTTATTTTTTTATTTTATAGTTTGAAATAAACCACTAGTTATCCAGGGTGGGCTGGGCTCCAGTTTACAACCCTCCTGCCTCAGTTTCCTGAGCGCTGGAATCGCAGGTGTGGGCTCCTTACCCTGGTCCCTGCTGGCCTAATTATTGCTCTTCTCTTTTTGGTTCTGATTCCAACCAGTCCTCCAGGAAGCCACCCAGCAACCGCTTTCCCAATCCCACTATCAACCAGGACCCAGCATGGTACCAGGCTCCCCAAATCCCTGCAGAACAAATGAAAGAACCATGAGGGGATGACAGGCAGGTTGAACTGTTAAAAAATTTTTTATTAAAATGTCCAAGAAGTACATTAATGTCCACAGTGTCAGATATCATGGGCCCACAAAACACTGCAGCTCCCTGCACACCCAGCAGCCCCCAAGCTGTTCACGGGCACACCACACACACTCACACAGAGACACGCGCGCGCCCTGGGGGGAAAGACCAAAGCCAGAGCTCTGAGCCCTGGCCCCAGGAGTAGGGCGGGTGCAGGACGGGGCTGAGGGCCTGTCATGCCAGCATCCACTGCAACCCCACAAGAGTGTCCCCAGCTCGCCTGGAGAGAGACAGGTCTAGGACATGGGCTGCAAAAGGTGCATTATTCTCGGTGCTACCTTTTTAAAACCAGGAAGTGTTAGAAAGTAAGACGGCAAAACCTAGGTTGCTGGTTTTCTCCACAGTAACACGGGGTGGGACAGTGGGACGGGCTGATGTCTGTGGCAGGGAAGATGGGAGCCTGTTAAGGGTGCGGGTCCAGCCACCCTCCCCTAAATCTGCTGCGTGTATGGAAGACATTAAGTTTTCCTTTTTGTTCCATTCCTTTCCCCTTTTCTTCTTTATGTCTCTCTCTTTTTCAGACAAGGTCTCTCTATGTAGCCCAGGCTGACCTCGAATTCACAGCCATCCTCTTGCCTCAGCCTCCTGAGTGCTGGGGGTACTGTGCACCACAAACTCTGCTCCAATTGGCACATTTCAGTCTTCACTCTGCCGCCAGGGGGCCCACACATTTGCGCATCTCTCTTTCTGGGTAGATCCTGATTTCTGGCCTGGGGTGGATTTTTGCAGGCTGCAGATTTAGAGGGAGGAAGGCAAGGTTCTTTCTCACTTAAAAAAGTTGTTACACCATGAAAGGTGTTGGTGGAAGTGTGTGCACTGTGGTTTGAACACCATGCATCTCTCTACCACATGGCCACAGGGAGGTGTCACTGCTCTGAGGGTTAACCCTTTCTCGTCCACCAGGCAAGGGCTGGAGACAGGGGTGGGGGAGAGGGCTGAGGAGCAGGTACAGACGGGCCCTAGGTTAAAAAACTTGACACCTCCTTGGTGCAGAAAGGAGGCTCTTTGTCTCCCTGAGAGATGGAAGGGTAAGAGGTTGGGCTCAGCTGACGCTAGATGTCCTCTTCTGCACATGTGACAGAGATCCCTCACTCGGGTCCAGCCGAGTCCCAGTGCTGCCGCAGATCCGCGAGGTCAGCAGTATACTGTCCTTGCATCCCAACGCATGGCTCCCCACTCCTGCCCCGACTGAGAGCAGGGAGGGCGGTCATTTCAAAAACATTCCTAAAATTCAATGCATCTGAGTGCCCACTCAAGGAGCTCCTCTCACCTCAGCCTCCTCAGTGCCTATCCACCAAGACCAAAAACCAAACTGGGGCTGAGTCCAAGGCAAAGGAAGAGCAGCCGTCCAGTTCGTGCTGTGTGCTTCTGTTCTGCCTTCTACTCTCAAAGCTGTGACCCTAAGCAAAGGCCACACCTAGGACAGCCAGCTGGGTACTGAGCCTGAATCCCCCGTGTGAAAAGCAATTCCTCAGCACACGTCCACACACACACCCTCAGGCCCTCAGCAGAGTATGATTTCAGCAAAGGCCCGGCAGCCCAGCCAGAAGAAGGTCAACCCGACACGGAGAATGACCTGCAGGGATGCACAGGGCTGCCCTGGACAGGTGGTGACCCCAGTTTCACCTTGACGGAAATGGACTCTTCAGACACACGGTGACACTAGCCAAGAGGACCTTGGGTGGGAGGGAGGATAGGGAGATTTTTACAGGGGGGTACGTGAGGGTCATGGTGGGGGGCTGGGGGCTTCTGGGCCCTCTCCATCGCCAGGCTCCGTCTCCCAGGCATGGGAAGGGGCTGTGCTTTCTGTCGCCTGGGCCCTCAGCAGAAGTCGCCCTCGTCCTTGTCCCAGTCCTCCACAGTGTGTCTCCTGTGTTTCCCATGCTCCTGGTGCAGTTTGTGGTGGTGGCGCTGGTGGTGGTGCTGGTGGTGCCGCCGGTGTCTCCGCATGCGGTGGGACCGTCTGGCTGCAGGGAAGAGAAAGAGGACAGGAGGGGTGGGTATGGGTCACTGGCACATCTGCAGGGCTGAGGTAGGTGCGGGTGGGATGCCAGGAAGCTGCAGGCTGGGGAAGGGCCTTGGGGTGCAACCGCTTACATTTGGTGCAGACGATTTGCGGCCGGTCCCACCTGCCGTTGCTCCGGCACCGAATGGTAGCCACGTGCCGCTGTGAGAAGCCATCCTCACACTGGTAGCGCACGGTGGTATGCACATTGTACTTGGCCTTGCGGGCGCCCACAAGCAAGGCATTGTCCACAGCCGGAGGTGGCCCGCACAGCACTGAGGACGGGGAGCTCCGGTCAGGAAAGGGGCCACAGGGAGGCAGAAAGAGGGCGGTGTCCCTGGGTGGGCAGCTCCCGCCCACGCTCTGCCCAGCTCCCATCTCTCAGGGTCCCAAGCACCTGCGTCTTTCTCTTCCACCTACCAGGAGCTCCACAGGGGCAGGACCCTGCTGCCCACAGCCCACTCTTAATTCCCACGCCAAGCACAGGACACGATGGAAATGGGAGCAAGAACAAAGCAAAGTACAGGGGTGGGGTGGACCGGAGAATGTGCATGGGTGGGGTCCTTCATATGTAAAGAGATGCTAAGAATCAACAAGAGGGCCAGGTATGGTGCACATGCCTGTCATCCCAGCACTTGGGAGGCTGAGGCAGGAGGATCCTTGTGAGTTTAAGACTAGCCTGAGCTATAAAGTGAGCTCAAGGCCAGCCTGAACTACAGAGCAAGACCCTGTCTCAAAAAGACAAAAAGAAAAAAAAATCAGCAACACCCCCAAGGAGATGAAACAGTTGGTTCAAATAAAGACGCTCGATTATTTTCATCCTTAAAGCCGTGACAGGGGCCGAGATCAGGTTCAGGGGCGGGTGCCTGCCCAGCAAGCCAGCAGGGAAGCAGGACTCCAAGGCTGAAAGGAGCCACGAGGGGGAGCAGTACCTGTGACAGCCAGGAGGGGGCGCATGGTACCTGTGCCTTTCTTACACACGTAGGGGAGGTTGTAGTTGCAGGGGACATCGTTCCAATGCCCACTCTCATGCGCCACCATCACCACGCAGTCTTCCCCGCCGGCGAAGAAGTTGTCCGGCTGCTTCTCGCGCCAGTTCTCGTATTGCTGCAGGAAAAGGGGCGCTGAGCCCAGCCTGGGCTCCCCCAGCTGGACCCTTAGGACTCAGTGTCCCTGCACTAAGGTGGGGCCCTCGCCTCTGCTGAGGGTGCTGTGACCCTGGCAACCCTCCTCCCTCCAGGAGGCCACAGGTCCTCTGCTCTGCTTTTCTCACCTCCTACCTCACACACAGAAAGGGAAAATGGGCTTCGTGACACCCGCCTGTCATGCCAGAATCTGGAGGCTGAAGCAAGATCACTGCGAGTTCAAGGCCAGTCCGAGCTCACAGTTAGTTGAAGGCTAGCCTGAGCTACATAGAGACACCCTGCCTCAAAACACCAAAGGCCAGGAGGCAAGAAAAGTCAGGGCTGGGGTGCAGGGCTGCCTGATGGAGCCGTGGGTGTGGTCGGAGTGGGCAGGGCCAGGTCTGGTGTTAGGGGAGAAGAATAGTGCCTGTGCATGCATACATGTACGTACTGGGCCCTTGCACATGCTGGGTGTGCTCTCTCACCAAGCTACACTCCAGCCCTTCTAATTTAATTCTGAGACAGAGTCTTGCCTAGGCTCAAACTTGCCACCCTCCTGCCTCATCCTCCTGAGTGAGTGGGATGACAGGTATAAACCACTGTGTTCAGCCTGAGATTTTTTAAAATTGTGTAGATGCCATGAAAGTTACTATTTTAAACCACTTTCAGGCACAGCTTATTGGCACTATCTTCACAGTGTTGTATAACCATCTCCACTATCTATTTCCAAAACTGTTTTATCACGACAAACCAAAACTCTGTACCAATGAAGGAAAAGAACTCTCCACTCCACTCGCCCAGCTTCCAGCCCCTGGTAAACACCAATCTCCGCTGTGTCTCTAGATCTGCCTCCCCGGATGTCTGATGTAAAGGGCCCCATATGCGACACACTTTTCGTGCCTGACGTTGCACTGATTCTTGTCAGTGGTGGAAATCAAACTCGGGGTGTGCTACGACTGAGCTACATCCTCAGTCTTTTTTACTTTCATTTCGAGGCAGTGTTATGGTTTAGGTCTGGATGTCCCTTCAAAGCCTCATGCAGTCATGGGGGCAGCTTCTAGACTTTGTGATTGATTCATGGTCCAGTGCTGCGATTTTATGGGTATGAGTGCTACACCCACCCTGCAGTGGGTGCCATACATACAACCCAAGGGGGGGGAAAGAGGCTCCCTCTCCTTCCCCTTTTGCTCTTTCTACTTTCACTGTCTTCCACCACCACGAACTGTTGCCCCACTTGCATTCCACCCTGCCTTGAAGTCAGCTGATGATGACTGAACTCCACAGACAGTGAGCTAAATAAATCTTCCCTTCCTTTATTGTTGGCATCCAGAATTTTGTCCCAGCAACAAGAAAACAGGCAGGGTCTCACTAAGGTGCCCAGCTGGTCTTAAACTTGTGGTCCTCCTGCCTCAGCCTCGCAAAATGCCAGAGTCATAGGAGTGTGTCCCTGTATTTATCCATGTAGTAGCTGCTCTTTGTGGCTGTGTAATATTCCACTGTGGGGATGAACCACCTGTTGTTCAGACTTTGAAGGATATTCAGGCTCCCATCTCTCGGGCTGCTGTGAGCCTTGGGGGACAGTATCTGTTTACACATCTGCTTTTCTTTTCTTTCTTTCTTTCTTTTTTTTTTTTTTTTTTTTTTTGTCTTTTTGAGACAGGGTCTCCCTATGCAGTTCAGGCTTCCCTTAAGCTCATTTTGTAGCCCAGGCTGGTCTCGAACTTGCAACAATCCTCCTCCCTCAGCCTCCTGAGTGCTGGGATTACAGGAGTACACCACCATGCCTGGCTCACATCTGCTTTTCCATTTTTATTTTTCTATGTTCTGGGAGTGGAACCTAAGACCTCATGTACACTAGGCAAGTGCTCTGCCACTGAGCTGCACACCCACCCTGAGGGGTGATTTTTTAAAAGGTCCTTGGTATGGGGGATCTTCTTTTGGGGTAATGAAAATGTTCTGGACCTCCATGGAGATGGTGGTCACAGAATATTATAAATGTACAAAACGTTAATAAATTGTACTCTTTAAAGTAGTACATCATTGGCCAGCTGGGGTGGCACACACCTGTGATTCCAGCACTCAGAAGGCTGAGGCAGGAGGATTGCCATGAGTACAAGGCCAGCTTCAACTGCATAGTGAGCTCGAGATCAGCCTGAACTACACAGCAAGACCCTATCTCAAAACAAACCAAAAAGTAGTATATATTTACAGCCATGTACTAATAAAAAAAAAAAAGAACAAAAACATGGTTAGTTTAACTAGATGTGGTGGCACACGCCTGTAATCAATCCCCTGTGGCACCTGGGAGGCAGAGGCAGGAGAATCATTCCAAATTTGAGGCCAGCTTCGGCTACATAGTGAGTTGAAAGTCAGCCTGGACCACATATGGAGACTCTATCTCAGACCAACAAACAAAAAGGTTTTGTGACATTTCACCTCATTATTTGCAAGCAAAGCTCCTGGCCATATTTGATGAAGTGGCCTGTAGCCCAGCCCTCAGGAGGCTGACGCAGGAGGGCTGCTTTGCTCAGGAGTGGAAAAAAAGCTGGGTCAACATAGTGAGACTTCCTTAGTGTATGCAGTCGGTTGTAATCAAGTGACATCTTCCTGTCTCTCAAAAAAAAAAAAAAAATCTGTATCTAGTTCAGGTGCTGCGCCTTATCATCCTAGTCACCCAGGAGGCTGAAGAGGAGGATTTCTGGAGGATTTCAAGTTTGAAGCCTGCCTGGGCAACTTAGTAAGACCCGTCTGAAAACAAAAGGGCCTGGGGAGTGGATCAGTGGTGAGCACTTGGCAGCATGCGCAAGGCCCTCGATTCCAGCCTCAGCACCTCACACGCGCGCACACGGACACGCAGGAACCGAGGCCGAAAGCAGCAAGCGACCCCGAGCTAAGGGACCCCCGAGCTAAAGGACCCGGATTCCCGGAGCCCAGCGGCGGGGGCGGATGCGGGAGGGGGAGGGGTCGCGGGTAAAGCCCTGCCTTCAGGGAACCCCAAGAGCCCTCTGCCGCCCCCTGCGTCTGCTTTGAACAAGACGGTAAACTGAGGCCAGGGGACCCGGCCCCTCGCGGCCAGGCGCAGGCGGACGGGGCCGCTGCTCACCAGCCCGGTGTTGTCGGTCCACTGGAAGTCGCGCTCCACGATCCTGTCGTTCAGGCCGATCCACGTGTTCTCGTGCCCAAAGCCTGGGGGGGGGGGAGGCGTGAGCTGCAGCAGCCCCTCCCTTGGGCCTGGACTCCCCGTCCCCCCCCCCCGACATCTGCAGGGTAGAGAGACTCGAGACACGACACGGGCCCTGCCCCCGCAACGGCGGGCTGTGTCTGCGGGGGTGGGGCGGGGAGGGGACGGCAGCCAGAAGCCGGCACGGGGGCGGGGCGCAAGTTCAGGCACAGGAGGGGGGAGGGGAGGGAGGAGGGGAGGGGAGGGGGAGGGAAGAGGAGGGGAGGGGGAGGGAGAGGTGGGGGAGGGGAGGGGGAGGGGAGGGAGGCACGGGCGCGCCCCCGGCCCCAGGACCCCTACCGTTGAGGAAGCGCTGCTCCTCCAGGGAGTGGATGCTGCTCAGGTGGCCGGCGCGGCGGCGACAGTCCCTCTCCGCCTCCTCCCACGCCCGCCGGTGGGCGAAGTAGCGGTAGCAGTGGCCCTGGAACTTGTGCCAGCCGCGGTCGCAGCCTTCTGTGTCTGGGGTGGGGGGTGGCGTGGGTCACCCTGTGACTTAGGGGCTGAGGAACTGGCCCCGTCGCCCTCTCACTTCCCCTTTCCCAAGTGCATTCTTTTTTTTTGTACCGGGGATCAAACTCAGACTTCGAGCTTGCCAAGCTGGCGCTTGTGCGGCTGAGCTAAACCCCGGCCCCTCTTTTTTTTTTTTTTTTTGTACTGGGAATGAAATCCAGGGACTTCACACGGAGCTACTTCCCAGGTCTCTTTTAATTTTGAGGCAGGGTCTTGCTAAATCCCCAAATTGCCCGGGCTGGGCTTGAATCTGTGATCCTCCTGCTTCAGCCTCCCAAAGGGCTCAGATTACAGGTGTGGGCTATCACACCTGGCCTAAAGTTCTTTTATTTGTAAAAAAGACACCTTTGGGAAAAAAAGACACATTGCCACGAATCCCCCTCAAAACCGGCCCCCTTACTTTGAACACATGTTCTAGTTTTTTATTTTATTTTTCTGATTCAAGGTCTCACTATTATAGCCCAGGCTGGCCTTGAACTCAGTAGTGATTCTCCTGCCTCAGCCTCCCAAGTGCTGGGATCAGAGGCTTGCGTCACCATGCCCGATTTGTACCACTTTTCACTCATTTTTTTTTTTCATAAACTCTCCTGTGCTCACCATTGATCATTAGGAAATCCAGATCAAAACCACAATGAGAGATGGCTCGGATGTTAGAACAATGAAACCCAGAAGAAGAAAATAACTGTTGGTGAGATATGGAAAAGTGAATTGGTAGTGCCTGAGTGGTGGGAACAGAAAATAGTGCGGCCACTGTGGAACGCAGCTTGGCAGTTCCAACAGCCACAGAGATTAAACAAGAATAGGAGGAAAAAGGAAGGAGGCACCAGACATAGGCTCACAAATGCTCCTAGCAGCATTACTCACATTGGCCACAAGAGGGGCACAAGCCACCCACCCACCAGGGAATGTACTACTGCATACAGGAGAATATTACACAACCAGAAAAAGAATGAAGACCTGATTCATGTCACAACCGGGATGAGATTTGGAAACGTGGTAAGTGAATCAAGCCATACACAGTGGGACACTGATTATGAGTCCAATTCCATGAAATATCCAGCACAGGCAAATCCATACACACAGAAAACAGACCAGGGGCTGCAGGGATAGGACACCTGCACAACACTGTGAACTGGCTCAGAGCCACAGAGTTGTACATCTGTACATGGCCAGTGCTGGGCATAGGGATGTGTGCCTCTGGTTCCAGATATTCTGGAGGCTGAAGCAGGATGATCACTTGAACCTAGGAATTTTCAATAAGCCTGGGCAACCTAAGGAGATCCTATGGAAAGGAGGAAAATAAGATTTATTATGTGTTATATGGTTTTTCTTTAAAAAAAAAAAAAAACAATTCCACCTCCTGTGGGACTCATGGCAGTGGAAGCAGCAGCAGAGCACCAGGACCCGGTGGAGACTCACCTTTCTCACACAGGTTACCTCCGTAGCTGGGCAGGCAGAGGCAGACAAAGCTATTGACCTCGTCAATACAGGTGCCTCCATTCTCACAGGGGCTGCAGACGCAGTCATCGATGTCTGGTGGGGATAGAGGGGACAAGTGAAAGGGCAGCCTCCCCTTGGCTCCAGCCCCCACAGGGAACTAGGAGGAAACAGTCATCCGTGACAGACAGGAGCCTTCACCTATGGCCCAATGCCTGTAGCCAGGGGTGGAGCCTTGCATAATTAATATAAATTAGCATTAACAAGCAACATGGTCATGGCGCTGAGTCAGGCAGAACAGGCAGAAAGTTTTTCCTGACTCCAGAATAATCCAAGCCTATTTTACCCCACATCAAGCCTTGTGTAGATAGTGACTCAAGTACATAGCGCACTGAACAAGTCCATCCCTTCTCTGAGACTCAGGCTCTCTTTCTGCAAAGCAGTAACAATAATGGTGCCTTCTGAAGAGTAATTCTGGATGAGGATTTAGCTCAGTGGCATAAGTGCCTGCCTGGCATAGTGCAAGGTCCTGAGTTTGATCCCTGGCACAAAGAAAAAAAAAGTAATTGTGGGGCTGGGGATTTAGCTCAGCGGCATAAGCACCTGCCTTGCAAGCAGGCAGTCGTGAGTTCGATCCCTGGTACCGATAAAAAAGAAAAAGGAAAAAAAAAAGTAATTGTGAGTGAAGAGGCAAGGAATGAGCTCAAGACATTATGTCCTTGTACTTAGGGTGATCATTCTAGAATCAGTAGTGTGATTATGAAGTCAAAGAGATGATGTTTGCAGCTCAGAAAATTATGTCATTTATATTTATTGTTTTAATTTCATAATTTGTAGTAGTTCTTCTGTTAGGCTCTGAAGCAAGCAGCAACAGTTGTGGCCATGGTGGTACCTGGGTCCTGGCTCTGCCAGGGAAGAGCAAGCCCCTCAGGGCCTCGGCTGTACCTTCTCTAGCCCCACTTGGCAGAGATGGAGGTGTTTTTTTGATATGATTCCTGAAGAAGGGGCTACAGGGCAGAGACCCTAAGGGGCTGGAACTGAGTAAGTCTAAGCCCGGCACACTCACCGATCTCACAGTTCTCCCCAGCAAAGCCCTGCTCGCAGCTGCAGCCGTACATGGTACCGTTGGTGTTACAGGTCCCACCGTGCAGACATGGGTTGTTCTCACAGGGGTCGGAGGGGACTGCAGGTGGAGGTGCAGCATTAGGCCTTCAGCCCCCCAGCCTCCCAGCCCCCCTCTCCTCAAGCTACTCTCTCAGGAGCACACCCTCTGCAATTCCACAGTGTGGGTTTCTTCTGTCCTCAGATGCCCTCCTTCAAATCCTGTGTGACTTGGTCCCTTCTGGACATGACCTATGCATTACTGCTCTCAAAATTTGGGGACACAAAGTTTGGGTGGGGTAGGAACAGAATTGCCAAAAATAAAGGCGTCCCCTTCTTTCTGTTGGCTCAATTCCTTTGGAAGCAACTTTAGCAGTAGTAGTGCATCGCAGCCGAGTCTGCGCGGTCTGGTTCAGACTCCTCTGTCCAGCTCGGCCTTCACTAGGGGACCCTTGGCGGGTGGCTTTCCTGAATTTAATTGCATTGTCTATAAGATGGAATGAAAACCATCATGTGCCTCTCCACAGGCCTGACCCCAAGACGTGTCTAGATCTATCCACATCAGTGGACTTCGGCAGGGCCCTTTGTCCATTCAGGAAACATCGGGGCAGAGAAGGGCAAGGGTTTATCGCATAGCAAACAGGACACAAGCCCTGGACAGGGACCAGGCCTCCAGGGCACCGGCTTAAGGGCCTCTGGCTGGCCCTGATCACACAGAATTTACTTCCATTTTGTTGTGGCTTGTGGCCTCAAGGAAATTCAGACCATGTAAGCTGTCACTTTCCCCTGGGTGCCCTGGCCTCTGCCTCGCCCCTCAGGAGGCTGTTCTTCCCACAGCCCTCAGGGGGAGCCTACATGAGCCTGTGTCAGGTCACTCCCGCCTCTGCCTAGATTCCCCTATGGTTCCCTAGTACCCAAAGAAGAAAAGCCAAAGTCTGCACTGCAGTTATGGGGCCATATGGGATCTCCCCAGTATCTCCCTGCCCCACCTCCTCTTCTTCCACTTATTTACTCCTCCAGCCACAGTGGCTTCCACTTCTCCAACTGACCCAGCATAGTCCTGCCGCAGGTCCTTTGCACTGGTTGTGGGAAAGCCCTCCCCCGACAGGTCTCTGACCTTTCCTCCCCAGTCTTGGTCATATTTAGATTCCTCAACCCTGTTCCAAAGCTTCTACCCATCTGCACCCCTTCATATGGTTTCTTGCTCTCTTCTGTTGTTTTTTCTTTCTGTTGTTTTTAATAGTTCTGTATTTAATTTTTGTCTTTTGCAGTCCTGAGTATGCAACCCAGGGCTTCACACTTGCTAGGCAAGCGCTCACCACTGAACTACATCCCAATTCTTTTTTATTCTGTATTTTGTAAGGTCTCTTTTTTTTTTTTTTTTTGTCTTTTTTCCTTCTTACCGGTACCAGGGATCGAACTCACGACTGTCTGCTTGCAAGGCAGGTGCTTATGTCACTGAGCTAAATCCCCAGCCCCTATTCTGTATTTTGAGTCAGGGTCTCACTAAAGTGCCTCAGCTGAGGTAAATCCTGTGATCTTTCTGCCTCAGCCTCCCGAGTGCTGGGATGACAGGCGTGCACCACCATGCCCCCGCACAATGTCCCTCACAACTAAGGTTAGTGTTTCCTCTCCCTCTCTCCTTGGGCAGTAGAGTTCCATATGGCACCCACATACAGCCATTCATGCTTAAAATTAATTAAAAGGAAATAAAAGGGAAACACGAAGCTCCTGTGGCACCGAGTGCCCGGCAGGTGAGCAGCCCAATCGAGAGCGAGCCCGGAGCCTGCAGCCCAATCGAGGGCCGGGCCAATGCCAGGCCCGGGCACGTGTGTGCGCATGCGTGAGCCTGCAGATGCCCTGCGCCGCGACACCTGCCCACGGGCTTGCGGTGACTCAGTCACCCATGGAGGCTGCGTTTATTTTTGGCTTGATTAGCATTTTAGCTCAGGCAGAGGTGTCTCCGACACTGCCCGCCTCCTCCACAATGCCACTGGTCTGGAGCCCAGTTGTCAGCGCAAGTCCCCAACCCAATCTGGTGAGCTCAGCCCTGGGGCTCCTTTCTGGCCCTCGTGCGCCTGCGCCACTGCGCATGCGCCTTCCAGCTGGCTCTGCGGGGCCACCACGAAGGAACCTTACACCCTTGAACTCGACCCCACCTGTAGCCTTGGCTTCGCCTAGCTCCAAAGCTGGGACCCAGACCCTGCCTTCAGACAGCCTGGACTCAAACTCCGGCCTCTACTCCTGGTCGCACAGCACTGCCCACACCCTTTGCCTCACTGTGCCTCAGTTTCCCCATGTGTATGGTGAGAACTTGCCTCACAAGGACACGCTAAGGATTGCCAAGGTCATTCTAGTGCAGCTCTTGGACCCAGGCAGCCATACAGGCGACAGCGGATAACAGCAGCTTTCAGTGCACAGAGTTGGCCCTGCCCTGGGTCTGCCGGCCTCCTGGCATCAAAGAAAAGAGGATTTTGTCCCAGATACAGCCCAGAGCAGCATGGCACACAGCTGCTGTCTCTCATCAAGACACTCTGCCTTCCAAAGACAAGTAGGTTAGTCACGCTCTGGGTGCACACCTATCATTCCTAGTATTGGGAGGTGGAGGCAGGAGAATCACAAGTCCAAGCCCAGCCTGGGCCATTTATCCAGATCTTGCCTCAAAATAAAAATTAAAGGGTTGGGGGATGCAGCTCAGTGCAAAGGCCTGTCCTCTCTGCCCTGGGGTACCCCAGCTGCTCCCTGGTCCACAAGGCCTGGCCACGGAGGCTGGAGCACAGGACCAGGACCTACCGTCCTCTGTAGTGTTGTTCTCAGTCGTCCTGAATAGGGCTGGCTCCTCGCCACTGGCTGCCTCCTCCCAAAAGCCCTCCAGGCCCGGGCTTCCAGCCAGCACCTCCAGCTCAGGCTCCAGGGTGCCCAGGGGGACGGGCAGCAGGGTGCTGGGGGCGTCCCACGCTGCTCTGGGCTCTCCAGAGGAAACTGGGGCAGCCTCATCCAACCCAGATGTGGTGGGTGTCCAAGGGGGGAGAGATGGCCTCCCCAGGGGGCTTCCAGGAGGTGGAGGGGCCAAAGGGTCCCATGTCTCCTCAGCCACCATCTGGCCCTCTGGCTGTGGGTGGGGTCGAGAGCTCCAAGAGGACAATTCAGATGTGGCCAGGGTCGCCTGGTCCAGGGGTGCAACAGCTGTCACCACGCTTGGGTCCGAAGTCACTGGAGGGTACCAGGTGGGGCTCTGGGCTTCTCCAGCCACATGGGATGTAGACACCCAGACACTGCCAGCCTCCCTGGGGACCAGCATGGCCGTGAACTCCCTGGGACCCATGCTAGCTCCTTCATCCGCAGCTGCCCTTGGCTCCAAACTTGGGGTGATGCCAGGGTTCCCCAAAGGTGCTGACGGGAGGCTGACATCCTGCCTTTCGCTGTACGGTGAGGGCCAGGTGCCCGGCACCACAGTGGCCTGCAGGCTGGAAGCAGGGTTTTCTGCTGTGGCAGGGACCCCAGATGCAGATCCCAAGGTGCCACTGATGCCTGTGTGCTCCGTGGGGATAGGGTCTTCCGCCATGTTCTCGTCCATGGAAGCCCACTGACTGGGGCTGGGGGACTCAGCTGTGCTGAGCTCAGGGGGGCTGGTCACCCCAATTCCTCCAAAGTCTGCTCCTGGGGGACTAGGATGGGTTCCAGCTTGGGTGTCCATGGCTACCTGTGAGGGGACCATGGGACTCCCCGTTCCCAGGTGGTTCAATATCACCCCAGGGGTCTCCCTGCTCTGTTCTGTTTGGCTCTGGGAGGGGGGCAGGGAGTGCACCCCACTCTCCGAGGATGGCAAGGGGGTGGCAGAGGACACAGCTTCAGTGGGGACAGGTGGAGAGGGTGGCAAGAGACTCATTTTGGGCGCTCGAAGCATGGCCACGATGGGGAAGTCGGGGGATATGGCCACAGTCAGTGGCTCCCAAGGGGCAGCATGGGGATCCTCAGTGTCACTGGGGGCCGAGACAGGGGACTCCAAGGGGGCCCTGGCCAGGTCGGAAGTGACTGGCCATGCAGTGGGGGCCTCGGTGTCTTCCAGCCTCAAGCCAGGCATCCCACTGGGCATTGAGGTGGTGGGTGGGATCTCCGTGGGAGGCCACAGCCAGGGCTCTGGGGGGCTCCTGCCACCAGGGGGACCTGCAACAGCACCAACACACTGATGTGATGATGTCAGGTAGGTAGCAGCAGCTGCTGAGCAACTCTCTGGCCCATGGGCTGAGGCTGAGGTTGGGAAGCCAGCTGGGTCTTGGGGCTACGCCTGTCCCCCCACGCCCAGACCCCTCAAGAGCACACCCCCACTCACCTGCATCGAGGACGTCCACCTCATTGGTCAGAATGGCCCAGGGTCCCCCGCTCCTGGCGCTCCCCAAGGGCTCTGTGATGGAGGGGGGCTCCACATGGTTCCCAGCAGGGCCTGGGGGCAGTGGAAGGGTGCTGGTCCCCTCTGGCCCTATGGCATAGGGCTCCAGTTGCTGGAAGTGGCGGCCGTTCAGCCCCCTCCTGCGCGGCAGGAGCCCTGCGGAGGCCACCTCCACATACACGTTTGCTGATGTTCCTGTCCCTGTCGCCAGCGCCGTGCTGCTGGGGTTGGGGGCCAGCCAGGCTTCTTCAGTGGGGCGGCTAGGGGTGGCACCAGGGGTCTTCTTAGACGCCTGCTCCTCTGCCAGTACAAGGGGCTCCTCGTCCCCGCTGGACAGCAGGGGTTCCTGGGCGTCAGGGGCAGCCACCTCCGGTTGTTCCTGGCCTGGAGGGCCCTCTGCAGACAGGATCTCAGCCTCGTCCCCGGAGGAGGGGGTCTCAGAGTCTCCCAGCTGTGGTGTGGGATGATGAGCTAGGGACAGTGCAGAGGGGCGGGGTCAGGCTGAGGAAAGGGTCAAGGTGCTGACCGGGTCTGGCTCTTGTGGAACCTGGCGGGTCTGTGGGGACCCAGCCACAGATCCATGTCCCTGGGGCCAGGAGGCACCCCACGGCCGCGATCCCCGCCAAAGGTCCTTCTCATCCATGCAGACTGGGCGGTTCGCTCTTGGGATTTGGCTCTTGGGATTGCAGTCTGCACCTTCCAAGGCTGCGCCCCGAAAGGCAGAAGTCACCCCAGATCCTCCCTGCAGCGCCCTGCGAGCCCAGGTAAGCGAGGCCAACCAAGGCGGGGGTGGGGGGTGGGGGGAGGTTGTGCAGCTAAGGGAGCGGCTCCAGGTGCGATCTGGGTTTAGTCTGTTGAGCCTCAGAACCTCAGGGAAGGGACCCCGCAGTTAAAAGAGACTCCCCCCGCCCCAGCTACACTTCCTCAGGAGCTGGTCTACCCCCAGGGCACGGTGCCTGGTGAGGGCGCAGCCCAGGGGCGAGGCTTTTCCACGAGGGGGCGTGGCCCAGGTAAGACCGCCCAGAAGGAGTTTTCAGGTGTGCCCTGGGGCGGGGCCTGCACAAAGTACAAATCCCGGGGTGTGGCCTCTGCCAAAGAGCCCAACCGGAGCGGGACCCCACCCAGTGGACGCACAGGGGCGTGATCCGAAATGGACACGCCCTGGGGCGGGGCGGGGCGGGGCCGCACACACCTCGGAAGCAGTAGGCGTCGAAGCGCGCCGCAGGCGCGGGGAAGCCGGTGCGGTTGGCGAAGCGGTACACAGTACGCACGCCCGGAGCAGGGCCCCCGCATCGCCGGCGCGGCGTCTGGATCGGGTACCGCACGCTGCCGTCGGCCAGCCAGCCCGGGTCGCACTGGTCCAGACCCTCGTGCCAGGCCAGGTGCAGCTGTCCCACCGAGGCCAGCTTGGCGCCCTGGCGGCGACATTGGGCACGCGCGCCCGCCAGGGTCAGGCGTCGGGGTGGGCCCACATAGAACACCTCGCCTGCGGGGGAGGAGTGGGCGGGGATCAGGGATGTCCCCAGAGCCTGAGGCCCTTTTCGGACAGCCCAGCCCGGGTGGCAGAGGCCATCTGTGCTTGCAGCTGCCCAGCATGGCATTAGCTGGTAGAGCAAAACAAGCCCTGGGCAAATTGAGACTCAGAGGGGGACAGGGGACCGGGTGGACACAGGAGCTCAGGGAGGGCCAGGCCCAGGTCTGGGTTGCAGCTCAGCTGGGGACCAGGCTTAGGAACTTGGGGCCGTGTGACGGCTCTCGCCTATGATCCCAGCATTCCAGAGGCTGAGGCAGGAGGGTCTCCGTAAATTCAAGGCCAATGTGGGCTACATAGTGAATACTAGGCCAGTCTATACTACATGTCAAGACCCTGTCTGCAAACAAGAACCCAAAAGGAACTTGGGAACATATGGGATGAGGAGTATGACAGCGACAGGGGAAGATGGTGGCCTGGTCCTGCTGGCCCCAGACTTACCCCCTAGTTCTCTGGCAAAGCAGTATACATCGTAAAGCTCCTGGGGGTCCCGCCTTCCATAGCTGCGCACCCCTGGAAGGCTGCTGCGGTCTCCATAGCAACCGGGCCTGGATTGGGTGATGGGGTACCTGGTGGTACAGAGCTCCTTAGATTGGTGTTCCTGAAACCCCCCCAAAATCTCTCTCCCGAAGACTGTTGCTCGTCTCTCCATCCCGGGAACCTTCTCACCGGACAGTGCGGTCAGCCAGCCAGCCAGCATCACAGTTGTCAAAGCCGTCCTCAAAGGCAGCCTGCAGGTGCCTCGGGGCTGCGATGGTGGCCGAGCTGACCCTGCAGGCCTCCTGGGCCTCTGCGAAGGTCAGGGCGTAGCGGTCCCGGGCAGCCCGATAGTGGAACACAACACCTGTACAGGGGCAGCAGGGTACAGGGGGAGCCGTGACACACAGACATGGCTCCCGAGCACACACCTCTCCACCTGACCATGACAGACGTGCTGCTGTCCCAGCGCTCTGGAGGCTGAGGCAGAGTCTCACTAAGTTGCCCAGGCCGGCCTTCAATTTAGGATTCTCCTGCCTCAGCCTCCCAAGTAGCCGGGTTTACAGGCCTGCACTACCACACTCAGCTTCAAATTCTCATTTAGATGAAGGAAGTGGCTAAACAGGACAAAGGAATCAAGCATGCACCTTGCCCCACCTTGTCACAACAGGGCCCCAGGAGAGGCTGTGACCTATGCAACAGGCCGGCACACAGTAGGTGCTCAATAAACTTGAGGCAGATTCCCTTCCTTCACTTCTCATCAACTTTCTCAAGGTTATTAGTTTGCAGAAATGCTTTTTTAAAAAACAAATCAGGCCTTGTTATGTAGCTCAGGCTGTGTTTGAACTCACAACAGTCCTCCAGTCTCAGCCTTCTAAGTGCTGAGATCATAGATGTGTACCACCATGCCCAGCTAGAAGGGAGGATTTTGAACGCTGTCACCACAAAAAATAATACATGTTCCATGACAGGCTAATTACCCTGAACGGATCATTACAAATGTATACAGATATCAGAATATACATTGTGTCCCACACATACATACAGTCCCTATGTGTCAATCAACTCTAAGAATAAACCAGGAAGTGGTGGTGCATGCTTGTAAGCCTGGTACTCAAGAGGCTGAGGCAGGAGGATCACTGCAAATTTGAGGCCAGCCTGGGCTACAATAGTAAGTTCTAGGCCACTGTGAATTATACAGCAAGACTGTCTCAAAAGAAATACACTTCGTATTGAGCACCTAGTATATGCCAGGCCTTGTTCTAGAGTTTGCTTTAATCATTAAATTTTTTCCCTCCTTTATGGTGGCACACACCTGTCATTCCAAGAGGACCACAGAGTGGGAGGCCAGCCTGGGCTACATGGGAATTCAAGTCCATCCTGAACTACATAGCAAGACGCTTTCTCAAAAAAAATTTTTTTTCCTCTCCTTAACCAGTTAGGAAAACAAAAATTACCCAGATATTTTAACAGAAAGAACTTAAGGGCTGGGGATTTAGCTCAGTGGAATAAGCACCTGCCTTGCAAGCATGCAGTTGTGAGATTGATCCCTGGAACCCCCCCCTAAAAAAAAAACCTTATTAAAGGCATTGTTTAAATAGGTACTGGAGAACTGTTATTTACCTAACAATATATTTTAATTGACTTACTTTTTAAAAATAGTCTCACTTTTAAAAAGCTTAAATAAATGTATTTTAAAAGGTAATTTGTAAAAGCCAGGTGTAGGGGCGCACTCCTGTAATTCCAGCACTTGGGGGCTGAGGCAGGTGGATTGTTGCAAGTTCAAGACCAGCCTGGACTATAAAGTGAGCCCAAGGCCAGCCTGAACTGCATAGTGAGACCCTGTCTCAAAAAGACAAAAAGGAATTTGTGTATCAACAGCTGATATTCTTTAATTTGTGTAAAATTAGGTAACCACGAAAGCAACTCAAAGCAAGACCAGGGACCTGGGGGTGCAGCTCAGGGGAATGGGAAGGCCCTGTCTCCAACCCCTGCACACACACACACACACACACACACACTGGATCACAAAACCCCAACGAGACTTAGCAGCGCCCCCACCAGGAAAGGTGCTAAGGACAGGATGGTTGCCATGGAGACCCCTTCCTGACTAGGGGAGAGCTGTAGAAACAAGCCTTCTTTTTTCTTTTCTTCTTCCTTTTTTGGTACTGGAGATTGAACTCACTCCGTCACCCTTGCCAGGCTGCTGAACTAAAGCCTGGGCCCCCTTTTACCTTCTAGCAGAACTGGGGGGCTGACTGAACCCAGGGTCTTCACACTCAGTGACACCCAGCGCTTTTAAAATCTGCTGATGGTGATTACTCTGTGTCTGTAGCGCGTACTAGTGATATGGCAAACATGTAGGACACACGGGACTCTTCACAGCTCCTCCCCTCCCTTCACCCACTCCTCCATCTCTTGGGCCCATTTCCATTTGCAAAAGATTTCTCTCTGTTTTGTATTATCTAACCTTTCCTTTGGTCTTTATTTACACTCTGACTTACTCTTACAAGAGAAGCCATGCAATATTTAATCTGGTTTTTTTCTGTGTTTGTTTTTTTCATTTAGCATCATGCTTGCCAGGTGCATCCATTTTCTATCTGTGACTCAACTGCATCCTTCTTTAAGGCTGAGGTGTACTCCATTGTGAGTAAATGCCACATTTTCTTTGTCCATTCATCTGTTGATGGACACATAGGCCACCTTTTCTAAAGTGTTTTGTTTTTTTTGTTGTTGTTGTTGTTGTTATCGGTACCGGGGATCCAACTCATGACCTTGCACTTGCAAGGCAGGTGCTTATGCCACTGAGCTAAATCCCCAGCCTTTTCTTTCTTTCTTTCTTTTCTTTTCTTTTCTTTTCTTTTTTTTTTTTTTTGTCTTTTTCCTTTTTATCAGTACCGGGGATCGAACTCACGACTGCCTGCTTGCTTGCAAGGCAGGCGCTTATGCTGCTGAGCTAAATTCCCCAGCCCCAGCCTTTTCTAAAGTTTTAAATCTATTTTTTTTTTTTCAAGACAGGGTCTCATTATACAGTTCAGGCTGGCTTTGAATTCACTATGTAGCCCAGGCTGACCTTGAACTTGTGGCGCTCCTCCTGCCTCAGCCTCCAAGAGTGCAAGGCCATGAGGTGCACCCTGCAGTCCTGGTTAAAGGGACTGATCTCTAAGGGACACTCTGTGGAGGGCTCAGCCCTTTCCCCTCCCAGCCATGGCCATCCCCGTCCCCCACTGACCCGTCACTTCCAGAGGCAACAGGTCCTGCTCGTCTTCAATGCCCCTCACCACCTGGCAGCGATACAGCCCGGAGTCGCTGGCCCTCAGTGGCCCCAGCAGCAGCGTGGCGTTGGCCCGGTGTTGGGGGTAGGCGGGAAGTGACACGCGTCCTTGCCAGCCCTTAGCCACCCGTACCACGTTGTCCTTGGCCACCAAGATGGGCACATCCTGTCGCTGGCCCGACGCAGTCCGAACCTTGGTCCACTTGACCCGGGCACTGTCCTGGGCCACCCCAGCCTGAGGCTGCAAGGTAAAGAGACAGGGCAGGGACACCAGCTCTGCCAGTGCAGCCCGCACTGCCCCTGAGCCCACTTTCTGCAGGTGTAGCTCCTTCTTGGCGCTGGCCACAGTGGCATCCAATGTCCCTGGATGGAGAAGGCAGAGAGGTCCGACTCAGAGGCAGGCACCAACAGGGGCCACAGTGACCCTCCCGCCTCAGCCTCCCCAGGTGAGGCTGGGATTGAAGGGCTGCACCAGTATACCCAGCTAGGAATAGACGATTAGCTGTGTGGCCCTGGGAACTTCACTTTCCTTCTCTGGGCCTGAGTGTCCTCAGGAGTTAAGTAACCATGGGAAGAGGTGTATGCGGAACCCCTTATTTTTATAACAGGCACTTTAGGGCTGGAGCCTTAGCTCAGCAGCACAGTGCCTGCCTGGCAAGTGCAAAGTCATAAGTTTAATTCCCAGTACCAGAAAAACAAACAACAAAAGCAAACAGTCAATTTATAGGAATCAGAGCATTCAAGGCTCACAACCATCTATGGAGGTAGCAATGTCTGTCTTCTCTTGGGGGAACAGAGGAACAGAGGAAACTGAGGCTCAGAGAGGTACCTGTATTTGTCTACAGTCACCCAGAGGTGTTTCTCAAGCTCCTGAGAAGTGCAAGGATCTGCACTTCCACTGCCCCACCCATGGCAGGCATCATTAATCAATCTCCGCACGGTTCCCCTTTCTCTCTCTTTTTAGTTCATTTCAACAAAACGCTGAGAAGCAGGAGCCTCCAGCTTCTGCCGGTAATGCCCAAAAATAACCTCTCCGGTATCTTGTTCTTGTTTGACTGTTCAAAGACCTTTTCATCTATTGTTGTTTCATTCTGTACACTGAGGCGGAGGACCGGCAGGAGGAAGCCTTGGAATGAAAAATCCCCCAGTGTGGCTTCAGAGCACACAGTGCCCCCAGTCAACTCACCCTGGTCCCCAGCCACCAGCAGCAGCGTTAGCAGCATCAGGAGGCTCATGGCCCAGACAGATGTGGCCCCCATCCCGCAGCTGGAAAACAGGCAGAGGGAGAGAGGATGAGTCACAGCAGCCTCCTGGCTCCCGGAGTCTCAGGGCTGAATCTCTCCACTCTGCAGTTCCGAAACTGGAGCCAAGCCGCCAACTGGACACTCGAGATCTCAGAGAGACAGACAGACAGAGACAGAGAGATAGCTTTTTTTTTTTTTTTGACAGAGAGATAGCTTGACAGAGAGGGAGAGACAGACAGAGACAGACATAGAGAGATAGAGACAGAAAGAGGGGCAGACAGGCAGGCAGACAGACAGGGAGAGGGTGGGGAGAGAGAGTGAGAGAACACTAAGGCTGGATTCAAACCCAGGGCCACCTGCCTTCAGAACCCAGGCATCGAATCAGAATCAGACTTAGCTGGCTGTCTGGTTGTCTGTGTCTGTCTGTCTCTTCCTGTGCTACCTCCAGCCACTAACTCAACCTCTCTGGGCCTCCCTTCCTTGGTGGTTCAGACGGGGACAGCGTGTGACGCTCGGAGGGGGCAGCTGCGCCTATGCATGCATAAGGTGCCTGGAACCGCGTGCTAGAAGAAGCAGGTTTCGGCTGTTGCTAGCATTATTGTCACTGAGCTTAATGGGCACGACTGAAACCCCATGCTGGGAGTCAGCCTCCCCTGCCAGATGGGAGCTCACAGAGGCAGCATCCAGCCTCCATTCCCCCTGCCCTAGGGGTCCCCAGTCTAGGCGGCAGAGGGGCCGCCGAGATGCCCTTTCATCTGAGTTTGCTGCCTGACACGATTCTCAGCTACAATTCCAGCATTGGCTCGTCACCAAGATTCTATTCTGGGTTTCTGGGGTATCTGAGGAGCTGCCAAGTCCCCGCGGAGGAAAGGGCCTCCCATACCCTTCCCCTGCTTGCCCTGCCCGCGGTCCTGGGTCCAGCCTCCTCAGGGCTGTGGACTGAAGGCATGAGGTGGCCGGCACCCAGCGCGCCCTGTGGGCTCGGCTGCTGCAGACTGGGGGGATGCAGCGCTGCCCCGCTGGAGGTACATCGCAGCTCTCAGGGTGGCGCCCTCCCTGAAGCCTTCCCCCCTGGACCCCCACGGCCTGCCGGGACTCAGGAGGCAGGCACGGATGGGAAAGTAGGGTGTCACCCGCAAACGCGCCCTTGCACCACGCCCCTATGCACCCAGCAGCCCTACACCGGGCTGCGGCTGGAATCTGGGAGGGAAGGATTGGGGGGTAGGGGCTGGGCCTCCTTCAGGGAGGTGGGGCAGGCCCTGTCCGTGGTGCTGAACCGGGCGGCAGCCCAGGCCCAGCACTGGCCGCCTGGTCGGGCCCAGCCTCCTGTCTGCTCCCGGTGCCGCTGAGCTCAGAGAGAAAAGTGCTTGGCTTTGGGTGGCAAGCTGGGCAGAGGTGGAGGCTGGGCACACACAGCACAGACGCCACGGTTCCCTCCTCAGAGTCCCAACAGGTGTTCAGCGTGCCGATGGCAGTGCTGGCCTGGCAAGGTCAGAAAATTGCCAGATTCCCTCTGTCTCTGTCTCTTTGTGTTTCTCTGTTCCTGTGTCTTCTGTCTCCGTGTCTCTCTGTCTCTGTCAACACACACACACACACACACACACACACACACACACCCCAGGTTCAAGTGCTTGGATGCCATCCGAATACCCTGGTCTCAAGCCTTGTTTCTACCGCTTACAGGTCACTGAGCCCAGACAGGCTGGCTCTACCGCTTACAGGTCACTGAGCCCAGACAGGCTGGCTCAGTTTACCCACCTGCACAAGGAGGGTCATCCAACACACACCTCACAAAGGTACCCTGAGGATGCAGTGAACTAAGACTTGTAAAGCTCCAGACATGCTAAATTTAAAAACAGCTCTTTGTACACAAAGCCTCATGTGCACACTAAAAATACATCACGGTGGCCTAACATGGTGACAGCTTCAGGTGCACACTCCCTCCACCCCCCCATGCACCTCCCCACTTCCCAATTGAACCCTCACACACCCACGCCCTTCTTAAAATACCTCCTCCCCAGAGCCAGAGGTGAGCATTTACACAGCTGTCTGGGGCCGGCCCCTCATGAATGATGCATGAGCCTCATGCATATGCAAGCAGGGTCCTGTAGGGCGTTGGGGGAGGGGTGGACTAGCTCCATGGGAGGCTGTATGCAGACCCTGATATGGGAGTGGGTCGCCAGGCAGGTGTATGTGTCTGTGACCAGGCGTGGTGTGTGCCAAAGGGTGCTGGGGTGTGTGGACATGGGTCGTGTGTGAGTGTCAGGCAGATGTCTGGGACCCAGTGTGAGGTCTGAACGTGCAGGTCCAAGCAGCCCTTGGCACAGGCCACGCACACACATGTGCACTTCTGGGATGGGAGCCAGGTGCGTGTGAGAGTCTGGGCATGAATGTGGATGTCCTTGGAGGAGAAGGGAAGCCAGACCCCTGTGCGGACCTTGACCCAGCCCATGGCGGGCTCCCCAACTTTGCACGCAGGTCACATCCCACACCCCTATCCACGCGCAGGTTCACACTACCTGACAGCCGCATGGAGACCACTGCTGCCACACACACGCGCACGCGTGCACACACAGCAGCCACACACCCGGACACAGACCCAGGAGACAGCCTCACAGGGACACTAACAAAGAGCAGTGCCGTGGGCATCAGTGAAGCATGGCACGTCCTCCACACAAAGGCTGGAGCCCCCAAAGTCTGCCTGCCCCAGCCCCTGTGGGGAACCCACCACTTCCACGCTGCCACCTGGCACAGCCTGGTGTGGGGCCACGTGGCCTCCGTGACACCCCCACACACACATGGCGTCTGGCCATCTGGCAATTCGGCCTCCTGGCACAAGTTTTCCAACAAAGACATGGAGCACAGTGACGCTGGATTCCTGGAGACCCCAGCTGCCTGGGGAACCTGCTCTGGCCTCCCTGCAGACACACAAAGCCCCACTTCCTGGGGCTGGAGACCTTCTCTTTGGGAAAGCCCAGGAGCCTCTGAGGCTGTGGGATCTGGGGTCCCAAGGCGCACCCAGCCTCCTTGCCCCTCCCCATGCCCTCCTTGCCATCCCATTCCCATGTCCCCTGCTGGGGCCACTGCCAACTCTCCTCAGCCTGGCCATTTCCCATTGACGCTGCTGAAAGGAACAAAGCCTGAGCACAGAAGTGGGGTCCCTCCCACCCAGGCTGGGCCTGGGGTCCCAGCACCCTACTTCCAGTGCCTGTTCCTCCAAGCCCCGCGGGGCCTCCACATGCATCTCTCCATGCAAACTGAATGGAGGTGAGGCCGGGGTCTGGGTCGCACTGGGAGGGTGGTGGGCCATCTTGGGGCTGGCATCCCTCTCAGGTTCTGGGGACCCCTAACTGGGAGCTCGCAGGACTCCCTCTGGCATTTTCCTGGGACACCTAGCATAGCATGGCCCCATGGGTGAAGGCAAAGCACCCCAACTCCAGATCTGAGGGGAACATGGGGCACCCCTTGGGATGGGGCCCCCAGAACCTCCTCCTCATGAGCAAGGATGTGGTGACAAGACCTAGCCCCGAAGGACTGGGACCGGCCAGCTCCCCTTCCCCGAGGTTACCACTATTAGGACAGCACCACTTCCACCAGGCTTAGGATGATCTGGGGGACCCCCTCCCCACTGCAGCTCATCCTGGAACCTTCCCTCGCCTGCAGACTGGGAATCCCCACTTAAAGTCCCAGCGTGCCTCAGCTAAGACAAAGGGGTTCTCTGCTCCAGAGTTCCCCCTACTCACCCCTGGATGTCCTCCTCTTCTCCCCAAACTCAGGGTGCCCCTCCCCTAGCCCTGCTTCCCCGTGCCTCCTCCCTAATCCTGGGACCCGCCGCCAGCCTCGACCTCTCCCCGCTGTGAAGGTGTCTTCCCCCCAGTGCATCTCCGCGTCTCCCCTCGACAGTCTCACGCCCCCTCCACATCTGCGCTCCCTCCCCAAAGCAGGGATCCCCTCCCCCACGCCCCTTCCCATCCCGGGGCTTCGTCTTCATCCCGGGCCCCCTCCCCAAACCCAGAGCCTGCGTGTGACCCCGAAATCGCCTCCCCGAGTGCGGCCCCTACCCACAAGGAGCCCCCCACACCTGGCTCCTAGCTCGGGCGCATCCCCGGCGGCACAGCACAAAGGACGCGACGCGGCCACTGCTTCGCGCAGATCCTGCCTGCGCCCCGCGCTCAGCTCGCCCGGCGCCGCCTCGCGCTTATAAAGGGGCCTTGGCCCGCTCTGCGCATGCGCCCCTCCGCCGCTCCCTGCGTGAGGAAGGGTCTCCCGCCCCAACCCCACTGCACGCTTCCCACAGGGCGCTGCTCCTTCCCAGGTTTCCCCCTGCTCTTTGCCCGAGACCCTGCTAAACGTTCCCGAGCGCGGCCCGCGAGAGAACCTGCCCCATTTTAGAGATGGGGAAACTGAGGCCGCAGAGGCAAGGTTGCTTCCCAAGGTCACGCAGAGGAGAAGAAAGAGCTGGGACTTGAACCTGGGCCCGACGGACCCTCCAGGCTCAACATAGAAGCAGCAGTGGCCGCGGCTACTGTTCTGTTATAGAGGAAGCTGAGGCCGAAAGGACAGAAAGGCTCCTCGGTCACACAGTGAGGTCAGAGCGGGGTGGGGTTGGGCGATGTCCAGATGACTCCATTCATTCACCATTCATTCATTCATTCCTCAAGGTATCTGTGGAGGGCCTTGCAGGCTGGGTACTGGAGTCAGCACAGGGCTAGTTTTGCTTGGTGGGGGACGTGTGTGTCAATGACCGAGACCCACTTTTTGTGGTGGTCGTTGTTGCCACTGCGAATCAACCCCAGGGTTGCTGCACCCCCAGCTCCGTCTCTTTAGTTTTTATTTTGAGACAGGGTCTTGCTACATCATCTGGGCTGAACTGAAATCTGTGATCCTCCTGGCTCAGTCTCCGGAATGGCTGGGATGAAAGTCCTGCACCACCTTGACCCATGAGCCTGGGTGTAGCAGCCTATTTTCCCAGTACACAGGAGGCTGAGGCAGGAGGATGGCTGTGAGTTCCAAGCCAGCCTGGGCTACACAGTGAGTTCAAGGCCAGCGAAAGGAAGCAGAATGGGTGGCTGCTGGGGTTGGGGCGGGCCTGGGGAAGGACAGCTCATGGGCCCCAGGTGTCCTTTAGGAATAAAGGTACTGTGCTGAACAGGACAGAGATGGGGGCTGCACAGTGATGTTAATGTACTCGAACCCCGTAAACTGCACAGTTTAAAATGATAAGCTTGGGGCCATGGGTGGAGATGACGAGACTATGGTCAGCATTTGCAAAGCCTGGGCTCCACCTCCCACCCGACCCCTCGGAACCAACAGGAAAAACGAAATCACTCCCTTTTTCTTTGAGCCTATGAGGGTCTCAGTTTGGTGGGAAGACACACAAGCAGGGCAGGAAAGGCAAAACAATTTCTCCCAGGTTATCAGAGAAGGGAGGCATGCGCTTGTGATCCCAGCTACATGGGAGGCTGAGGCAAGAGGATCACAAGTTTAAGCCTTGGCGGGCAATTTAGAGACCCAGGGAGGCCCTGTTTCCAAATTAAATAAAGGGGGGCGTGGCTCAGGGGCAGAGTGCTTGTCAATCAAGTGCAAGGTCCTGAGTTCCAACCCCAGCACTGGGGAGCTGAGGCAGGGACTGTGGGCCAGGCCAGCCGGGCTCAGCAGTGAGACTCCAGAAAGGAGGCGGAGGGGAATGGAGTGGGCCCCGGGGAGGAGCCCAGGAGAGCCAGCATCACCGTGGGGATCCATGCCGACTGCCCACCAGGTCATGGCTGTGGCCGGTGTGAATGTCTGGGAGTGAGTGCTGTGTCACCAGTGGGTGCTGGAGTGGGGCGGGGAACCAGGGGGTTGTAGCGAAGCTTGCGTCTGTGATGCGCATGCATGGGAACGCAGCTCAGCATCCATGGGGGGGGGGTGTTACACTCCCCTCTCTACTCCTGGTGCATCATTGTGTCTTCCTGTGCCTCCATTTCCCCACGGAGGAGGGCACCAGTTCCTGCTCTCTGCGTCACCAGTCACTAGGAGAACAGAAAATAAACTCTTATGTGGGCTCGGCTACGGCACCCATGACTGCTTTAGAGGTTGTTGGGGAAACTGAGGCTGGATCGATGGGATCACCTGCCTGCCTGAGGATCGCAGCTGGGCTGGGGACCAGGTGGGAGCCAAGGTCATGGCTGCAGAGCTGCAGAGGACCCCACCCCTTCCACTCCTCCACCTATCCCTGACCCCCAGGACTCAAGTCCATGCCAATGCTGGTCTGGGAGGGACTGGCCCGGGGCCCAGGGCGGCCGTTGCCAGGACCTTGAATATGGCAACCTTGCCTGGGAATCTTCGGGGCTCAAAGAGCTATTTATAGGCCCGCCCTGGGACCAGGCCACCCCTTGGCCCTGGTGCCTTCTCTGTGCCCTGTACTGGGGCCCAGGCCAGGGGCTGCTGCCAGGAGCTGGAGTGGAGGAGGGGCAAAGAGAGCCTGGGGAGTCGGGCCAGAGCAGATGGTGTCCCTCAAAGTGCTGCAGAACCCACCCAAGGAAAGCCGTTGGTTGCACATACCTGTCATCCCAGCACTGGGGAGGCTGAGGCAGGAGGATCGTTTGCAAGTTCAAGACCAGTCTGGGCTACAAAATGAGCTCAAAGCCAGTCTTCACTGCATAGTGAGACCCTGCCTCAAAAAGAAAGAAAGAAGCCCAAGGTGACACATGGGAGGTGTCACACTCCCAGCCACCAGCCTCCAGGTTGAGTCATGTTACTATGACCTCAAGTACACGCAGCCGTGCCCAGCAACCTGCCATGCTCAAGTTGCAGCTGTGAGCCTGGGTGCACCTGGATAGCCTCACACTTGGCCCACACACACCTGATGCTGTCTACACCCACGGGCATGCCTATAGGCCATGTGTCACCAGCACCCCAACACTCCACACAGCCCTCCCAGGCACCATCCCAAAGTGCCCCATGCCCTGCCTCCCCAGCTCACTTCATCACTCTAGCATGTCCCTGCTGGCCTGGCAGGACACACCTGGGAGACCACCCAGGTCAGACTCCACTTCCCTCCCCAGGGGTCATATCGAGACACAGGCAGAGGCCCTCCCCCTGGGCTGCTCCAGGATGATGGGCTCACGGACAGTGGGCTCCCATCCTTAGAGGTTGGGACTGCCTACTGGAAACTGTCCCTGCACAACCAGACTTGCTGTGTGACTTCCAGAAATCTCCGACCCTCTCTGTGCTGTGATTGTCTCCCCTGAAACAGGCAGAACTCAGACCAGAAGCGGGGGGGGGGGTACTCAGTCACACTGGGGTTTGCGTGCTGGTCTCCCCAGGGGAGCTCAGCAAAATGATTTTTTTCCTTTTTGACACAGGCTCTCACTTTGTAGCCCAGGCTGGCCTCAAACTTTGCAGAGATCCTCCTGCCTCAGCCTGCCTAGTGCTGGGATGAGAGGTGTGCACTGCAGTGCCCACTTCAGGCAAATGATTTAGTTTCTTGGTGACTCAGTCTCCCTAGAGAACCAGGGAGCTGCTCCTAGCTGATCCAGAGCTCTCCTTGGCTCCTCTGGGGGGCAGAGGAGGGGCAGGGTGCCATCTCTCCCCTCCCTCTGGCTGATGAATGAATGAATGGGCCACTCTTGGCTGCCTCTCCGGAGCCAGGCCCTGCTAATTCCCTGGAGAAACAGGGTCCCTTTCATTCCCAGGCGCCAGTGGGCCGAGGAGGTGGGAAGATGGCGGCAAGCAGCTGGCTTTATCCCAGTGGGCCACATGGTCTTTGGCCAGTGCCAGGGTAACATGGGGCACCCTGGGATGTGCATTCCCTGGCTGTTGATTCAGCCAAGTCCCAGTATCCTCAGGGACCCGATAGGGGTGCCACAGGCCAGGATTAGTGAGCTGGAGGCCAGGCACTGCAGGGGCCAGGTGGAGGCAAAGAGCCTGACTTGCCCTCCCCTTCCCAGGCAGGAAAGAGGCTGGGGGTGGGGTTTCGATGCACCAGCTTCCAGCTGGGGCCACTGGCTGTGAAGTTTCCTGCCATTCAGGCCTGTGCCCAGGATCAGTCTGGATGGCAATGGAGCCCTGGCAGGCAGGGGCCGTCAGGGCAGCTCTTCCGCTGGTGACCCAGTTTCCCTGCCAGCCCATCTGGGGTGGGCTTGTGGAGGCCCTGGGGGACACGGGGGCCGGGGGTGGCACCACTGAGTCCTTGGAGCAAGGGGGTGGTGCAAGGCCATTCAGCTAAAGCCAAGACCAAGCATCCCCTGCCAGCTCCTACCAGTGGTGGCTGTGGTTTGGAGGCCCCAACACAACATGACCTTTGCATATACCACCCCCCGCCTGGAACTCATTCTCCACCCTTAAGCCCTTACACCCCAGGCAGAGACCCTGTTCCTCACAACTGCCCCATGACCCTGGTCCAGACTGGGGATGCCCTGAGATGAAGCCTCTCACATCTTAGTATCAACCAGCACAGGGCTAGGCATAAGTGTCTAGTTGGGTATTTGAGGCTTTAAGGTTTAGCAAACTCCTGTTCATCCTTCAAAACCCACTTCACTTAGTCCTTCCCTAATGTCCTAGCCAGCATTTGCTGAGAAGACAGATATGAAGGCCAGGTTTCCAGGGTCCCAGCCAGGACACACGGGGTTAATGAGGACTCATGATCCAACATCCTGGCCTCTTCCTCAACTCTTTCTTTGGTCTCAGTGAGACAGTCAGGTGCAGGGTTCCAGCTGGGTTAGCAGCAAAGAAAAGGAGTCATCAGTTTCCCCCAGTAATAACAGAAATCTGTGGGACTTCGAATCTAACGCCTTATAATCTTGAGCTCCAAAGGACAGTGCCTGGCGACATGCAACTCCCATTCACACAGCCCCAAGAAGTAAATCACAGGACGCAGGCCCTTTAAGGAACGGCCGCGAAGGGGCTGGGCCATGCAAGCCCCGCCCCTAGGCGGAGCCCGATCGTATTGCGCACGCGCCTTTCCCATGCGGTTCCGGGTCCCGGTATTCAGCTCCCGGCGTTCTCCGTAGAGAAACTGAGGCTCGGGTCGGGACCGGCCGGCGCACGCGCGCGGGGGCCTCGTTTCTCTTTCTGCACCTGCTATGCAAAGTGTGCTTCTCCCCTGGGCGCTTCCGGCCACCCCGAGTTTTGCAGCCAGACCGTAATCCGGCCACGCAAGAGTCAGGGGCGACCCTCCGGATCCTTGGTTCCCGGTGGGGGCGTGCGGGCCTGGGCCGTAGCGGCAGGACTCGAACCCTGGCCTGGTTAGGTCCGCACTTTAGGAACCGAGATGATCCACTCTTTGGTTTGCCCCGAAACCGTGAGCAGGTGGGTGGGCGTGAGATGGTGCGGCCTGCGGCGTGGGGTGCGGACCCGAGGTGGGGGTGCCGAGCTCAGCGCCTCCATCCTGGTCCCGGTGTCTGCAGGGTGAGTTCGGTGCTTAACCGCAACACCCGGCAGTTCGGGAAGAAGCATCTATTTGACCAAGAGGAGGAGACGTGCTGGAACTCGGACCAGGTGAGCGACTTCCGGGACCCCTCACGGCGGAGGGGGTCAGATTCGGGAGTTTGAGGACCCTGGGGAGCCACAGCCTGCCTGAGCACCGTCGGACAGTCGGGAGAGGACCGTGTGCCCAGCAGGTCCAGTGATCTGATGGGGTGCGATCCAGTGATCCTGGGCTTCAATGTCCCTGTCTGCTTCCAGGGCCCCTCCCAGTGGGTGGTGCTCCAGTTTCCCCAGCGAGTCTGTGTTTCCCAGCTGCAGATCCAGTTCCAGGGCGGTTTCTCCAGCCGGCAGGGGCACCTGGAAGGTACTGGGAGGCCCTGGGAGCTGGGGCCCCGGGAGGTGGTCCGCGAGGTGCACTGTGGACCCCTTTTCCGTTGCAGGTTCCCAGCGGGGTGAGGCGCTTCGCAACATTGTGGTCTTCTACCCCAAGGACGACAACTCCCTCCAGATATCCTGCCCTGGCTGTGGGGCGGGGTGGGCCGTGGGGGCCGCTAAAAGCTTTGGTTTTGTTTGAGACAAAGTCTTGCTGTGTGGCCCAGGCTGGCCTCAAACTCTTGGCGATCCTCCTGCCTCAGCCTCCCTAGCGCTGGGATGACAGGTGTGCACCATGCCCAGCTAAAGCCCTCTAAAAGCTTTAGGCCATTTGAGCCCTACTGGGAACCTGGGAAATGTTCTTGAACAACTGATCTGTAGCCCTCCATCTAGAAAATAGTGCCAGTGCTGACCAGTGTGCCTAGATCACCCAGCACACTGGTCGTGTCCAGCTAGGACTGGAGCCTAGGTCTGGGACTGGCCAAAACACAGAGCCTGTTTGCCTTGACCGTCCATGTTCACACCTTTCCTGTGCCCCCCACTGAAGTGGACCAGCTGAAGGTGACGTTTGAGGACACCACAGACTTATTTGGCCGAGTGGTCATCTACCACCTGCGGGTCCTGGGGAGGAAGGCAGTGTGAGGCCTGACTGGCCACCTCTTCCAGCAAGCCCATGGGAAGCACACAAGTTCAGTGAAAGCCTTTATTGGTTCCTCTCGGGAGGCTGCCCTCCTCGCCTGTCCAGGAGCTGCCTTGGAAGCCAGGTCTGGGCCCCCCAGTGCCCGGCGGACTGTTCTGTTCCCTGAGTGTGTGAGTCCTGCAGGTGTCTTCACTCTGGACCCTCAGGCCCCAGGCTGCTCTGGAAGAGTTTCAGGATATGGTTCTCCATCACCTGTTGCACTGGTGCAGGGGAAGGGTGGCTGTGAGTGGGGCTGGAAACCGAGGCCTGTGGTCCAGCCTGAGCCACACCCTCCCTCCAGGAGACAGAGGAGGGACCCACTCTAGACCTGGGTCCACACTCCTCCCATACAAAGCTACTTCTGTACCACTGACCTCACCTCCTGGAAGTCTGCACAAATGCTTTTTTGTTTTTGCTTTGTTTCATGCAATCCAGACTGGCCTTAAACTCACTATGTAGCCCAGACTGGTCTCAAACTCACAGTAATCCTCCTGCCTCAGCTTCCTGAATGCTGGGATGACTGGTGTGAGCCACCACACTGGGATGAAAACAGTTGTTTTAAAGCAAAGATGCTCCTTATGTTTTGTGTTTTCTACTAAGGCCCGTCTGTCTTTCCCAACTCGGGCTTTCCAGTCTCCACAACCATGAAAATAAACCTCTTTTCATTGGGTGCTCTTTGTAACAACAGAGATGGACAAGGATCCAGGGCCATACTTGGGCCACCTGCAGCTCTCAGTGCCCAAACACAGTGGAGTGGATTGCTCACTGCCAGCAGGTCAATGAGGGGAGTGGTGCTGCATCTGCATCCCCTCTGGTCTCCCTCCCATGGTGCCCATGGCCACCTACCTTTCCGGTATCCCAGGGCCACAGCCAGGTCCATTGGGGTGTAGCCAGAGTCAGCCTCTGTGGTGAGATCTGCGCCGCGGGCTGCAAGGCAGAGCAGATGCTGGGGTGGGGCTGGGGGACTCAGCAGTGCCCCTGGGGTGGGGAGCCTCATATCTGACCACAGGTTTTTCCCACAGTCCCCAAGCAAAGTAGTGAGCCACGACCCAGGCCAAGAACTTGGGGCTCCTCCAGGGTGAGCTAGAAATCCGGGGACCCTACTCACCCAGCAAAGCCTCAACACACTTCACATGGTTCCCGCGCACGGCATACAGCAGCGGGGTACCTCCATTCTGTGGGATGGGGACGGGGAAACCATGTTCACTCCTGTTCTCACAGTGCCTTGATCTCTGGCTCCCAGTTGAATGTGGCTCCTTTCCCTGCCTGTCACCGGGCCCACCTTTCTCCTTGGGTCTCAGCATAGATGCTTCACCCTCCAGGACACGCTCGCTGGCAGCCCTTGGCTTCCTGCACACTCTCAGGGCTGTCAGTGTGCCAGCCATCACAGCACTATTCACTGTTTCACTGCTGCCTGACTGGGAGCTCTACCGTGTCTGACCTGTTCTCCCAGCACCCTGAGCAGGTGCCCAGCAGTGTCTGAGGGTGGCCCTGGAGGCCAGGAGGGGTCTGGGGCAGGTGGCACCTGTCTCACCCAGTCATAGATGTTGATGTCCACGTCACGTTCCAGCAGCAGCCCCACAATGTCCGTGTAGCCACCCATGCTGGCCAGAGACAGGGCACTCTCCCGCTCCTTGGCAAGGACGTGAGGGTCAGCGCCCTGGGGGCAGAGTGAGTGGTGATGACCAGGACCCCTTGGGATGCCCAGGGTCTCAGATGAGGCATGAGTAGGAGCCACGCCCCCGTGCCTGGGTCCCAGAGCACGCACCCAGTCCAGGAGGAAGCGGACTGTCTCGATTTCGCCGAAGGCTGAGGCCCAGATGAGCGGGGTGAAGCCACGCTCATCAGGCTTGTTGACAAGGTTGTCACCTGGCAGGCAGAGGCATCGGTGGGCTGCAGCCTTGCCCACTGTCCCAGGGTCACCGAAACAGGGAGGGGGCAGGGCTTGGGGTCAGATGGGGGCACAGGTGGTGGCTGCAGGGTGGCACACCCATGTCCCATCAGTCCCATCCACACACACGTGCATAGGGTGCACTTACGTACCTTTCCGCAAGTGCTCCTTCAACTGGCTGAGCTCCCCCTGGGCGGCGAGCTGGTGGATGGACAGCGCTGGGGACAGAGGGACAGGGTCTTAACCCATCCCATCACTTCTTTGTGCCTCAGTTTACCCAGTCCCAAACTGCTCCCTTTGGCACCTCCTGCCCAGCTACTCACAGTCCAGTGTGGCGGGCAGGGCTGAGACCTCATTGCCCCGCTGCCGGTTGGTGAGGGTTGTGGAGTGCTTCAGTGAACTGCCTGCGGAAGGTAGGTGTGCCTCAGTTACCCCTTGAGATGTCATGGGGGCTTCCTGACAGAACCTGGAAGCTCTATCAGTCATTCATGCCACCCTGGGGTCACCCAGGCTCATCTTTTTTTTTTTTTTTTTTCCCCTCCCTCTGAGCCTCCGCCCCTACCCAGGCTCATCTTAGCTTCCTACGCCTGGAGATCTGACCGAGGCCAGGAACCCAAGGCGCCACCGGAAGCTAAAATCAGGCTCTAGAGCTGTGCACCTGCTGTCTCAGTGCCGTGGGAGGCTGAGGCAGGAAGACAAAATTTGAGCCCAGCCTGGACAACTTAGTGACTTGGGGAAACTGTCTCAAAAACAAAACAAAAAAAAGGTTGAGGATGTAGCTCAGTGCAAAGGCCCTGGGATCAATACCTAGCACCACAGAATAAAAAACAAGGACAAAGCCTCAAGGTGAAACATGTGTCCCAAAGGAATAAGGTGCAGAAAGAAAGGACAACTGAGACAAGGCCATCTGGGTAGTGGCTCCAAGGGGTCGGAAACTCAGATTTTGTCAAGCTGAAGAGACTGGCACTGGGGAGGGTATGGAAAAACATTCCAGAAGGGAATGGCACGGACAGTGTCTACAGTGAGACTGATTGCACACGTGAGGACCATAGTCAAAGAGAAGCCCTCCTTTCTCCATATGGCAAACACCATTTTTTTTTTTTTTTTTTTTTGAGACAGTGGGATCCTTTTGCATCAGCCCTCGAGGTGCTGGAATTACAAAGTTTTTAAATTCAGAGACAGGGTCACACTAAATTGCCCATGTTGGCCTCAAACCTGTGCTCTTCCTGTCTCAGCCTCCTGAGTAGTTGGGATGGATTACCAGAGTGCAAGATGCTCGGGTTTTTGATTTAAAATGAGACAGTCTCACTAAGCTGGTCACACTGGCCTCAAACTTGTGATCCTCCTGCCTCAGCCTCCCTCTCAGCCAAAATTACAGGGGTGCACCTGGCTCTGAAGCGTTTCTGGCAGGGAGTACTGTGGTGCCCCTGGCTACCAGGATGTAGAAGGAATGGGATGAGGACACACCTTGCTGCCCCAGAACAGGGAGGGACTGTCACTAATGACCCCTTTTCCCCAGGTCCCCAGCCTCCCACAGTGACCAGTTTTTTCCATACTGGACATATCTGCTATGTGGTCTCGTCCACTCAATGGAGTATTACTCAGCCAAGAAAAGGTACAAAGTACTGACATACACAGAGTATAGGAATCTGAAGAACATAATACCAAATGAGACAAAAGCCTGAGGCTGTACAATTCCACTGATACACAGTATTCATAACCGGAAGTCCACAGGGACAGGAGGCAGGTAGTGCTTGTCAGGGGCAAACAGGCTGTCAGGGTTTCCTACTAGGTGATGTAAAGTCCTAAAACTAGATAGAGGTGACAGTCACACAACATGGTGAATGTACCAAACACCACCAAATTGTATTGCAATTGTGGTTCCATTGTCAATCTTACACCACAATAAAAAAAAAAGTATACAAAATCATGCTGAGTGTGTTGGCACACACCTGTCATCACAGGAGGCTGAGGCATGAGGGTCGCCCCAAGTGTGAAATCAGGTTGGACTACCAAGTGAGACCGTCTCCAAAAACAATTGTAAAACAAACAAACAAACAAATGAAAAACGGTCCCTCGAGGGTAAAGACATGCCATAAGTCAGGGTTAGAAAACAGGTTTCCTCAGGTAAGACAGATCTTACCTTGCAAGGAGGAGTTGCCAGTGTCTGCCTTAGCGTTCCCAGGCTCCGGTGTACAGGGTAAGAAATTGAGGACCACCGTGTCTGAGCCGTCCTGGGCTTCACCGCAGGGGTCCTCGGGGTCCCTGAGTTCTGGGGCAGAGGGTGGCTGAGTTGGGAGCTCCTCTGCTGGCCGGGTGGGCTCCATGGGGGCTGCAGAGGCGGCAGGGGATGGAGGAAGAGATTACCACAGTTCTTACAAAGCAGGCACCAGCTCCGTCCTCAGCCTTGAACGTCGAGGGTGGGTAAACTGAGGCTCGGATTCATGGCCAGCGCTGGCCAATTAAAACCAGGCCCATTTTTGCCACCAACCATCAAGGCACCTGCAACACGACTTCAAAGCCCAGCTTGTGGGCCGCTGTCTGAGTTTGAATCCTCTCATGGACTGGGAGTTTGGGACTGTGACTTAACCTCCCAGCCTCGGTGTCCCTCAAGAAAACGAGGAAATGAAGCCTAAAGTAAATCGCGTCAAAACCCCACAGCAGGAGTTCCTATGGAGGCAGCGAGTAATAAATGTTCTCTGTGGTTATTTGGTAGGATGATCCCCCCAAAACGAGTGAGATCGCAACAAAAGATGCGACTGGTTCCAGTCCCACCCAAGCCTTCCCAACCAACCCAAGAGGTCCACTCACCTCCCACAAGCCTCCCCTGTCACCCTGTGGTGCAAGCCTGGGTCCCCCAAAAGTTGGGGGCCCAATTCACAAACTTTTCTCCTCCAATGGATATAGCGGGGATCAGACTATAAACTCGACCCGCAGCACTCTGGCTTTTTCGGCCGGGACAGCGAGCAACTTGATACGCAACCGCTACCCACACCCCAGCATTCCCCAACGCGCCTGCGCACCCCCGCCCCCTAAAAGTAGGAAAGGATTCTAGCAGCAGCAGCTACTTCTGGCCCTTTAAGGCATGGGGAGGGGCGGGGCTTCCGCGGGATCTAATTAGCACCACTGCGCCTGCGCGTTACTTCTCTACCGGGGTAGTGATGGGGGAGGGAGAGTCTCAGAGCGCTCTGAGGTCTCCACTGCGCCTGTGCACCCTCAACCGCAGCTCCGCCCCCAGGTTGTTCCAGTGGGAACCAATCGGCTTCGATTATGGGCGGTTGGGCGGAGCTTTCCCCATGCGGAGGGCGGAGGAAAGGGCGAGAGGGTCTGGAATTTTAAAGGGACGACGTAGGCCTGAATTCCTTGCTCCGCAAGTGTTCCCTTTGTGCTCCTAGCGGCTTATAAACTTGTGCAGGGACTCACTGGCCGCAGCGGGGCAAAAGAGAGCGCGCAGGGTCTCCGGGGATGTAGCTCAGCGGCGTAGGGCTTGCCTGGCAAGCGCGAGGTCTTGAGTTCGATTCCTTATATCAAAAGAAAACTAGAGAGCGGGTGTAGGGCCCAAAGTGGGCAGTGATGGAGTCTCTTTTAACTGATCTGCGCTTGGAAAAAAGGGAGGGAACATGTTCCTGCCCCTCCCCTGCCTAGCCTCCTTCTTGGGGCCGCAGGGGTCTCTGTCAGCTCCTTAGCTGCCCCTGCCCAATTTACCCGCTTCCGGTCCGTCCTCACTTCCAGCCCCTCTCCTGGGGGTAGGAGGAACGGGGCGGACAGGCCGATTGGCTCCGGAACTGGAGCCGTGCGGGATCGGGTTTCTGCAGGGAAGGCTTAGGCACGGGGCCCACCCTGGAGACTTTCGGTTTCTCCTCAGTTTCCCGGCCGAGGTCGCCATGGAGGAACCCGAGATGCAGCTCAAGGGGAAGAAAGGTAGCGCGAACCGGGCCGGGAGGAAGCGTGTGGGAACAACGATGGCGTCCTAGCCGGCCGCCGCGTACCTCTGAAACCCTTCGTGCCTCCGAGCTTCGGTGTGGCATCGTCAGGTGGAGAGGACGGTGTTTTCGGTGGGCTGTGGCGAGCGTTTCTGTCGTTTGCGAACGCGCGTGTGCGACGCGGCCCGTGGGGACCGTGCGGGCCTGGAGCGCTGGCATCGCGCGTCCTGGCTGTTTACGCGCTGCTCCCGGCCCGCCGTCCCCCGCTCCCCTTCCTCTTTGCAAAAAGATGGCTCCCTGTTTTCTGTTGACTTTCTTTTATTTTGTTTTGTAAATTATTCATACTCTGATTTCGCGTATGAGAAGTTACGCGATAGTTAAGCGCGTGTGTCTGATTTATTTCACTCAACATTACGGATACAGGGTGCATCCACTTTCGTAAAAGTGAGTTCAAGTGTGTCCTTTATGGCTGAGTAGTTTTCCAGTGTGTGTACACACCTTTACCCATTGTGAGCCTTCAGTACTGTGGTATTTGGGAAGTATTGGAGGAACGTGTGGACGGTGGACATCGCCTTGTGTTCGCTCGTTCTTTCTTTTTTAGCTTTTTGACGCAAGTCTGGCTTTAATCTTGCGGCAGTCCTCCTGCCTCAGCCTCCTGAGTGCTGAGATCACAGGCGTGCGCCACCGTGCTTTTTTATTTCTTTACGTGTAAACACATTTGTATATTGGACTTGACTTAGTGAATGATTTTCAGTCACATAGTTACAAAGCTCCACAAGCTACTTTTAATTTTTTTCGTTTTTGCCGTACTTGGGATGAAACCCAGAGCCTCATATGCGCTAGGCAGGTGTTCTCCCACTGAGCTACACCCCTCGCCGTATATTTTTAAAAGCACGAATATTTTTAGTCTCCATGATATTTCTAATTATTTAGAAGCACAAGAACATTTAATTTCTTCATAAAAAACACTTCCTATTTTTTTGGTGGTGGTAGTGAACATGAACCCCTTTGCACTGAACTGCTTCCCCAGCTCTTTTTACTTTGAGACAAGGTCTTGTTCAAAAGCCCAGGCAGGGGCAGAATTCTCAGTACAACTTCATCCTCCCAAAGTGCTGGGATTACAGGTGTGCACTAGCAAGCCTGGCAGTAGAGTTTCACTTTTACAGCTGAGGAAACTCAGAAACCCTGCCGTTGTGAACCCAGGTTTTGTTTTTCCTATGAACTTGGACATTGATAAATTGGAATGGGCACAAGGAAGCTGTGTAGGGGGACTGAGGTCCTGAGCAGAGTGGAGGGGCATTTGGGTGACTTGGTACAGGGAGCATTTCAGTCAGGAGATGACATTGCATGAAGAGGAGCCGGTGTGAAAGGGGTTTCTGGGAGGAGGAAAGCACAGGTGCAAAGGCCCTGGGGGAGCTGTGCAGTAATAGAGTAGCTGTTAGTCACATATGGATCTTTAAATCTGAATTCATTAAAATTGAAGTAAAATTGAAAGGTTGAGTTCTTCAGTCACACATGTCTAACATGTGCAAGCCAAGAGCTTTCTCCTGAGTTACATCCCCATCCCCTTTCATTTTTTTATTTTGAGGTAGATAGTTAAATTGTCCAGGCTGTTGTTAAACTTATGATTCTCCTGCCTCAGCCTCCTGAGTTGCTGGGAATACAGGCTGGCAAGGAAGGAAGGGTAAGTTTATTTACTGGTTGGTAGGAACCCAGGGAGAGTAATTCATTGGTTTTTTGTGATACTGCAGATGGAACCCAGGGTCTTTGCAGTGAGCTACACCTCAGCCTTTTTAGTTTTTGGGTTTATTTGTCTTGCAATATGGTCTTACTATGTAGTTCAGGTTGGTCTTGGACTCACTGTGTAGCCTAGGCTGGCCCCAAACTGAAGGCAATTCTCCTGCCACAGTCTCCTAAGTGCTGGGATTACAGGTGTGTGCCCCCACGACAGCTTTCATTTTTTGAGCCAACAGTCTGGCTCAGTTGCTAAATTGCCCAGGCTGGGCCTGACCTGTGATCCTCCTGCCTCAAACTCCCACAGGGCTGGGAAAATTCGCATGTAGCACCACACCTGGCTACCTTGATGCTTTTAAGCAAGGAGGGAGTCGGAGGTGTGTCCCACTGCAGTTGCCCAAAGTGGGACTGCTGGCACTGGGGGGGCTGGAGGAGCTGGACCTGTCAGGGGACAGGGATGTCAGGCCTGGGCTGCTGCGGTGGCAGCAGCAGGATTTGCTCAGGGTGGGCTGGGAAGGGCAGGCAGTAAGGCAGCAGGGGTGGAGGTGGGGCAGGGATGGCACCGTAGGGCAGCTGGGCTCCAAGGGGGAGGACAGCCTGCAGTGATGAGGGGCACAGTTGTCACCCCACAGTGGCAGTCAGCCCTGAGCTGTGAACACTGGGGTCCCCTGGAGTTCTCTGAGGGGCTCTTGGGGGTGTCCTGTGGTGAGGGGGGTTTGAGAGGCTCTTAGCAGCAGTGTCTACTCCTGGTGACTTTGGAAGGAGATGGATCATGCGTTCCCAGTTTGCACTGTGTCCCCTCTCTCTCAGTCCAGCCATCTCCCCCTCCTGCCTGCCCAGCTGCTGGTGGCAGCTCAAAAAGAGGCCCCTCTCTGCTCTACTGGGCACCCCACTTGGGCGATTAGGTGTCTGACGCTCTGTCCCCTTGTCCCCCATGCCATCCCTGCTACCCGGGGACCCAGTGACGGACAAGTTCACCGAGAGCGTCTACGTCCTGGCCAACGAACCGTCTGTGGCACTGTACCGGCTGCAGGAGCATGTGCGCCGCTCCCTGCCGGAGCTGGCCCAGCACAAGGTGAGGCCAGCCGTGCCCCCGGGATCCCGTTACCCAGGACTGCCTCTGCTGAGGAGATGGGGTGAAGGGGCAGAGTGGGGGCTCTTGTTTACTGGACCCCTTCCTGAGTGCTTCGTGTGAGTGGGGTGCAGCTGCCCCCCCACACACACCACCACCACCACCAGGGAGAGCTGGGAGGAGCCCTGAGAGCCATCCTTCTACTCCTGGCTGAGCCAGCCCTGCTGATTCCTCAGGCGGACATGCAGCGCTGGGAGGAGCAGAGCCAGGGTGCCATCTACACTGTGGAGTATGCCTGCAGGTACCTGCCCCGCCTCGCCCACTGTTACCAGAGGTGGTGCCTGCCTTCCCTGTCAGTGGGAGACTGCCTGAAAAGGGAGCCGTGAGCCAGGCCCCGGGGTGGGTTCCTGAGGCAGGAAGATTACGGATTCCATGCCAGCTTGGGCAAATTGAGAGGGACCCTGTCTCAAAGTCAAGACAGATGAGTGGGTGGAGGGCCAAGGTGCAGCAGTGCCAGGGGACATCACTGCGATGCCCAGGCGGTGGTAAGGGTAGGTCACGTCCCGGCCCCAGGCCCTCTGCAAACATGAAAGCCCCCTGGAGCCCCTGGGGAGGCCAAAGCAGCCAATGCCTTAGCCGCTGCCCTCTACTACCTGCCTGAGTGCCCCCTTCAGGCTGGGGCTCCCGTGGGTGGATATGGGGACCCCATCTGGCCCGGGGCACTGATGACCCCTCTCTACAGTGCCATGAAGAACCTGGTGGATAGCAGCGTCTACTTCCGCAGCATCGAGGGGCTGCTCAAGCAGGCCATCAATATCCGGGACCACATGAATGCAGCGGCCCAGAGCCATAGGTAGCACTGGTGCCGCCACCTGGCCAGGAGCCCCCACATTGCCCCCCAACCTCGCTTTCCATGTCGCAGGGCTGCTGCTGGCTTTCGCCTGTCCTCTGGCATCGTGACACCCAGAGCCCAAGTTCTACTGTGTGCCAGGCTTAGAGCTGGGCCTCAATGGTGACCCAGACTGGGGTACAGGGGGACACAGCAGCTGAGGAACCGGCTAGGGCCTGGAGCGCTTCACCCCACCTGCCAGGGAAGCATGGACACATGACATACACACTCATGGCTCTGTGGGCATGAGGGAGGGTGACCCAGGAGAGCTGGGGTGTCTGAGGTATGTAGACCCTCAGGATTGAAAGGCACCCCACCCTCACCACAGGGTGCTGGCAGGAGTAGCTTTCTTCTCTCTGCCTTTATTGTAACTTTATTTCTGCTTTGTTTTTGAGATGAGGTCTTGAAGTGTAGTTCAGGCTGGTCCTGAGCTCACAGTGATCCTCCTACCTCAGCCTACCAAGCGCCCAGCCTCATTATAATTTAATAAATGCACATCTGAGCACTGCCTGTGTCCTTGCTGGAAGCTCCCCTGGAAAGCGGCGGCCCCCGCAGCAGAGAGTACAGTTTGCCTGTCCCTACTGGCATTTTGGACAGAACCCATGAACCAAGGCAAGTGTTCAATGTGGTGGTGGGGAGGGGCACCCAGGATGACTACTTGCTTTAGTGGATTTACCTGCATTTACTCAAAGGCAGCTCTTGGTTTCCAGGGACTCCCTGTTTGGGGCTCCAGCCCCGTTTTATTTAAGTCACTTTATAGCCAGGCTGGTCTCCAGGTGATCCTCCTGCCTCAGCCTCCTGGCTGTTAAAGATTAAATGTGTGCCTCACCACACTTGGCTCCCAAGTCCTATCTTTTTTTTTTTTCTTTTTGAGACGGGGTCTGGCTATGCAGTTCAGGTTGGTCTTGAGCTACAAGTAGCCCAGGTTGGTCTTGAACTCGCAGAGATCCTCCTGCCTCAGCCTTCCGAGTGCTGGGATTACAGGCCTGAGCCACCACGCCCGGCTAGTCCTATCTTTAAAAAAAAAAAAAAAAAAAAACCTAGGGATTAAGCTCAAGACCTTGAGTTTGCCAGGTAGGTACTTACATCCCTGAGCTAAATCTCCAGTGCTAATCGTATCATCTTGAAGGCTCAGAATGGGGAAAAAAAGAATGGGACTCTGAGGAGACCTCAGTGTAACCCAAACCCACACCCTAGCCCCACAGAGCAGCCTCCCGGCCTCTGACCTGGTTCATTTCAGACTCTGTGATGTACCCTAACTCCTGCCCCGCCCTCCTCGGCTCCAGAGCTGGATGCCCACAAGCTGATCGATGCCCCTTACTAACTGGTCAATGGGCCAAGCCAGCGGGCTACTGTCCACACCCTTGGTGGGGTAGGTGAGTGGCCGTTCCAGCTCCAGCCTCATTCTGTGCCTCCTGAGAAAGCTGAGGCTCACGGCAGCTCAGGGAACTCAGGACCTCCTCACCGTTGGACTCCAGCCGGTTACCGAGCTCCCCTCCTGTCTGGCACCTGTGGCCTCGGCCAACCCATGCAGGGCTCTTCCCTTCCAGCCCAATAGCGCGGCCCGGCCCCACACGTGGACAAGAGCAGATGACTGCTACATGAGGAGGGCTGGCCAATCTGAGCACCGCTCCAGGGCAGACCCGCCTGCCCTGCTGAGAGCCACTGGGGCCCTGTGTCCCAGTGCCTGGGCACTCCAGCACTCCCGCCGCTTTGCAAGGGCACTGACTCGCCCCGCCAATCCGAGCGGGCCTCGCCGTCTCCTGGGTCACCGTGATTGGCTGGAGCTCGAGGCCTGCCCTTCCATCTGGGCCCTGCGGAGACCCCCATGAAACCTCAGGGGCCGTGAGTGGGCAAGAGAGCTCCTGAGGGCCCTCTGTCACTGGGGAGCCCTGTGCGGGGTGGGCCTGGTTGTACCTGCCCAGACGCTAGTGCACCTGCTAACCTACCCTCGTGACACACACCTTTGCAGTGTGTTCTCTGCAGGTCAGTGCTGAGCCCTATGAATTCCAGGGCTGAGTGGTCAGCCCACCCGGCATGCACCCCTACAAGCCTGGCCTTGGGCCAGTACACTGCGTGCCTCTGCTTTGTCCTTGTGAAAGGCAGTAGGGAGATGAGAACAAAGTTTTGGTGTACAGCCAGGGTGTCCTCCTTCCATGGCTCAGCAAGAACCCAAAGGTTGGCCCTGGATGGTGTTTGGGGGAGTTGGGTGATGGAGGATGGGGTCTTCCTGGGTTATCAGACCTCTCAAGGAGTCCTGGGGAACAATCAAAGACACACAAGGTGTCACAGTCCCCCTCACACGGATGACCTCTCCCTCCTGTCCTGGTGGTGCAGGGTGGAGGACCGCTGTGTGGCCATTTTGCCTCACCAGTTTTTCGTCTGTTTTGGAGACAGGATATCACTATGTAGCCCAGGCTGGCCTTGAATTCTTAAGAGATTCTCCTACCTCAGCCTCCTAAGTGCTGAGACTACTTGTGTGGGCCGCCACACCCAGCTGTCTGTCCACTGTTCAGACTCGTGGTGGGGGCAGATGAAGGAGCCACAGGTCCGCCTGATTTGCTACCCTGTGGTGTGGGGCCACACAGTCACCATCCTTGTCCCCACCCGTGTGAAGGCACTTGTCGTCCCCTACTCAGGCATCTGTCCTCTGTTAACCCAGAGCATTGTCTCCCTTCTGTGACACACAGTGGATAGGACAAACCAGTCCTGCACCCAGGACTCAGCAGTGACTTCTAGGTAGAGGAGCAATCCTGGGTGCCAGGGCCCCACCCCCAGAGTCTGCATCACTTGCAACCTCTGGCTGGGGCCTCAGCCAGCAGCTAGTCGTCCTCTCCTTCAAAAAGGGACCTGAGCAGGATTCTGGATGCCAGACACCTCCATCACCTCACCTTGGAGGGTGCTGAGAGGCCCTAGCTAATTTGCATTTTATTTGCAAGTCTGATTTGCCCTGCCTGCCTGGAGGACGCCCACTTCTGCCCACCGCCAGGGGCGCACGAGGCATAACCTTGGCTGGAGCTGGGCCTAAGCTACCCCAGTGCTGGTGGCCCGTAACCTTCTGTACCCTGGCTCCCGCTTCCTGCTAAGTCACACTTCCAGGGGACTGGATCACCCCACAAAAGCTCACCCCTGTTCCCACACCATGGGAAACGAGAGAGGCAGTGAGGGCCACGCACCAAGGGCCTTCAAGCTGGAGCTGGCACCTTGGGCTAGGACTGACCAGAAGAGACCCTAGCTCCGGTGAGGTATGGGTTCCTGGTCTGCCTGTGGTGACCAGGGTGACAATTATACATCAGCTGCTTTCTGACCTGAGCGCCTGGTCCAAGACCTGTTTTTATTTCAGGCCCGCTCGTAGCCCTATGGTGTCCCATGGGCCTTGGTACCCTGCATTGGTTTCCACCCCTTCCACCAGGCAGACTTCTTAGGGCTCTGTGGTTTGTCAGGAGCCCGTGGAGATGCTCCTTGGTACTGCCATCCTCCAGGCCCAGCCCCGAGGGCTCCCTGTGCAGAGGGGACGGTGAAAGACCAGCACCCCAACTCCTAGGTCCATGCTGGGCTGGGGCCCCAAACCCAAATGGGCCAGAAAGGGTTGTGAGGGGCTGGCGGCCAGGGTCAGGACATCGCCACTCAGCTAGCCCAGCCCTTCCCGCCACGCCCCGAGGCTCCCAGAGCTGCACCAGCTGCCACCCTCACGTAACCAGAGCCTGCCTGTTGCATCAGAGGCTGTTGGGGCAGCCACGGGTAAACAGAGCAGCCCTGGGGGGCCCAGGGCTCCCCAGCCACCTGCAGGCGCTCTGTGTCTCCTTCTGCACCTTGGGGCTAAGGTAGAAGCCCCCAGCCTAGCCCTGGGCTTGTGTGGTCTCGGGACACCTGGGGGTCTGGCCTTAAACAGAGAGGGGCAGGGACCCCCAGGATGCCAGTGTGAGCCCTAGTTTTTATGCCCAAGGAGAAAGCTGTGTTGGTTGTTGGCCTTTTGGCTCAGATCAAGTGGGAGAGTTGTAGACAGGTGTGGTACCTCACTTCTGACATCCCAGCACTCAGAGGCTGAGGCAGGAGGTTCGATGCAAGTTGGAGGCTGGCCTGGGCTACAAAGGGAGCTCAAGGCCAGGGCGAGTTGCACAGGGAGACCTCATCTCAAAACAAAAAGTTGTGACCAGAGTTAATGCTGCAGACTGCCCACACCACAGACTGGTAAACTGAGGTGCAGGGCAAGGCAGGAGTCCACCCAGCACTGTTGCGGATCTGTGCCACCGCAACCCGGACAGGACCCCAGAAACTTCGACCGCCACTCACCCCCGCGCAGCCTCCAGGTCACATCCCACCCTCGCGCGCCCCGCCACACAGCCTTCGCGAGCTCAGAAGCGCACCTGTACCCCAAACCTGACCCGACGCGCGGGAGCGTTCGGAGCGTCTGCCACGTGCCTCTCCCTGAGCCCAGGTGTCTGCTTGCTGTCTGCTGAGGAAACAGACACCAGACAGACAGAGACCCACCTGGCCCACTCTGTGTCCAAAACTCAGCCCTCCTCACACGCCCCAGACTCTGCCACTGTCCTCCCTGGCTCTCCTCACTCTGTCAGAGTGCTCTATACTCTTTATGGGTCTTGAAAGATCCTTCTGGTAGCAAACTCATATTCATACTGGAAAGCCCAGTCCAAATGCCCAATCTTCTGAGAAGTTCTCCCTGACCCTTCCGGCACAGCCTCTGACTTCAGTTCTGGCCAGCCCCAGCCTGCTATCTCTGCCTCTACATCAGCCCACAGTTGCCGCGACTGGCCTCTAACCTGTGATCCTCCTGCCTCAGCCTCCCGGGCGCTGAGATTATAGGTGTTTACCACCATGCCCGGCTACATCTGACCGTGGAAGCAGAGGCCACAGCCGGTAGAGAGGAAAGGGAAGGAAGAGGGTAAGTAGTACTGTGAGGAGGGGGGTTGCAGGACCCCTGCGGAGGCCACACAGGTAACTCCGGAGCCCTTTCCATAGCCCCTCCGCCGCCGCGTGAGCTCCAGAGGCCTCTGTCTGGCACCGTGGACTGACTACAGGGCCAGGGATCTCAGTGATCCTTCCCTCGGGACGGAAGGCGTCCGCGAGCGATCGTGGGGTGGTGCATCTAGTTTAAGGCCGGTGGAGGCATCGCTGAGGGCTGGTATCCTGCAGCCCTCCCCTACCCCTTCCTTGCGTTCTGCTTTGCGCGGCTAGCGGGAACCCGGGCTTCGCACATGCACTAATAGTCCAGCCTCTCCCGCCACTGCCGATTGGATCGCGGCGCCCTTCCGCGTTCGAGCCCGGGGCGGGGCTGCGCTCCAGCGCCCGCCTATCGCAGCCAGGCCCCGCCCCCTATGTAAATTAGCACGAACACCCATCAGCGTTGGGGGCGGGCCCTCTGCGGGAGGGCACCTGCGGCCGCGGGCTCCGGGGTGCACAGCAGCGGCCGCGGACTCTGGGGTGCACAGTAGCGGCCGCCGCGGTCCCAGCTCCGACCCCTGCAGGTGAGTATCACGTGCGCGGCGTCAGGGTCGCGATCAGGATCGCGACTTGAGGGGAGCGCTCCGAACGCTCCCGCGCGTCGGGTCAGGTTTGGAGTACAGGTGCGCTTCTGAGCTCGCGAAGGCTGTGTGGCGGGGCGCGCGAGGGTGGGATGTGACCTGGAGGCTGCGCGGGGGTGAGTGGCGGTCGAAGTTTCTGGGGTCCTGTCCGGGTTGCGGTGGCACAGATCCGCGCATGCACCCCTGCGGCATCAGCAGGGACCCCGGCAGGAGGCCAGCCCCTCCTCAGGGTCGGACAACGGTGCGGGGAAGGATCAAGATGCCCCAGAGCCGTCAGCGTGGAGCCTGGTCCTGCAGAGATTGTGACACAGCTTCGTGCTGCCCTCAGACCAGAGTTGGGAATAGCTGAGGCCTTCCTACCTGGCTGAGCTGAAAAGTGTCCCTGGGACCGTCATGACCCGTGGCCCCTCTGTATTTGGGGACGAGAGCTCAGACTCCGGCAGTAGCAGACATAGGATTCCAAACAGTACACTTTGGTGGTGTATGCGTGTAACCCCAGCACACTGGGAGGCTGAGGCAGGAGAATCCCAAGTCTGAGCCCAACTTGGGCCACTTAGCACCCTAGCAAGACGATATTTGAAAATAAAAATACTTGGAAAAAACTCAACGTGAAGGCCGGTGAGTTCAACCCCCAGGCTCAACAAAAAAGTATTTTTGGAACATTCATGAGAGTGAGGATAGGAAGATCGTGAGTTCGAGGCCAGCCTGGACCACGGTGGGGAGGAAGCCACACACCCCAGAGGCTTTTGGGTCCCAGCCCTGCCACCAGGGAGAAGGTGTCTAGTTTTCAGGACAGTATCCAGAGCGTGAAGCTGCCTCCTGTCCGGTGCCGTCACCTGCCGCCTATCTAAAGTGACAAGTGAACCCCGGCTGGTGGATTTGGGGGATCCTGGTGGACAGGACAGAGGCAACGGCACCCTGACCTGCTGTCTCCCCTCTGCACCCCAGGCCACCCCCTGATACAGTGAGCGAAGCCTGACCCCGGCTCTGAGTCTTGCTTAGTGATTTTCTTGCAGAAATCTCTGCCCCTGCCCCAGTAGATATCTGGAAATGGAATAAGAGACAAAAACTCAAGTCACTGTCACCCAGCCTGGGAACAGAGTGTAGACACTTGGGGGTCCCCTCTTTTAGAATATTTGGGGCACTTTGGCTCCTGCAGGCAGACGTCATTGTCCTGAGAGTGTTCAGGGCTCACCCAGCCAGCCTAGGAGCCATGGGGTACATGGGGAAGTTGGGCCTCATTTCTCAGCCCCAAAATCGTCATCCCAAGGCCCAAATCCAGGGACTTGTGTTCCCCACCATACCCCAAGCTCACAAATTAGGGGCCTGGGGACCCCCACTGTGATTCCTTTCTATTCCCAGACTCAGCAGGGGTGATAAGATTGGGGTGCAGGTCCAGGCTGGCTTGGGGGTCCTGCCAAGTGACACTGGGGAAAACCCACCTCCTCTCGAGTAAAGAAGGGGCAATGAACCAACGCAGAGGTACACACCTGCAAGCCCAGCACACTAGGAGGCTGAAGCAGGAGGATCACAGGTTCTTATCCAGCCCTTGCAACTTAGTGGGCCGCTGCTTCAAAAAATATAAAGGGCTGGGGATTTAGGTCAGTGTGATGGCTCTGGGTCCAAACCCCAGCAACACCACCAACAACAGGAAAAAGAAAAACAGGGGACCCCTGTGTGTGCTACAGACTGTCCGTGGGTCAGATACGGTGTGTAAATGGGGCAGAATGTGGGCCTGGTGTCATCCAAGCAGTGGCCATGCAGAGGCCTGGGCTTGTCTGGTCCTAAGACCCAGGTAGGAGAGAGCTGGGGAACGGGCAGGGTTCCCATCCTAATGTTGGTGCACATTGGTACCCCAGGGCCTTTGCACCCTCTGCTCTGTGGCCTGAGTGCAGAAGGCACCCCTGGAACCCTATCCAAAGCATCCACCTCCCCCTTGCTGGCCTCATCCCCCCCCCCCCGGCAATTCCCCATGCAAGACATTGTCAGGCACATTTTCTCTGTCCTCGCCCCCACCCCTACTTGCGCACCCCCACATTTCCAGAGTGGACCATGGGCTGAAGGACAAGCCAGGCCACTCATCCCTTCCGTCCTATGCTGACAGCTGTGTTAATTTCCCAAGCAGGGAGGCCTTGAGCTCTGGGGATGAATTTCCGGGGCCCCTCAGGGAGCTCTCTCTCTGGAACAAAGATGGAAATCTCAGGCTGTCCCTGTCCCTGCAGCTGCCACCCGAGGCCTGACCAGCTCGGGACATCGGAGCAGCCTGGTGTGTGGGGCCCAGCACAGACTGCAGGTCGCAGATCCCAGCAGCCCTGGGAGCCCTGGCCAGGTGACAGGCCAGATGCACAGCTGCGCTCCCTGCCGGCCCCCAGGGTTCACAGCTGGGCTCTCACACCCAGAGCCACAGGCTGGGCGAGGCCACAGGGTGGTTTTGAGGACTCTGAGGGCTTGGGGTTCATTTTTTGAATCAGTGCTGGGTACAGAACCCAGAGCCTCAGGCAGCCAGGCAGATGCTTACCACTGCACAGCCCTTCTGATGTTCAGACGGGGTCTCTAAAGTGGCCTTGAAGTCACATCCTCCTGCCTCAGCCTCCTGAAACATGGAAGCAACAGGTGTGCACCCATGGAGTATTTAAAAAACCTGTGCACTGTGAGGCGTCATAGCGCATGCCTGTAATCCCAGCACTTGGAGGCTGAGGCAAGAGGATCATTGTGAGTTCGAGACCAGCCTGGGCTACAAAGTGAGCTCAAGGCCAGCCTGAACTGCACAGTGAGACTCTGTCTCAAAAAGACAAAAAAAGAGAAAGAAACTGAAAAAACAAAGAAACAAAAAACCAGAACTGTGGGTCGAAGGATGCCCCAACCCGCCTGCCATGGGGGGGCCCTGGCCTCTGTCTGCAGCACTTGTCAAGGAGGGGGGTGGGGACAGAGAGGGAGAGAAGGGCGCCCCAGGGAAGTTGCCTGTGTGTCTTCTGCGTGCTGAGGCCTGGAAGGGGTGATGGGGCTGTCCCTGTGCCAGGGTCTCCTGGGACAGCACGTCCAGCTGTGACCAGACGCTGACCTGGTAAAGCAACAGAGGGGCCCAGAGTGCAGGAGTGTGTGGAGATGGGGCAGCAGGCACACCTGCGGGCCCAGCATGGCAGGAGGCCGAGGCAGGAGGGCCACGGGCATGAGCCTCTCCTGGGCAGTGTAGCAACTTAATGAGACCCTGTATCCAAATGAAAAAAGTAAATAAATAAATAATAAAAAGGGCTGGGGAAGTAGTTCAGTGCAAAGGCCCTGGGTCCCATTCCTAGCAATGCAAAAACAATTTTTTAAAAGGATTTTTGAGACAGGGTCTCACTGAGTAGTTCACAGCAATCCTCCTGCCTCAGCTTCCTGAGCACTGCGATTACTCTCATGTACTACCACATCCAGCTCAGCAAAAATAGTGTTTTAGTATTTTTTTTTTTTTTTTTGTACAGGAGATCAAACTCATGACCTTGTGCTTGCCTGGCAGGTGCTTATACCACTGACCTAAGTCCTCGGCTGTTTGCTTTTTGAGATGGGGTCTCACTACGCACGCAGTTCAGGCTGCCCTTAATTTATTACAGTGCAGGCTGATTTTGAGCTCAAAGAGATTCTCCTGCCTCAGCCTCCAGAGTCTGTGAGGTGTGCACCACCATGCCCATTTTAACAAAAATAGATTTTGAAAAAGCTGGGATTAGAGGTCCCTACCATCCCACCTCGGGTTTTTCAGGCACAGTCATGGGAGTCCCTGGGGTGGAGTCCTGCTTACCTCAGATTCGGGTCCTTCCAGCAGGATGAGGCTGAGAAGGCCTCAGTTTTCCCACAGATGCTAGAGAGATCCAGCACAAGGGGCCTAGAGAACATCAGGCCTCCCAGATTCAGGTGCCCCCGCCCCCTGGCTCCCTGCGCCACCCCCTGAGTGGAGAAAGAGCCAGAAACCCAGCATAGTGGCTCAAGCTGGTCTTCCTAGCTGGGTACGGAGGTGCACGCCTGTCATCCCAGCACTCAGGAGGCTGAGGCAGGAGCATCAATGGGAGTTCAAGGCCAGCCTGGGTTACAAAGTGAGCCCAAGGCCAGCCTGATCTGCATGGGGAGACCCTGTCTCAAATGCCAAAAAAAAAAAAAAAAAAAAGTTCTTTATCTCAATCCTCTGCAAGGCTAAGGCAGGAGGATCTCAAATAGAAGCCCAACTTGGGCTATTGAGGCTGCAGCTTCCAGCCCCAGCCCCACAGGAGCATGCAGTCCAATAGCAGGAAAACAATAAAAGGTGGGTGACTTTCTGTGGGGATCCCCAGTATCAGAGGGGCTGTGTGCCCACGTTTGGGGGCAGCAGTGTGCAGTCTGCACGCTGGAGCGTCATGGGCTCTGGGTTTGTGTTTGCAGAGCTGTGTGGCATGGGGCACTCTGTCAGCCACTCAGCCACACCCCAGCCTCTGCCATCTTTGTTCTGAGGTGGGCTATCGCCGAGTGCTCTGGGCTGGGCTCTGACCTGCCGTCCTCCTGCCTCAGCCTCCTGAGGCCTGGGATCTAGGTGAGGACCACCGTGCCCCTACCAACTGTTCCCAACTTCTGGGGGAAGAGGCCGAGACTGCTCCGAGCCCCCCCCCCCCTACAATGTTCCCCAGGTCCCAGGCCCCGCAGGGGATGCGGGTCGCTGCTGGGGTCCATGGCCGAGCCCCGGGGAGGGGGCTCCCGCCTTCAGGGGGCGCTTCCTGCTGCGCCCTAATGAGGTACTTTGGGAGCGGGTGATGAAACCGCAGCCTGTGTTGCGTGAGGCCGCCCCCTCCACCACCGTGTCCTTGTCCCCCGGGCCGCGCTGCCTCCTACGCCTCTCACTTCTCCTTTCCGCCCCGCAGCTGCGGGAGCCTCCGCAGGAGCCTGACCCTGCCCAGGGTGTCCCCAGGTCTCCAGAGGTGGTGCACTTACTCCGCGCTGTCCCGGAAAGGATGGGGATAGATGGGGACAAAGGCAAAAAGCTCTGCGCCTTCTTTGGCTGGAGAGGTCGGTGGGACGGGGTGCTCACACTGGCTGGGGGGCCTCGGTGGGTGTTGATTGACCCAGTGACCACAGATACTGCTACAAGAGGATTCTGTCATCCCAGGCTCCTAAGATCTTCCCAGCCCCTCCCCACCGCACACACAGACTCCAGGCTTGGCCTGAGACCCTCAGCTCCTCCCCTGGCCCCGGGCACACAGCCCAGGTGAGTAGCCTGTTCCCTCTGTAACCAAGGGGTCAGTTTGTTACCCCTGGACAGGCCCTGGAGCCCAGGGCAGCACAGCCACAGGAAGCCCTCACCGCTGAGCTGCACAGCCAGCCTCACACAGCTCTGGGAGCCAGGCATAATGGCACTTACCTGTGACCCCAGCACTTGGGAGGCTGAGGCGGGAGAGTTGCCATGAGTTTGAGGCCAGCTGAGCTACATAGCGAGACACACCACCCCCAAAATCAATTTAAAAACAACCATCAGTCAGTTTTGGTGAAGAGAAAAACCACACATGGTTGGAGGAGGACAGGGCCACCTTGCCCGAACAGGACCTACTGTGGCCCCAGGTCAGGGTGTGGGAGACAACCATCTCCTTAGGGAATTTTTTATTTTTTGTCTTTTTTAAGATAGGGTCTCGCTATGCAGTTCAGGCTGGCCTCAGGCTCACTTTATAGCCCAGGCTGGTCTTGAACTCGCAAAGATCCTCCCACCTCAGCCTTCCCAGTGCTGGGATTACAGGTGTGAGCCACCACACAGGCTTCCTTAGGGAATTTTTTTCCAGACCAGGGACAGACCCCAGGGCCCTTGCATGCAGTTCCATCCCAGTGCTTTTTTCTTTCATTTTGGGGCACAGTCTCACTAAGTGCCCAGGCTGGGCTGGCACTTGCGACCCCCCTGCTCCAGCCTCCCGAGTGCTGGGATCACTGGTGTGCACTGCCACACCAGCTTCCGGTCACTGTCCAACTCCTGGCTGTTGGCATCCTCACCCGTTCTACCCTCAAGGGCCACAGAGGGGGCCCCTCAGCCACTGCTAAGTGTGGGGAGCCAGAAATTGGGGTGCAAGGTCCTGGCCTCCCTGCATCGGCCTGTTTGTCCTTTTGGGTCCTGGTGACCCCTGTTGTCTGCTGACCCTGCTCCTCCTCTGTCCAGCTGAGGCTGCACCCCAGGGGGCAGAGGTGCCGACAGGGCCCCAAACCTCAGCTTCCCCTGTGCTGTGCACCCCCCGTGGTTCCCAGCACCCACATCTGGGGATGCGACGGCCGGTGTCTGCGGCCCGGGTGTGATTTGCATGGGGGACAAATATACTTGCACCCGTGCCTGACGCCTCGCGCCCACGGCGACCTCACACCTGGGCAGCCAGCTCGTGCTGGGCAGCTGCATTTGCATGGTGTATTCTGGGCAGGCTGTCAGCTGGGGGACTAAGAGGAAGTTGTTGAGGGAGGCTGGGGCGGAAGGGGGTCATGGTCACACCTGAGATACAGCAGAGTGCGCTGCTCCCCTGCCCCACGGGGTCAGAACTGAAGCGGGAAGATGAGGACAGCAGGGAGGGCCTCATGGAGAAATGGGTTTTTTGAGCTGGGTTTTGAAGTGTGAATAGGAGTTGGCCAGATGAAGACGGGCCTGAAGAGCTTTTAAGGAGAAAATATTTATTGAATGGAGAGGGAGGGGGGAGGTGAGGTGGAACAGAGCAGATGGCAGGCAGAAGCTGGGACTCTGTCTTAAGGATGGTGGGTGTTGTAGGCCATGGGCAGAGCTAGATGGGGCTTCGGCCTGGGTGACAGCCACTTCAGGGCCAGAGAGTTCCTCTCTGCACCCACGGGCCTGGCCAAGGACAGCAGGAATCCCGAGGGGCCCTAGAGCAGGGACTGTGAGACAGGCCTGGCTATGGGGGCCCAGCCGGTCCCGGGCTACCTCCAGCATCTCTAGCAAAGTCCTCCTCGCTCAACCCTCTCTGGATGGCTGGGGCTGGGTGTGAAGCTGATAAATCAGCACCCATCACGGAGGAGGCTGAGGCCGGGGCATCGTATGTTCCAGCCTAACCAGGGCAAGCTAGCAAGCTAGCGGGACCTATCTTGGAATGGATAGGGATAGATGACAAACCGCACTACTGTTAGGAGGCTGAGGCAGGAGGGATTCCTGGGTGACACAAGTCAGACCTGACCCTGTTCCTGCCCCAGACGGGCTCACAGCCCTGCTGCCCCTGCCCGGACCTTCCGTCCTGTCTCCCCTCGGGCTCTCTGCTTGGGCCGTGAGTAACAGAGGCCCTGGGCCTGCCGAGCTGCACCCTCCGCTTTTTGTTTTATATTTGGTGTCCAGGTCTTGCTGAGTAGCCCAGGCTGGCCTTGAACTTAGGATCCTCCTGTCTCAGCCTCCCAAGTGCTGCTCTGAGAGGCATATGCCCCCACACAGGTCCCAGAGGAACCCCAGGACCCGGCGTGTGCCAGTCCCCACTACGCTGCACCCCAGAAAGAGGGACACCCCAGCCTTGGACCCTGCTACAGTCACCAAAATGACTGACCGAAGGGAAGGGGCACGGGCCCTGCTACCCAGGACTGGGCGTCGGGGTGTTTCCAGAGTCGCCTTGGCACTGGGACCCCTGGGGGACCACACTTCCTAGCCGTGGGAACCCGACAGTTCCGGCCAGGATTAAAATTAGCCAGAGGTTAAATTTAGCAAGGATTCGTTGTCCCGGCCCGGCCCGGCCCAGCCCGGGGCGGCAGTGACAGAAGCTCGGTGACTCGGGCCCAAGCCATGTCCCAGGGTGGCTCAGCTGCACCCCGATGCCCGCACCCCTGCCCAGGTCCAGTGCCTCTTTCCCTGCCCTGAGATGGGGTCTCAGGGTCTTGCTGTGCTGCTGACTGCCCGAGGGCTCCCGGGCTCCAGGGACCCTCTTCTGTGGCCTCCTGAGGTGCCAGCCCCCGCCTGGCTGGGGTCTGATTGCATTGCTGTGTTAGCCTCACTGTGGCTCTGAGTTGACACTGCTCTCACTAAATTGTTGAGCTCCCCGGGCTGGGCTGGAACTGGAGACCCTCCTGCCTTGGCCCCCTGACTGCCTGGGACTGCAGGTGTGCCCATTTCTGGATGATGGAGGAGCTCATTGCCAGGCTCAGGGGCAAGTGCTTGGCAGGATCTGAGACCTACCCCAGGGCCGGGACCTGTGGGAAACTGAGGCAGGGGACAGGTGCCCTCCAGGCCCCAGGGCTGAGGGCTGGTGGAGTGGAGGACAGGTAGTACCACTCGGGAGACCCCTCAGCCGGGGAACTCAGACACCTGCATCCCGAGGTGTTCATGTTCACGGCAGGGGCTGCCCCGCAGGGCTCAGGGGACTGAATGTGGCCTGCAGGGCAGCTGCACCCAGGTGACTGTGCTTGGTCCCAGCATGCCCTCCTGGGCCCGAGCCCACCACCTACCCAGCAACCTCCAGACCCAGGGCTCCGCCTGAGGGGCCAGGCCCGAGGCCTCCCCAGGGCCCGGTGACCTCCAGCTGGACCCAGTGCTCGGTCCCGGTCGGCAGAGCTCACAGGGAGCCTAGCTTCCTCCACCAGCACCAAAGAGAATGGCTGGGTTTTTTTCTGGGCACCAGGACTTGAATTCAGGACCTTGTACTTGTGCCACTGAGCTGCATCCCTGGCCCTAGAAAAACTCTTTTTTTTTTTTGTCTTTTTCGTTTTTATCGGTACCAGGGATCGAACTCATGACTGCCTGCTTGTAGAAAAACTCTTTTAAACAAGATCAGTCTACACTCACAGGAGGGGAAAGTTATAAAATTCAGATAATCAAAAGCAGAGTGGGCATGGTGGCACACACCAGTCATCCCAGCCCTGGGGAGGCTGAGGCAGGAGGATTGCTGCGAGTTCCAGGCCAGCTTGGGCTCTGTAGGGAGCCACTGTCTCAAAGAACATTTTCTCTCAGCCTGGCCATGAGGGAGCCAGGCACCCTTCCTCTCCCACACTGTCACTCAGCCATCGCCTCCACCTCACAGGTTCCCCCCCCCCCAGGACCATGGGGAGGAAGAAGATCCAGATCTCACGCATCTTGGACCAGAGGAACCGACAGGTGGGTGTGGGCAGCCGGGCACCGTTTGCTAATTTTCATCATAACTTATTCATTTCTTCTCCCTGAAACTGGGGCCCCAGTCATAGAAGAGATGGAGCTTGACGGTACACCTCACTCAGAGAGCCAGGCCAGAGTGGGGGAAGCCCAGTGGGCTCTGCTTGGGAGGCCCAGGAAAACTTTCCCAAAGGGGAGAGGTCATTCGGGTTGGGTTCCGAAGGATGAGTAAGGAGTTTGAGAATGAGACACATCGGCCCCTAAAAAAAACGTTAAAAAGGCACATTCTAAAGCACAGAGTCAAGAGCATGATCAAGGTGCCATCGGACCCGCAGAGGTGCCCATGCCACTCCTCGTTCTTGTCCTGTCCCATGCGACCCCAGGTGACCTTCACCAAGCGGAAATTCGGGCTGATGAAGAAGGCCTACGAGCTGAGTGTGCTGTGTGACTGCGAGATCGCGCTCATCATCTTCAACAGCGCCAACCGCCTCTTTCAGTATGCAAGCACCGACATGGACCGCGTCCTGCTCAAGTACACCGAGTATAGTGAGCCGCACGAGAGCCGCACCAACGCCGACATCCTCGAGGTGCGGAGGCCAAGGCAGGAGGGCTGCGCAGGAGCCCGGCCGGGCGACTCAGGGCTCAGGGAGACCCTGCCTCGAAATAAAAATAGGAAAGGCCGGGGGCGCGGCTCACTGTGCAGACCCGGCTGCAGGAAGGAGGGAGGAGGGATAGGGCACCCCGCAGGCGAGGGACCCGAGGGCGTCCTCCCCTGGGCCTTGGCCCCTCTAGGCCCTCCTCGAACACAGCCAGAACTTAGGCAGTGGCTCTCAGGGCTCTGCCCTGGGCTGATGGAGCCAGCTGCGCCTGCACTCCACCCCACCCCTCCACAGTACTGCCTTCTGCCCATGCCACGGGGCTAGCTGGCCAGCAGTGCAGGGGCTGAGGGTCCAATGCGTACTTCCGGCCCTCGCAGACATTGAAGCGGAGGGGCGTGGGCCTCGATGGGCCTGAGCTGGAGCCAGACGAAGGACCTGAGGGTCCAGGAGAGAAGCTGCGGAGGTTGGCAGGAGATGGAGGTGACCCAGCCCTGCCCCGACCCCGGCTCTATGTGAGTGACCCCCACCTCACTCTAAACAGCGTTCTCTTGGTACCACCGAGCCCAAGTCGGGGAGGTGAAGACAGAAAAAACCAGGGTCTGGGGACCTGGAGTTCAGAGATGATTCGCCAGCTGGGTGGAAAGGGGAGGCTAGAGCTGGGCACTGTAGCTGGGGCTTTGAAGGATGAATACGACTTCAACAGGCAGCCAGTTTCTTCTTAGGTCTTTGACTCATCACATTCCCCAGGCAGCCCCTCAGTGCTGCCCTTCAGCCCACACCGCCTGTCTGCCCACAGCCGGCTGCGCCCACCATTCCCAGCCCGGACGTTGTATATGGGGCCTTGCCGCCTCCAGGCTGCGACCCCAGCGGACTTGGGGAAGCCCTGCCCGCCCAGAGCCGGCCCTCGCCCTTCCGACCCGCCGCCCCCAAGGCAGGGCCCCAAGGTGAGTGTGGAAGGGTGAGTAGGGGGACACCCATCACCTTACCCCACGGCTGGCCTGGCCCCCGTGACCGCTGCCCTGTTTTGGGTCCCCTTACACAGGCCTGGGACACCCCCTCTTCACCCCGAGCCACCTGTCCAGCAAGACGCCGCCACCCCTGTACCTAGCCCCGGACGGGCGGCGGCCGGACCTGCCCAGCGGCTTGGCGGGGGCCCGAGGGGGGCTGAGTGCGCCGGTGAGTGACTGCGGGGTGGGGGGGAGACAGGGGCGTGGCCTGCGGCTCCAGCCTCAGTTTACCCTCATGCTCCCCCCACAGAGAAGCCTCTACGGAAGCCTGCAGAGTCCGAGTGCCACGGGCGCCCCGGGACCTCCTTTGGGGAGATCCTTCCTCCCTGCGGGCCCCCAAGGTACACCCCACCCCTGTCTCGGGATCCGGCGGGGAATCGGGCTGGCCCAGGGGCGGGGAGAGGGAGGTGCCCCCACTCAGCCGCCCTCCCTGTCCCCAGAATACAGCCTGGGGGACCCCCCGCCGCCGCCCGGCCTGCTGCAGCCCCCCGCCCTGGTCCCCTGGCAGGCGTCGAGGGGGGACAGACCCGCGGCCGTCCCCGCGCCGCCCAGGTGAGTGGCCTGGCTTCCCGGCTAAGAGCTGGGGTGCGGCAGGGCGCCCCGTCCTGCGCAGGTCTCCGGCCACGGCTGCCCCCTGGCGACCGATGCTGGCACTGCACTCCCCCTTCCCACAGGGAGGTCGGTGGGCGGCTGAGGAGCCCCCCCAGGAAAAAACGACACCCCGTCCTTTCTCTTTTCTTTCGTTCTCTTAATGGTTTTCCCGGGACAGGGTCTCGCTGTGCACCCAGGCTGGCCTGGAAAGGGCGGCGATCCTCCTGCCTCAGCCTCCGCAGGGCTGGCAGCTGGGGTGTGAGGGGGGCGCACTTCCATCCGGGTTCACTCACCGCCTCCGGTTCTCTCTCCCACAGCGGGGTGCGGAGCCTAGCAGAGGGGGGTGCCTCGCCCCCTGCGGTCAGCGTCAAATCAGAGCGCCTGTCCCCCGTCCCCGGGGGCCTCAGCGACACCGCCAAGACCTTCGCCTTTCCGCTGCTCCTGCGGCCTGGGCCTCTGTGCCGCCTGCCCGCTGCTGACGGGTGGCCGCGGTAGGGTGCAGGGAGCGGGACACCCCCCTCCGGGAGGGCTGGGGGACACCTGTCTGCGTGGGGCTCATCTCCCTCCCGTGCAAACCGCCAATAAAACACACGGGGTCCTGTGCAGTCCCAATGCCCCCTTGTTGACTTATGCTGTTTTGGGGTCTCTGGGTCCCCCATTACAACCAGAGGACCCCGGGGGTATGGTGGGGCCGCGGGGGTAGGGGACAGGACAGGCGTGAGACCCCAGCCTCAAAAACCTAAAAATAAAGTAACGGAGGGTGTGGGGAACCCTGCAGACTCTTCACCCCACCCCAAGGGCTTGAGGGGTCTGGGTGAGGGGTGGGGTGGAATTGTCCCGGCTCTGGGGTTCCTCTGGGGTTCCGTAGGGCCCAGGTGGGTGAGTAGGGGTGGAAACTGAGGGGGGGGGCAGACGAAGAGGAGGGACCAAGGACTCACGTGATGGGCACCTGCCTGCTGCTTGCTCACCTGAGCCCTGGCCACCTGGACGGGGCAACCACTGCCCTCCCGATGGCCTCTGAGAGAACAAGACACATGACCAGGGACTGAAGCAGGGGGTTAGGGTTAGGGTTAGGGTTGGGTCTGTCCTGGAGCCTGGGTGAGTCCTTAGGGTGAGGATTTTGTGGGGGCATTGGTGGAACATGAATCACCCCAGCACTAGGGAGGCTGAGGCAGGAGGGTCCCTGCAAGTTCAAGGCCAGCCAGAACTGGTAGTGAGACCCTGTCTCAAAAAACAAAAATAAAAACTGGGCGTGGTGGCACACTCCTGTAATCCCAGCACTGGGGAGGCTGAGGCAGGAGGATCCTTGCAAGTTTGAGATGAGCCTGGGCTACAAAGTGAGCTCAAGGCCAGCCTGAACTGCATTACAAGACCCTGCCTCAAAAAGACAAAAACAAAAAATAAAGTGAGATGTGAAGGGAGGTATGTGTTTCATTCCAGCACTCTGAGAGGCTGAGGCAGGAGGATGGGTTGAGCCTAGGAGTTCTAGACCAGCCCGAGAAACACAGCAAGATTCAAGCAAACACAAACACCCAAAGACCGGCAGCTTTCTAAACCCAGGCCCCTGGCCCAGCGCGATGGTTTCCCAAGGCCCGAGGTGAGGAAGCTGTACTTCCTCCCCCTGCCACGAGGTGACGCGGGAGATCTCCAGCGCCCTCGGGCCAGCAGTTAAAAATACACTGCCTTACTTAGACTGTGACCTGGAACCACACGGAAAAAATAGAAATAAAAGCCCGGTTTGGTCGCATATACCTGTAAACCCAGCACTCGGGAGGCTGAGGCAGGAGGACAAGAGAGGAAAAAGGGCTGTCGTGTGGCAAAGACCTCCAAGCTACTCCAGGACACCCACAGACATGGACACAGCAGCCTGACTCTCAGGGCCAATGTCACCACTAAAGACCTGTGCGGGCTATTGAGAGGTGGGGCCTTTAAGAGGAGGAGCCTAAGGGGCAGTGAGGTCATAGGGGCGTGGCTTTATAGGTCCTATATTAGGACCCTTGTCCACTGCAGGGAGCCCATAGCTTCCCTGCCACCCTCTGGCATGCCACCAGGTCAGGCGACAGGTACTGACACTTCTGACACATGAGCCAGAAGGAGCCCTCCCCTCCCTAAATTCATGATCTCAGGTATTGTGTCAGTGACCAAAGCCAACTAACGCCCTCAGGGGCAAAAGATTCCCAGCACAGGACAGCGAATGTCTTTTGTCCAACGCAGAACAGAAATCCAGGGCTGTTTCGTGTGGCCCCGGACAACAGGTAGGTCCAAGGTAGGTCAGAGACGCTGGACAGACGCTCTCAGAACCCCTCTATCCCTGAGGGGTTCGTTTCCTGGGCCCCAGTAGACGCTGCAAACCCCGGAGTGTACGCAGATCTAGTTGGGTCAGAGGTGAGCGACAGTCATCAAACACCAGAACTTCTGCCAAGCCCAGGTTGGGGTCACGTGTCTGTCCGTCCGGCTGCTCGGGAGGCTGAGGCAGGAGAACGGCAAGCTCGAGGCCAGCTTAGGCAACTTGATGAGATTCTGTCTCAAAATAAAATGAGCTCGCGTCCTCCATTCTCATTGGGAGCACTGAGGTACAGTGATGTTGAGTCTCCGATGTGGGGCTGGAGACTTAGCTCAGTGGCGCAGCGCCTGCCTGGCAAGCATCAGATCCTGAGAGGTGGGCCTTTAAGAGGCGGAGCCTCAGTGAAGTCATGAGGGCGTGGCTTTAGAGGCTATATTAAGATCCTTGTCCCCTGCAGGGAGCCGTTTGATTCTAGTTACAAAATAACAAAAGAAAAAAACAAAAACAAAAACAAAAACAAAAACAAAGCCATGTGTGGTGGCGAATACTTGTATTCCGTGTAAGGCAACTAAGCCTTACCGTGATGTGGACAAAATACTCGACATCCGTATATTTGGAGCAGTTTCCGTGGGCTCAGGCCAAGCTCGGCCACATGGGCGTCCCAGGCAAAGTCCAGACTACAATTGGGGTCGGACCTCACGCCAACGCGTTAAGACTACAACTTCCGGTATGCATTGCGAGCAATTGCTTTGTGATTGGACAGTCTTAAGCCTGTTGATTGGTTGCGCGTGATGCTCATCAGACAAGAGTCGGAGTTTAATTGGTCAGTTCTAGCTGCGGGCGGTGCCCGTGCATGGAGTTCCCTAAGGAGACATGGTGAGTGTCCCGCTGCTCGAGAGGTTCCCCTGCGGGATCCAGGGAGACACTGAGGGGACGGATTCTCTTCGTGGGAATCGAAGACTATTGGGGACGCAGGATCGCGCTGGGGCCTTGGTGCCTTCTGTGAAGGCGCAGGGGTCGCTGAAGGAGGGCCTCTGAGGAGCCTACAGGGATCGTGCCCCTAAGCCTTCTAAGGTCGTCCTTTATTTATTTACCTATGCATACAGTTTGATACATTTATTTATTTAAGCGCTTGAGACAGGGTCTTGCTGTGTCATTCAGGCTGGCCTCGAGCTCGCAGCGATCCTCCTGTCTCAGCCTCCCACGTGCTGGGCTGACAGGTGTGCACCCCACAGCTGGGCTTTTCTGTGGGTTCTTGCAAACCTCTAGGGGCGCTTTAGGTACTTTGAGGCTGCAGAACCCTATGAAAAAGAGTGAGGACTTGTGCGCGTTTGGAGTCCGCAGAGATGAACTCAAGTCTGGCTGGATCCACTCTGGGAACAAGAGTCCATTGGGGAGGACCCTGGGGACATAGGAGCGCACGTCAGGCTTAGAGGGTCCCCGAGAGATGAGGCCAGGCCATGAGGTCGGGTGACTAGGGACGGAAAGGGACTGGGGTGCGCAGCGTGCTGGTCCAGGACTTTTGCAGGGGTGAGGGGTGCTGGCTGAGGCTGCGGAAGGGCGGTGGTGGGCGGGGTTGAAGGTGGGACCTGGTTCTGAGCGGGACCGCGCTCTCAGGCGGGCGACACGCAGGAAAGCACCCCTGATTTTTAGCAGTCTTGTATTCCAGGAGCCCGAACCTGGGAAAGGATTTTGCGGGATGGAAGTCGGCAGGAGCTGCGGGCTGGGGCCGGGGATGTAGTTCAGCGGCGCGGCACTTGCCTGGCAAGCGCAGGGCCTTGAGTTCGATTTCTGATACCAAAAAAGCAAAAACCAAAAACGAGCTCTGGGCCGGCATGGAGCCGAGTATAGGGCGTGAGCAACTGCCCGGTGCTGCCGGGAAGCCTTAGCAGAGGAAGCAGCCTGTTTCCCTATTCGAGCCTAGGTGAACCAGGATGGGAGCGAAGGGACCCCTGCTTATGAGCTGCAGAGAGAATTAGGGGTTCATCAGCATGGTCGGGACAGCCAACAGCAGGATTCGGGGGACAATGGTAGGAGGGTTCGGGGGTCTCTGGGGCAAGACGTGATGCTCTGCTGGGGTCACCCAGGAAGGCAGAGGGACGCTGCTGGGGTGCCCCAAGTCCTGGAGCAGCGTCACTGAATGGGGCCCCTGCCCTGCTGCACTGGGATGGGTGGGACCTCGAGCCCCCCCGGGAAGTTGGCACCTCAGCCTTATTTTAGTACTGAGAGTTTACCTGTTCCAGGCACAAAGCAGTGCCCTTTAGCCGACTTCTTATGTTTAAATTGTTTTTTTGGGGGGATGGCTCCCTGGGAGCCCAAGGCCGCGTGCTTCTTAAGCCCAGGCTCTAACCCTGAGCCGCACCCCAGTCCACCTCGTCATTTTTAGGGGGTGTTTTGTTTTGTTGAGACCCAAGCCAAGGGCTTCACACACTCTGGGCTACATCGGTTATTTTAATGGTGGATTTCTGAGAAGTCATTCTGAGTGAACTTTTCCTATGAAATGTAGCATTTCCCCCCAAGCCATAGAAAGGAGAAAATGAAAAGTAAAATGAGTGTATTTTACCTGATTAAAGGGTTATTTTAACCATAAATTAATATTAATATTAATATTAAGGTAATGGTTTTTTATTTCAGTTGTTGTTTGTAGCATCAGAATAGTAGATGGCTCTCCAGAGTGCTTAATCTTCCCTAATTACATAATTACTGTGAGCAAATTGTTATTTACTGTGTTCAGGCAGGAACCCCCGGCTTCAGCTTCAAACTGTGTTTTGCATTAGTGCTTAAAAGGTCAGTACTGGGCAGAACTTGTCAGTTGGGCTTGGAGGCTGAGGCAGGAGGATACCCATGAGTTTGAGGCCAGCCTGGGCCACATAGTTCAAAGCCAGCCTGAACTACATAGCGAGACCCAGACTCAAAAAGACAAAACAAAATAAAACATCAAAATCCAGCATGGTGGCACTGCCCTAATCCCAGCACTCAGGAGTCTGAGTCAGGAGGATCACTGCCAGTACACTGGGCTACACATAGTTCAAAGCCAGCCTGGACTACATAGGGAGACCCTGTCCTCAAAAAACAGAACAAAACTGGGCTAAAAAACCAATCACAAAGTGTAAGGCTTTATAGTGAACCGGGGAGCAACCCAAAGTGTAGATGGCTTCCCAAGGAGGCAGTTCACAGAGGGAACACTGAAAGAAGGCGTGGTCCCTGGAGGGTCATTTAAAGCAGGGGTGGGGGAGGCGGTAGTGTGGGGTACGCGAAGCAAGGTAGGCAGCGCCCTATTTCCGAAGGAGAAAGTGCAGTCCCAGATCTGAGGCAAAGGCCTGCTCCAAGCCGGTCCATGCCTGCTCCCCAGCCGCCCAGCCAGCCCTTTGCGGAGGAGCTGCTGGGTCCTGGTGCCTGCGTGGGGCTGAGTGAAAGTGGGGGGAAGGTCTCAGCCCGAGTCCCCTCCCCAAGATGCCACCCAGCCCGGCCGGGGAGCCTGCCCTCCGCCGCCTCTTCCTTCTTGCATGGCTCCTCTATAAATAGCCTGGATTCTGGAGGAAGGGAGCCGGCTGCCCGGCGCACACTGCCCGTCCTGTCCCCTCCCCCAGGCCGTTCTGGGCGTGCAGCTGGTGGTGACGCTGTTCACAGCCACTCTCATGCACAGGATGGCTCCATACTGCTCCTTCGCTAGATGGCTGCTCTGCAACGGCAGGTGAGCCTGCCGGTGACCCAGGCTACGCCGGCGGGAAGCAGCCGGGAGAACTCCGCCCATAGTGGGCGGGGCCACAAGAGCCGGCCTCTCGGTCCCAGGGATCCACCCACCCCCAAACTAGTTGTGTTGGGTTTTCTTTCGTTTTGTTTTTTGAGGCACGGTCTCGCTAAACAGTTCAGGCTGGCCTCACACTCACTATGCACCTAGGCTGGTCTCAAACTCTCCTGCTTCAGCTTCCCGAGTGCTGGTATTGTATGCGTGTATCACACCCACCCAGACTAGGGGTATTTTTGAAACTCGCTACTGCGAGGATGTGACCACACCCGGGGAGCCTTCTCCACAGGCGCCACCCTACCCAACTTCCCAGGCTCCAGCCTTCTCTTGCCCATTTCTGGGAATCTGATGGAAACCAAAATCTTCCTCACATTCAGGGTGTCCAGGACCCCCGAGAGCACTGTGCGTGGCTCCCCAAATTTCCTCTCCCTGCGGCAGCCCCAGCAACCGCAGGGCCTTCTGGTGGGGGTCCTCCTTGGCCCAGGGCGCCAGTTTCAGCACTCGGGTTTGGGGGTCCCTGCTTTCCCCTCTTCCCTTCCGTTGCCCCCATCTTTGCCCTCAGTCTCTTTCGATACAAGCACCCGTCGGAGGAGGAGCTTCGGGCGCTGGCAGAGAAACAGAAGCCCCGAGGCCGGCGGGATCGGTGAGTGACCCCACGGACTTGGCTTTCCCAGGCTTCGGGGCAGCCGTGGAGGGCCCCACCCCAGGCAGCCAGGAGCTGGCGCCCCAGTGAGGAGGGCCTGGCCTCCGATCTCACCCCGCCCTCTTTGCCCCACACCTCAGACGGCCCAATGGCCCCGGTGATGAGAAGCCACTGCTGGTGCCCCGGGATGTCCCGTTACAGCTGGAGACCTGCCCCCTCACCCAGGTGGACACCGTAGGTAATCTGTCCCTGGCCCGACACAGCCCTCCTCGGGCCCTAGTCAGCACCCCCAGGGGACGCCGGGTGAGAACACAGAGGGGAGGGGGACAGCGAGTGGCTGAGCCTGTGCCCTGTAGTCCTGCGATTCTTCCTGGAGTATCAGTGGTTCGTGGACTTCTCGGTGTACGCGGGCGGTGTGTACCTCTTCACCGAGGCCTACTTCTACCTGCTGGGTCCGCGGGAGGCCAACATCTCCGTGTTCTGGTGCCTGCTAATCGTGGCCTTCTCCATGTATCCTGCCTGCCAAGCTCGGGGATGGGGCGGGAGGCTTAGCACAGCCACACCCCACCCAGCCCTTTGGAGTCTCACTAGGTTGCCCAAATCAAGCTTGAACCTGGGACCCTCCTGCCTCAGCCTCCAGAGTGCCGAGTGACAAGCGTATGCTCCCACACACCTGGTTCTTTTTCTCTTCTTTGTGTTCTGTGGTTGGAGTTCCTAGCCCCTGCCACCATCCCAGGAGTAGACACCCAAGTTCACACTCTATCTGGGGCCCTAAAGCCAGGCCCAGGCCCCTCTAAAGAGCCTCGATGCCCTGGGCTCCAGAGGGAATGACAGCTGGGTCCTTAGCTACACCAGCAAGGTGCTCGCGACACTGACGCAACTGTACTTCAGCGTGCAAGGTGGTGAGCGGGCTGTGTGCTGTGCCTCCGCCTTCCTCTTCCTCCTCCTGGCCATGCTGGTGCAGGCAGTGCGGGAAGACGTGCTAGAGCTGGGCCTGGAGCCGGGTACGTAGGGGGCGCCCCAGGCGAGGGGTGGGGCCTGGTTTCTCCAGCACCACTCAGCAGGTCCAAGGGGAGAGCGCCTCACGTGCCTCAGCCTCACCCAGGCGCTTTCGGGCCACTCACCTCTCTCTCAGCCCTGCAGCCCCACATCAAAAATGTACCGTTTTACTTCGATGTTGAGCCACCCTACCAGCACTTCAGTTGATTTATGTTTTAATTGTCTTTTGTTATTTTTGTTTTTGAGACACTATTGCGCTACGTGGCCCACGTTGGTCTTCAGCTCAGCAGGGGATCCTTCTGCCTCTGCCTCCTGTTGAGTGCATGCCAGAGGCCCTGGGCTCAGTCCCCAGCACCAGGCACCCGTGTGCCTGCACAGGCCTGGCCACCACCGTGCAGGGTGTAGGGGCGGGAGCGGGCATGGAGGTGGAGTTTGGCGAAACAGGACCTGCTCTTTCTTCCCTGCTGCCCAGGCCTGGCCAGCGTGACCCAGAACCTGGAGCCGCTCCTGAAGCAGCTGGGCTGGGACTGGGCGTGAGTGCTGGGCAGGGGCAGGGGTGGGGACCTGCCAGGGCCTTCCTGGGTGCCCTGACCCTGAGCTGTTCGTGTTCCCAGGCTGCCTGTGGCCACCGTGGTCATCCGCGTGGGGCTGGCCATGGTGGGCTCCGTGTTGGGTGCCTTCCTCACCTTCCCTGGCCTGCGCCTGGCCCAGACCCACCGTGATGCGCTGACCATGGCAGAAGACCGACCCCTGCTGCAGTTACGTGGCCAGCGGTGTGGGGGTTCGGGTGGGGGCTCGGCACCATGGGACTCAGGGTCTCACCCAGGGTCCCTGTCCATGCCCCAGGTTCCTTCTGCACACCAGCTTCCTGTCTCCACTGTTTGCCCTGTGGCTCTGGACCAAGCCGATCGCGCGGGACTTCCTTCGTCAGGAGCCCGCCGGGGCATCACCCCGGGGCCTGTGCGTGGGCACAGGTGGGGTGGGGCCGGGGGTTGTCCTGCTGCAGATCCCCTCACCACCTCTCTCCGTGTAGGCTGTCAGACTCGGCCTTCGACTCGCTGCGCCTGTGGGTACTGGTCGTGCTGTGCCTGCTGCGCCTGGTGGTGACGCGGCCCCACCTGCAGGCCTACCTGTGCCTAGCCAAGGCGCGAGTGGAGCAGCTGCGCAAGGAGGCCGGCCAGGTGGAGGCGCGCGAGATCCAGCAGCGGGTAGGGAAGTATCCAGGCGTGGAGGGCGGGGTGGTGCCCGCGCGGGCCGGGTCCTCGCACAACTATCTCGGCCCCCTGCCCACCAGGTAGTACGGGTCTCCTGCTACGTGACAGTGGTGACCCTGCAGTACCTGACGCCGCTCATCTTCACGCTCTACTGCACGCTGCTGCTCAAGTCTCTGGGTGAGGGGCTGGGCCTGACCGTGTGTGGGGCCGGGAGGAGGCGGAGCTTCGGGCAAGGCCGCCACTACTGGAGGCGGGGCCGGAGGGGGGCCTAAGCTTGAAAAGGCGTGGCCTGCGATAGGGCGAGGCTATAGCTGTTGGAGAAGGGGCGGGGCCTGGAGGAGCTGTAGGGGGAGGGGCGGGGCCTGGAGGAGGAGGAGCCTCGGGTCGGGCAGCGCACTGCTGGGGTTGAGTGGAGGCTGGGGTAGTATGGGGCTCGAGCTGTGCGGGGGTGACCTGGGCGTAGGGAGGAGGAGCCTCAGGTCGGCTGACCACTGCTGAGGCCGTGAAAGCGGGGTAGCCCGGGGACCGGGCGAGAGGAACCTAAGCGGAAAGGGGCGTGGTCTGTAGTGGGGCAGGGCCAGAGAAGAGGCCGGTAAGGAAGGGTGGCACCTGGGGCGGAGGCAGAGCGGGCCCAGGTTGGGACTGGGATGCTGCCGCAGGTGGACCTGTCCTGTGTCCGTCCACAAGCCCTGCACCCCCTCCAACAGGCTGCTACTCTTGGGGCCTAGGCCCAGCGTCCCCGCTGTCGGTGGCCCCATCCTCAGCCAGTGCTGGCCACCTGGAGGACGAGGCGCAGCGCACAGCAGCGGGCATCGCAGCGGTCCTTCGAGGCCTGGCGACGCCCCTGCTGTTCCGCGGCATCCTGGCCTTCCTCATCTGGTGGACAGCTGCCTGCCAGCTTGTCTCCAGCCTCTTCGGCCTCTACTTCCACCAGCACTTGGCGGCCTGCTAGCCGCACCCCCAACCGTCCTGGTCCTGAAGTGAGGGTCCGGGCTGCCACTCTGCATGCCTCAGCGTCGTCTGCAGCTCCTCACCGAGTGCAGTGGCGTGCCTGCGGCCCCCTCGAATTTAACACCCCAGCTGGGGGCGGGAGGCTGCGAAGCCCCTGTCCCCGGGTGGACGCGCATTGGCTGAGCCAAGGCAGCTGCTCTTGGGAATGGAGCAACCACCGTGTGCGAATGGGATCCACGTGGTGGAGTGCATGACCAAGCCCAGGGAGAAGTCATTTAGGTTTTTATTAAATATACTCTCTTGGCACAAACCTTTAAAATATAAACATTATATATAAACAAAATGTCTTCATGGCATTAAAATACAACTCCATACCAGGCCCAGCGCCCAGTGTAGGGTGGCTGCAGGGACCACCCGAGGAAGGCACATGGGCCTGTGGGTCCCGGGGACCCTGAGGCCACATCTGTCACGCTCAGCCTGAGGCCTGAACAGGGGTAAAGCCAGCCCTCAGCCTGGTGTCACCTGCCTGAGTGAGCCAACCCTTCAGTCCTTACCTGCCCAGCCGCCACCATCCTAGCACACAGAGCCCCAGCCTCTCCTGCTCAGTCTGGGCTCTGCAGAGTTGGACAGAGACAATGTTCCTTCCTCAGCCACATTGGCTGCCTGGGCCCTTGGTGACAGGCAGGGGACACATGCAAGGAAAGCCGAAGGGCCCTCACAGCCACAGATACAGGCAGCAACGTCCTGGTCACAGTGTACTCGGGCCAGCCCACCCATTAGGATCCCAGCTTCAGGTGGCAACCGTGCCACAACAGGGTGGCACCCAGCAGGGCTTTGGTGGGGACAGAGCCAGGTTCACAAGGTCACATCCAAAAATAAAGTCAGTGTCATTAGGAAACACTGTATGGGCCCTTGTGGTACCTGGAAGGCCCAGGAGAACTAGCCAGATGAGCTGGCTGGGGGGGTTTCTGTGACCCCCCAAGCCTTTCACACTCCCCACCCCACTGTCTGGGGGGCCCCCTCCTGGGAGGGTCAAAGACACCAGGGACCTCCATTAGATCACCCCTTGGGGACCTCATGTGGTTCCACATCAGAGACAAGACCCCACTCAAGTATGGGGTTGGGGAGGCATGAGTGTCAAGTTGTGGCATCTGATGGAGCAGGGTGTGCATGGCCTGGGTGCTTTTATCCTGCAGCACCCCCCCCCCCAGGGAGCAGCCCTGAGCCCAAGATGGCTCTAGCCGTGGTCCAGTCATGGGGCCCTCGTGGGGAGGTATGAACTGGATCAGGAAGAATGCCTGCTCCTGGGAGACCTGGGGACCCTGGGAGAGGGTGTGAAGGTGGACAGACGGATGGGGAGTGGCCAGTCCTGTCTTGGAGGGGCCTGCGGCAGGCACGCACTCAGATCAGGATACAGGGACAGGAAGGCTCCACCCCCCTGCACGGGGTCAGCAGCATCTCGAAGGTCACAGCGCCACAAGGATGAGCGGCCCCTGCCAACACCTTCGGAAGGGGCGGTCTCAGCGACAGTGTCCTCTCAGTACTGCCTTGGGGGCTGCTCCGAAAGCCCAGGGCCCTCACTGTCCAGCGTGGCCCAGCGGCACAGTGGTGTCTGCAGGCTCCAGCGCCCAAGGGGCCTCTAGCTCCGCAGGTGCCGCAGCAGGATCTGCATGAGGTCGAAGGTGGTGAAGCTGATGCCCACGGCGATGGGGCCCTTGAGCCAGTTCATGCTCAGGCCCTTGTAGAGGCCGCGCACAGCACCCTCCTCGCGCACGATGGCCCGCAGCGTGCTCAGGATGGAGCCGTATGCGTGGCCTGTGACGCCGGCCGTCTGCATGCGCCGCCGCACCACGTCCAGCGGATACGAGGCCGATTGGCCAAGGAGACCGGCACAGGCCCCGAAGATCATGCGCTCGAAGGGGTAGGGCTGCCGGCCACCACCGTACTCTGTGGGCGAGGGGCGAGGATGTGAATGGCTGCCAAGGGGGGGGTGCACGCAGGCCTATCTATGTGTGCACCCCTAGCGCCCACGTCGTTGTCGTGGAGCTGGGTTTTTGTGGTTCTGGGGACGCAACCAGGGAAGGAGCCACACACACGAGGCAAACCCGCACCCCGAGATCCACCCCGGCCCGATGCCACGCGTAAGTCACGGCAAGGTAGCCTTCGCACTAGTATGCACGGGACCCCACTGATCCTCGGGGCCTGGAACTATGGAGGACGATAAACCACACATGTATATATGGGGAGGTGGGGGAAGACTCGCACTGGGATCCACCTGCAGCCCTGTTTTTATTTTCTGACAAGGGATCAGCGGAGTGTGGTGGTGCACCCCTGTAACGCCAGCGCTCAGGAGGATGGCTGTGAGTTCGAGGCCAGCCTGGGCTACACAGCGAGTTTAAGGTCAGCCTACACTACAGAGCAACACCCCGTCTCAAACTACCCCCCCCAAAAACAACAGACAGGAAGGGTCCCACTAGGTTGCTAAGTTGCCCAGACTGGCCTTGAACTTGCAATCCTCCTGCCTCAACCTCCCAGGTTGGTCATCATGCTCAGCAATATAATAGTTTTTTATCTGTTATATACACTTCTCTAAGATATATATATATATATATATATATATATATATATATATTTTTTTTTTTTTTTTTTTTTTTTTTTTTAATAAGGACTGGAGAGTGCCAGCGGGTCTCGAACCACCGGACTAATCGGCCCGGGAGGTTGGAAAGCCAGACTCGAAGTAACCACTGGGCTAAAGCCAGCCCCACTTCCCTATGATAAAGCTTAACTTTTAAAAGCAAGCACAGGAAGAGTCACAATAACTGGTAACAAACAGAATTATAACACAATGACACGTGAATGCGGTCCCCCCTTACTACAGCTGTGGACGCAGCTGGGGACCCAAGCACCTGCCTGGAATGTGTGCAGCCCTGGTTGGGTTCCATCCCAGCACCACCCAAACCAAACCAAACCAAACCAAACCAAACGTCCTGTTCCACAAAGTGAAACCCTGGAGTCACTGCCCACCGAATGGAAATTTTTTTTAAAAAACCCTTCCTGGGGCCTGAACCTTCAGAGATGACTTCTTTGAAGTTTTACCCTAAACAGCTCTGCAGAGCGCCTTGGAGCCGGCTTTACCTCGGGTTAGGGTTCCGTTCAGGGCCCTAGGGCACCGAGCTTGCGCACCCAGCAGCGGGGAACTGGAGCTCCACAGAACAAGCAGCCAACCTGTCCCCAAGCCAGCACCACGGACGCTGCGGCCAAGAGGGAGAGGAGCAGTGCCAAGGATCACCAGCTGTTGACTTTGGCTGGTTTTGTTTTTTAACAAAACACACCTGGGCCGGCAGGACAAAATGCTGCCACCTGTTCACAGCGGGCGCAGGGAGAGCTCAGGCTTGTCATGTTTCAGGCTCCCTCTTTGGTAAGCAAGCTGAGCAGCGTAGAGTGGGGGTCCTGTGGACTTGATGCCTGCATGTCCACAGACCGGAAGTGCTCCAGTCCGCGGGGCTCCAGGCCTCTGGCCTCTGCAAAGTCGATGTTCAAATGCAGCATGAAGCCAGTTTAGCTACTGAGAGGCTGAGGCAGGAGGATCACAAGTTCCAGGGTGGCTTGGACTAGACAGCAAGACCCTATCTCAAAAATCAAACAATCAAGGGGCTGGGGATTTAGCTCAGCGGCATAAGCACCTGCCTTGCAAGCAGGCAGTCGTGAGTTCGATCCCCGGTACCGATAAAAATGAAAAAGACAAAAAAAAAAAAAAAAAATCAAACAAACAGGGCTGGGGATTTAGCTCAGTGGCATAGCACCTGCCTGGCAAGCACGAGGTCGTGAGTTCAATCCCCAGTTTCGGAAAAAAAAAAAAAAATCAAACAAAAGCAACCCCAAACAAACATAAACCCCAGGTATGTAAGACTTGAACCCGGGCCCCCAGAAGTGCCTGGACAATAAGCTTCTACTGCTGTGGACTTTGGGTCCTCAGCTGGGTTCACCCAACGGGACTTGGTCTTTCTTGCCCGGCCCCTGGGGCGACCCCTCACCTCGGTGCAGGCTCTTCAGCGTCTCATAGGTGAAGAAGCTGAGCCCGGCATAGGGAATGACGCCCAACACAGTGGGCGTGAACCCGTGGTACAGCGTCTTCAGCCCCTCTTCTCGCGAGATCCGGGCAAAGACGTGGAAGATGTTGCTGTACCTGCCAGGACAGCAGACTAAATGGGCAGAATCAGTGATCCACTTGCTAATCTCTGGCTCCTCCTGAGGCCTCTGGGCCTGGGTCTGGCTTCCATGCCTTTTTTGCTGTTGTTGTTGGTCTTTTGCGGATCAAACCCAGGAGCACTCTACCCCGGAGCCACATTCCCACCCCATTGTTTAGACCAGATCTTGTGAAGGATCTGAACTTGGAATCCTCCTGACTCAGCCTCCTAGGTGTGTGCCACCATGCCTGGCTTTTGTTACTGGATTTTAGTGGATCTGTGCCCAACTCAAGGAGACCCTTGGTTTGCTCAAAGTCGGGGGCTAGGGGACTGAGCCCGCAGACCCCGCAACAAGCACACCAGGCCTGGCCCTGGGCCCAGGCAGGATTGGGGCGCAGATCTCAGCAGCATCCTCTGCACTACACGAGAACCCCACCCCCACCTCTGGCCAGGTCCGAGCAGCATGCAGAAGGGACCTCACCCCACAGGACTTACATTTCCTTCGGGGTCACAGCCATCCTGGCCCGGACCAGGTCCAGAGGGTAGGTGAGAGAAGCAGCAGTGGTTCCCGCCAGCGCGCCTGCGAGGAGGCGAGGCCACGGGGGCAGGGCCCTGACCGGGAGAGGAGACCGGGCGCTGGGGTGCGCAGAGACCCCGCGAGGATGCACCCCCACCCCACCCGCGCGGGCTAGGTGTCCAGGGCGGTTGATTCTGAGATTTGCAGGGCCTGCTGCGTCTTTCCCGTCCCTACAGGAGTGCAGGTTCCACCTAAGTCCTGGGGACAGCAGTCCACGGCCCGGGCCTCGGGCTCGGTGTAGAGGCGCCGTCAGGGTCCGAGCAAAGGAGCAGCTCAGGGACCAGAACTCGACAACCCAAGATGCAGACCAGAGGCTAGGGGCGGGGCCTGGTCTGGAAAGCAGCGGTCAAGAGGGATCGCGCAGAGAAGGCGGGGTCAAGGGGCGTGTCCTAATAGAGGGACCTGCAATAGTAAAGGCGGGGCCTAGCCTGGAAGGCGGGTCGAGGGGGCGTGCTCTGGTAGAGGGGCGAGGTCTGACAATTAGGCCCATGGGCGGGACCTAGCCAAGGGGCAGGGAAGTGGGGCGGGGCTCACTCTCCGCGGAAGCCATAGTAGCGCCCCAGCACACGCTTGTACTCCTCATGCGCGCTGAACTGGATGGCAGCGTAGGGCACCACGCGCACCATGGTGGCCGAGTTCCCGCGCCACAGGCTCAGGAAGCCCTCGTTGAGGTAGGTGAAGTAGAGGACCCGAAAGGCCTCCTGGGGGAAAGGGGAGAGGTCATCACCCTTCCGCCTCGTTTTCAGAACAGCCTAAGACATCACCTGCTTAGCTCTGCTTCCCGCCTGGGGTCCTCCCCACAAGCCCTGGGCCCCCGGAGCTGCGCAGCGAATGAATGGAGGCCCGGTCTGCAAGGAAGAGTAAGCGTGATGCACATGGCATTCCTGGTGCTAGCTGGTGGCGCGCACGTAAAATTCCCTGCACTCAGGGAGGCTGAGGCAGGAGGTTGCAGAGTTGGAACACAGTCTGGGCAACTTAGCACATAAAATAAAAATGAAATGGGGGGCTGTGTCTGTGAATGTAGCTCAGTGCAAAAGCCCTAGGCCCCATCTCCAGTACAAAAAAAAAAAGATAAGAGTTCTTCAGCCGGAAACTCCTGACTGCATTTAACTGTAAACCACAGATGAAGGCAGGGCTCAGCACCACCCCAAAAACGTGAGAAGGTCTCTTAACTCCCCGGGTGAAAGATCAAGCCGAGGGGCTGCTGGTGCATGGAAGGAAGGAAAGGGGAAAGTGGCCCTGCCCGGATCACCCTGCACCTTCTCTGCCGCCCGGGGCCAACTCACCTTGGCAGAAAACCTTTTTGAAGACACTGAAAGGAGAAAAAAAAAATAAGAGGAAGACTGAGACACAAAGGACAGAACTCCAGCCAGTGCCCCCCTCAATAACAGGGTCTGTGGTCCCCAACAGGGACCTCATCCTCCTTCACCCTCAGCACCCCTGCACGGCTAAGGTCTCCACTGGCCCAGCTCTTGGGATCTGCACTCAGCGCCCCATCCTGGCTTGGACTTCCTGCACCAGCAGCCACCAGCCACCAGGTGGGGGGAGCCCTGGTCCCAAGCGCGCTCGCCCACCTTGGCTCCAGAGCTCCTGCCTGCCCGCCCACCACCCAGCTGTGACAGAGGAGGACCAGTCCAGATGATGGAAGCCCTGGTGTGTGATGTCCCCCACCTGGCCCTGGACAGGAAGCAGTGACCATTGATGTGACAGGCTAAGGCATCATCTCAGGTAGCGCTGACACTGGTCAGCTCCAGAGAGATGGAGCTGGCGTCTGCGCTGGGTACAACTGTGGCCCTCCCCAAGGGACCTGACTTGCAGTCAGGCTATTGGAAAAGGTGGTCATTGAAGTGATATCTGTAGGACAAGGGGGCCCACAATCCAATCACAACAACACGTGGAACGCCACCAGCCCAGACTGCCTGGACCCCACTCCAGGCCAAAAAGGGCAGGAAAGACCCTCCTGGGTGCTGGAAGAGGCAGGCATCTGTGAGCTCCTAGTGTCCAAAACCACTTTTGTCCACTGAGCTGCCTGGCTTCCAGGACTCAGTGACAGTGGCTGCAGGACAGAGCTGCCCAGTGCAGCTTCCAGAGGGGACAGAGAGCAGTGCGTACCTTGGAAGATGATCTTGGTCCGGTCTAGGGGGGCCACCGCCGTCTTGGCAAGTGCACCAGCTAGGGCGCCAGATAACAGGGAGCTCAGCACTTGACGGTGGTCTCTCTGCAAGGGGACCGGGCAGTATCAGCAAGGAGAGGAGGGGGACAGTCCCCTCACCGCCACCCCCACCCCGGTTGTCAGAACAGGGGCCTGAGAGGTGTGGCAGGATGCAGCAAGGGGCCCTGGGGTCTGTCCATCTGTCCCTGGCCTCTATTGGTCTCATCTCAGGCTCCTGGTTTTGGGCCCACAAGTGGACAGGGGACCCTGATGGCCGAGGCCCCATCCCCCGAGAACCTTGCTCCCTGCCCAGCCCATGTGCCTGTAGCAGGGCAATGTCATGCCAGGTCCCAAGCGAGTCTGAGGTCTAGACAGGGGCAGGAGAGCAGACCTGATGCCTTTACTCCCGCTCAGTCCTGGGGACAGAATCCTGGGCCATGATGTGGAGCTGCAAGCCACCCCATTTGCTGGTCTGAGCCAGGATCTCACTACACAGCCCTGGCTGGTCTTGAACTGGTGGCAGCCCTCCCATCTCAAGGTCACAGCTGTGTGACCCAGTGCCCTTTTTAAATTTTGAGATAGTGTTGCTAAGTTGCCCAGTTGTCAAGCCTGGGCTCAAACGTGTCATCCTCCTGCCGCAGCCTCCTGGAGTACTGGGACAAGAGGTGGCCTCTAGACCTGGGTTGGCTCCCAGTCCTGTTCCATGTGTGCTGGTGGCCCTGTGACCCGCCCCACCCTCAGCCTATGGAACTCAGGAGCCCCTCCCCCATACCTCCAGTACCCTCTCCGTGGGCCCAGCCCTCCCTAAAGGAACAAAATCCACAGTGAGTACAAATTTCTAAGGGTGAATTCTGGGGTCGGTTCCATCTCCTCATCTTTGGGGACTCCTGCGGGTCATGTGGCAAAGACAGTGGCTCCCATGTTTTTTGGGCTATTGTTTTTGAGACAGTGTCTCACTATGTAGTTCACACTGGCCTCAGTCTCCCAAGTGCTGGGATCACCACGTCCAGCTCCCTGGGGATATAAGAGGTATGGGTGCTTGGGGGTTCCCGAGGCAGCTCTGAATGCAGGCTGCCCCCAGGAAGGGTCACAGAGGCAGCCCTGTCCGAGTGTGGACAGGTGCCAGGCACAGAGGCAACATACCTTGTCTGCTCCCGAGACCTCCTGCACCAGCCCTGTCTCAGGAGCAGCATCCCTGACCTTTATGACCTGCCAGCTCTGCTGGGGACCAGTGAGAAGGCCACATCATGCTGGTTCAGTGGCAGCTGCAAGCCCTGGGGCAATGACTGTGACTTATTCCCACACTGGTGCAGCTCAGGCAGGTGACCCACAGGTGGACCTTGAAAATGCTCACTCTTCCTTTGACACTAGGGGGCGCTGTGTGGCCTCTCTGGTTCAACCTCCTTCGGCCCTGGGACAGTGGCTGGGCCATCCTAGTGTGGCTGTGCAGGCCGTGGAGAGGACATTCCTGCCTGGAAGGCCCAAACCACCCAGGTCACTGAGCCCTTTTGCCAGCCTGCTGCTCCTGGGTGCCATCAGGGACTGGGGGAAAGGTGAGGAGGCCCAGAGAATGACTCCAGCCCAGCCTTTGACCCTGCGGACTTTGTGAGCCGCCCTCGGGCCCTGCTCTGGCCCTGGTATCAAGGCTGTGGGGCTAGGCCAGCCGGTGCCTCTGGTTCCACCAGGAGAAGCTAAGTGAGGATGTTTCAGCCCTTAGTGAACAGAGACACCGAGTTTTCTTTTTTTTCTGTACTGAGGATGGCACCCAAGGCCTCTGCACTGAGCTCCATCCCCAGTGCTGTTCCTAAAACACTTTTTGTTTTGAGACAGAATGTTGCTGAGTCACTAAATCGTCCAGACTGACCCTCCTGCCTCAGCCTCCTGAGTGCTGGGATTACAAGGAGTCTCTGCCTTTTCACCAGAACTGTCTGGTTTCCTGTCACCCGCAGGGCCTCAGGTGGAAAAGAGGGCGGCCAGTGTCTCCCCACCCTCCACCCTGGGATGTTGCCAGCCAGGGCACAGATGCAAGGGTGAATTTTGGGGCAGGGGGCAGGTGACTTGCCTTGGCGGAGGGCAGGACGGTGTCTGCGTCCTCATGCAGGCGCATGGAGGCTTCCTTCATGCCACTCCCCATGCCGGGGCCTCCCGTGGCGGCGCCTCCTTGTCCTGCGGAAAGAAGGGCATGAGCCAGGCCTCCCTGTGTGGCCAAGGATGCCCTTGCATGTGACAGTGACTGTGATTCTCTGACCCAGTACCTGCAGAGCAGGCTGACCCAGAAGGCCGAGGTCACACAGTGGGGCTGGTGGCTGCGGGGACAGGTTGGGTGTCCACTTGGTCTTTGGCAGCGTGGCTGGGCCTGGGGAGCCAGGGGAAGCTCTCGGGGTCCCTGACCCATGCATTCTAGTTGTGTGGGAGCCATGGGGCACCGCTCAACAGCACAGTTGGGCTTAGCGGGGCTCTGAGCTCTGCTGCTAGTACCCTAATTACAGCTAACGGGGGTGCCTGAGCTTCTATGCATGAGGCAGCGGCAGGTGACAGCAGCCAGCCATTGGCACTGGAGTGTAACCCCAAGAAAACTTCTGGGCACGGGCATGGGCACAGGAAGGCCGCAGTGGATGGCTGTCCCCAGCAGCAAGGGACAGGGGCCTGCCACATGGGTCCTGGCAAGGAGGCTGAATCTGTGAATCACAACCTCCGCTCAGGAGGCCAGGGTCAAAGGTCCGCCTGGGCTCTGACAGGCTCCAGGGAAGGTACCTGCCAGAAGAAACCTTAGGAAGTAGAAGCGAGGTCACAGAGATGGCCTCGAAGGGGCTGCTGAGATCCCCACTCTTCCTCCTGCTCCCCCTTTTCTGTGAGGTACCGAGGCCTTTGCAATAAGCTCCATCCCCAGCCCTTTTTATTTCTTACTTGAAAACAGGGTCTCAGTAGGTTGCTAGGCGGGGCTGCAACTTTCAATGCTCCCGCCTCAACCTCCCAGGTACCAGGACGACAGGTATGTGCCCCCAAGAACCTGACACTTGGAGAAAGGGCCTTCACACATGTCACTGAAGGGAGCCCGTGGACAAATGCACCACTGATTCCAAGCCAATGACTCAGTGTCCTTAGGAGACACAGATGGGGAGGCCGAGAAGGGGGCCAGGGGGTGTCCTGATCAGACGGGACCCACGGGCCTGCCTTTCTCTGGAGCCTGGCCCAGCACCAGTACCTGGAACCCCAGGACAGGAAGTGTTTGTTTACTGTGGTGCTGGGAATGGAACCCTAGCCTGATGCATGTCACACAAGGACTCTCCAGGTCCTTAAAGAACTATAGAATTGCTGGGTGTGGTAGCGCACCTGCAGTCCCCACACTCAGGAGGCTGAGGCAGGAGGATCATCATGAGTTGCATCGAGTTGCAGGCCAACCTGACATGCACAGTGAGACTCTGTCTCAAAAAAGACCAAAAAAACCCAGTGACTATATATATATGTGTGTGTGTGTGTGTGTATATATATATATATATATATATTATATTTAAAATTTATTTTACTTTACTTTTAATTTTTTGAGACAGGATCCAGCTGTGTAGGCCAGGCTGGTCTTGAACTCACAGTGATCCACCTGCCTCAGCCTCCCAAATGCTGGGATTATAGGTGGGCATCAGCAGGCCCGGTGGAATGTAGGGGTTTTTGAAAGCTTATTATTATGTGGCCATGCATCGCACTCGAATCCACCCCACCACTTTGCACGCATGCCCGCCCGCCTCCTGCAGTAGCTCTGGAGTGCTCCCTCCTCAGGGTCTCCAGCCGCATTTTCCGGGCTGCCTCCATGTCCCAATGTAGTCTGAACGTTCCCACATCAGTCATCTCGACACTGGGGATGGCAGAGTGTGACAGTGGCCACTGCACTGAGTCCAGCGGCTGAGGACAGATGCGATGTTGCATTTTTTTGAGGTGTCTTTCTGTTGGACAGTGTTCACTGAGCTTTTATACACAGGAGATTACAGCTGGTAACCGGGTGCCCTTGACATGTGAGGAACTTCACAGCACACCCCATAACCTCCCCTGTGCATAGAGCCCGGACCAAGCCCTGAGGAGCAGCACAGGGGCAGGCAGGAAGTGGGAAGCCCAACACTGTGCCTGGGCTGTGCAGTGTCACACTGCCCGTGAGGAGACATCAAACTTTTTTTTTTTGTCTCTTTCCTTTTTATCAGTACTAGGGATCGAACTCATGACTGCCTGCTTGCAAAGCAGGCGCTTATGCTGCTGAGCTAAATCCCCAGCCCTGAGACATCAAACCTAACGGCCAAGCAGCTGCGCCTTGACCAGTCCAGGTCCCAGTGCGCAGCCAAGATGCTGACATTGAAAGAGAATGCAGGGAACTGGGAACCTGGGGAGCTCAGATCAGTGCCTGGGAAAGTTATTCCCCAATACAATGTCAGGAGAAGAAACAATGTGATGAACGCTGGGAATGGGGCCGGTCTCCCAGCCATCAGGCAGCTGAGGCAGGAGGGCTGCCATTTGAGGCCCACCGGGACAACTGTTCAAGACCCTGTTTTGCAGTAAAAAGGAACGAGGGTGTCACTCTGGCAGAGCCTCTGCTGAGAATGTGTGGGCTCTGGGTCCCTTCCCCAGCAAGAGGTGCTTGCCCACAGATGGACGATAGCATGGACGGGACAGGACAGGATAGGGGGCTGAGAATCAGGTGGGTGGGGTGGAGAGGCAGGCGCTGGACAGCCTGGAGCAGCAGCTGGGGCCTGACCACCCACCGCTGGGCCAGAGGGGCTGCCCAGGAGACCCAGGAGATGGAGGTTCAGCCAGCCCCTCAGGAACTGCAGACCTCCTGCCCGCCTGGAGCTTGAAAGGCAGGGGTCACTGCCCCAGGGGCCCTCAGAGCAGAGACCACAGTGGGCCTTGCACAGCCTGAATACTCAACAGCCTCCTTCCTTAGTCTGCACCAGGGACGCCCGCAGCGGGCGCATGCTAGGCACAGGACAGGAAGGGCTGGACTGGGGCATGCTGCCTGCACCCCCAGGTTCCCAGCAGCCCAAACCAGGTCACATGGGAGATGATCCAGGTGGGCTTAGAAGTGAACAAATGCCTGCATCTGGGCTGGGCAGCTATATGGTCACAGCCCCAGTGCACCTTCTGTGTCTGTGTCAAACATAGCAACCTCTTCTCCCACCACTGTCCCTGCAGCAGTGAACTGTGAGGACCAAGTGTGCCATAACCATGGGTGACGCAGACTGGCTTTAGGAGGACTGGCTGGGTCTGAGGACACAAGGGGCTCTGCTGTCACTCGGTGTCCCTGAGGACACAGGGCTCCTCCCAAGCCAGCACACAGGACCTGCTGGGGCTGGAGGCGCCAGGGGTCACCTGGTCCTGGCTACTCTGGGTAGGCTGCGAAGGGTCAGGCTTCATGCTCGAGAGGCGCTCAGCATATGTCTGCGGGCATCTCCCCCGCATCCTGTTTAGTGTCAGTCATTTGTTCACAGGCTCGGCAGGAACGTGAACGCTGGACACTGGCCCATGCGGTCCCATGATGAGCCACCTCGGGGACAGGACTCAACTGTGAATATGGAACTCACGGGTGTCTCACACACAGCTCAAGCCTGGCATGGTGGCACACGCCTGGAATCCCAGCACTCAAGAGGCTGTGGCAGGAGAATCCTGAGTTCAAGGCCAGCTTAGCAAGACTCTGTCTTACAATATACAATGTAAGCGCCAAGGGCCCTGGGGCGGCTGGGTGGCACAGAGCCTTCCTGCCTGCCCTCCCCAGCGCCTTGGGAAAATAACAGAGATGTGCCCCAAGTGCCACCCAAAGCTGGGCACAGACCCCACTCCTGTCACAGTGCCCTATGTGGCAAAGCCCCGGCATTGGCCCCGAGTTAGACACTGCAAGCGATCTGAGGACAGCTTATGCACGAGGGCCAGGTGGCTAGGCAGTGGGCGCCCACCTGGCTCCAGAGGCCCCAGGTTCCACATGTGGCACCGGGGCAAAGACAGCCAAGGTCTTAGCAGACATGTGGCAACATCGAGGACAGAAAGTAGAACAAACAGGGCCTGACAGGTATGCAGGGCGACAGGAGGGAGCTCCTCACAAGTGTAGGGTGAACGGCCCACTGGGGACAGGTGGCAGTGATGGTCATGCAGTGACGTGGGTGTCCATGATGCCACTGACCTGCACGCTGAACTTTCAAGTACAAGGTGGCTGGGAGCAGTGTGCGGACACGTGTGCCTGGGTGCTCTCTGGGAGGCTGAGGTGGGAGGATCGGCAGTCCCAGCCCAGCCCAGGCGTCTCTGAGATGTACTGAGACCCCATGTCAAAATTTAAAAAAATTTTTAAGAGCTTGGGGATACAGTTCAGTGTGATGACCTCAAACAAATACATTTTTTTTGGTACCGGGGATCGAACCCACCACTCACTCTTGCTGGAGAGGTGCTTATGCTGCTGAGTTAAATCCCTGGCCCCATAACAAATAAATATTAAAAATCAAGCATTCAGGTTGTCCTGGAGCCTGCGGCATCACCGTGGAATGGCAGGGCTGCCCGGCTCTCAGAGGGCCTCCCTTTCCAGGGCAGGGGCAGCGGGCATGGGAGGAGGCCTGGGACACACCTGCCAGGGACCCTGTGTGAGCACAGGGACTCCGGGCCCAGGGCCTTCCCATAGGGGAGGTGCTGCGGGCAGCCTTGGCCGCCACAGGCTGGCACCTGTGGTCAGGCCCCACTGTTGTACAGGGGAGGGCAGCCAGGTGGTCATGGCGATGCACTCGGGGTGGCCACAGCCCAGGGGCAGAGTGCACATCTGGCATGCTGCAGTCCTGCATCCCAAACTGGGTACTGCCCTACCAAAAGCCCTAACACCCCTTTTTTATTTTTCATTTGGGGACAAATTCTTGCTGAGTGTTTAAGTTGTCTTGAACTTGCCATCTTCCTGCTTCAGCCTCCCAGAGATATGTACCCCTGTGCCTGGCAAGGCCTAAATTCTTGCAACACGAGGCCCAGTATGGCACTGTGCACCGAGTCAGCCTTCAAAGTTCTGTGCTAGATGAGTAAATTCCTGGGACATACTAAATTCTGCTTTGGCTGCATTTTCCCACACCAGCATACTCCTCTGCATCCTTCAAAGCCCATCCTAAATGTTCCAGCCTCACTTTCCCCTAAAGTTAGTTGCTCTGCCCTGCAATAAGCATTCAGTAGTTCTCTGCCGCACTCACTGTGACAGGTCACTCTCTTCTCACCTCTGCCAGTAGCATGAGTGTCCCTGGCTGATGAGGCCCTGCTGCTTACCCAAGAACCACTGAGTAGGAAATGCCCCTGCCCCCTGGCTACCTCCAAGCCATGCCTGCCTGTGTCCCTGTGCTTCCCTCATCACCTCTTGCCTGGCAATCTGCCTCTGTGTGCTGTGCCCTGTGCCTGGCCTGAGGTTCCCCACCCTCTCTGACCCAGAGCAGCTGCTCCAGGCTGAGCAGGAATGGCACCGAAAGCTGAGGTCCCACCCTGAAGTCTCCATCACAGTGGCATGTGACCCAGTTACCCTGGCACTGAGCCCCTTAGACAGGCATTTCCTGGACCACTTGTGGCAGACACTGAGGATGAAGCCAGGCCCACAGCACTCAGGGAGGTTGAGGCTAGAAGACCCCAGGTTTGAGCCCAGCCTGGGCAACTCAATGAACCCATATCAAAAAGCAGAAAGGGCCAGGGATGGGGATCAGTGGGGAGAGCCTGGGTTCCACCCTCAGGGTGTGAAAACTTGGAGATGAGTAGCTATGTGGGGACCAGGCCTATGCACGTGCAGACACCCGGCCTCCTGCTCTGCAGGAGAAAAGTATGGAGAAACATTGTGTCCAGTGGAGCTGGTGGAATTTGCACAAACAATGCAGCTGAACAACTCAGCAGTCAGCTTTCCCAGCATATCAGGCTCCTGATCCACCTGTGTTCTACACAAACACTAGGGCCCTGCTGGTTAGAGACTAACTTCAGCACTCTGGAGGGCAAAGTCAGAGAGTCTCCATGAGTTTGAGACCAGACTGGGCTAATAGTGAGTTCAAGGCTGGCTTGGGCTACATAGCAGGACCCTGTCTCAAAAACCTATAATCCCAGCTGAGATAAGAGGCTGAGATAAGAGGATTGCTTTGATTTGGAGGCCAGCCTGGGTTACATAGTGAGTTCAAGACCAGCCTGAACTACATAGTGAGAACCTATCTCAAAAAAAACAAAAAAAAAAAAAAAAAAAAAAAAACAGGCCAGGGATACAGTTCAGTGGCATACGCACCTGCCTGGCAAGCGCAAGGTCCTGAGTTTGATTCCCAGTATCAAAAAACAAAGCAAAGCAAAGCAAAACACAAAACAAAACAATACTCTGCCATTTTAGAGAAGGAGCTGTGACGGGTCCTGGAACTATTCTCGTGTGGTTCTGAGACATGACTGTCTTCACTTTCTCACCCCATCCCACACAAGGACATGTGACCAGAGATGGAGCAGAAGCTGCGATACTGCCAGGACCACTGCCCTGCGCGGGATACTGCAGCCCACCTCTCCCCCAGCTGTCTCACTGGGCATCTCTGGCCTCTGTGGGCCCTGGCATAGCTGGTTCCCACGCCCCAGCCCACACCTTCACTTTATAAATCGGGTGTGGCATGCCAGGTGTGGTAGCGCATGCATGTGATCCCACTACTCCAGAGGCTGAGGAAGGAGGATCACTGAGAGTTTGTGACCAGATCTTGTCTCCACACCCCCCTCCCCAATATAAATAAAAAAAAAGAAGTAGGACAATTTTTTTTGTCTTTTGGAAACAGGGTCTTGCTGTGCAGTTCAGGCTGGCCTTGAGCTCACTGAGTAGCACAGGCTAGTCTCGAACTTGCAAGGATCCTCCTGCCTCAGCGTCCCAAGTGCAGCATGCACAAGGCCCCAGGCTCCATCTGGAGCTCTGGAAAAGTAACAACTGTCCTAAACGAGTTAGTTGTAAGGATACACTATAGGATGCTGTGTGAAGAGGTTCTCACTCCTCTCTGGGCCTCCCTTCTCTCCACAGAACTTTGTGAGGACCCTAGAATCTGGGCGCTCAGCACTGGAGTCAAGAAGTCATAGCAAAAGGTACCCGGGGAGAAAACAAACACTGACAGCACATTTTAAAAATAGCACCGTGACCAGGGAGGGGTTACCGAGGGACAACGTCCTATTTCTTGACCTGGCCGCTAGCTTTATTCTTCTAACATCTTCTACTCCCACGTACACAATACAGATTTTAGGAAGTTTTTTTTATACTGCCACTGTGTGGCAGAGCTGGGGACAGAGCCCAGTGTGCACCCCAAGTCACACCTTGGCCCTGGCTGCAGCCTGGTTCTTGCAAAACCCAAACGAGTGGCCAGTTCAGGTCCAATCAGTGATCCTCTGCCAGCCTCCCCCCTGCTAGGCTGGCAGAGAGGGACCAGATGCTGCCTGGCGGGGGGTAAGGCCTGGCCTAGAGGAGAAACACAAAACAGGGCCCAGCCCCTGGCATCTGGTTTATCTCAATCTGACCCCACACTTGTCTTTTTTCTCTTTTAATTTTGGCTTGGTTTGGTTTGGTTTAAAACAGGCTCTCATTATGTAATCCAGGGTGGCCTCAAACTCAAAGAGATACCCCTGCCTCAATCTCTAGAATAGTGGGATGACAAACATGTGCTTCTATGCCCAGTTTCTGTGTGTGTGTGTGTGTGTGTGTGTGTGTGTGTGTGTATAACTAGGGATTAAACCTAGGAGTACTCTACCACTGAGACCTTTTTATTCTTATTGTTATTTTGGTTTTTTGAGACAGTATCTGGTCTCAAGCTCATAATAGTCCTCTTGTCTCAGTCTTCTGAGTTTTGGGATTATAGGCATGTGCCACCATGCCAAGCTTGGAGACTTTTATTTTTTGAGTAAACATCCTGCTAAGTTGCCTGGGCAAGCCTGGAATTTGCAATCCTCCTGTTTCAGCCTCCTGGTAGCTAGGATGACACATGTGCCACTATTCCTGGCTCCTGGTCTTTCTTTCGCTAGATGCAAGAGAAGAGAAAGCTGCTGGGGCTGTCGCTCCACAGGACAGCATGCACAAGGCCCTGGGCTCCATCTGCAGCTCAGGAAAAGTAACAACAGCTCAATGATTCTTCCAGATATCGAGACCTCTCGGGTGCCCTGCACAAAACCCCAAGCACCCCCTGGAATTAGCCTATTGCCCTCTGAGCCTGGGCTCATCCTGGGCACCGCTGAGGGACTCTCCTGACTCCTGAACTTTAGTCCAACTGGAAGAGAGACAGAAGTGTAATGTTTGATCCCCATGCCACGAGCCAGGACATCAGAGAGAGGCCAGGGATCAGAAGCCTTCCTGACTGTTTGTACCTCAGAGCCCAGACAGATTGGAATTTGATAAGAACTGAACAGAGGAGGAAATGGAAGCCCACCAGCTTGAGACACAGAGACCAGTGACCCCACGGCAGGTGCATCCTGGACCTGGCTCACACAAGAGGCAAACTGGACCTAAGCTCCAAGAACACAGTGTGCGTTTATATATTTGCCAACACGTAACTCTGTTTGCCCACATTCGTGACAGCAAAATACAGACAACAGCTTAAGCAATCACAGGTCAGGCACTGGTGGTATACACAATGAAATTCAATGCAAAAATGGCGTAATAAGCCTGATGTGGTGTCGCATGACTGGAATCCCACCAGCATTCAAAAGACTGAGGATCACTGCAAGTTTGAGGCCAGACTGGACTACATAGTGAGACCCTGTCTTTGGCCTGGGGATGTAGCTCAGTAGCACAGCGTCTGCCTGGCAAGCACAAGGCCCTGAGTTTGAGTCCCGGTATCAAAAAATAAATAAAAATACAACAAACCAATCAAAATACTTGGGAAGCTGAGGCAAAAGGATTGTTATGAGGTCAAGACCTGCCTAGGCTATAAAGTGAGCTCAAGGCCAGCCTGAAGTGCACAGTGAGAGCCTGTCTCAGAAGAACCAAAAGAGGGGCTGCGGATTTAGCTCAGCGGCATAAGCGCCTGCCCTGCAACCAGGCAGTCGAGAGTTTGATCCCTGGTACCGATAAAAACGAAACAGACCGGAAAAAAAAAAAAAAGAACCAAAAGAAAAAAACATCAAAATAAACAACAAAAAAAGTGGCTTAATATTTCTTGGAGGTGGTGCTGGTGCTGGAACCCAGGACTCACATGTGTTAGGTAAATGCTCTGCCATTCAGTACCACCCCAGCTCATGCAGAGGTTCAAGAGATAGAGACAGCTGGAGAGGGGGACATACATCTGTGAGCCCAGTACTCAGGAGGCTGAGGCAGGAGAGCTCAGCCAGTCGAATTTAGTGACTCAGCGAGACCCTGTTCCAAAACAAGGGCTGGAGACCTAGCTCAGTGTAAAGGCCCTGAGTTCAGTCCCCAGTACCGAAGAAAAAAGAGACAGATAAGATACCCACTCCCTACTCCAGTCAACAGGTACCTCTAGTAGAAAATCTATAAATTATTCCAAAAGGGGTACCCAGAAAATGACAGGGTTCAGGCAGGCAGAAAAAGACCTCCTTGGTCCCCACCCACTCTGCAATGGATGGGAACAAATCCTAGAAGGGTCTATCAGAGAGCTATGTCTCAGCCCTTACTTGTACTCTGAGGAATTTGTTTTGGTACCGGGGAGTGAACTCATGACCTTGCCAGGCTGCTGAGCAAATCCTCCGCCCCCAAACCTGTACTCCCCAGCAGGGTCTTGCACTAACTTGTCCAGGCTGGCTTCAAACTCACAATCTCCTGCCTCAGCCTCTCAAGTACCTGAGGTTACAAGAATGCACCATCACACCCAGCCTGTTTCATTTTTCAGTTGTATGCCCTTTTGCACAGTTTTATTGAGCATGTGTATGTATGTGCATGTGTGTTTACTTATGTACATCAATTACACTGTCAAAGTTCAACTATGTAGGGATTGGGGATATGTATTCACAAGGTCCTGGGGTTTATCCCCAGAAATACAAAAAAATTTGAGCACGTAATACACACATCATATATATGTATATAAAATGTTCATACACAGAAATGTGCACCACACACTCCTACATGCATACACAAGCCTGAGCACACCCCAGCCACATCTGCTTAAGTTGGACGGAAAACCCCAAGGAACTTGGGCAGGAGCAGGGCAGCTGGAGGTGGAGTGAGCCTGCGGAACTTTCCAGTACTGTGGACGCAAGCAGACCTGTTGGCACTGCAGACGCCTTCCAGGGAACATCACTGCTTTTCAGCGAGGACAAAGCCACCAGCCTCCTCCTACGCTGTGCACATGCAAATCAGACTGGAGGGGACATGAAAAGTTCCAGCAGAATCAACCCCAGGTCCACACCGGGCTGCGGCCTCTCGGTTCAGCTGTATGTGTGCAACCTTTACTCATTACCCTAGCAGTGTCTCCTGGCTGGCTTCACGGCGCTCCTCCAAAGGCCACAGGGATCCTGTCTCCTCCGCCCAGCAACACCCAGATGCCCAGCGGCATCCAGATGCCGAGCCTTCCGTACCCCTCCCGGGCAGGAGATGCAGGCTCAGGCAGCTACCCAGGGTCTGCCCCTCGCTGCTAAGCCTTTCCGGATCGGATCGGTCAAAGTCACCACTCGCGAGAAGCCCGGGGGCAGGGTGGCGTTCTCGTTGGCAGCCACCCCCCCCATAGACGCAAAGGATGGCAAAAGCGGGGCGTCCACAGAAGCGGGTGGCCAGACTCCGGCTCAAGCGGGAGTGGGCTTTGGTGTGGGAAGGGCACGTTGTGGCCCTGGGGGAGGGGGACGGTGACAGCCGGGCACAGACCTGGGCGCACCCAGGAGAGAGCGAGAGGTGGGGGCCCCAGAAAGGTCAGTGAGGAGACGGGCAGGCAGGGCGCGCCAGGCGAGATCACAGCCCCGCTGTGGACCGAGGCCGAGCGCCCGGGCAGGGTGGGCTCGAGCCGGAAGTGGGGCTGTCACGGACCGGCACGGTCTCTGGTGTCTGGGGTTCGTGATCCGGGGTCAGGTGGAGGTGCCCAAGTGAGATGGGATGTCAGTGCGGGGCGCGACCTCGGGGTCGAGATGTCAGGGCGCGAGGCTGAGCAAGGGGGGCTCGGGGCACCACACGCCAGGGCGGGGGTCGGGGACACTCTTACCTCTCCACCCCCGCCACGCAGCTGTCGCGCCACATCACCCTCTCCCCCGCCCTGGCCCACGTGACGAGGCCAGCGCGCCGCCTCGGCTCTGCCTGACAGCGCGATCCCCCGCACCGCGTCCCTGCGCCCAGCTCACCTGCCCCGACGCGTCGCCGCCCGCTCTGCCGCCACAGCCCCGCCTCGCGAACGCCCGGCGCGCGCCCTAGGAGGGGCCCACACCGCATTCCTATTAGCTGCCTGCTGACCAATCAGAGCTTGCGGCGGTAGGAATTGGCGGGCCTGAAGCAGATGGCCAGTCCCTGCAACCAATCGCCGACGGATGAAGGCGGGGCTGCTGGGAGAGGCTCTGTTTCCCTCAAATGTTCCCGCAGGGCGCGAGACCCTGGGAGGCAGGGTCTCAAGGAAGGCAAGGATTGGAGTTTTAGTATAAAATAGACAGCCCTACTGACCAATGACTTGGGAAAAGGGGCGGGACTCCAAAGAAGGTGGCGGGACAGCGGGAGCTGAGTAGAGAGGAGGAACGAAGGGAGTAGCCCGAAAAGTAATTATGATTGGTTGTGAAGCCAAAGACGGGCAGGCCCCGTGCCGAATTGCAGCAGTCGTGGGCGGTGCGCCCCTCCAGGACCGAAGCGCGCAAGGTGCACTTGGCACTAAGCGGCGCTGCCCGAGGTGGCCCGGGACACCACTCTGGCCACCCACGCCGACGCGGGCCTCCGGCTCTGGCCGTGAACTTGGACCGTTAAGGCTGAAGGACTCGGCCAGTCTCCCGGCCCCTCCCGCCCTATTCTTCCCCTGTCAAGGCCACCCGTGGAGCAGAAGCTCGTGGAGAGCACTCGGTTCCCCTGGCGCGCAGACGTGGGAACAGCATTCGGCGTCTCGCTCCAGCGCGATGCGTGACTTTCCGAACATGTCTGACTTAGCTGAGTCCACGCGTTCTTCACTGAACCCAACGACATCCCTGCTGGACATCCTCCCTGCTGAACCTTTGGTGAATTCACTGAGTTCTGACCACAGCCTCAAGGTCAGGGTGATCACCCACATCCTTTATGGAAACCAAAGCAGAGTGATGCAGCGCCTTGCACAAAGCCACGCAGCACTCTGCCTGCCCAACTTGGGGATAGCTCTGGAGCAGGGTCACAGACGACAAACAGCCCCTGGGCGGAGGCCCAGAGACCTAGCTTAGAATCTTTTTCCAGTCACCTTGTCACTGTACACTCAGGGCACAGCACTTATGAGCACAGCTTCTTTATTTGGAAAACAGGCCAGTGGGCTGGGGTGAAGGCCTCAGTGTCCCAACTCATCGAGGCTCCTCATTTCCTCCAGGTGCAACCTGCCTTTGGTTAGAAGCCAAGTGCAGAAGCAAAGAATCTTGGGAGGAGGGGAACTGAGGTCTCACATTTCAGGGATGGATACTTGATCTGTGCTTGTGCTCTGGGACCGAGACTCTGGCTATGGGTGTTACCCCTTGAGGCCATCCTCCTGTCCTGATGGTCCGCAGGTCCTAGCTGAGCCACATGATCTCACACATCCTCAGGCAGGTGGCAGTGGCAGTGCCCATTTTGTTCATGAGAACTGATCCTCTGGGGCAACTGTCATTTGGTGGCAGGGCCCAGGCCTGGGTCTGCTCGATTCCCCCTGCACCACGGTGCTGGGGGTAGAACTCAGGGTCTCATGCATACTCATCCTGGGCTTTACCACTGAGCTGTGCCCCCAGCCTTTCAAAAATTGTTTTTCAGACAAGATCTCACTGAGTTCCTCAGGTCCTGAGGAGCCAGGATGACAGGAGAGGGGCACAGCTGCACCTGACTTCCCACTCTTGTGTACTTGCTGGCCGCCTGACCTTCAGCAACTGACTCCGGCTCCTTACCTCAGTTTCCCAGTAACTCCCAGGGGAGCATTCATGGAAAGGAAGAGACAGTTTACATGGGTTAGTCCCATGGTAAGCACTGATAATCGCTAGCCTGGGGCCTTTGTCTTCTCCCAGCCTGGCACCGGCCCTCTCCAGTGCTGTGGGGACACAGGCCAGCTGTCGGGGAGGTTGCCGGCCAAAGAGGAAGGCATCTGTGTCACAGGGGCCGCAGCTCTCATCCCCTGCCAGGCCTTGGAGGGAGGTAGCAAAGCTCCTGGAAGGCCCTGTGGGGCCCCTGGGGTCAGTGCCAAGTAAGGCAAGGGTCGGGCAGTACTTTGGTCCTGGCTGTCTCTGTGGATGGTGCCAGAGGCACTGGCTGGGCTCTGGCTGCTGTTCGCTTGTCAGCAGGCAGGCGACAGCCAAGCTCACTGCTACCCTCCAACAGCAGTCGGCAGTGGCCTTGGTGACAGCTGGGATGCCCCAATCTCAGGGTTCCCAAGGGCCCGGCTTGGACAAGCACAGCCCCAGTGCCTCCTGGTCTCCTTGGCCACTTGGGGATCTTAGCAATCATCGGACACCACGGCAGGCACAGGCTCAAGGTCCTAAGGCTGGAAAGTCACTGGCCCAAGGTCAAGGGTGTGGAGGAGGCCCAGCTGGGGATCAGCTGGGTGGCTTGTGTTCAGATGACCAGCCAAGTGACAGAGGGGAGGTGGCCAGAATGGGGTGGCCAGGGCTGTGGGAAACAAGGCCTGTGTGAGCCCAGTAGAGTCCAGGTCTTAGCCCTAATGGGGCCTTACTCACTGTCCTTGTGGAACCCACAGGGGACACCGGCTCCCTCAGCCAAGGTGGGGAGGGCTGATAAGGGGGAGCCACTGTCTGGAAGCACAGCCCAGGGCCAGGAAGGAGGCAGGGCTATGGGTGAGGAGTTAGTGGACAACAAAGATGAGAAACTAGGGTTGTGGGGGGAGAGAGGCTGCCCACAGCAAGCTCACAGATGGCAAGGGCAGTGCAAACAGGAGGGGCCACAAAACAAAGTGACCTCCAGGGTTCAGAGACTGGGCACCTGGGGTGATGTGGCAGGGGTGTTTCTGAAGGAAAGTGGCTCCAGGCAGAGGGCACAGCTTGTGCACAGGTCCTGGGGTAGAAGATTTCATGTGGCCAAGACAGTAAATGAGGATCTGCAGGGAAGACGAGGGCTGAACCCAGGCCATGTGGGGTCTGCATAGTTTCAATGTGGAGCACAATGTGGAGCCATGGGCAGGCCAGATGCTAGGCTCAGGCATGGAGTTCATAGGCCACCCTGTGGGACAAAGGACCAAGCATCCAAGGGCCACCCAAGCCACACCTGTGGTGGAATCAGAAGTCAAGGTCAGGTGAGTCTCTGTGAGCTGGGGGAAGTCAGTGTACCTGGATGGGGTTCTGGTCCTCCCTTCCATGGGGCTCAGTGGGTGCTGTGAGGAGGTAGGACCAGGGTGCCCATCCTGGGAGATGGGCAGAGCTGCTTCCACGGAAATCAAGAAGTGTCCAGGAAGGAAGGGATCTGTCTGGAGGTCAGGGACTGCAATGCTCAGACCAGGAGCAGCCTCCTCTGAGGCAGGAGAGCACTGCGAGGGTCCAGTCCCAAGGTTCAGACCAAACAGGTGACACTGCACTAGCTGCTCGGTGGCCACCATGACCTCCAAGTGTGACTTTGGGGCAGGTGAGCTGGAAGCTGCAGTGAGTGCCATGGCTGCCTGGGGAACCCCAGAATGCTTGGGGTGTGGGGCGAGCCTTGGGGTCCTGGGTGATGATGTTCATCTTACAGTGGGGAAACTGAGGCCCAGAGTGGGCTGCTGCAGCCATCCAGCAAGTGAGGCTCACACCATGGACAGATGGTGCCCATGCAAGGTGGTCCTGGGGTGGTGGCAGGTCTGGCCCCAGTATACTCAGAGGGCTGTCACCCACTCCCCAATTTAAACGTGTCAGAGCTGAGGTTACTTGCTCGAGGTTGCAGAGCTGAGTTGGGGGATGGGTACTAAGCCCTCCTAGTGCCCAACCTGACATGACCAAGTACTGTCTCACGGTGACTGTGGCTGGTACATCCCCAGCCGGTCTCTAGCCACTGAGGCTTGGCAGAGCCAGGAAGAGAGCCCTCCAGAGTTCACAGATGACCTTTATTATCGGACACTGCACTGCTTCCCCAGGGGAGCCAGGCACCTGAGCTCCATGGGCACAGCATCGGCCCCACGGGAGCGGCACCAGGCACTGAACCAGTGGCAGTGGAACCCCAGGAGTCAGGTGGGAAGATGTGGCTTTTGCCCCAAGAAATGCCAAGACAGTTTCTGTTACACCAGAGAGGGGCAGGATGGTGACATTTCACCCGCCAGCTGCCAGGGGACACCAGAGAACACATGTACTGGGCCGTCTAATGCCTCCCCTCCCATCCCAGTCACTGCAGGGACAGGACTGAGGGGCAGGGCGCTGAGCACTCCCAAGTCCGGTGACTTGTGCAAGGCCAAGGCCACCAGGGGCTGGGGTCACGGTGCCAGGTCACCCTTCTGGCCAGTCCACAGCTCTCGGAGCTCAACACGGCAGCCCAGGTCCCGCAGAGCGGCCTTGGCCACATCCTCGCAGTCCTGGTGAGCTGCCCGCGCCTGCACGATGAGCTCTTCAGCACCCAGGTCCAAGATGGGCTTGGAGAAGGCCTGGCTCCGGGACACCAAGTTGCGGATGAGCATGCAGGCCTGTCTCTGCAGGGGAGGGGACATGAGCCGACCAAAGTGCAGCAGCCCAAGTGAGATCCCAATCCCAGCCCCAACCCTGGGAAAAGATGGCTGAACAGAAAGAGCAAGGTGGGTGGCAGGGCAAAGCCCCTGTGGGGCAGGGCAGGGCAGGGCAGGGCAGGGAGGGAAGATAGGGATGGGACAGGGACAGTGACAGGGAGGGGCTCCTCCAGCTGGCCTCCAGAGGCGCACCTGCACACCAGGCTCCTGTGGGTGTGCCTTCATGGCCTGCAGGGCCGCCAGGGCACCACCACCCTCCACGATGACCCGGCTGTTCTCCGGCTTGCGCAGTGCCAGCACGCACAGTGCCGCGCAGCTCTGCTCACTCACCTGCAGCAGGGATGAGGGAGGTCTGGGCATAGCACCAGACCCTGGCCCTTTCGCAGGCCCTGCGTATCCACAGAAGCCTCTTTCATCACATGTGTGATGGCAGTGGGGACTGCAGCATGACAGAAGGGCACTGACAGCGCTCTCAGGGGTGACAAGTCACTGGCCCCGTGGGAACTTCCTGGGGTGTAGGCAACAATTCCAGGGCATCTGGGGCCAGTATCCGGGAGCCTGGCTCACCTGCTCTGGCTCACCCTGGGCTGGGACCCTGCATAGCCCACCTTCCTGCCCTACAGTACCTGGGGGCTGGCCAGATGCTGGGTCATGGCAGCCACGATGGCCTCTGTCCCGCCAGCGCGCACGATAGCATCCTTCACATCATCATTGCCGGCGATGGCCCGCAGGGCGCTCAGCACCTGCTTCACAAGATCCTGGCAGGGGGTGAGGCCCAGTCACCCTGACATCCACCCCATCCTGTCTTGTGCCTGGTGCAGGACTTGGGGTACAGGGCTCAGAGGAGGGTCTATGCAGCTTCTGGGGACGCCGCAGGTTAGAGGCAATGAGGAGCTTTTCCGGCCAGCCAGCCTCAGCTGACCATATACCCTAGGGGACAGGCTGGGGTTGAGGCCTGGCTGGGCTGGCAGTGTCCTTCCCTATCCTCTAGAAAACGGGTGCAGGGGACGAGGGGCTGGTGTGTGCTCATTGGGACCCAGAGGGACGGGAGCCTTCATGGAATCAAAACAGGAAACCCAAGCCACGGTTTGCCCCAGTCAAGGACATGGGCCCCACCTGGTGGTCATTGCAGCTGGCTAGCAGGGTCACCAGGACGTCAAGGCCCCCGAGGTCCACCACCTCCTGGCAGAACTCATTGCGCACAGCCAGGCGGGCCAGGGTGCTGCACAGCTCACCCAGTATGCCAGGGTTGCTGGAGAAGGCTGCGGGAGACCTCAAGTCAGTGTGGCAGCAGGGACCAGGGACACTCAGGGGACCTGGCCTGCAGCACCCCCTGCTGGCTGCTTCAGTCATCTGGAGGCTGCACCCTACTACCCAGGTTCCAAATAAACTCAGGACCACAGCTGGCTGGGCCTAACGCAAACCAGATTTGTATAGCAGGCCAATGCCAGAGGTTATAACCGGTAGCCACAGAGACACACTCAGGACAGTGGTGCTATCACACAGCTCGTGCCTGGCAGGGGAGCAGAGGCTGCTGGGGCCATCCATCAACATTCAGGGTGTGTCGCCTGACCTCTCTGGATATATTACCGTGTATTCAGTGGACGAGGCACCAGTTGCCTTTTAGGGGGGAGGGTGGTGACTACTGGGGATGAAACCCAGGGCCTTATACATGCTAGAAAGCACCCACCACTGAGCCAGCCACACCCCAGCCCTTTTAAAAATATATATATTTTGGGTTGGGGTCTCACTAGGACATCCTCAGCCTCCTGAGTAGCTGGGAGCACAGGGATGTGTCACTGCGGATGGGCCTCTCCCAGTTTGTTTAAGAAGCAAACAAACATGCTTGTACATTGTGATTTCGGCCAATGCACAGCAACATGGGAGGCTGAGGCAGGATAATCACAAATTGTAAGCCAGGCTGGGCGATGTAGTGAAAACTTAATCTCAAAATAAAAACATTAGCCAGGTGCAATGGTGCATGCCTGCAATTCCAGCTACTTAGGAGGCTGAGGCAGGAGGATGACGACCCAGGCATCTTAGCTAGACCTCATCTCAAAACAAAGAAACAAAAGTGGGCTGGGGGTGCAGCTCAGTGGTGGAGTGCTTGTCTAGCATGTACAAGACTCTGGGTTCCATCCCCAGCATAGGCGGGAAAAGAAAAAACCTTCATAGGTAAACACATATGCCACCAGTCTGTCTCTGGTAAAGCCTGACTAATTGGTGCTGCTATACATAAACAGGAGAAATGCAAACTACTTCTTAGAAAAGCAGCCTGACTTTGCAGATGGTCAGGGCCTGTTTTGATTCCCTCCAGAGGTGTGAAGGGGAAACTAAGGCAGGCCCGCCTCCCAGCAGACAGGGATTGTGAGTGTGGATGTATGTGAAATCCCACGGAGGCCTGGCCCTGGGGCAGAGCCAGGGGACAGACAGCGGCAAGCAGGGCTCTATTAGGCCTGTTCTACAAGGTAGTAGACAGGGGTGGGGAGCAGCAGGGGCTAGAGGTCAGTGCTGCCTGTAATTGCTCTCTGCCCCAGGGCACTCACATGTGCATGAAGGTTGATGCCAAGTACAAACAAAAGTGTAGGCTTTGTAGGGTTGTGTGTGTGCACACACGTGTGTATGTGTACACAAGACACAGAATGGAACCCAGGGCCTTTCCCATTTATCTGGAGACAAATCTGTAAGTGGTCCTGGCTGGTCTTGAACTTCCATTCCTCCTGCCTCAGCCTCCAAGAGTGCTGGGATGACAAGCATGTGCCACCAGGCCTGGCTTGTTTTGGTTTCTCTATGGGGCTGGGGGCTCCCGGGGCTGCCGCCCTACCTTTGGCAGCTTCGATGAGGACCTTTAGGCCTCTGTTTTCCTGCACGATCATTTTGGCGTGGTCATGGGCGTGGCTGAAGGGCACCCGGATGTCATCATCAAAGGTCATGACCCGCAGTGCCCCGCAGGCCTCCCTGACCACATCAGCACGGCGGCCGTGCTGGGCGATTGCCCCAGTCAGCAGGGGCAGTGCACCAGCCTTTACTAGGGCCTGCCGGTTCTGCTCATGCTTCAGGCAGGCATGGCGCACACAGCGGATCCCGGAGCAGGTCACATCAGCCTCGTCAGTATTCTGGGCCAGTGTGGCCACCAGCAGCTGCAGGCCATCAGCATCCAGGAGGTCGGGCTGGCCGTCAGTGAGTGCTGCCAGGGCGCTGAGGGCCTTGAGTAGGAGGTCCCGGTCACCCGCCACAGCCAGCTTGCAGGCAGCCAGGATGGTGGGGTAGGCCCCCTTCTGGGCTGCCAGGAAGCGGCAGGCCCGGTGTTCATGGCATTGCTCGCAGAAGCGTGCCAGGTGGGCTGACACGTCCTGGGGCTGGGAGCTGGCCACAGCCTCCCGCAGGTCGTCCAGGGCCTGGGGAGGGGAACAGGCCTTTGTACTGAGCTGCACCCCCACCCCATTTTTTATTTTATATTTTGAGACAGGGCCTCACTAGGATGCCACGTTGCCCAGGCTGCGATCCTCCTTCCTCAGCCTCCTAAAGTGCGGAGGTTACAGATGTGCACAGCTGCACCAAGTTCCAATAGATATCATACCTCATAAGCAAAAGGTAGAAGTGGACAAGAGAGAAGCAATTCTCAGACCTTCGAGGCAGGACACAGCAGGATCCCCAGCAGGTGGAATAAGCTCCATCTGCCTTGTTCGGGGCTCAGTTTCCCCAATGTTGACCTCCAGGATGATTTTAAACAGGAGGGAAGGGGCTGGGGATTTAGCTCAGTGGCATAAGCGCCTGCCTTGCAAGCAGGCGGTCGTGAGTTCGATCCCCGGTACGATAAAAATGAAAAAGACAAAAAAAAAAAAAAAAAAAACCACAGGAGGGAAACAGCTGACACCAAGTGCAGCTGGACAGTGGGCGCTCCATGAGTGGCAGCTTCACACCCCCGCTTCCTGCAGTTCCATACCCCTCTCCCACTGGGAGCCTAGGGATACTGCCTCGGCCCCAGGGCCCTAATCAGGGACAACTGAGAGCACAGGGCATCCAATCTCAGCATAGTGGCCTCGTTGGCCTCAGACACAGAAGTGGCTGCCAATGCCAGCTGGCTAAGAGGACAGGGACCTTTGGGCCTGCATGTGGCCACAAGGACCCCCACGAGGTGATGAGGCCCCACCCCTACCTGCCACAAGGCGTTTATGGGCTCCAGGGCTCCATCAGTAGAGGCCCTGGGTGCCACCTTCATGATGGTGCTCAGATCCACACCTGCGGGGAGACAGAGACGTTGGAAACCTGGCGCCCCCCCCCCCACCCTCTGGGCCAACCATGGAGTCCCATCCTGTGTCCCTCCTGTTGGGGTCACCCAATCCAGGACCCTCTGGGGCCTTTCCAGCTCTCAACCCCATACCCCTGTGCCCCGTGCAGCCAACAGAGCACAGTGGCAGAGTGACTGTGCCCAGGGAAGTGTGGGGCCCCCATGGCCTCCCAGAGCTCGTGTCCCACTGGCCCTATGGCAGCCAATGGGATGCAGGGCACCCTGAGGAGGCACACCCAGACTCCTACATGGAGCAAGCCAGGAAACATCGCTCTGCCAGCCCTCAGCCCTACGGTCTGCTGTGGCTGGGGGCTCCAAGACCCCACCAACGCCACTGCTGGCAGCCCCTCCTCACTGTGCTCCCCACGGCCACCTTTCCCCCAGCTGAAGTACAGAGAGGGCAGGGAGCACTGTTTCCGGCCCCAGCCCAGCAGGCACGAGCAGCTATGTTGGGGGATGGGTGACAGTGGCCTAGAAAGAGCGAGCTATGAGGTCCTAGGCCTTCATGTCCCCTGACAGGGTGCGCAAGCCTCCTGACCTTGCAGCTCAAACTGCTCCACCGCCTCCTTCACAGCCTCCTCTGGCCCCATCTCGAACTCTTCCATGTTCTCTCGCACGGCTGCATCAAAGGTCTCCTGGGTGACATGCCGGGAGGCCATCTGTGCCTATAGCCAAGAAAGTGACAGGCAAATCAGCAGGGCCTGGTTAGGGGGACAGGACACGCAGGGCCCCCACCACCTGGGAAGAACTAGGAGCCAGGCAAACACTGGCCACTGAGCCACACCTCAGCCTGGTCACTGTTTTACCAGTAAGATAGGCCTGGTGGTGCATGCCTGTGATCTCAGCTTTCAGGCTAAGGCAGGAAAATTGCTGTGAATCTGACGCCAGCCTGAACTTTATGGGGAGACCCTGTCTCAAAACACAAACACTATTTCACCCAAGAAAGTCCGGTTGATAATACAGTGTGTCTTTATAATAATAATAATAATAGAAAAAATTCAGTGGTACATACTCTGGGAGGCTGAAGCAGGAAGACTGCAAAACAGGAGCAGACTATGTAACTTAGTGAGACTTTGTCTTAAAATAAAAAGTGAAAAAGGGCTGGGGATGGTGCTCAGCACAAAGGCCCTGGATGCGCACCGGCATCCAGAGCTACAGGCATGTGTGACAAGCCTATGGCTGCTCCACTTAAATAATAACCTGAGGTGACCATGCAGAGTGGTAACCACTTGGCCTGCGCACCAAGACCTCTCAGGCCCTTTCCACAAACTTACAAATATGCTTTCTAAAAATTGGATTTTCAGGCTGGGAACATAGTTCAGCTGCACAAGCGCCTGCCTGGCAAGTGCAAGGTCCTGTGTTTGATTCCTAGTACCAAAAAAATAATAAAAATAAAACTTATATTTCTATCATAAACCTGTATCCTGCCACAGGACCAGTGCGAGGCCTCTGTACCCCATACAGATCACAAGTGCTGTGCACACCCAGTCTGTGTGGGGATCTGCCCCAGGGCCACCACAGAGCCCCGCACCTGTCTGCGGCTGGTGCTCTACCTGCTCCTCGGCTCATGGTCTCCAGCTCCAGATTGTTTTGAGTCCAGTGCTCCCCACCATACCCCCTACTTCTCAGGGAGCCCTGGCCAGGATAAGAAAGACCCCACTCCATCGGCATCACCTCAGCTTCCAGCTCATGTTTGAGAGCTACCCCATCTCACTGTAGAATCTAATGACCACCCAACAGACTGCTGCACCCCGGAGATCACTGACTTTTGGGGTCCCTGGCAGATGTGGGCTTTGCTCCTCTCAGCCCCAGTGCAGCCTGGCCTCCAGACTGGCTTCTGTGTCTTCTCATGACAAAAACTCTGTGTGGTGTTTTGCTTTGCTTGGTTTCATTTTGTTTGGACAGGGTCTCACTGTGTAGTTCAGACTGGCCATGAACTCACTAGGTAGCCCAGGATAGCCTGGAACTCATGCAGATCCTCCTGCCTCAGCCTCCAAAATGCCTCCACATCTGGCTGCAAAATATTACTAGGTTGGAAAATTGTTCTGCCAAACTGTCTTTGGTGGAGAATTGTCTATCTTTTGACTGAGATGTACCATAAGAGTACAAACTTCGAAAGAAAAGCTTGCTGGTGTTTGTAAGAGCAGTATTAGTCATGCTACTGTTTTGTGCTGTGTTCAGAGGCAGGGCTTCTGGGCGCTGCCAGGAGAACAAGCTGTTGTAGACATCTCAGGAATCCCCAACTGGGTGCAGGTAGGAGGCGGGGCCTGACCAGAAGAGGTGGGGCTTGGGCGTGGCCCAGCCTGCAGCTCTGCCCCTCTCCCCCTGCTTCCAGGCCTCAGAGCAGTGAGCCTTTCCTCCTCCAAGCCTTCCATGCACTATTTCCACCTTAAGCCACCGCCCAGGACTGAAACCTTGAGCCCAAATTAACCTCCCTTCTCCAAGCTCTGGGTATCAGGTATTTTGGCCCAGCAACGAGAGTGACTGAGATACATGCATAGAACAAAATGTACATAATACATATTAACTATAAGCAAGCTTCAGTAAGGTTGGAGAAAATATTTCAGAACTCCTAAACCTGAACTGGAAAGACAAACACGAACTCATGATGTATTTTTTTTTTTTTTTGTAAGTAAGCAAATACAAGCCCAGTGTTCTAGTAATATTAACTGAAAATGCCAGAGGCCATGACATTACTGTCAGGTTAACACCCCAACACTAGCTCTGGTCCCTAAACATCATTTCCTACAGAGGATCTGGGCCTCCTCCTAAGAGAAAGGCCCAGCCTGGGTCTAACCCTAACCCCAGCCCTAACCAAATGTGTATTTTGGCTGGGCATGGTGGTATACCCTTCCTCTCTTGTTCCTAAGACTTAATATATGTGGCTTCCTCAAATGTATGATATCATCCCAGCACTTGGGAGGCTGAGGCAGAGGATGGTCGAGAGTTCCAGGCCAGCCTGGGCTACAGTGTAAGTTCAGCCAGATCCTGTTTGGGAAACCTAACCAAACCAAACCAAAACAACAAAAGAACAAAAGTTGGGCCAAGTAAGCATTTAGAAACAAATTCAGCTGGGTGTGAGTGCCTCCAGTCCCACCTATATAGGAAGCTAAGGTCCAGGAGTTCCAGACCAGCCTGGACAACATAGGCAGACTCCCACCTTCAAAACAGAACCCACATTTTTGAGAAATCCAGAGGCTATCAAAATCAAAATGTGTTCATACTACTAAAGCTAACCCAGCATGTTTTCCTGAAAACTGGCCAGTTAAGAATCCTGCACTAGAGGCTGGGGATTTAGCTCAGCGGCATAAGAGCCTGCTTTGCAAGCAGGCAGTCGTGAGTTCCCTGGTACCGATTTAAAAAAAAAAAAAAAAAAGAATCCTGCACTAGGGGCAGGGTGCGGCTTGCCCAGCATGTGCAAGGCCCTGGGTTTCCTTCTCAGCATCACAAATCAGTTTTCAATTCAGCACTTATCCAGCCCATCCTGTACGAGGGCGGCCAGGTCATAAAGGAAGGACAAGGAAAGGGTCTCCTGTCAATGTCAGCTGACCAGCCAGCTGGACAAATCAAGGAGATGAACCTGAGGTCTGCAAAGCCACCAAGGGGAGGGGATCTGAGTGGATCATGACAAAGAAGGCTGGCCAGGAACCATGTTCAAAGCTTGAGCTCACTTTGTCCTAGAGAAACCTCAGCCAGGTTGGTGGCACAGGCTAATCATTCCAACTACACAGGAGGCTGAGGCAGAAGGATCATCTGCCAGTGTGAATTCAAGGCCAACCTGGGCCATGGAGTAAGACCCTGTCTCAAAAAAAAAAAAAAAAAAAAAGAAGGAAAAATATATTTTACTGCTTGAGAGGCTGAGGCAGGGAAGTGAAGCAGAAGGAAATTAAAGGCCAGCCTGGGCGACTTAGTAAGATCCTATCTCAGCACAGTGCCTGCCTAGAAAGCATGGGGTTCTGAGTTTGATCCCTGGTACCAAAAAACAACAAAAAAAAAGAAATAGGATTCTATCTCAATTTTTTTTTTCTTTTGAAACAGGGTACTATGCAGTTAAGGCTGGCCTTGAACTCACTAGTTGCACAGGCTGGGCTCAAACTCACAATTCTCCTGCCTCTTCCTTCCACCTGAGTGCTGGGATTATAGGCATGTGCCACCATGCCTGGCAAAACAGTTTTATTTATTTATTTTTTTTGAGACAGGGTCTCACTGTGTGGTACAAGCTGGCCTTGAATTTACAATGTAGCCCCAGTAGGCCTCCAACTCAAGGTGATCCTCTGCCTCAGCCTACCAAGTGCTGGGATTACAAGCATATGTCATCATGCCACATTGATCTGTGTATCACTGTACACCTACACTTTCAAGTGTGTCTCAGGTATAGGATCTCATCCCTCCTAATAACATCAGTATGGATTTTAAAAAGGCCTTCTCTTTCATACCATATCATAGGGCACAGCACTTACCTGATAAGCATGAGGTCCTGAGTTTGATTCCCGGTACCAAAAAAGAAAAGGTAAATCTACTACTACCCCACAGCATAAATGAAACTTTTTTTACTTAGCGTCTTACCAAGTCACTAAGTTGCCCAGGCTGGGCTTGAACTTGAGATCCTCCTGCCTCAGCCTCCCAGTGTTGCCACTGTAAGTGTGCACCACTATGTCTGGCTGCCAGTGAAATCTGACATGAGAAATTTACCATTCATACAGTATTATTGCTATTATCATTATCATTATTATTGTTGGGGATGGGAAGGAAACCCGAGGCCCCACATACTAGGCAAGGGCTTACCACTGAGCCATACCTCTGGCCTGTGATATTGTTTTCTAATACACAGTCCACGATTTGCTTTCTCAGTTGTACGAATGTTGTCTTTGGGATCATTTGTTTTTTCTCTCTCAACAATTTGAGTTTATTTTCTTGTCTTGTGCATTCTAGAATCACAGATTACATAAAATGTCTGTGGGTGGGTGATGACATGGGGGGAACCTGGCAAAAGCCCCAGGGTAATTTTAGGCCATGTGAGAAACAGGCACCCTGGCCTACATGTCTGTTGGGGAAGGTGGCACAGGATGTGAACATTTCATCTGTATCCCTGGAGTGGCAGGGGTGGCCTGTGGGACTCAGATGCCAGGCCTTTTCTGACTCATCAGGTCTGAGGCAAAAGTGACCTTCCAGGACCCCACAGAGCACTGGGAAGAGGATTTATATAGAGGCAGCACTTAATAAATACCAGGGGCAGCTCAGGGGCATGGCACCTGCCTGGCAAGCTTGAGGTTCTGGTTTCAATTCCAGGTACCAAGAAAAATAAATACATACATACATACCAGGAATCTGTGCCTTTCTTTGTGCTGAAGTGGTCAACTGGCCAGCATATTTCCAGGATGGGGCACAAGGCATCAGACTCCCCACCTCACTCCTGTGAGGGAGCTGGCCCCGCCCACCTACCAGTCCCAGAAGGTCAGGTGCCTGAGAAGAGTTGCTGAGGATTTCTGGGCTCAAAGGTGAGGAAGGCAGGCATGCTGTGGCACAGTCCTCAGCCTCAGACGGCAGGGCTCTCTGGACACGGAGCACATCCTGCTGGAGCCCATGGGGGTCCCACAGGCAGCACAGGGCCTGGCCACAACTGTGTCACACGTCCCCACACTCAAGTCCTCCGTAGGGTTTTTCTATCTTGCCACTCACAATCTGTGCTCTCTCGCCCCACAAAGGCCCCTCTTCCCTGTCTGGAGCTCGCTGAACTGAGGAGGTCTGGAGCTGACCATTCCTGAGTGGAGCCCTCCAGTGCACAAGGAAAGTAGGGGCTGAAAGCACAGATCTGAATGCAGCACCGCGATGGTGCTTGGAGGTGGTCATGGGGACCCAGCCTGGACTAAAAGCGGGAGGCGACACTGTCAGAGCCTTGTCAGTCGGGAGATGCTTCTGGGGTGAACTTGGTGGAAGGAGAAGGGCTATTGAGGCCCTCAGCTGACAGCCAGTATCCCTGCTCACCGAGAAAATGCTTCCTGACTGCAGGTCTCCTGTGATTTCCCTCTGCTAGCCCTGATACGTATGGTTCTGGCACCATCCTGCCCCACAGGCCTCACCTGCCACTCCTGTGCCCCTCTTCTCCCTCAAACACCACCTGAAGGCCTTGACAGCATGTGTGTCCACTGTCACCTCGGGCGCCTTCTCAGTGGGCTTCCTGCCTCTCTCCAGCCTCCATCCTAGAGCCCTGTCTTTCTCATCCTGGTGAGCTGCCCAAGAGACAAACTTCAAAGCCACTCTGGTCCCAACTACTTGAGGCTGAGGCAGGAGAGACACAAGTTTGAGGACAGCTTGAGTAATTTAGCAAGACCTTATCTCAAAACAGAAGAAAAAAAGGGCCGTTGGGTTTAGCATAGCGGCATAAATGCTTGCCTGGCAAGTGCTAGGTCATGAGTTTGATTCCCAGTACAAAAAAACAAACAAACACCTACAGACCTAGCTCAGGTAGAGCGCCCCCAGGTCCAATTGCCAGTACTGCAAAACTAAGCAAAACAAAAACAAACCTAGGCCGCTGAAAGCCGTCCCCGCTTTACATCTTATCGTTCTTTTATTATTTGCAAAGTCTACGGCGACTCGACTTATTTATTTATCCTTCTGTCCGCTTTAGCCTCCTTGGTTCTATGGTCTAGGGCGGAGCCCATGAAGGAATAAAATGAATGAAAAGAAGCGGACGCCAAGTCAGTGGGCGATTTGGACCCAAGTGACTTCTGTTACTCTTCCCTTGCCCTAAACAGGTCCCGGAGAATGGCGCCGCAATGACCAACCCTTCCCCGCGGCGCCCACTCCCTACTCCGCGCGCGACCAGGATCCGTAGCCGCCAATTCTCACCCGATTGTTGCAGCCACGTGGGGTAAGGTGGGGCAAGCAGCTGTCACCAGCCGCACTGCCTCTGTCCCCTTCCGGCCGCCGTACGCACGCAGGCGCAATGGAGCCGCGACGCCTCCGCCTCCCCTAGGCAGGCAGATCGCTCCCGGAGTAATCAAGGGTAATGGCGACTACAGGTAAAGCTAAGACAGCCACTAATTCGCACCATAGCGGTGTCTCTGCTGCTTTTTCCTGGCTGCTCACCGTTGTCATTGACCCCAGTGGGGTAGTTTTTCGCCTCAGGGAGCGTCCCCCCGAGAGACAGCGGAAAGCGCGCCTGCGCAGGAAGGCGAGGCCGCGGCGGTTGGCGCTTGCGCACAAGTGCGAGGTCGCAGTTTGCGCCTGCGCGGCGCGGCGCTGCGGAGACCGTTGGCTCATTTGCATGTCTCCGCCCCGCGCGGCCGCGGGTGAGGAGCCTCGAGCGGCGTCGGCGGCGGGGGCGGCTCCGCGCGCAGTGGGCTCGGGGTGAGGCCCGGGCCCTGGCGTTGTCTGTGGGGGGCCCCGAGGTAGGGATGGGGCCCAGGCTCGGCCCTGAGGACTCAGATTTCGCGATGGCGCTGAAGCAGGGCCCTTGGCCTTCGGCGTCGGCCCGGTGCAGGCCGAGGCGTCTGGGGGGTGCTGCAGCCGGGGCCTCCACTCCCCTTGTCCCCGGCCTCCAATGCCGGCGGGGCGGGGCCGGGCAGCTCCTGGACTGCTAGCCGGAACCCGGGTTCATTCATTCGCGCGAGCTCTGGGCCAACGCGGCTCGGCGGTAACGGCGATCGCGCGCCGCCTCGGCCCCTTGGAGCCGGCTCGGTGCCTCGGCAGGCCCGGTGCAGCCGCCTGGCCGTAGTTGGGAAGCGGGGGCGCAGAAAGGTTAGGTGTCTTGCCTTGAGCCTGGAGCACCTGATCTGGAGACCTTGCCCCGCGGAGAACAAGGAGCCCTTCGGGAAAAAGCCTTCGGGGTGGGAACGGGATGGTGGCATTGGTTGCACCGACGACTCCAAGGCAGGCTGGCGTCTTGGCAGTCGGGAGGTGTCACCCAGCAGGAGATGGTGATGAGGGACACCACCACGTAACTCCCAAAGCTGCTGCCGCCCTTTTTACAACTCATTAGTTAGGGCTTTGTTCCTTTGCCACTGCCAGTGATCAGGTTTAGGTCTGCGCTGTCTGACCTTGGGTGGGACATACAGCCCAATCCTCCTGTTCTGTGTAATGTCGTCGACGAGGGGGCCATCTCTTCAGGGGGCTGCTACAAGAAGCAGAAAAGATCCATCCAGGCCTAGTGGCACATGCCTGTCATGCCAGCACTCAAGAGGCTGAGGCAAGAGGATTTGGTCAAGTTCCAGGCCAGCGTGGTTTACATATTGAGACCTTGTCTTAAAAAGAGAGAGAGTGCACAATCGTACAAGGACCTAGTTCATTGTCACTTGGTGGAGGTTTCTCAAGTCATGTGTCCCAAGTGAGCTTTGAATGTCTTTCCCAGTCAGAGACGGGAAAAGAACCTGAACACCATTTCGTAACTACCATTTGCCGGGGTTCTCTCCCCACTGTTCCCATCCTGTGATGTTGTTTTGTATGTTGGTTCTGTTGTCCTCTAGCAGCTTCCAGAAACAGCACTGCTTTGTCAGAGCCTGCACCAACACGTTCCAAGAAGGCGGCTCAGGAAGGGCCACTTGTGGGCTGCAGGGGGCAGTGGCAGAGCCCTCTAGAGGAGCAGCCAGAGGGCCTCTGAAGTGCTGGCCAAGGCTGTGATTCCTGCCCAGTCGTCTTGACGGTCTTGTGCATGAGGTTGTACTCAGCATGTGTTTCTCTTGCTGCAGGGCACAAAAGCATGGCAGCAAGGCGGATCGCACAGGAGACTTTGGACGCTGTGTTGCAAGAAAAAGCAAAAAGATTTCACACAAACCCTAGTGGTGAGGTCATCCCTGAAACTGTTCCATTTAAAGCGCAGGGTAAGTGGAAGTGGATGTGGAAGGGAGGGGTTGCCTGGGCGCAGGGGTGGAGTTTCAGCACCTGGACAGTTACACAAACTGCTGGGATCCTTGTGTGCTCCCTGTTGTGCTCATTTACCTGTGAGCCCCAGTCATGTGCAGATCGCAGGGCTGCCAGGCCCTGGAACCACCTCCGTGAAGCCAAGGTGGGGCACCCCAGCAATCTGGTCCCTCAGGAGAATCCTGAAATTGAGGCCTGCTGGGACAAAAAAGAAGAGGAAAAAAAAAAAAAAGAGCATGGGGGTGCTGGGTAGTGGCCTCAGGGCCTCATTAATGGTCCCCATATCTATAAAGAAGCCTTGTAAAGCCGGTCTCTGGGCACTGTCCTGCCTAGGTATCAGGACTTGCCAGTTCCTTCATGGGTCATTGTCACAGCTTCCTCAGGTCTGGCCTTTCCTTAGCAGCCTCACAGGTCTACTTCTGGGCCCCTGGCCTTTGTATACTCTTGGGGCTGCCATCATGGAATTACTGTGCACCCTCCCAAAAGCACAGACACAGCCACATACCAGCTGTGTGTGAGAGAGGCAGAGAAGACCTATGGAGCTGCTGAGGGTAGGGTCTCCTGAGAACTCCCCTCTGGTGTTTTGACAGTGCTCACTTGGAGACAGGACAGCACAAGAGAGGGCCTCCCTCCTGCCTCAGGCATTCGGTTTCAGGGCCCCTTGAGGTGCTGCCCTGTCCCAGACATGTATGCTCCTTCCATTTCCCCTGCCCTGGCTGGTCACCCAGTTGAGTCCATGATGAGTCTCCAAGGGAGTATAGTAGCTGCACCTTTGCCCTGGAGAAACTGAGGCTTAGAGATTGACTCTAAATTCTGAGATTCCGGTAGTTTAGGCTGGGGATGCATGGTAGTGGGGGGGATGGGTAGAATGCACTTAGCATGGAGTGATGGCTTCACTCCAGCAACTAGCACACAGAAGGTGTTTTTGCAAAGTGGAACAGGAAGTTGAGGAAGAGGAATCCCCTCAGCCCCCTCCTGCACTCCATAGCTCTGTGTAGCTGCGCCATCTTTGTGTCCTGCACTGCTTTTACTGTTACCTCACTGTGATGCTGAGCATTTGTATATGAGGTGTAGATGTAGCTTTCAGTTCTTTATCTAGAGACTTGAGCCGCAGCACATACCTCTTTTGTGACAGGATCTGGGTAGGCTGGTTTTGAACTCACAGCAGTCCTCCTACTTTAATCTCTGAAGTGCTGGGATGACAGTCACAGGCCACCACTCCTGGCTTGGCTATGTACAGTACATAGGGTGACTTCTAACTTCTGACAGTCCTCCTGCTTCAGCCTCCTGATAGCTAGGATTAGAGCTGTGTGCCCCCAGGCCTGGCAATGTCTTAGTTATCTCAAAAAAGAAAAACAAATAGTGAGCGAGGGCTGGAACCTGTACAGGATGCTAGCGGCCTCTAGAGCATCTCTGTCACAAAGCCGCACAGTCCCTGCCTCTTTCTCATAAGCAAGGCACTAAAAGACACCGTGCAGAGCCTGGCTGCCACGCTTGACTCTAGCCCCTCAACCTGATCACTGCACCTTGTCACTGCGAACTTCCTGAGCCCCTGTAACCCTACTCTTCCCCGAGTAGCAGCCAGCAAGGTCCTCCTCCTGCTCGGTGCTCTCAGCGGTGCCATCTCTTTGGAGTGTGTCCGTAGCAGTCTTGATCTGATCACCCTCCCGTGCCTTGTAGGTGGCTCACGTCACCATATGTCCCCAGCTGGGTTGCATGTCAGTTCTGTCCCCGACCTCAAAGAAGCCTGGTACCTGCGTTGAGTCCCCCTGGATTAGATGAGAGTGTCCTGGATGAGGGTCCCTGGCAGAGTGCAGCCCTCCTGCCATGCTTCTGGTCATTGTCCACTGTCTGGCCTTCGCCCGGGGCTTCGTCGTCCTGTTGTCAAGTCACCTGGCCCCTGCCTGGGATTGAAACCCGCCCATTGCAGATGGCGTCCCCTGCTTGCCATCTTCTCCATGTTTGCTGACCCTAACCTGGGTCTGTTTCTGACTGGCAAGGCTGGCAGAATTTCCCTTGCCCTGACCAGTGTCATGGCCTCCTGCAGTGCTGGCGTGCAGGAGACACTCGGTGAGGACTCCTTAAGCAAATGAGCTTGTTGTGCACAAAGCCTTGGCTTTTGTTTCTTACTAGCTTGCAATGTCTGACTGGAAACCTGGAATGTGAGAAAGCAACTCCCAAGACCTGCCCAGCTCACTGTCCCTGGTCTCTTACAGAGCCCCTTTCCATGTGAGGTGGCCCTGCAGAACCATTTCCCCATTCTACACCAGGAGGTCGGAAGTCGGTCCTGTCCGGGTCCCTGGCCACTCTTGGTACAGCTGGTGTACTTGTGCCTTCCCACACCCCTGCTTCAGTCTCCGGTTCTCACTGCCAGAGCTGGTTGATTGGCCCTGAAGATCTGTAATTTCAGCCGTTTGGGGTCAGCACCTCTGCTGTGGCCTCACCAGCCGTGGCAAGAGAAGTGACAGCTCGATGGCTCTGGCAGATTCCTCTCAGGAGGCATTGAGCATGGGCAGCTGGTTGCAAAGAGGTCTGAGTTCAGCTGGGCATGATGGGGCACATCTGTAATCCAGGACTCCAGGAGGCTGAGGCAGGAGGATCCCAATTTTGAACCAGGCCTAGGCAACTTAGTGACTTCTAGAGGCCCTGTCTCAAAGAACAAAAAGGACTGGCAACATCGTGCAAGGCCCTTGGGGTCAATCCCAAGCACCATACACACAGACACAAAAAGACATCCATCTCATGTGGAACCAAGTCTCCCTTCCTTGGTCTAGAACCGGTTCCTGTAGAAGGTGCGGAAAGGGTCAGAGTGCATCAGGTTTGGGGACCGTAGGCAGTGGCCAGAGGACCTGTGGGTGAAGTTCAATCCTGTCTGCAGGGCAGCCCCTGCCCAGCATCACTGGATGGTCAGGATAGATGTGGTCCTGGGTTGCCCAGGTCTTGGTGATTATGAGAACGGTTATCCTCAGGGTGCAGCCCAAGCTGCATGCCAGCAGTTGTGCGCACTTTGTGGTCTGACCCCTGCAGGCAGCCTGACAGCTGCGCCCTGGAAGTGGCTCTGAACAGTTGGGCACTCCCATCCGCATTGATGCCTTGCATGCCCTCATGTCAGCAAAGTGCTGCCTTTTTAGGTGCTCCCATCCTGCTCTAACTTCGTGTTGTCTCCGGGTCTTGTGTTTCAGATCTCTTGAGGACAGTCCCAAGGTCCAGAGCAGAGATGTTTAGTGACACTCATGGGGACGGCAGATTCCCCCTTGGGGGGTCTGCAGCACACTCCCGAGACGCCAGCAGAGAAGCCCTGCGGGGTGACGCGTTCCCAGGCCCCTCCTTCCGGGCAGGCAGCACCTCTGTTGGTGACGACAGCTACTTTCGTAAGGAGGGCAGCAGGGATCAGGAGTTCACGCACTCTGACTCCCGGGAGCAAGCTCTTGGCCACCGGAAGCTGGGACACTTCCACTCTCAGGACTGGAAAGTGGCTCTCCGTGGCTCTTGGGAGCAGGACGTGGGCCATCCAGTCTCTCAAGAGTCCTCTTGGGCACAAGAGTTTGGCTTGAGTCCCTCCGCTGCGCTCGGGGACCTGGGCTCCTCCAGGCGGCTGGAGAAAGAGCACTTGGAGAAGGAGAGTCGGGAGTATGACACGGACCACTTGGGGGAGGCAGACCCCGGGCCTAGAGCCAGTGGCCAAGGCCAGACCCGAGCCCACACTCTCAGCATCAGCCAGGAGGGTGGCCTCCTAGGAAAGGGGGACACGCAGGGCCTGCTGACTGCCAAGGCCGGGGCTGGGAAGCTTGCTGCACTGAGAAATGTCACCACAGTAAAGATGCCCCCTCTGAATCGTGTTATCCCCAAAACTCAAGGCACTAACCAGATCCAGAAAAGCACCCCGAGTCCTGATGTGGCCCTGAGAATGAACCCCAGTGTGGAGGACCTCCAGTTCCCCCACCCGAAGATTCCCCTGGGGCTGGACCTGAAGAACATCCGTTTCCCCCGGAGGAAGATGAGTTTCGACATCATAGACAAGGCCGACGTCTTCTCCAGGTTCGGCATTGAGATCATCAAGTGGGCAGGGTTCCACACCATCAAGGATGACGTGAAGTTCTCACAGCTCTTCCAGACACTCTTCGAGCTTGAGACGGAGACCTGTGCCAAGACACTCGCCTCCTTCAAGTGTTCCCTCAAACCTGAGCACAGAGATTTCTGCTTTTTTACTATCAAATTTTTAAAGCACTCTGCTCTGAAAACGCCCCGAGTTGATAATGAGTTTTTAAACATGCTTTTAGACAAAGGTGCTGTGAAGACCAAAAACTGCTTCTTTGAAGTCATCAAGCCCTTCGACAAGTACATCATGCGGCTGCAGGACCGCCTGCTGAAGAGCGTCACACCCCTGCTCATGGCCTGCAATGCCTATGAGCTCAGCGTCAAGCTGAAGACGCTCACCAGCCCCCTGGACCTAGCCCTGGCCCTCGAGACCACCAACTCCCTCTGCCGGAAGTCACTGGCGCTCCTGGGACAGACTTTCTCCTTGGCCTCCTCTTTCCGGCAAGAGAAAATCCTGGAGGCCGTTGGCCTCCAAGACATAGCCCCCTCACCAGCTTCCTTCCCCAACTTCGAGGACTCCACTTTGTTTGGGAGAGAGTACATCGACCACCTGAAAGCCTGGCTGGTGGCCAGTGGATGTCCCCTGCGGGTAAAGCGGCCAGGGCCTGAGCCCCCTCGGGAGGAAGACAAGGTGCCCCTGCCCGTGAAGCCTGAGGCCCATGTGCAGCCTCTGAGTGACGGTAAGGCCAGCATGGGATCCAAGTGTCCTGCCTTGCTTTCCCCTTGAGGGCCACATCTCCCTGCAGACGTCCTTGGGTCACCTGAGACCAACCAAGGTTTGATGCCAGCCAGGACCACACTTACCCTTTGTCCTGTGAATCTGTGTGAGGGCTCTTCTCTCCCCACCCTGATGCCCTGGGGGTGTTGTGGGAATCTGTGGCCGCTGCTGGAGAAGCGCACATGTCTTTGGACAGTTTGACCTGAGCTCTTTGTAGGATGATCAAGGTTAAGATCCCTCTTGTAGTGCCCACCCTGTGCCTGGGAAAACCTCAGGACAGTGCTTCAGAGGCTCCTGGGATGGAGTCTGGAGAGCGGGCGGGAGTGAGTCCCTGGGAGCCGAGGGCCGAGCAGGCGGCGCCCACAATGCCTGGGGCCTCAGCTTTCACAGTGCCCAGCCACCCCAGGTTGGCATGCAGCACACATACCTCTCCTACTCTTGCAGCCTCTGAAGCTCTTTGGTCCCAGCTCCCCTTCCCTGCTGCCCCCATCCCTGGAGCCCTGGCTACCAATATGTGGCCCTGGGTCACGGTAGTCAGGTGCCCCAAAGGAGCAGAGTGCCTGGCACTGTGGTACTGGCAGCACTGAGACACTGAACCCTTGGGAGCAGACCCTTACCTGTCCCTGGACAGTAGTCTTTGTACCCCTGCACATCTGCACCTTGGCTGTGTTTACACCACTGGGCCCAACACCCACCACCACAAGCCGCCACACCCACACGCCCCCACCCGTGTCAGGGGCAAGGCTACAGTGCACATTCCCATTGGCGCTGTTCCTTTTTATCTTTTTTATTACCCTTTGCAGGGGTGTGTAGGTGGGAGCAGGGCTCCACTCACCTCCCTCATGGTCCCCTCTGGCCCTTGCTGTGGCCCCCCTGAGGGAAGTGACCATGTTCCCCACAGCCCCCACATTGCATGGCTTCTGATCATGAGCTTCAGATTCTTTCATAAAGTCATGGAAAGCAGGCAGCGCTGTAAATCGAGAGCCAGCAAGGGGAAAATGCAGTTTTGCAGAGGAAATAGTTTGCGGCAGCCGCCAGTTTTAGGGTAGCCTCTGCAGAGCGCACCCCATGTGCCCACCAAGCCCAGGGCCTCGTGGCTCCCTGGAGGGTGGGCTGCAAACAAAAACACTCTGTGCTGTTACCTCTTTAAAAATTAATCAGGGGCTTTTTTTTTTTTTTTTTTTTTTTTTTTTGGTCTTTTTCTTTTTTATCGTTACTGGGGATCAGACTCACAACCACCTGCTTGCAAGGCAGGTGCTTATGCCACTGAGCTAAATCCCCAGCCCCAAAGGGCTTTTTCTTTATAAATTTATATGTTTTCTGATTATAAGACATTAGCTTGAGCTGGGTGTGATGGCACATGCCTTCCAGCACTCAGGAAGCTAAGGTGAGAGGATCAATGTGAGTTCGAGACCAGCCTGGGCTACAAAGTGAGCTCAAGGCTAGCCTGAATTGCATAGAGAGACACTGTCTCAAAAAGACAAAAAAAAAAAAAAAAAAGATTAAAGCATAAAGAAAATTAAGTCCTTGATAAATGTACTGCCTATAGAAAACCGGTTATCCTAGTATATATTCTTCCTTTTTCGTTTTTTTCTTGTGGGTACTGAGAATTGAACTCAGAACCATGCTCTTGCCAGGTAGGTGTTGTGCCACTAAGCTATAGCCAGCCCCTCTTTCCAATGTCCTCTTTTAGATTTTGTTTGTTTGTTTCTTTTGAGAAGGGTCTTGCTGTGTAGTCCACACTGGACTCAAACTCATGGCCATCCTCCTGCCTCAGCTGCCCAAGTGCTGGCTTTACCAGCATATGCACCCAGCTGTATTTATTTTTGAAAAGTCTTTTTATTTTTATTTTTTTCCAGTACCAGGAGTTGAACTTAGGACCTTGCAGTTTTCAGGGGGGCACTTATACCAGTGAGCTGTGTCCGTGGCCTCTCTATTTCTGTGCCTTTTTTGTTTTGTTTTGTTTTGAAACAGGGTCTCACTGTGTAGTTCAGGCTGGCCTCGAACTCACGCTACTCTGCTGCCTCAGCCTCCCTGAATCTTGCGATTATAGGACTACACTACCACACTTGGCTATTTCTATTCCTTTTCTGTCCACATCCTGAGAGTCATAAACTGAAACCTGTTTATTACCATTCGGTGGTGCTGGGGGCCAGGGCTCGCTGTCTGCTGTGCTGTCCACTTTAGGTGCTCTGGAAGCCGCTTTCCCCTAGGCAGTGGCGCTAGCATGGTGAGGACGTTGATTACGGTGCTCCCTAGGTATGGTGCAAGGCTGCTCCCATGCTGTCCACTACATTCTGAGAAAGCCACTCTGTCCCCGCAGTGCCGCAGCGAGCAGACTCCAGGGTGGTAGACACCATCGAGCATCTGGTGGCACGCATCGTGGGAGGCGCCTTGTCTCCCCGGGAGCGAGCAGCTCTCCAGGAGGACCCTGAGTACTGGTAGGTCTGTGGGCATGGAGACGGGGGTTCCCTGTGGGAAGAGCACCTGGTAGAGATGGTGCCCTAGCTCTGCCACAGTACGCTCTTGAGTGCTGTTGTTGGGCTGCGGCCACCAGCAGGACAGGGCTGCCAGTGGACACCGAGCTCTGTCACCCCACTCTCTGTCTCTCCCTCCAGCCTCCTTTTGGCCACTGACTAGCATGTTACCCTTCTGGTTTGCTTGATCCTCATTTACTGAAGGAACTGAAAAGCAGTGGGGAGTGGGGAGTCCGCCCATACGCTCCACACTGCGACGCCTTTAGTGCCAGTGGTGCTTGGCTTTCAGTGGGTTATATTCTGCTAAATTCCAGGGAAAATGAAAATGGCACAATTTAAAAGGTGCACTTAGGAGGTTGGGGATTTAGCTCAGCAGTATAAGCACCTGCCTTGCAAGCAGGCAGTCGTGAGTTGGATCCCCGGTACCGATAAAAAAGAAAAAGACAAAAAAAAAAAAGGTGCACTTAGGCCAGGTGCGGTAGTGCACCCCTGTAACCGCAGCTACTTGGGAGGCTGATGCAAGAGGATTGGGACTTACGATACTCCTTATCCATACAAGGAAAAGCCTGTGGGTACGGTGGAATGCAGTCTCTGGTTCCTTCCACCTTCTGAGAAGCAGCTGAGATTCATATCGTAGGTCCCTGAGCTCAGGGCCCATGCCAGAGTAGGTGGCTTCAGGTTCCAGTCAAAGCTCCCTGGGCAGTGGGCTTCAAGGCACAGGAGAAGGTGACTTCCTGTGCCAGACATGGGATGGCTAGGATGGCAGACCGCAGGCATAGGCTCCCGCACAGCCAGGGTGGTACAGAACATCCCAGCTTGGCCTGAAAAGATGGGTACATTGGAGACTGATGCCCACAGAGCAGTGGTAGGGTTCACCCAGTGGCAGAGCCGCTCAAGAGCTGACTCTACAGATGGACAGGGAGCCAGGCAGAGAGGGCGTCACATCCTGGAGGTGACGTTGGCAGTCATGGGGGACCCCATCATGGTCTAGTAAGAGGAGACTGTAGCCTCGGACACAAAATCTGAGCCAGCCAAGGAGCTGACTCAGGGAGTTTGCCACCCTCTAGCCCCTACACACAACCTTACCCGAGACCCCGATGCCTTGTAAGAGAGTCGGGCAGGCCAGGCCTCCAGGGTGTGTGTTGAAAGCCAGCATCTTGCCGTGTTGCCTGGGCTCCCTTAAACTCCTAGGCACTGGTGACCCTCCTGCCTCAGCCTCCTGAGCAGCTGGGGCCATAGGGGCCACTGCTGTACCTGGCTTGGAATGATTTGTATTTGTTTGCATCGCTTGGGGTTCTCTGGCAGGACAGGGTCAGCAGGAATCTGTGTATGATGGCAGAAGTAACGTGTAGGCCCTCACAGCATCAGGCAGGAGGGGCAGTGCCTCCCACAGGCAGGGGACACGGGCCAGGATGCCTAGTGGACTCTCAGGAGGCCTGGGAACTCACTGGGGACACAGGGTGATGCTGTCAGCAGAGGGCGCACTCACACAGACGCTTTTCTCCAGTGAGCCCCTGGTGGCACCACTGAGTCTGGGGCAGGTCCCCAGTGCCAGCTCACTAGTCAGTCATCTTCAGGCATCCCTGTGACTCACTGTTCCCTGCAGGCCTGCACCTGGTTAACCCATACAGGTTCACTGAGTTGCCCAGGCTAGCCTCCAACCTGTGATCCTCCTGCCTCAGCCTGCTGAGTAACAGCTCCCTGCATAGCTCAGAGTACACAGAGAAACAGCCTGGTGGGGCATGGCGCCCTGGTGGGGGAAGGGGGCGAGATTGGGAGAAAGTGTAACTTGCAGAGCGCTTATCAGAAGCAAGGGGCGGAGCAGAAAGCCGGGTGGACTAGTGATCACCATGTCCCTTAGTGCTGGGAGGAAGCCATGGCCTCCTGCCATGGGGCCACAGCCCAGTGTCACCCCTCCATGTGCTCCTGTGCCCAGACCCCTGTTGGCCCTCGTGTAGATCGTGTCACCCCAGTCTAGTGCCAACCCTGATGAGGCTGTTTGCAGAATGGCTCAGGTGCCTGCCACGTGCCCGTCACATTGAGCCTGGGGCAGCTCCCTGTCCCCAGGTGAGTGGGGGCTGTGTTGCAAGGACCTCGAGCTGTGAGTGTCTCAAAGTGAGGAGTCTGGCCAGTGGTGCGGTAGTCACCCTGGGCGGGTGGCTGTCCTGGGCCCTGCCAGGTCCCCAAGGAGGGCCTGAAACCAGCATATGGCAGAGGGCCCGGTGCCGCCTTAGGAAGGGCTCTTGGGGCTGGAAGTGGTGGTGACCCTGTTAGCCCCACCACCTGGGGAGGTTGAGGCGGGAGGACCACGAGCTCGGGCCAGCAGCTTAGAGGCCTTCTCAGAATGAAGAGGACATAGTGCTGGCCTGACCTGGGGCCCCGCTGGCCCTCACATACCCTCTACCTGCCTCACCAGGTTTCTATCAGATGAGAGCAGCCTGGAGCACAAGTACTACAAGCTGAAGCTGGCCGAAGTGCAGCGCGGGAGCCAGGCGCCAGTGGGCACAGATCGCAGGGTGGCCCCGGCTGAGTGTGCCGTGCGGGCCATGCTGTATGCACGCGCCGTGCAGAGCCTCAAGCGCAGGCTGCTTCCAGGCCAGAGGCGGCGGCTGCTGCGTACCCAGGGCCCCCGAGGATGGAAGGCCCGGCGCGCCTCCACTGGCACCCAGACACTGCTGTCCTCTGGTGCCCGGCTACGGGCCCCTGGCCGGCAGCCCAGACTGCCCCCGCTGGACCCCACCAGAGCCCTACCGCCTTGGGACGCCAGCCCGGGTACCCCGGGCCCAGCCCCTCGGTCCCCCAAGCCTTCAGGAGCTGATGCCACCACCACAGCCCCAGGCACCTCCTCCCTCTGCTGCCCTGCTGATGATGGTGGGTACTCAGGACTTGGTGGCTGGGGTGAGGGTGAATTGTGGGAACCCGTTCCTGTCCTCTCAGGCTTCAAGTCTTGTGGCAAGGTGCTGGGGTCAAATTTGGAGCTGAACTCATTAGCCAGCTGTGGCCCCTGTCCCGCCTCCTCCTGGCCCCCCAGAGCTGCAGCTAACATGTGACTCTTGTAACCTGCTCACTGCCTCAGCCCTTCCCCACCATGCCAGGGCCGCCTTGGCAGTGCTGGTGGCCGAGGTGATGCCAGGTGTGGTCCCTAGATAGGGGACCTGACTGTCACAGCCTATCAGCCCATTAAAGGAGAAGAGCCAGAAATACTGCTCCTAGGACAGCTGCAGAGCCCCCAGGGTCCCCACTCCGGGGCGGTGACAGTGCTGTATTCCTCAGTTGATGCCAAGACCATGGAGACTGCAGAGAAGCTGGCCAGGTTCGTGGCTCAGGTGGGACCAGAGATCGAGCAATTCAGCATAGAGAACAGCGCAGACAACCCTGATCTGTGGTGCGTACTTGCCATGCTGGCCGCGCTGTGGGAGAGGGCCCTGGAGGAGAGGAGGGGAACTGGGGTGTCCCGGGCAGTGCAGAAGGTGCTTCCGCTAGGGAATTGGGAGTTCGGCTGGGCATCACCTGGCCTGGTGGTAGCAGCATGAAGTGTTTGCTGACACACCCAGTGGTGATTGGAGCCAAAGCCAAGGAAACAGCTGTTGCAGAGACACTCGGGGTGCTTTCACTGGGGCTTCCACGTTCAGCCTGTGACCGGCCCTGCCGCCTCCCGCTTGCTGGGGTCTGCACCAGGCCCACAGTGAGCCAGCATGGCACAGCAGTCTCTTTGCACAGGAAACCTGAATGGCTCTGTCCCTCCGAGTCCTTTGTCTCAAGTATAGATGTGACCACATCATAATCCTAATGAGATCACTCATTTCCATTTAGATCCAGTGTTAAGGCTTTTTCTTTTGTCTGTCTTCCCTTTTTAAGTACAGCATTCATACTGTTCTAGTAAAAATCACAGAAGCTTTCCAACACTCAGGAGGTTGAGACAGGAGAATGTCCATGAGTTTAAGACCAGCCTGGGCTACGTAATAAGACCCTGTCTCAAAAAAATACATACATGGCCGGGCAGGAGGCAGGAGAGTTTGCAAGTTTGACACCAGCTTGTGCTACACAGTGAGCCTGGGCCGCATAACAAGACCCGGCATAAAAAGACCAAAAAGAACTGCAGACAGATCCTGGAGGGCAAGCTCTGAGGCATCCTTCTCTGCCTTCCACCTACATGCTTCGCACTCCGGGCTCATATCAGTTCTGCCCTCCTGCTCTGTGCCCCTCCTGTGTTTTGTGTTGTCATAGATTTTTGTAGCAAGGGTAAAGCTCAGGGCCTTTGCACTGAGCTGCATCCTCACTGGTTTTATTTTTCATTCTGTAACGGGGTCTCTCCAAGCTCCCAGGCTAGCTTGGCACTTGATACTCTCTTGCTTTGGCCTCCCCGCCAAGGTTTGTCTGTGCATCTGCTGTGCAGGGCTGGGACGGACAGGCCAGGTGGGCCTAGGTTTATAGTCTGTCTTGCAAGGCCCCAGTGTTTTTTTGTTTTTGTTGTTTTGTACCATGACCTCACACTTGCCAGGCAGGCAGTGTATCACTGAGCTATGTCACTGGCTGGCCCCATCTTTTTGTTTGTTTAGTTTTGTTTATGTTTTTTTGATGGTTAAAAAAATTGAGTTTTATTGTTTTTATTAAACAACTTTTTGTTATTGTTTTTGTGTGTTTTTTTCAACCCCAGTGTTTTTACCCCAGTTTAGCATATAAGCGCCTGCCTGACAAGCACAAGGTTGTGAGTTCCATCCCCAGTACCAAAAAAAAGCTATGTGCTCATCAGAGCCAAAGTTTTTTTTTTTTTTTTTTTTTTTTTTTTACCACACTTGGATATTGTGTTATACATTTTCCAAAATTCACACAAGGAGATGTGTTGCCAGGCATGGTGCTGCAAGCCTGGAATCCTAGCACTTGGGAGGCTGAGGCAGGAAGATGGCAAATTCAAGCCTAGCCCAAGCAGTTACTGACTCAGTGACACCCTGTCTTGAAGTGGAAATGGAGAAGGCCAGGACCAGAGCCTGGTGGCCTCAGCAAGCACTGCCCAAGGTGCCCAAGGCCTTGGGACTTGAGGGAGCCATGTGAGGGACTCAAGTGCCCCACAGAGTCCTCCTACACGGGGCATCCGGGCTGGTTTCCACACTGCTCTCCTGACCCACACATTTCCATCTGTGATCCAGGTTTCTCCATGACCAAAACAGCTCCGCTTTCAAATTCTACCGCAAGAAAGTGCTGGAACTGTGTCCCTCCATCCGCTTCACGTTGTCGCCTCCCACCCTGCCCACCAGCAGCAGTGGCAACCAAAGTGGGGACTCTCAGGAGAGCCCCAGGGGCCCTGGAGAAGGGACAGGGGAGCCAGCCAACCAGGGCCCTGCACAGGAGGCAGAGTTGGGGAGCCCAGAGGGGACGCAGGAGGAGGAGGAGGGTGATGAAGAGGACGAGGAGGACGAGGAGGGGGTGGAAGGGGCTGCTGCCCACAGAGCCACCAGGCCGGGAGCAGGGGCTGCCAAGGTGGGGGACACCGAGGGTCCCCCCGCCACCGATGGCCTCCCAGGCGAGGGTGCCGAGGATGACATGTCCGCAGCTCCGGGCCTGCCCCAGGCCACCGTGGGCACCTGCTTTCCCCGGAAGAGGATGAGCAGCAAGTCCCTGAAAGTGGGCATGATCCCTGCCCCCAAGCGCGTGTGCCTGGTCCAGGAGCCCCAAGGTGGGTAGGGCCCCTGAGGGGGGCCTGGAGGCCTGCTTGGGAGGCGCAGGGTGGCCAGCATGGCAGCGCAGTGTGGGGCTGAGCAGGGCTCCCTGAGCTGTAGCCCAGCCTCAGTGCAGACCCAGTGTCCCTGGGGTATGGCTGTCCTTGCTTCCAGTCCAAACCCGCAGCAGCTGCAGCCCTGGGAGACCATCCACTTCCTAGGAGCAGTGCCAGGCCTGCCTGCCACGGCCCGCCCATCCATCTCAACCCCCCAGGAGCATCTCGCTCTGGACATAGTGGGCGCAGAGGTTAAGCCACCGGCAAGAGCGTGGCAAGAACAGTGCTGTGATGCCACCCTTGCTGCAGCATCCTGCTGGAAGGCCAGGGCGGCTTCTCTGTGGAAGCCACACTGTCGCGTGTCCACCGCTAGCACCACCATGGAGCAGGGTTCTGTGATACAGGGACCTGGGCCCAACACTCACTGCCAGCCAGGCCATCCTCGGTGGCCCAGGCACCTGCTCTCCCTGCAACAGGAGGGGAGGAGTGTGGGTGTGCTCATGTGTTTCTCTGTCTTATAGTCCATGAGCCAGTGCGTATCGCCTATGACCGGCCTCGGGGACGTCCCATGTCCAAAAAGAAGGTGAGTACCCCCATCCATAGGCCTCACCCAGGCTGCATGTGGCCAGTACTGGGTCTCAAAGGGCACTGCCCGCTACTTGTGCTTAGATTGTGATCACGTCCCGAAGCCAGCTGTGGGATGCTCCCCCCCCCCCGCAGTGCCTCGGCTGCTCTGGAAGCTGAGGCAGGAGGCTCACTGGACAGCCTGGGCCACGTGGCCAGTCCCTGAGGAAAACCAGGTCATGTCTCAGACTTGGGCATTCTTGGACTCATCACAGTGGAGCTTCCCATGGAGACAGTTCCCTCCTGACTTGGGGACAGAGCCCCAGGCTGCACGGCTGCTCAGCAGATGTCCACCTCTGCCCCTTACTCTCTGTACTTTATGGTTTTTAAGTTGCCTAGCCCATCTCCTTGCCCCAGGTTCCCAGGGGCTGGGATGCCAGGTGCACATCAGTTGCTTGTCCGTGTGGCTTTATAAATGTGCCACAGGCCCAGGGGATGATGAGGTGTGAAACAGGGCCGGAGAGGGTGTCCCAAGCAGGGCGCACTGCTGCAGACAGGTGCCGAGGGCACGACCTGGCAGAAGCCCAGGGGCCCAGGTGAGCAGGAGGCTGCTGGGCAGGTGTGGAGTGACCTGGTTCCCCGGGCTCTCGCTGTTTTTTTCTTTACTGTGATGAGACAAGCTCCCACTATAGTTCAGGCTGCCTGCATACTCGCTGTGCACCCCCAGGCTTGGGCCAGCTCTCCTGCCTCGGCCTCCCCGGTGCTGGTGTCCCAGGTGTGCACTCCGTGCCTGGCTTTGGCTGTGGCCCTTCCCACTACACAGGGTGACCCTATGAAAACTGCCCTGGACTGGTCCCTGTCTCTCCGCAGAAGCCCAAGGACTTGGACTTTGCCCAGCAGAAGCTGACGGACAAGAATGTGGGCTTCCAGATGCTGCAGAAGATGGGCTGGAAGGAGGGCCGGGGCCTGGGCTCCTGCGGCAGAGGCATCCGAGAGCCTGTCAGCCTGTATGTGGCGGGCAGCACCAGGGGCCCAAGATCCCACTGCCACCAGTGGGCCCCCAGGGACCTAGACCCCTGTGGGTGGCGGGTGTCCACCTCCCTGGCCCAGGCCTTGGCTCTGCCCTCCGGTGATGGCTGTGCTACGGGTCCCTGCTGCACACTGACCCTGCTTCCTCCACAGGGGCAGTGCCTCGGAGGGTGAGGGCCTGGGTGCCGATGGTCCTGAGCAGCAGGAGGACACATTTGACGTCTTCCGCCAGCGGATGATGCAGATGTACAGACACAAGCGGGCCAACAAATAGGTGCGTGGGACCCAGCAGGCAACTACACATCAGCTGCCTCGAGGGAAATTAGATCCCGGGGTTGAGAAAGGGGGAGGGTTGCCATGGGTTTAAGACCATCCCAGACTACCCAGCAGCGCCCTCTCTCAAAAATATAGATAGATAAAGCAGGGCATGGTAGTGCCTACCTATAATCCCAGCACTTGGGAGGCTGAGGCAGAAGAATCACTGCAAGTTTCAGGCCAGCCTGGGCCACAAAATGATTCAAGGCCAGGCTGAACTACATACCAAAATGCTTTCTGAAAAAAAACAAAAATGAAAAATAAATACTAGATAAATAAAATCATCTCATCCTGGGAGGCAGGCAGAGCCTCTAGATGCAGCCGTGCCCTGCACCTGGCCTTTCCGTGGTGCCAGCTGTGCCCACCCTACTCTGGGGAAGTGCCTGCCTGCCAGCTGTTCCTGCTGCCTCACATAGGACCAGGGTGTTGCTGGCCCCATCTTGATCAGGTTGTCTCAATGGTGACAGCCAGGGCACAGGCTGTCCCGGTCCCAGCAGGCATGGAACGCAATCTAAGCCCCGTGCCCACGACCTGCCAGGCCCTGCCTGTGAGTACCGCCCACTAGAAGCTGTGTCCTGGCTTCTCCTCAGGAAGTGGCTCCTGCTGAGGGACAGTGCTCTGGAGATGCAGCCACCACCTCTTCAGAGTTTTCGGGGACACTGTGTTGATCTAGCGCTCAGGGCATCCATGTCCCCATCCTGGGTGAGGTTACAGTGGCAGCAGGGCCTTGCTGTCCCGAGAAGGCACAGCCAGGAAAGCAAGTGCTCGGCCACAGGGTCCCCAGAGCCCCGGGAGGCCACCTACGCAAGGAGCTGAAGCAGGCATTGTTCAGAAGCCAAGTGTGGTGTGCACCCATGTCCCCCACATCTGGAAGCTGAGGCAGGAAGGCTGCGCGGGCCAAACTGGTCACCGCTTGCAGCCTGGTGAACGTCAAGGTTGTGTGTCCCCCCACCCTACCACTCAGGCTGGGGATGGCAGTGACCAGAGTGTGGAGGGAGCTGCTGCAGAGCCGCAGCCTGCCTGGGCTGCCTTCACTTCCTCCCAAGGCACAGTGCCGGCCACTCACTTGTGTCACCCCATCCTGCGGTCCACAGGAGTGCCACTGCCCCAAGCCTGGCACATGTCTGGCGCTCTGCCCCATTATGTACATTACCACCTGTCGTTCCTGTCACTCTGGCATGGGCACCAGGTGTGTCACAGTGGGAAGGCCAGGGCCTTGTGCAGTGCCTAGCCAGGGTTTCTCCCCAGCCTGTGGGCTCAGCAGCGGCTTCTGCAGCACGCAGCACAGGGGCCCTGTCCCTGTCCCCTTCCAGTGCAGTCCCTGTGAGGAACACTGCACTTGCAGGCCCCATTTCCAAGTCACACTGTCATCTCTGTCCTTCCCCTTGCAGGGCCCCCATGCAGATGACAGCATCCAAGTACACTGTGCTGCCACCCCGTGTGACTGTCCCCAGCTCATGCCATCCCCGGGACCTCGTAGGGAATTAGTGGTTGGGTCCTTGGTGAATCCCAGAAGACACCCATGCTGTGGCTGGGAGCCCCACCTGGGGCAGCAGGGCTGTGATGTTGTGGTCTTTAGCAGTTGCAATAAACGTAGTGGAACAAGACTCTCAGTGCTCCCCGCCCGTCCTCAAGCCTGTCCTGTCCCCATCCCTGCTCCCCCCAGCCTGTGCCGTGCTTGCCCTGGCCGTTCCCTGGTACCCAGACAGTGTTGCACATCCACAGGCCTCAGACACAGCAGGGACAAGGACAGATGCATGAGGAGGGTCACCCGGACAGGTGGGGGACAGTCGAGGGCACATGGGACCTGGCATCTGTGGTGTTTCCCTCCTGTGCTGAGCCTTGGGACCAGGCTGTGGAGGTGACATGGGTCTTAAGCAAGCCACTGACCTCAAGACCATTCCCCCTGCAGATGGAGGTGTGGCCCTGGGGGAGGAGACCTGGTCACCGGCCTGTGCCATGCCTTGCCCTCCTTTGGGACCATGGTGGTGGTGATAGTCATCCATGCACACCATCTGGCAGGAGCATGGTCTCTGTGAACCACCAGCAGCCACCCACAGGGGGCTGCCAAAACTGTGATCCCGCACTCAGGAGGCCAAGCCAGGAGCACCAAAGTTTGGCTGGAGCTATCACCTGGGCTTCCTGGGCTCAGCCACCTTGCACTGCAGGAGGAGTGGAAGAAGCAGGCAGGGCCCAGCGCAGGTTCCCTAACCTTGGGACAAGGAACGCAGAGCACATGGCCCAGAAACACAAGGGCTGCTGCCTGCTGCCTGGGTTTAGAGTTTATTTTGTAAGCTAACACCTGGCTGAAATCACGGTGTCCCTGTGTGACCCATGAACAGATGACAGGGCCCCTCTCAGGGTGTTTCACCCAGCAACAGTGAGACAGACACAACTGGTTTGAGAGAGAACCCTTAATATATGGACAATCCTGCTCCCTGCACTCTGCATGGGGCTGGGGTGCAGCTCAGTGAGGTCCACTCCACCCCTGAGCAGGAGGCCAGCCCTCCAGAGGCTGAGGCAGGAGGATCACTGAGTTCAAGACAAGCCTGGGCTATACAGTGACAGCCTATCTCAAAAAACAACGAAAAAGGGGCTGGGGGATTTAGCTCAGCAGCATAAGCACCTGCCTTGCAAGCAGGCAGTCGTGAGTTCGATCCCCGGTACCGATAAAAAAAAAAAGACAAAAAAAAAAAAAAAAAACGAAAAAGGGAGGCACAAAGGGTGGCCCGCAGGGTCTATAGCATAGCCCCTGTGCTGCGATGAGCCTTTGGCTGTGCCTGGCCCTGCTGGACTTGAATCCTTGTATCCTGTGGGAGGTGGTCCCTTCTCCAGTGGGAAACGGAAGCGTCCCCAATGTGTATGCCAGCCTGAATGCCTGTGTACCCTGTCCTGATTCCCACCAAGTCCAGTTCCTACTCCTGCCCTGGGGACCTTGACTCAGGAATGCAGAGGTTCTCAGGGGGACCCTAAAGCTAAGCGTGTCTGGTGGATGCAGCTCCACAGACTGGGTTTTTGTTTTGTGTTTATGGTGCTGGGATGGAACCCAGGGCCTCATGCATGTTAGGTCAGCACTTTGCCTTGGAGCTTTGTCACCAGCTCTTTATCAGCTTATGTTTAGGGTACTAAGGCTTGAACCTAGGGTGCCCTACCACTTAGCTACGTTCCCAGCCATTGTTTTATTTTTTTGAGACAGGATCTCCCTAAATTGGCTGGCAGTACACAAACTTGCCATCCTCCTGCCTCAGCCTCCTAAGTAGCTGGGGCTACAAGGTTACACCTACACACACCCTTAGGCACTTGATTTTCATGTTGGTGTTTGTTTTGTTTTTTTGGGACAGGATCTTGCCCTGTAGTTCAGCAGGCCGAGCACTGTGGGGATCCTCCTGCCTCAGCCTCTGCAAAGCTGGGATGACAGGCACACACCACCCCGCCCCCACTTGCTTGATTTTAAAGAAGCCAGGTGCCCCAGGAGGCAGACCGCGGGGTGACCACGCAGGGCAAGGCGTGACTGTCCACAGGGCTGCGCGGGAGGACCCTGCGGGCATGCAGCTCCCGGCGGTAACTGGCAGGAGCCCAGGAGTTAAAGGCCCGCGCGGGGAACATGGAAACTCCGTCTTGGGACAAAACCAAGCCTTCTGGCTATAAAATGCAACGGAGAGTGAGGGACGCTCGCGAGGTGCCGTGCGGTTCCCTTCTGTATTCGGTGGCTGGGCGCCGCTGGCGGGGAGCGCTTGCCGAGCCGGGGCGGGGCCCCGCGCCAGCCAGCCAGGGCTCCCCACACTGCGCGGCCTGGCGGGGTTCGGCCCTGCCGCGCCTCCTGGAGCCGGGCCACGCCTGCGCACTCGCGAGGAGTGCCTTTCCACCCAGAAGACGCTGGAGGAAGTGGGCGCCGCCTCACGTGCGCTGGGATCGTGGCTTGGGCTTCCTGGCAGCTGTGCTGGGACAAGAAAGCGGATCCAAAGCCCATCAGCCGCTTCCTGCAGGCCATTGTCCCCAGCTGTCGCCAGCGTCCCTGATGCCACCCGGCCAACTACACCGTCTGTGGGTCCATTCTTCCGCAATCCTGCGCCACTCTTCTGAGGAGCCTTTAGTCGCGCTTTCCCGCGAGAACTTCCCACCCCGTATTGAAAGCCACTGCGCTGTGTGCGGTCCCAGCTACTCAGGAGGCTGAGGCAGGATCAAGAGTTGGAGCCCAGCCTGAGCAATTTAGCGAGACCCTGCCTCAAAACTAAAAGGGGGGGCCCAGAAGTGAGGGGGTGGGAGCTGCAGGTTCCACACTCCTGGGTGGCATCAGCCTCCTCAGTTTCTGTGCTACCAGTGTCCAGTGCCTGACGGCCCACAGATAGCTAGAGCCACCAGAATCAGTGGCCCTCGTGCCCACCCTGCCCGGAACGCCTCCCTGTGTCCCAACCAGTTGCGGCGTCTTCCCTGCCATAATGCATCCATGCGTGCGTTCTGTCCCACTGAGGCTGCGGGTGCCATGGCCATTGCAGCACTCTTGGATGACAGTGAGTCTGCTGGCTCAGACAGGCACAGGCTGCATCCATCCCTGAGTCCCAGAAAGGTCATGGCCAAAGAATCCGGGGCCCTCCGGCCGTTTCTGGAAATGTCTCCTGTCCCCAGTGCCATCCCAGCCTCTCACAGAAGCCCTAGGCTCTGTGCCCCACTTTCCCTCCAGCCTGCAGCTCTCTCAGCAGATAGGCAGGGGCGTCCACCTCGACTTGATAAAAACCTCTCCGAGCTCAAGGAACCAAGGAGTCGGGCCAGGCACCCTGGGGAGGCAGTCTGGCATCAGGCAGGGATGGCGAGGGCGCGCTTGACCTTAGACCCATTTTACAGATGAAGACACTGAGGCAGAAGCGCTGAGTTTACAGGCCACCGACAGGCCCAGAAAGCTCTGAAAGATTAACGACTTGGATCTTACCTCTCTACCGGCGCAGAGCTCTGCTGTCCAATGGCTGCAGCGGAAGCACCAGGTGGCCTCTGATTGGCCCAGTTTCATGCAGATACCCAGCTCTGAACCAATCATAGTGGCTCAAAGACATCAACGGTGGGCAAACCTGGGTGGATTGGAGCCAATAATCAGAGGCCAGGTCTGGCCAGCGGCTCTGTCCCTTCAGCTGATTCCTACTACACAGACCTGTCTGTCAGCGATGATGATGGATGGACGTGAGGAATGCCCACCGGCAGTCTCCTCTGTCCTCGTGGGTCATCAGGAGCGTCACGAGCTCAGGGAGCAGTCGGGGATCCCGTGGGGTCGAAGACAATGAGAAGGAACCTTTGGGATGACAGCGAGTGGTGGCTCTAGGCTTCCTCTGCCTCCCAGCATGGCCCCTTTTCTGCCGCAGTTTCCACCAAGGTCCATGTACTTTTTTTTTTTTTTTTTGTCTTTTTCGTTTTTATCGGTACCAGGGATCGAACTCACGGTTTCCTGCTTGCAAGGCAGGCGCTTATGCCACTGAGCTAAATCCCCAGCCCCTAGTCCGTGTACTTTCAAATAAGGTCATTCTTTCCCTCCTCTGTCTGTGACCACCCGCGAAGGCCCAGGCCCTCCACACAGAGAGGAAGAGCCAGGACCCAGCCACCTGGCATTCTGGACACTCAGAGAAGGTTCGGAGTCTGGCTTCCTTCCTCCCTTCCTTCCTTGAGATCCTCCTGCCTCAGCCTCTTGAGTAGCTAGAATGGCGGACGGGCACTGTCAAGCCCGGCTCTGTCTTCCTTTGACAAGCAATTGCGTGGCCTCTGATCAGGGAAGCTCTGGGGTTGGTGCTGTGACCACCACTGTCAAGTCTTTTGCTTTCTGTCATGCTGTCACCAGAGCCGAGCTGTTGCCTTGGGCACAGGCTTTGCTGATTCGAGGAGTTCCCTTTCCTGCCCTCCCTGTCCCTGCCTGGAGTGAGAGATGAACACTGATCTGATGAGATTTCTCTGCTTGGGTCTGCGACTGCTCTCAGTTTTTCCTGGTTTTAGAAAGATTTCCATCTGTAATCCTAGTGTTTTGGGAGGCTGAGGCAAGAGGAGCTCCTGTTCCATCCCAATCTGAACACATTATATAAAGACCACATCTCAAAATAAAAATGGCTGGGAATGTGGCTCAGTGCAGAGGCCCTGGGTTCCACCTCCACTCCTGCAAGCAAGGTGTCAGATGCCTCGTGGGGACAGCAGACCTAGGCAGAGGCTCTGACAGGGCCTCCCCCTGGCCTTCCCACAGCATTTGTGCTTGTCAATTTTCCTCACAGCTTTACTGTGGCATCCAGGGCCCTGTCAGAGCCTCTGCCTGGGAGGACAACCGACCTGAGGAGCTCTCCAGGAAGAGGAAGAGAATTTCTGGAATCCAGGCCAAATGCACTCACAGTGTCACCAGTTTATAAGGGACACAGGAGCTCTGGGATGCACAGAGCCATGGACAGCATCT